AAAACAGCATATTTGAAAAAATGCATAAAGCTGTATATATAAAAGAATGCATTTTTGAATAAAATTGCATTTTTTTAAATGTTAGTTTTGTATATTTGAAGAAAATTGAATAAAAACAAAAAGTTACATATTTTAAGCAAATAGCATAAAAATGTGCGTATGAAGAAAATTACGTAAAACGGCACATTTGAAGAAAATTGTACAAAGCTGTATATCAAAAAATGCAAATTTGGAGAAAATTGAATAAATTTACATTTATGAAATTGTTCCTTTTGTATATTTGAAGAAAACTGAACAAAGGCATAAAGTTACATATTTGTAGAAAATGGCGTAAAACGGCATAAAAGTGTATATTTAAAAAAATGCATGTTTCAAGAAAATTGAATAAATTTGCATTCTTTTAAATGTAACTTTTGATATTTGAAGAAAAATGAAAATTACATTTCGAGAAAAATGAATAAAACCCAATTTGGAACAAGTATAATAAAGTTGCACAATTGATAGATGTATAAATAGATTCATGTTTGTACTGAAGACCGTGATTGACTGATTGATTTTAATAAGATCATACAACTACGTACACATATGTACACAATTGAGCTTATGACTTCTCAAGGAAGGCCGCTAGGCTCCAGCAACTGTAACAAGCTAGATTCCAACATCCAACGGATGCAGTTTTTAATGTTAGACATTCTCAATCATTTTTAAATATATTCTTTTTCTATTTATACATTTATTTAAGTAGGGTAGTGTAATATGCAATATCCTCCATCACCATTTTCACCTATTAAATAACGAACTTAATGTTATATCAATGTGTTGATGGGGTACTCAATATGCCGTCATAGGTTCTCTCACAATAAACATTCACCCTAATAAATAATTCCATTTTTCTATACACAAAGGAAAAACAAAAGACATTTATTCGTAATTTATACAGTAAATCTGCTCTGTTTCTACAAAAGCGGAACAAGATACCCTCGTCGTGCTCGAGCGCAATTTTCATATCGGGGTGGTATTCCAACACGCTCTCTATATAGAGCCATGGAATGGCACGTTTCACTTAAGTGTGTTCACTGTCGAGTCACCTTTATACATGCCAGACAAATACGCGGACTTTGGCCTAAAAGTAAGTTCCGTGTGCCAACATCGCTAATCTTTACTCCGACTATCCACCAATTCTGCTATTTCCTTTTTAATCATATTTAAAATGTGTGTAGCGTTTATTGATTGATATATCAAAAATTATATTGATATATAAAAAACGCATTAAACGTTTAATTGTTTTTATTATCGTTAACTCAGAAGATTTATATTTATGCAGTAATTTCAATGGAACTTAAATGAGCAGGTCAGGAAAGGTTGCGAGCACAATAAAGACCGGTCGTGACATGGGCATATTATGGATTTTATGAAAAATAAACAATTACGCCTACGTCAACGCTAAAACAGTCTCGTAGGAAACATAAATAAAAGATAATGTTAACATCTTATCTCGAATTCAATTGAACAGAAGGTCTACGCTTTTTTTCCTTGATTTTCCGTGGCTTACGACTCTGTAGATAAGCTTTACCTCTTTTTTAATCTTTTCAGTACTAAAAGTATCGACCTTTTTTCACTCACGAACACTCTGGATCAAGTTATGGTTTTGAAGAAAAAAGCAAATTCGGTTGTTACAGCCAAGCTTTCGATTTATTTTAATGTCATCATCAGGGCAAAACAATATCTACATATTGACCTATTTAAGTTTTTTACAGGCGATCTCCTATTTCAATGAATACCGACACTGACCTAACATTGCCAAGGACTGTGACAGTATTGAATTTTCTTCAAGACTATTCCTTTATCCAGTGTGTGCGTTTTTTAACATTTTTTCCTCAAATACTTCCCGGTTTATTATGGCTCTACTTACAGATATATTTGGTCTAAGGAGGGAAAAAGCACAGAGTTTTAATGGAAAAGATTGCCCTTTCAGCCCAATGTCTTATTTCACAATATGTCAAGCATAGATACATCTTTATTTATTTGGTTTGCTAAGTGTAAATAGGTTTTAAAAGGCAAAGAAGAATCGTGTAACAAGATACCGGTGGGGTTTAATTATTGCTTCCATGACCAAAGAAAAAAAAAAAATAAGTTATGGTTTCGATGTAAGAAACTAAAGAAACTAATTTTTTAAAATAACGCTTTTCAATATAAACTATAACTTTACACAAGGATTCTATTTTAAAGTGTCTATACTGTTCGGAGTACCGATNTTCTTATTTTTTACAAAAACTATTTCTAACTTCCCTTTCTAAAAAGATAGTTCCTACTCACAGTAAGTTATTTCCACGTCTCGACGTGAATTGCCAAAGTGAAACCGCTTATACCACCCGCAAACGCTACGTTCCAATTAGCAGCTGATTTGTTTCAAGTTCCATTGTTTGTTTACATGGCCTATCCTTGCAGATGGTTGTGTATAAGCATATATTATAACAGTATAATATTTATTTGTGTTATAATTTCCGCGTTTCGCACGTTCAAATTGAGCGCCATTAAACAAATCAGCTGCTAATTGGAACGTAGCGTTTGCGGGTGGTATAAGCGGTTTCACTTTGGCAATTCACGTCGAGAGACGTGGTTGTAGAAGTCCTTCAACCTGATGATGAGGTAAAAGGCTCGAAATCCGGATCGTTGCAAATAACTTACTGTGAGTAGGAACTATCTTTTTAGAAAGGGAAGTTAGAAATAGTTTTTGTAAAAAATAAGAATAATGCTAAAATAAAAAGAGGTTTATTTAATGGTGTAGGATCTACTTTAAAGATGTTAACTGGTAATCTTGATGCTTTCGACGGTGAAAAGTTAGAACATTTACGAAAATACCAAGAAAATATTAAGAACCAGATAGAATCACACTACTCATTTAATGTAAAAATTATAGACGAATTTAATAAAACATTGTCAATAATAAATGAAAACTATATCGAATTAAAAACTAAAATTTTAGCAATAAACCACAAGTTAAGTGATTTCGTCGAACTAGAAAAACTAAGCGATTCTATTATTCAATTACAACTTACATATCAAATGTTGCTGAATGTTGTACAAAATTTAGAAAACTCCATAATATTTTGTAAGCTACAAAAACTTCACCCCAGCATTATATCTTCTCAAGAATTGTTAACTGAAATTCAGGAAATCGCTAAATTTTATAATAATAGACTACCGTTTGAACCAAAATTAGAAAATATGTTAGAGTTTGAAGATTTAATACAAGTTACCAAAGTTCATTATGAACAAATAATATTTTTATTACGCCTGCCTTTGGTCACTAATAACAATTACAATCTTTACAAATTACTATCAGTACCTAGGCAACATGATACTAAATTCATAACTATTATACCAAATGTTAACTATTTTCTTAAACCCAAAATGTATATTCATAATATAGATATCATAAGTTTAAATAATAATTGTAAACAAACTAAATTGAAATATCTATGTTCATACGAACAAACCAACCATAAGGACAACCTGTGCGACAAGGCCTTACTTCTTACTGGTGATCCATCGAACTGTACATACACAGAACTCGTCGTAACCGAAAATCACCTGACTTGGATACCTGAGCTCAACCAGTATTTGGTTGTATTTCCTACTGAAGAATCTATTAGTATAAGCCGCCAGGATGGGACTGCAGTAAGACGACTGAAAGGAGTATTTTTACTGAACAACAACGGCAGTAAAGTGGTATACAGGAACAGACAATTGTATCACTCTTCCAAAACCTCTGGGCATCCAACAATTATTAGTAACGTTAAGCTTGGATTAAGCAAGAATCAACAGCAAAAATTCTCAATTAACATTAAAAAATTGGGATTAGAGGAGCTGAAACTCAACCATGTTTCGCCAATCATCAAGACTTCCTACATTTCAACGTCTATGAGCATATGGACCATGCCAGTCCAGACCAGGCCATAGCCTCAGCTTATGGAATCTTCACATGGTATCGCACGCGGAGACAACTCTTGTCCGTTGCAACCCCTACCAATCAGCCGCCCCCGGAAGCTTCATTTGGGGATGGAGGAGTTACACCTGCACGAAACCACTAATTCAGCAACAAATGATTCTACCCCTATACAAATTCAGAGAATGTATTGTAAGCATAAAATGTAGATTGTATTGTATGACCTCCTCTTCGTCAGATCGGTACTCCGAACAGTATAGACACTTTAAAATAGAATCCTTGTGTAAAGTTATAGTTTATATTGAAAAGCGTTATTTTAAAAAATTAGTTTCTCTGCAGGCAAGACCCAAAGATAAGTTGGTCTCAGTGTCACTGGAGCCATGAGCAAAACGGCGACCCTGAAGGTGTTAAACCTCCCACCACTTCATATCNTGATCTCAATAAAAGATCGAAACGTTGGCACGATAAAGAAAATGTTTTTCTGAAACCTACATCACACCCGACCGCATCTCACGATATCTGAATAACTATCGAAAAAATGTTTCTTTTTCGATATAAAAGGCACGTTTTTTATGTATTTTGCAATAAAACAAAAAAAAATTGAAAAAAATTCCGACGTAAAACGCTGGTATGCACGTTTTTTACGTATTTTGCACGAAAAACACGCAGGCACATTTTTTTACATATTTTTTCGAAATTCGTTTGTCGAACTGAGCTTGAGCTACTCTGTACAATTTTTCTCCAAAAAGGTAAAAAATATTACTTTTTTTTTTATAGCGTCATTGGTTTAAGAGAAATTCAGCCGGGCCATATAAAAAGGACACCCTGCATCCTCTTTTTATGCATTTGTCTGTTCTTTTAATTAATTTATTTTATTTTCCATGTTGTTGAAATTTAAATATTAAACTTTTCGTAGTACGTATTGTATTGAATGAAAGTGTTTTTTCTTGTTCTTTTTATGTAAGTTTGATCTCTTTTTTCGGAGGGACTTTAATTTGTAAATAATTTTGGGATGATTAAGCGGAGAAGCGCTCTCTGCCAGCTGGAGTCTGCATCCCCGTGCCTGGTCGGTTTGTTTATTCCGTGTCCTTCAGGAATGCGAAGTATGTGTCCTGTGTAGTTCTGTTTGATGATGAGATGATGTATGTGTATGTATGTTTGTGTGAAAGTGTGTTCGTTCGCTTGCGTTAGTTAATTTGCGTGAGACTGAGACGCTCATCTTTTAGTAGTATTGACAAGATGTCAGAACGGCAATTTCTTCCATTGTGCGACCTTCTTTTCAACCTCATTTCTCTTGCCTGTTACTTCTGCGACATTGTTTTTGACCTCACGATGGGGTACGCTCTTTACCAAAAGGGACAGTATTTCTGGGGCGGGATAATCGTGTTTTTTGTCCTTTTCTCACTGACAGTTTGTCAGATCTTCAGTATCTTCTGGTATTTGAAGACGAAAAAACGGAGCTGCGGGAAGATCGCCTGCCTCATCCTAGTTCACAGTCTTTCTCTCGGCGTCATTTGGAGACATTTCAAACTTCTTCTTCCAGTCGACCTCTCATGGATTAAGTCTGAAATGAGAGACATCTGCGTCTTGAGACTTCTCCACGGATTTCTCAACTCGGGGCCGACTCTCCTGATTCAGCTGCATCTTTTTCTCAATTACGATATGGAAACCGAGCTGAAAGACCTCTCGGCCCTTTCCGTCTGCCTGTCCGTCTTTTCCATCTGCTGGGCTCTTTCTTCGTATTCGAAGAACCTCAAAAGGAGGAACATTCGTAGACTCGTACTCACTTGGCCCGGAGTTATTACCCAGGTAACGCCGAGACTTATATAAATATTCCTTCTTTTTTTTTATATANTATATATATATATATTTGTGAGTGTCATTCTCGAAATTACGATACGCATTACAATATCATGAAACTAAACCTTTGATAATTGTAATTACTATCATGAAAATAAATTGCGTTTATACACTGACAGGCAAAAAATTCCGCCCACTTGTAATATAACTTGATTTGTATATATTTTTATATATTAAATTAAATTATATTAAAGTTTCACGTTTTTTAACTTTTAATAATTGAGTTTTTGTCTTAAAAAAAAGTATTAAAAAAATAGTACATTACTAAGGAAAATTTTAAAAAAGACGGAAAATCAAATTTGTTTTAGATTTTTAATTAACATTTCAATATAACGTATTTCCTCCTCTTGTCTTAATTACATTTCGAAGACGCTTCGTAATACTTTCTACCAGTCTAGAAATATCTCTTTGCTGGAGATCGTGGAGTGTATCAGGAAGTGATGGACATGCTCCTCATCTTTTGAGGATATCCCATAAACGTTCGATGGGGAACAGAGAACAGGCAGACCAGCAGAACAGGCAACGTCATTGAAGATATATTTGTACTATGCAAGCGACATGTGGATGGGCATTATGCATTAGAATATGATTGTAGCTGATTTCATTGAGGATGGACAACGTGTGATGATCCAAAATTTCATCCACGTAGCTAGTGGCAGTCAAAGACCCGCCATGAACAACAATCAACTCTATGCGACTCTCCATTGAAATTCCCACCCACACCATCACGAGCTACCGTGAAAAGGTTGGCTCTGGGGAAATTACAAGCTTTGTACCTATTATTTTGCCTTCTCCCCACTCTTTCACCCATCTGTAGATCATAGAGCAAATCTACACTCATCTGTAAAAAGTACAGCAGACCAATTGTCTTAAGACCAATGGCTGTGTTCTCGTGTAAATGCAAGCCATGCAACTCCATGTGTTTAGTCAATTCTAGTCTTCTTACGGGGTGAAAAGCCATCAGTCCATATTGATTTAATCTTCTTTAAACAGTGCGTTCAAAAATTTGGACATCTCAAACTTCCTGGACCTGATGAATTGCTTGAACAACTGAAGGGGCCAATTTCACAAAATTCTCAAAGTCAAAAAACGGTCATCCTGTGGTTCTGTTACTCTAGGGCGTCCAGAACCGGGCTAATTGGTAAGACCCAATGTCTCAAAAACGTCTAATGGTGTCTCACAGTGTTTCATAGGGAGCTCCAATGGCAATAGCCACAACTTGATGGAACGTCCATCATCAATAAGAGAGATCCACACACAACATCCTTAGCACTATGTGGCATTTTTAAGTTTAAAAATTGAAATTAAGAAAACAAAGATGAAATCTAAACAGTTTACAGCTTCAGAATTCAAATGAGACTGAATAAACATTTTAAATTCCATAAAAAGTAAATATTGAAAAATCCTTTATCCTTGTTTTGGATTAAGGATTAAGTGAGTTTACCTCTAATTGCTATTCCCAATTTAAAACATAGCATAAACAAATATGTATTGATAAAAACAGTGAGACAAATGAAGAGCAGAATTTGTTTTTATTGAGAAAATGAAAAAAAAATCAATTGGGTGGAACTTTTTGCTTGTCAGTGTAGTTTATTTAGCCTAGAGTAAAATAAAATAGTACATTCATACTCCTTTCCAAATTGGCCTTGTTTTGAATGTACACACAAGCCCAATGTAGTTCATTAATCTGAAATCTGGACTTTCTCGCTCATTCCTGTACAATCGATTGATTACAAATTATTTGTCTGGTTTCATTGCATAAATGGATTAAGGAATTTTTTCATGTTTTTATTATTATTTATCTTAAATCTAGTATTATATCATTATATGTAATCTATACAATTATAAAACACTATGGTATTATTTAATTTATTTATTAATATTAATGCTACAATACATAATACATATATGTATGTATACTTTTTTTTTTCAGTTTATGTGGCGTCTTGGCACTGTTGGTACAAGGGCAATTTGTCTTGTTCTTTATTCCTCTCTGTACGGTCCATGGGTCCTAGTTGTAGTACTTCTTCATTGGATTTCCATGTTTCTTTGGATCGTATCAACTGAGTTGTTTGCAATCAAGCAGACAAAGACTCTAGCCCGCACATGGACCTCTGCACTTGTAGCCTTTGTGTATATCCTTGCTTATATCAACATCCATGAGGGAAAACACAGACACAAAATGGTAGTTTATTATGTTGTGATGACACTGGAAAACTCCCTCTTATGCTTTTCTTGGTACCTAAATGCTCCCAAAACCAACAACAATGAAGCTATGCCATTGTTTTTGACTTGCACTTACACGGCTGGAATTCTTTTCATGCTTCTCTATTACAGGTATAAATAAAATTATGTATTATTAATAAATTTCATTTAAAATATTTTTATAATAGTAGATATAGCAAGTGGCTTTAATGTTTTCCTTCATGTCTCATGTTCCCCCCTTTCAAATTATTATTCTTGTCCAAATTAAATTTTAAGCTCTCAAATACTAGGGCTACTTCTGCTATTCTTCAGATCACTAATATGACAATGGCAGTGAAATCCTTATAGAAGAAGTTAAATGTACAAATATTGATATTGACTCAGTCATTTGAAGCTGATCTGAAGGCTTTAATTTCAATATCTAAACTAATCTGGGAAAATAATCCACTCTAATTACCACAAGAATAAAATTAAACATCAACCTTCTGTAGGAAGGAAATAGTGACAAAAAACTTCCAATGTTATTATTTTTATTCAAAAATCATGAGATGCGGTCTGGTGTGATGTAGGTTTCAAAAAAACATTTTCTTTATCGTGCCAACGTTTTGATCTTTATTAAGCCCTGAAGATGATCTCAATAAAGATAGAAACGTTGGCACGATAAAAAAAATGTTTTTCTGAAACCTACATCACACCAGACTGCATCTCACGATTTCTGAATAATTATCGATTAACAGTCACTAATCACCACACGTTATTATTTTTTATCATTCATTCCTTACGCTTGATCTAACAACCACCAAGATAAACAATAGTATAGATATAGAATCTGAGAAATTCATTGGGTAAATAAAAAACTGTTATCACCTGGCAAAAGAAAGACTCGTAGTAGAAATAATGATTGGACCTCATCAAATCCAGAGGAAAAGAAACCTTTTAAAAATGTGTACTGTCTTTGTTGAGAATAAATTTACAAAAAGTAACTAGTCCTAATGAAAAGCCTTACGATATTTTGATTATTTTTTAATCCATAAAAAAGAGACAAGAACAGCAGATCATATTTAATTTTAAGAACCAATACTGTCAAATATTTCTATAATACATCGAAAGATATTACTAGATTATAATGGACCCATTCATTTTAACTTTCTTTACAAATAATCAGTTCAACTTTCTTACTTTTAAAGCTCATCAAACGGTAGCAATTGGAAAAGTTAGTTAATCCAGTGCTACAGAAAACATAAAAATCTCTGAATATCTCCAGGAAGAGTCATGTATCTTATTTCTAGCTTGTTTTTTTAGTTTTTTATATGTTTTACATATTCATGCAATTGCATTTTAATCATCTCCAGACTGGTCTACTTACTCTTGCTGTAGCTTCACAAAAACTATATTGTTGCATTAATCAAAGTTATAGCTTTTTGTTTTCTTTTTAGTTAACATACATTGATGTATTTTAAACTCAAAAAGTATCTACCAACAAACTAGATGATATACTGCTTAATATTACTCTGTGTATCAAAATATTTTTAAAATGAAAAGAATAATAGACAATGTTTATAATACTTCATACAATTTATTGGTGCATTTTCCAGATTTTTTCATATCCGCAGGCTGAAATATGATGTTGATGGAAGTGTCAATGTCTCTAATGAGGTTGATATTTTATACATATTTATTTTTGCTATAAAATGAAAAACATCTTTTGGGTTTAGGTCATTGGAGAATCATCAGTTACAGTGCCTGAAAATGAAGAGAAAAAGAAAGAGCCACCAAAACAAGAGCCACATCAAATTCAGAGTTTGAAACCTTCTGGGAGATACAAGTAATTCCTATTTATTTTATTTTCTTATTACACAGTTTACTCTTTAATATATATAGTTAAATTATTATATCAGCATATCTTTCCAGTGTGAACAAAGGTTGTACATACACTCAAAGATAATCGTATTTTGTTTTATTTAAAACAGTGCATTTTTATCTTTATATTAATTACATGCTTATTTAAAATTTAAATGAGATCAGAAATTCATGAGTTTTAATAAAAAATTATTTAATTACTGGAAAATCCAAAATACTGGAAAATCATTTACCGGTAGATTTAAATTTAATAAACAATTTATTACTTATTATTTTGCTCTTAATAACACGTGTTACCTCCTGGAGGGCCTTAAGCATCAAATAAATAAGCCATCGGATATTGTCTTGTGAACCAACACCATTCTTCAACAAGAACAGTTTGAAGCTATTCAATGTCTGGTGGAGGCGGTGAACAATATCTAACCCGTCTCTTTAGCATGTCTCATAAGTGTTCTATGGAACTTATGTCAAGCTACATATGGACAAGCATTATCATGCATTAACACGAAGTTGGGGCATTGGTGGCCGCAACAGTTAAGGTGTCACAGCGGTCATCACTGTAAGATAAAGGATCGAATCCAGGGCCCTGCAGTCGAACTCTACATACATTGTAGAGATGTACAACAAATGGGCTCCCCCCCAAAAAAAAAAAATAATAATCAAAACACTGGCATCCCGAGGGTTGATATGACCTCTGCTGTTGCAAACCCTTGTAAAAAATAATAATAATTAATAAAAAACGTAGTTGCCCCCAATAAATGGAATGACCGCAGCTTCCATAAGAACTTTCTCAATGTGCCTTAGATCCATTCTGCAAGATAATAAGTTTGGTACAGAGTATAGTTCATTCCACTCCATACCACAACTGACAGTCTTCAAAAAGGCTGTGACTGATGCATGATACATGAATCAAAGTGTTCTACACATATGATCCCGGTTATCTGATGGCCACAAACCAAATAGGCACTCATCTGAGAAGAGAACAACCACCATTGTTCGAGTGTCAAACGAGATGCTGATTTGCAAATAGTCACGTTTTTACTTGATGCCTGAGAAACTGGTCCATAAATTCAAGTAGAATGCTTAAAGAATTAAAAATAAACTTCTCCAAACTATTGATTTGGGGACCACAGTAGCCGAGTGGTCAGCATATTACACTCTTGTATAGGCCCTACAGTCATGAGTTCAATTCCTACCATCACCCTTAACCTTTTTTCAAAGCTTCATATGCTAGTACTTAAGGTCATTTAAAAAAATAAATAAAAACTATTGAAAATACAAAAAACAATTTGTTTAAATCGGCAATGAAGAAAAGAACCAAATCGTTTTCACTTGAAACGAAATTCAAAATTGTGTTTATATCCTACTCCTGATATTATAAATTAATAAAATGGGAATTTAGTAGGTAAACATTAATAATTAATTTTTCAATTGGGCATAAATAGAATATAATAAACTAATGGCAACACGATGGTCAAATGGTTCAGCTTGGAACATATCACCTGTTTTCTCTCATAGGATGGCTCAGAAGGTAATCCTCTTTTGTCTTTCAGTTTAACTACCACAAAGTCATACCTCACGCAACTAACATGTTGGTGGCCATTGCAAATATTTATTTCCAACGGTACATAAATACAATTTAAAAAACTTATTACTTAAGTGAATATTATAGTGTGTGTAAATATGACCAAACACTTAAGTATGTTCTGTTCTTCTTCTATTTCAATATTTATTTTGTTTGTGTGATCTGATTGAATTTTTTTAAAGCTTTATTTCTTTTATAATTTTTTTTATGTTCTACGTAAAGTGGAACATGATTGAATTTATTGAAGTTGTTTGCCACTAAACACTAATTTTACCACTATAATTTCTTGTTATAAACAGACATAATTTTTTGTTTTTAATTTCACAGAATAAATCATTTTGTTATTGTCTAATCCACTATTCAGCAGGTATTATAGCGGGATGGGGCATCACCACAATGGAATACCTGGTGTATTCAATTGCCGTTTCACTAACCCATACAGTGCTGCAATTTCAAAGCGAAAGAAAAAAAAACCAACTTCTTTTGTTCCTCCACCAAGTATCTTACCTTCTCAGCATTGCCCAGTCCCATTTTGGTGCCGACCCCTTGTAAGTGGTCATTTAGCTGTCGGTAATTTATGCTTTGTTTTAATTTTTTCCCTGTTTTTCTTAGGTGTCAGAAGATAAGACAGTAGTTAGGAGTCCAGTTGATATACGAGCCAAACTTGAAGAAAAGAAACAGCAACAACTTGCTGAGTTGAGGGACATTGAAGAAGAGATAATGAGACGTAGAAATGGAAGTGATTACCCACAAGAGTTGGCTCCATCATACCTTGGAATGGTTCGTTACTTTTTTTCTCTTTCATTGCCCCTCACGAAAAACCTAGCAGATGCTAGCTGCCATAGAGGAACCCCTCTTGTGTGCGTGCGTGCGTGCATGCGCGCGCGTGTTTGTGTGTGATTTTTTTAAATAAGTCAAAAAGAGCTCAAAATAAATAAGCTCAAAAACTAATGCGCCTCTCAATTTTTGGCAGGATAACTGGAAAAAATAACTTATACACTATTCCAATGCTTCGTTTAAAACAATAGTTCTTCTATGCATTTCTCTTTTAATTTACTTTCAATTTTAATGCATATCTTTGTGGTACATCTCGACAGGGGTACATATAATTGCTCATGTATAAATATTGTGTTTTTTGAATTTATAATCAAACCTATTTTCTCAAAACTTTGTCCTTGTGATTTATTTACAGTAAATAGCAAATCCTTGAGAGACTGAAGATTGCAACCATTTTAAAACAAAGGGCATTTTGGTTAATATTGTGCAGTGTAGTATCATATCAATTTTTGTTATAGTTAACCCCATTACACAAATTGTCTTCTATGCCTAAATTTCTCAATAGCATAACTGTACTTCCTGCAAATTAAGTGCAGTTCTGCATAAGGTGAACCTGGAGGTATCATTGATTGTAAATATTCAATGGGATACTGTAAACTTGTTTTCATTGTCGGCCTTGTCATCAGCTTGATCTAAGGAAACACTCTTCACTATTTCCTTAAGTCATCATTTCACAATAAGATGATTAATTTTTCGCTTCCTCATTTCTAGCTGTTAATATAGCTGTATTACTCATTTCTTCTTCACACAAATGTAATGGATAAAACTCTCAATTGAATTATCAAGAGAGGAGTGGCCATATTAATAAGAGATACTTATACTATGCATGAGGTGGGACTTGATATAAACATCCAGGTGATTCGAGTGGTGGCACCAATGTACCTCACACTGTGCTCTGTCTACCTTCCCCAGGCCGACCAAAGCAGTGAGGTTTCTGCCCTGATTGTTTCCCCTAACCAATTATGTATTGGGCGATTTCAATACACACAACACCTGTGTGGGGACATGGGGTTGGATGGATATCAGATTTAGAGGCAAATTACCTGAGTTGCTAACGCTTCTGTGTCAGATTGTGTCCGTGCTCTCCAGGGACTTTGTTCAAGAAAACAGTGTCCCTCAGGGTTCAGTGATAAGCATTACACTTTTACAGTGAACAGTAAAAGTGCTGACCAATCAGACTATTACAGTACATCGACTACCTTTGTTTTTTCCTTTTGGGGATAGACCTAGCAGAGGTCAGAGAGGTGATGCAGTCAGTAATAAACATTGTGGCGGGAAGAGCTGAGGAAACCAGTTTCGCCTTCTCTGCATCAAAAATCATGTGCGTTCACTTTTGCAGGATGAGGAAGGCGCACAGCCTACCGTCTCTCTCCCTGCCTGAGGGGCGCTGTTGTAAGGCACATAGAGTTGGTGAGATTCCTTTGCCTCACATTGAATCAAAAGACTAAATTGGCTCCATCAAGGTGAGGGGAAGGAAAGTAATAACATTATTAATGTTCATCGGTCACTTCAGGTGAGGAGCAGACAGGAAGACCATCCAATTATTTGATTCATTGCTGTGCTCGACCTTGTTTTATGATTGCATGGCCTATTCTTCAGCCCGAAAAACGCACCTACAAAGGCTCAATAGGCTCTACTATCAAGGTATGTGTTCACAACAAGCCCTTTGAAGAGCCTGTGCTGCAAGCTGGAAGTGCCACCACCTGAATGTTGAAAGTTGCAGCTCACCCTCTTCTGTGGGGTTCTTTGCCAAACCAGATATCTGCTTTTGGGTGCGATCCTTATATGCCAGTGCAGTAGAATAAATGAGTGACTTCACACCAAGACAAGACCTCTAGGAATATATTTTGACGAAGCTTTACGGTAGGGCAAGGATGATACATGAAATGGTATTCTAGCAGGGCAACAGTTTACATGGCAGAGCAGTTGGGCATGCACTTGAGGTTATTCGAGACGATGGTGGCTCTGCCTACCTAATTGGCACCGACTTCACTTTTTTCACATCCTACATGTATTTGTATAATTTAAACAATGTTTATAAATCCTAGGCTCTGAGGATCTCAATAAACATAGATGTTGACACGATAAAGAAAAGGTTTTCTAAAACCTACATTACACCAGACTGTTTCTCACAATCTCCAAATAATCACTAATAACAAAGTTATGTCTTCAAAAGAAAAATCCAGTTATGTGTTGAATCTGTTGATAAAGAAGATATGTTGTGTTTTCTTGTGTTAAATGATTTTTTAAAAGAAAACAAACTGGAGCTTGTGAACAGCACGTTGATTGATGACCTTTGAAGTTTGGAGATGACCTTTGAGCACTACTTCCCAACAGCTCAAAAATACAATGCTGAAAGACCATGAACAGGTGGTCAAACCGTTTTTCATTTCGACAAAGTGAACCAGTCTATCTTTAAGCGAATACGAATGTTTGAAAGACATTAATTAAGGCTCACTTTGAAATCTACTTTCGAGTCCAATTACCTATCAGCCACTCGTTGAAAAAGCAAAACGTTCTTCTTCCATTTGCCACAACTTACCTGTGCAAATCCAGATTTACTAATCTATACAGTCATCAAAACTAAATATTGAAGCTGTCTCAATGCTGAACCTGACATCCATCTCCAGCTATCAAAAATTACACCTAGCATATCCCACCTTATGAGTTTTCCCTCCTTTCGCCATTTTTCAAATGTCGTGTAATCGGTTTGGATTCTCGACGACAATTGAAATGGCGACGGAGAGCTTTAGTGAAGTGTACTTCATTTTTAAATCATTAATTCACTACTTTCGTGGTCCGCTTGACCAATTAATACATGACAATTAATTAAGGTTTTTAGTTGAGATGAACATTTGAAAAATGGCAAAAGGAGGGAAAATTCATAAGGTGGGGGTTGAGATGGGGAGTTGATGTCCGAGTGGATCGAGGTCACGATAGTTCAGGTGGTAGAGCAGCGGCGTATCTAGCCGAAGGTCGTGGGTTCGAATCCCTCTCGTGCCATTAACTTTTTTTCATTTCAACTAAAAACCTTAATTAATTTTGAACATTAATGAAATTATTACTTTTGAATTTGGGTTGAGTTTTACCTAACTATTGATTCCATTATGTCCAATGAGTGGTGATTAGTGACCGTTAATCGATATTTATTTAGAAATCGTGAGATGCGGTCTGGTGTGAAAACACAACCCGAACACCCTCTATTCTCTAAGACCCATAATTTCATTTGTAAACTCACCCACATATAACATGACAAAATACCTAATCAACGTACTCAACAACATCACAGATAACACATATAATGTAAAGGATTCATTTCATTTCATTAACAAAATTAATAATATCCACATTCCCTCACACTACTCTCTCATATCTCTAGATGTTTTATCTCTGTTCACCAACATCCCAACATAACACAACTCTATCAAAGAACACATTCATTACAATAATCCGACACTGCTGTGTTAACGGATATTTTACATACGACAATCAATTTTACAAACAACTATTTGGTATAGCCATGGGTAGCAACCTAGGCCCGATACTGGCAGACAATCATGACACATCTACTAAATACAGTCATACCACTACTTCCTTTCACATTTCCCTTCCTCACTAAATACGTAGATGATATATTGACAGCTGTTCCCACAGATCAAATTCAAACTACACTAGATACATTTAATAGCTTTCACCCACGCCTACAATTTACACATGAAATCGAAAACAACAAAACAATACCATTTTTAGATACACTCGTAATAAACCAACCAGATGGCACATTAATCACAGATTGGTATCAAAAACCAAGAAATACAGATCACTACCTCAACTTTACGTCTCACCGTCCTCTTCATACAATAATAAACACGGCCAAAGGGTTACTTCACAGAATGATTACCTTAAGCCATGAATCCTTCCACCACAAAAACATAAAGATATACAAACAGATCCTCCATAACAATCTCTACCCTATACACATAATTAACAGAATAATCAACAATTACAACTCAACACTAACACCATCCACTATTACTAATAGTACTTAAATTAGTATTAAATCTATCGAATACAAACAAACCAGCATACATTTCCATACCATTTATTCAAGGCCTATCACACAAATTAAACACATTTCTCTTGTCCGATAACTTCAAAATAGCTTTCAAAAATTATAAAACAATTCAAACACTTTTTTCCAAAATTAAAGATCCCACACCAACAACAAATAAATCTGACGTAATCTACAAGATCAACTGTTTAAACTGTCCGGCAACTTACATCGGTCTTAAATCCCAATGTCTGGACAAGAGAGTAAAGCAACATATCTATGATTGCAAAAAACCCAAGCAGAATCCTACAGCACTCGCTACCCACCATTTTGAACACCAACACAATTTCGACTTCAAAAATCCAAAAATATTACATACAGAACAAAACAAATATAAACATAATTTCTTAGAAATGGTTTATATCAACCGAGATAAACACAGCATCAATTACAGAACAGATACATGTAAACTCAGTCGCAGCTATGCCAATATCATTAATCACATTCAATACAGATAACATACCTATATCATCACATTACATTCCACACTTCAAATATTTTTCACATAGTCTAATTTCCCGACAATTCAGCTTTCCTTTTCCTATTTATCCCTTTCTACATAATCCTGAAAGGATAATCTGGCTGAACCATTACCAACACATTTTTCCCTTCGTCGGCTCTTTTCACCTCAAAGAAGCCGACGCCTTATACAAAAATGTCTTTTCTATACTGACATCCTTCCCCACCCCTTCAAAATCCAACTTATATAAACACAAAATAGCAAAATCTCACTGGCACTCTCGACACGACACGCAAGAATGGCATAATTACACAGAAGACAAACACTGAGTGAGTAGAAATACTTTGATTGAATATATAAAATATATTTTGCATTGTATAAATTCACTTTTCCACATCCAAAATGTAATTGTAATATGTAAACAATGTTTGTAAATCCCAGGCCCTGAAGATGATCTCAATAAAGATCGAAACGTTGGCACGATAAAGAAAATGTTTTTCTGAAACCTACATCACACCGCATCTCACGATTTCTGAATAATTATCGATTAACGGTCACTAATCACCACACACACGTATAAGATAGATGTAATTAATTTAGTGTATGCATGTAATATCGTGAAACATATCTATTTATATAGTTAGTATAATTTTACTTGTGAAAGGAATAACAAAATATAGTGATTGTAAAAAAATTGTTTTGTATTAACATTTTAAACGTGCATTTGTGTGCAATGAACATCCTTAACTTTTCAGACAAATCCAGAAGTAATCCCTTACACACTTCCCAGGCAGTCAAGATATTTCAAAAGGTATCGAAAACCAACAAAGCCAGCGAGGTATACAAAAAAATGATTGAAATTTTATAGAATTATCATTTTATGCACGTGCATTCTATTTTTACATTAAAACCAAATTTTCTAGATATTGCCCTCCTGCAAATTCTAGTGATGGAGATGTTGACTCCCTTGATGATAATGAAAATGATAATGGTGGATGTTGGTACACAATGGCCCAACATAAACTGAGACATAACCCACGTGTCAGGCATGAAACCAAATTATAGTTCCTAATTCATCATTCTATTTATGTACATGTTTTTATTTATGTTCAAAAGAAATAACAATTACAGCAATCATAAATTTTATCGATATGAATATAAGTAATTATAAAGAATAAACATCATTGTACAAAGAGGAAACAGGCCATTCTCTTTATAGATTCTCTACTTTATTTGTAAATACTCCACAGAGTTTCTATTTTTGTATATATTATACATATTTTATTTGTGTTATTATTATTTTAATATAAATACATTTGATAGTTTTATTACATTTTCAATATAATCCTCAGTAAAAATAAACTTAATACATACCAGCCGCTTTCCTGGTTGTTCTAATAAGTAAATAAAACCAAACAGTTTCCACTACAAATTAAAAAATGTCACAATTACTAAATACTTTACAAAAAGAATATAGAATAGTTTTCATATTTCAAATCCATTGCACAGTATTGGATAATCTAGATAGCCTGTTAATCTGTGGCAAAAGGCAAACGTCTGGATTTTCAATCCAGTCATTTACATTTATTTGACAACAGAACTAAATCATTTTCTCCCATTTTTAATTTTTTTCTTAATTTAATCCAGTAATTTTAGCATTACACAGTAAATCTACTTGGACTGTTTTATTTTTTACTGCTATAAATAAAACATGCAATGGGTAAAAGTTGAGGAAACGGTCAAGTGAGTGGCCACACATTTGAAGTCATGTTTCAACTGAAAAGAAATGCCTCATAACTTGAACAGAAGTCTAAACATGAACAACAAAACTTTGGATGTCAAATCACTGTTTGTGGATCACAATTGTTCCTGTGTTGCAACATGGCAAAAAATATATACAAATGAATAAATATTACAGTTTGTTTCAGAATTGTCAACTTAAATCCACCAAATATTATCATAAGACACTGGTTATAGATTCGATTTGATTTGGAATCAGTATTAACACAAAGCCATAAAAAATAAATTACTATAAAAATTTGTATCTCAACTCTTACCCATTACAGTAGTCTCACTAATCTGATCTAATTGGAACCAAGCCCTGTTCAGATTAACTGACTTATTTCCAAATTCAGAAGTATTTACACACTGGATCAAATAATATAAGATATATACATGATAATCTGGAAGTTTTGAAAAGCTGGACAAGGGTGAGAGTCCGTGTTCACTTTCAAAAAGCCACATGAACATTGTTGGGCCCATTTGCTGAGAACAGATGAATGATGGGAGACATTCGCTCGGTGAACTGGTGTTAAAATGATAAAGGGAAACTTACATTAAATTCTGCAGCTGAACCTTCTCAAATGTGGTAGCAGCTTCCACATAAACAAGTGGCTCTTTGTATGACTTACAAGTTTTGCATATTACTCTTTATTTTAGGACTATGTAGTCATATTTTTATTTAATTTGTTTTTTGGTTTTGTGGCCATTAGATTAAATAACATTTGATTGTATTTATAAGTAAATGTGTTGTTTTTGTTTATATACAGTTTTAATTTGTTCAGCTAGGCAATTGTGACTTGGCCGAGAAGTAAAGTTCAGACTGCTGAGTCATATCAAGGGGTCTAAGAAGTGATGATTGAAAGGTCATTTCATTTTTAACATTAATTTACACATGTACTAAAACTTTTATTACAACAGCAATATTTGTCATAAATTGCATCTAATACTAATATTTTACAAAATAAAGAAAAAATAATTCATGTTTGTCTACAAGTTAAGTAACTTAATAAGAATTACAAAAAACTTGTCTTTTTTATTGCAATTTGTTTCCAAATCCAAATAGAAACTGTCATAGTATTTACAATCATACTAAAAATTTTGTATGTAATAGAGCAACACAATATTTTCAGGACATGCCTTACTTTTTTCAATCCACTTTTTTAATTGATGACATACATATGGCTGAAAAAAAGGAAGTGTATTCTTTAATTTTAGTTAGTTAATTTTTAGTTAAATAATAATAATAATAAAATACTTACCAGAAATAAAGTGTAGTTCACATTATATTACACATTTTCCAAAATGGTTTGTTTCCTTCTGGCCAGTCATTTTCAAATTGAGAATCATCTATTCTATTGTTAATCATCGACAAATCATCTACGTTAACAACCATTGAATCATTGGGTGACACCTGTTGACTATTTGTAGATGTACAGTTTTCTTTATAATTCCAAAATCGAAAAGGAGAAGAAAAATAATTCCATCTGGAGCCTTCTGAAGACGTAGATTCTTTAATTTTCTTTTTATTAGGTGAGTCATTAATACTATAACTCGCTTTTCTTTTTGATGCTGGGTGTGGAGAAACAATACCCCTCAATGGCCTCCTCCCACTCATTTTAAAACCAGCACCATACTTACTCCTAGTGAAGTCAGGGGTTATTATTTCATTTGTCATTTTTGTGTTGTTTTCCTCCTTACAAAAAGAGTCATTCAACTTTTCAGACAATTGTGCTTTTGATGTGGGGCTCTCTCTTGATTCTTCAAGCAGGACTTGCACAATTCTTGTTTTATCGACTTTATCAGATTCCTTTACCTCTTTCTCTTTCTCCAGTTCAACCAATTCATCATCGTCACCAACTACATCAATATTTTCTTCTGTCTCTATAGATTCTCTTTCTTCATATTTCCTTCCATTCACTAATTCGCCATCAGTCTGCACATCTTTTTGACTTACTATTTCATCTTTTTCTTTACTTATAGTAGATTCAGTTCCATTACTCAATTCCTTATCACCATTTTCCTTTGGGCTCTCTCCATTTAGAACACCTTCAACTGTGGCTTTCAATTTTGAATCCTCTGTCCCAGATTCTGCTCTATTTTGGATATCAGTAGAGGCCATTTTTTATTTTAAATTGATGGTCAATTGCCTGAAACTATCATAACAATTATTTTGACTTTTTCAAGTAAAGTATAAGCCCATAAAATAATATTTCAATAAATAACAACCCAAATACTAACAAAACTATATTTTGATTTGGGTTCATAGATAAAACCTTACTAACAATATCCCATAATACAAACAATATCTCATAATTATATTAAATAGGTTTGTATGCTAATAATATTACTTATGAGATACACTGGAAACAAAACTTTTTTTCATCAAGGAAATTATTAAAACTGTACTGTAAATTATTGTCAATATATTTGGTGGGAAGGGATGTGGTCCAATGAATGTTGTATGTTGAAACTATGGCCAACTTTTGGCGTTTTATTTCACCTTCCTTAGGGCTCTACAACAGATAAACAAACATATAATTTTTATAATTACTCAGCTATGTAAGTGAAAAACAACAATCAACATATTTTTACAACTTACAGATTCTCAGTCAATATTTACAATTATTTTCTTTTATCAACATTATGAAACTTTTTGTCTTTTTTTATCATCTCTTATTTTTACTAAATATGTTTTTTTAAATTATTTATTAAAAATAATAAGGGATGGTAAAATGAGACAACAAATTTTATGCATATTGATAAAAGAAAATAATTTTAAATTTCGACTGTGTTATTTCACAATAAAGTTATAATTATTTTTTTAATATATATTGGTATGTACTAAAATATACTATATATATTTTTTAATATATGTAATACATATAGATATACATTAATAATGTATAAACAATGAAACAAATTATTATATACTGCAGTCGAATGCTCTACCACTGAGCTATACCCCCAGTTAATTATTATATACTTGTTAGTTTTGATTAAAAATAAAGAACTAATTTCATATTCATAAAACAACTATTCATGTCAAAAACGTTAATCTATTATATTTTTAATTGATTCTATTAACCAAAGTATTTAATTTAATTTTATGCAAAGTATAGTTGAGTTGAAAAATAATGCCCCGTTCATCACACTAAACAATTCTGTGATATATTTGGAGGTCATGACATTTTTTTTCCAGCAAACACCTTTTGAAAGATCATTGTCTATCTCTTTTTTAACAATAGCCATCAAACGAGTAACCCAAACAGACAATCCAATAGAAAGTTAAACAGAAGCCAAAAATGACATAATCCAATTTTCACAACAAAAAATGCATTCTTTGACCAAACACCACAGAATTCTGATTTTTTAAATTACTTTAAATGTTTGAATTTCATCATTAAAACATTAAAGTGCATTTTTAAACATGCAAGGTAGTTAAATATATTCTTTAGTATATGTTTTTCTCATTCCAACTGGATTTGACTCTCAACCCCTCACCGTACAAGTTTTTTTCTGAAGTATGTTCAAAAATTACCTTTTTTTAAATAACTAATTTATACTCTTTAAGACGTAACAGTTGTTATTTCAAATCTTTTTTAATTAATGTTTAATTATGTACCAAATTGGTGTCTCAAAAATGTTAAATTATTGAACGAGTTAACTCGAGCAAGTCAAAAAATACAAAATTTGCAATAAACCAATTAAAATATTTATTATTATTTACAAATGTAAAAAAGCATTTATAATATAATGTACAAGTAAATGAATATGGTCGGGAATAAATTTAGAAAAACACATTTTTTACTTTTTTTGCCGACATTTTGAGCTTTATTTGTTTATTTGCATTATGATGTTGCCACAGCTATGGCTGAGTTTGCATGTATCTATTCTGTAATTAATGTTGTGTATGCCTCTGTTGATGTAAACCATCACGACTGCAACAAATTATAACAACCAGTCACTAAAAAATAAAAATTTTAAAAAATATTACAGATGTTTTCACAGTAAATTACAAGATACAAATAAGTAGTAAGCAACTGAAAAGAATATGGATAAGAGACCTCTCGAATATTAATATCATATATTATTAATCCAGAGCTTTCTATATAATGACCTTAATGCCACAATCACAAATCAAAATCCAATTTGCTGGTTGTATATCACATATACAGTTATAGAAAAATAAATGAAGTAAAAAAATATCCATCTACAACTGCATATGTATGATATACAACGAGCAGATTGGATTTCAATTTATGATTGTGGCATTAGGGGTGTTATACATAAAGCTACCCACTGGCATCCGCTCTGGATTAATAAAATGATTTTAATCTTTATCCTTTTCAGTCGCTTATGTGGTAATTGTGGGGAGTTGAGTAATAGTATTTGTATGATTTTGTAATTTACTATGAAAATGTCTGTACTATGTTTTGATGGATGAAAAAACAGGTGGCATTTAAAGATCTTTGTGAAGATTGTTATGGTTTATGTTAAAAGGGGCAGAAACAATTAGTCTTAAAATCTCAACCTTGTAATCTTTGAAAATTGGAATAATTGTCCGATCCATAAATTTAGCACCCAGGTATGTGTATGTCGAAAGTTTTGATTTTTATAGTAATTTTGATTGTCAGTTGAGTAGGTAATAAAGCATTTTAAATAATTTGTCGAGTGTGTTTTTAATTGTATATGTGGATTCCAAGTAAGTCTTTTATCAAGTGTAAGTCCTAAATAGTTATCTTTGTCGGATTGAGGAACAAGTTCATTGTAAAGTGTATGCTAGGATAAGTCTTAAGGAAGAGTGTGTAACAAACAAATTGAAATGAACGTGAAGGTGGTGATGGACTTTGGAACTTGTGAGAGACAAAAGTGCAGAAAGGCTAAAAGGCAGAGGACAGGAGGCATTCCATTGGGAGACTGCGAACAAACCACCTCGAATGTAGCTGCTTCAACTTGGCTTGTGAAGAATCATCTTATGAAACATCAGGAAAACAGCATTCATCGTGTGAGTCTTTTCCTATTCCATATTTCCTTAATTTTATTCCTTGAAGATTGCGCACACATAAATATTATGAATTCATTTATTTTTAACAATAGTTTAAATACTTCTTAATTATATTTTAAGTTTTTTTAATATTGTTTCAAGAAGAATTGATTTTATTTTTTTGTAAAGATTTAAGTTTGAAGATTCATTTTAAAAGAAAGAAGAGTGTAAATATAATTTTGAAAAAATAAATAATTGGAGTGAATAAATTCTGTTTCCCTTACAGTGCCTTTTATTTTTAATTTTTTCCTTTTATTAAAATAATAGTAAATAGAAAATAAATGCAATTATTATTGTAATTGTTAAAATTGTATTTTAACGTTTTTCATAAAAAAAGACCCTAAAAGTCTAACAAAATCGGAAAGAAATTAACAAAAATGGCGCCCGAACAAAAGTAAAAGAAATTAACAAAAAATGGCACCCGAACAAAATTAAAACAAAATCGGAAAGAAATTAACATAAAATTGGAACAAATTTAAAACAAAATTATTAAACAAAAAATTATTACGCCAAATATCAAGATGTAAAACAAACAAAAACTAAATTAATAAATACAAATATATGTCGCTTAACTTAATATAAACTATATTTTAACCAAAAATAAAAATTTTTGGGGTTTACAAACACTTTAAATTATTGAAATTTCAACCTAATCACAAAAAACAATAATATTAAAAAATTAAATAATAAAAAATATTAACTGGGATTTGTTCACTTGTCTTCCAAAAAATAAATAAAAACGAAATTTGGAGTTAAATAAATAAAATAAAAGTTCCCTCTTGATTAACAACTATAATTTGGTAAAATGGATAATCCAAGTGAGGAGGAACAGAGAATTTGTAATGAAGAAGGTTTGGCACACATTACACAATTCCAAACACCTAATGCACATCTCGAACACAATAAACAACAATTAGAAGCAACACAAGCAATGCACAAGGAAACATTATCTTCCTTACTTCACAATTCACCAAAAAATATAAAAAGAGATATACAAGCTAACGTTAAAACTCTAGTGGACCAATACGAGAAAGCATTAAAACAAAAACTTCACGCTTTGAACAAAAAACAAAAAAATGCAGTTTTAAAAATTGATAAGGACGCTAATAATTCTACTAGAGCAAATGAAACTTTAAAAGAAAACGAAATATTTGAGGTAAAAGAAGCAATAAACTTTTCAATGCAACCTTTTTCACCTCACGCTGTTAAAGAAGGAGAAGACAGTCACCAAACAGATCAAATTAATGATAAAAAACCACTTTTTAAACATAATATTATACCATATTCAGTATAAAATAGGTTGCAAAATGTCCATAAGTTCAAGTTATATAATGCCGAAGCAGTTTTGAATTTTTTAATTGGTCTTCACCCAATAGCTGAGCGTTTTTTGATTTTGCCACAATTTTAAAGGCTTAGCAGACTTACACACAGGGGCAGCGGAAGCAACACTTTCAGCAGCCGCAGCACACCCAAATATTACATTTGAAATTTTACGTCGAAGTTTGTTACATTACCAAATAACCGAAAAACAATTACAAATTTTACATGCTAAATACTTTTTAAGAAACCAAACAGATGCAGAAACATTACGGAATTACATAAACAATAAAATTTTAATTGCTAAAATTTTGGGAGAGGATAATGAAACAAAATTAGTAGAAGCAATTATTGAAGGAATTCACCCTAAATTTCTTGCACTCTTAGGTTCAAAACCAGTTATCACTTCTTTAAGCGAATTATGGAATCAAGTTACGTACCTAGAAATGATCTTAGCAAATCGCACTATGGAACAAAATATTCCTATTGCAAAAAACCCAGATAGGACTTAGAAATTCCGAACTTTTCAGTACAATTTACTGGAGGATCTGCATGCGCAAACGTGCCAAATCCAGATCAGATTTTCCCAAGACAATTTAAATGCAATAGGCAACCCAATTACAACGAATTCAGATTAATCAAAATAGAAATTACAATTTCAATAAGCATGAATTTAATCATCAGGGAAATTTTAAACAAAATGTACCACAAAATAGAGGATAAAAAAATTTTTATCATTACAATCCAAATTCGAATAGTAATCAAAATCGATATAGTCCTTCAGAGCAAAGAAATTATTACAACAGAAATTACTCAAATCAAAAAAATACAGGCAATTATGTAAACGTTAGTCCAGTTCAATTTTCAAAAACACCAAATTATTCTTATAATAAGGCGAGATTTAATGAAAACAGAAATAAATTCAACCATCACGATAACTATCATAAACATAATAATAACAAAAACAATTCGCAGGAATATTACAACAAAAACAAATATAAATTATTTACACCTCAAAAGGAATATGGGTTGATGGGTGTTACTCCGGAATATCAGGAATCTATTAGCAATAACGGTGTACCAGATTTTTATAATAAAAAAAACTAGTAACGTTGGGGGGCATCAGAGGGATTTCTGAAAACTTTTCAAATTATTTTAAAGACGACCATATTAACAATTTTTTGGGATTTACAAAAGTTAAAATAAACCAAATCGATGCTATTGCCTTATTTGATTCTGGTGCAACAATTAATTCTATAAGTTTATCTTTATTTAAACGCATAATACAAACCATTAAAATAAAAAATTGTGATTTTAATTCAAAAAATACTATAATTACAATTAGCGGAAACAAAATAGAGCCATTTACAAAAATTAAATTAAGAATTCAAATAAAAGGTTTTTCGTGGAAGAAATTGTTTGTTGTCATCGACGGATTACCTGTGCCTTGTATCTTATCGTATTCATTTATGAAACAAATAAAAATCGAAATTATACCTTCTAAGGATCAATTCTATTTTGAATTCAATAAAAAAAAATACTATTCCTTTTTACCACATTATAACTTCCTTATAAATAATTTCAAAAATTTAAACGCTACAGTAATTAATAATAAAGACTTAAATACAAATGAAAATTATGATAAAGATCTGCATAAACTAATAGCCCATTTTCAAAAAAAAATATCTGAATGTTTTAACTACAGAATTAGGCAGAACCACAATAATGAAAATAAATTTGGAAACAATATCAAACAAGATTGTTCATTCGCCTGCCTATCCTCTTAACCCACCACAACTACAAATTATGAAGGAAATCATTAATGATCTTTTAAAAAAGGGAGTTATTTCTAAAAGTTTTAGCCCATATGCTTCTCCTGCCTTTCTAGTTCCGAAACCTGACAAAAAATCTTACCGATTAGTGATCAACTACAAAAAAATTAATGAAATTATAAAATATGTTGACTATCCCTTACCAACTATTAATTCTGTATGCGACTTTTTACGGGAGGCTAATTATTTTTCAATAATCAATTTAAATCAGTCATTTCATCAAATACCCTTAAACAAAAATACCGCTGAATTAACGTCATTCGTCGTACCATTTGGAAAATACCAGTATAATTTTCTTCCATTTGGCATGAGAGCAGGAAGCGGATATTTATCTATGCTCATTGATGAGATTTTCAGGGAAGAAAAATTTAAATTTATTTGGTAATTTGTGGACGACTTATTAATTTATACAAAAGGAAATTTGTCAGATCATAAAAATGTATTAGACTATGTATTTAATAAAATGAGACACACTAACTTAACTGGGAACCCCACAAAAATGCAATTAGCAAAAAGTAAAATTAAATTTATGGGTCACATAATTTCAAAAAATTCTGTCCAAATCGATCCCGATAGAGTAAGCGCTATATTAAAAACTCCCAAACCTAAAACAACTGGCAAGCTTTATTGGCTCCATATCATACTATTCAAAATATTTACCATCAATATCAGATATTTTATCACCTTTGAATGAATTAAAAAGAAAATCTACAAAATTACAATGGGGAGATTCACAACAAAAAAGCTTTGATGAAGCAAAGAAATTATTGACAACTGCACCAATATTGCAAATGCCCGATTTTTCAAAAGAATTTGTATTGTCATGCGTTGCATCTCAAACTGGAATAGGAGCATTTTTAGGTCAATATCAAGATAATATTTTACTTTCAATCGCATATTATTCTCGAAAACTGTAAAAATCCCAATTAGCATACAATGTCTGCGAAAAAGAATTGATAGCTATAATTTCCGGTATCGAACATTTTTCTCAGTATTTGCATTTCAAACAATTTTCATTAAGAACCGATTGTGTGGCTTTAACTTGGTTAATTAATAATCCCAAATTAACGGGAAAATTAAATCGTTGGTTGAGTTTGTTGCAAGGGTACGATTTTAAAATTTCACATGTACCAGGAAAAAACAACCAAATCGCTAATTTGCTTTCACATCAAGTTGCAAAAGATGCTCCTTCATTGGAAAAAACAAGCACGGAATTTGAAAAAAGAATTTTAAAATGTTGGCCTGGTTTAGTTTTATTAAAATTTCCTGAACTCTTTGAAAATCTAGAAAATTATCAAATGAAAGATGAAATATTAAGTCCAATAATAAAAAAATTACAACAAAAGATAAAAATAGAAAATTATCTATTAAAGGGTAAAATTTTGTATTATAAAAGTAAAAAAATGCCAGCACCGAAAGTTGTACTTCCGCAAATTTTGTATACGGTTATTTTTACGTATTTCCATGATAGTGAAATTGGAGCTCATCTTGGATTTAGAAAAACTTTGCAACGCATAAGACAATATTTTACTTATAAAGAAATGACTAGGGACATAAAAAATAGAATAAAAGCGTGCGTGATTTGTGCAAAAATCAAACCCCTCAATACAAATATGAAACAGAATAGAATCAAACATATACGCAAAACAACCATTCAAAAAACTTTACATAGACTTAATAGGTCCTTTACCCAGAGGGAATATAACAAAGGCACAGTACATTTTAATCGGCGTTGACGCCTTCTCCAAATTTATTTTCGCCAAACCTTTATACAATGCAACAACCATTTCAGTCATAAACGCATTAAAACTCGATGTTTTTTCATCCTTTGGAATTTCAAAAATTATAGTGTCTGATCAAGCAGCAATATTTAGATCCCGTTTATATAAAAACTTTTGCTTTTCTCTTGGAATCACTTACTACCTAAACATACCATACTACCCTCAAGCTAATGCCGCAGAACGTACAATCAGAACCCTAAAAATTTGTATATCAGCATATTGCAGTGATGATCAAAAAAATTGGGACAAAAATTTACATCTTTATTTAATTGCTTTAAACAATTCTGTACATTCTTCAATGGGATATTCTCCCGCCTTGTTATTTTTGGGAAGACAAATGAATCACCCACTAAATTTTAAATTTACATTAGACGAATCCATTAATCACATAACAGACAAAAATAAAATGATAGAAATGTGGACTAATGCATTAAAAAATTTACAAAATGCACATTATATTGCTTCACAGAACTTTAATAAAAATGCAAAAAATGTAGAATTTAAAGTAGGCAATTTCATCATGTATAAAACATATCATTTATCAAGTAAATTGCACCAAAAAAATGCCAAATTAATGCCGAAATTTTCAGGCCCATATGAAATCATAAACGTACGTTCTAGAGTTTCCTATATAATAAAATCAGTCGAGGATTGCAAAGTTGCACATGATAAAATAATTGTGGCACATATCTCACAATTAAAATACTGTGATCCTGAAGTAGTAAAAAAATTAAAAAATACTTAAATAAAAGTTTTAAACATTATAAATAATTGGCACTTAACAAAAAAGTATAAATAAGTTATAATAAATAGATTTTGAATTTAGTAAATTTGTTAATAAGGTATACATAAAATTTAATAAATTAATTGTACACCCAGCACCAAATTATGTAACATAGTGCAACAGGGGTTTGTTTAAAAATAAGAAACCAACAATAATTTTCTGTAAATATAATAATATGTACATATCTAGTGTATTAAATTCATAAAATTTTAGTTTATATTAAGAATACAAGATAATATTTTTATTTTTATTTCTGTAGGGTCAAAAAGAAAACACTGGGGTACTCCTTTCTTCTCCTGTCCTACTACCTATCCGATTACCATCTGGAAGGAACTCAAAACAGTCTACATCTGCATCCACAGCACATAGTACAATCTTCATCTTCAACAACCAGTTATGCATCTCGCAGACCAATTATGTGCTCCCACAGACTTCGTCATGTATGTTCGCACATTTTTTGGGGTTTACAAATTTTGTAACAAACAAATTGAAATGAACGTGAAGGAGGTGATGGACTTTGGAACTCGTGAGAGACAAAAGTGCAGAAAGGCTAAAAGGTGGAGGACAGGAGGCATTCCATTGGGAGACTGTGAACAAACCACCTCGAATGTAGCTGCTTCAACTTGGCTTGTGAAGAATCATCTTATGAGAAAACATCAGGAAAACAGCAATCATCGTGTGAGTCTTTTCCTATTCCATATTTCCTTAATTTTATTCCTTGGGGATTGCGCATACATAAATATTATGAATTCATTTATTTTTAACAATAGTTTAAATACTTCTTAATTATATTTTAAGTTTTTTTTTAATATTGATTCAAGAAGAAATGATTTTATTTTTTTGTAAAGATTTAAGTTAGAAGATTCATTTTAAAAGAAGGAAGAGTGTAAATATAATTTTGAAAAAAGAAATAATTGGAGTGAATAAATTCTGTTTCCCTTACAGTGCCTTTTATTTTTAATTTTTTCCTTTTATTAAAATAATAGTAAATAGAAAATAAATGCAATTATTATTGTAATTGTTAAAATTGTATTTTAACATTTTTCATAAAAAAAGACCCTAAAAGTCTAACAAGTGTAAAGGTGATATGTTGTGATTTTGAGGGGATAAACTTTATTTTCCAAAGATTTCTCCATTTTTTAATTGTTGATATGTGGTTCTGTAACATAAGTGAAGCTTGAGTAGAAGAGGGATGGTTAATACGGCTGTGTCATCTGCATATGTGGCAGTAAGTGCCTTCTCATTTGTGGGCATATTAGAAGTAAAAATTGTGAACAACAGCGGAGCAAGTATTGACACCTGCAAGCACTTCTTCCATATTAGAAGTCTCTGATTCTGGGTTTACTGCGAAAATTTCTCCTTAAGGTATGATTGTAATCACATAATAGACTAGGTAAAAATAATTTTAATTCATATAATATTCCCTTATGCCGTACATTGTCGAAGGGCTGAGAAACATATGGAAACACTCTAGTTGCATACAGTTTCTGCTCGAAACATGAAGTGATGAAATCTCTAATGCTGTAAAGTTTATGAGTAGTGGAATGGTGGGTTCGAAAACCAAATTGATGGTCTGGTGAAATGTTGTTTGAAGTAGCAGTAGAGATAATTCTTTTGTAAATTAATTTTTCGATTAACTAATAGGGCAATAAGACGATGGGAAACCAATTTTTTTGAGGCTTTGGGATCATTTTAATGTAAGAAAGTTTCCATTGGAAGTGTGAAGTTCTTAATATTGCTTTAAATAAAGAAGTCAGAAAGACAGACTTTTTGAAAAATTAAAAAAAAATAATTTTTAAAAAAGGTTTTTAAAAAAATTTATTAGTAGCAAAGATTGTGTTTGCCAAAATCTACCAGCAGTAGGGTGTACTAAAAGAGCCTCGCAGGTAATTGTAAATAACTAAACTACTCAAAAATGAATAGGTTATTGCCAATTTTATAGTATTGACCTACCCTAGCATTTTCATTTTACTTTTATTATAAATTGCCATAAAATTTATTAAAAATTATTGTTTTTTACTGAACAAAAATTTACATTAAGGAATTTTGACAAACAACAGAATAAAATGTTTTAATTCCATAATTTTGTTTATTGAACACAATGTAAACAATTAATATTGTGTATAGTCCTCTGTTAGCTAAAATCTCTGTGCACCTGTTAGGTATACTGTTAAAAGATTGTCACTAATTTCAAAAGGAATTTCACTACATAGATCTTGCAACGCAGCACTCAGTTGTTGCAGGTCAACTGGATGCTAATGGTTGAAAAACCTTCCCTGCAACGCATCCCACATGTGCTCAATGGAACTGAAGTCTAGAGACAATGGGACAGAAACGCGACTCATCAGTAAACTTAACAGCATTCCAATTGGTGTTCTCTTCAAGGTGCTCACTGGCGGTGGGCTGATGCTGCAGGTCGTCTCAAAGGGGCATAAGATGTGAAGCCAACCTACATAAAGGCCTGCCAAAACAGCTTCTACTTCATTTAGGATCTGGTGGGCACTATGGAAAGTGTTATATCTTGCAGCAATGACAATATTTCTCATTTCTGCCCTCCCTTAGCATCGTAATGTGCTGAGATCCACTACTATCCTTTTTGCATTTCCAGTCTCTCGGAGCCGGGATAAAGCACGGGAGACTATACTCTAAAATACCGCCAACTGCCTCTGTGATATCTACTTTCCAGTGACCTCGATGACTCATTCTTACAATAATATTACGAACTTCTGGTTCAAGATGTCTTTCCATTGTTAAAGAGAATACAACTGGATTAAAATGGAGAAAAGACGAAAAAAGGAGTTGGTTTACAAAATGAGTACACCTCGAGTTTACTATTCTTAAGTAAATCCGTTAATAAAAATTAGAATTAACTAATTTTTTTGTTTTGGGATTTTTTTTTAATCCAACGAACAAGAATATAACAGTTAATTTAATTAAAATTAATAGAATAAGAATAAATTACAAATATCCCTATTCATTTTTGAGCAGTTAACTACTAGCCGAGATAAAATCCAGAGTTGGCGTCGGTTGCTGCAGCGGTTAGGCGTTGACACGGCGCCCATCACTGGAGGGTCCTTGGTTCGAATCCAGCGGCCCAGGCAAACAAACGGGCTTTTTTCAAAAACACCGCCCATCCCGAGGGTTCATATAACCTCGTAGCCGAAATATCCTCGTAAAAAAATCCAGATTTAAGAAAAAAAAATTGTCTGAATTAACTCGGGATAATAACTGAAAATTGCATTCTTTAAAACGAATTATATCGTGACGGTAAAGTAAACTCATGGTTAAACCATGTAAACGATATTTCCATTTAAAAATAAATGTAAAAAAAAAAAGTGTAAAGATAATTATAGATCTCAATTTAATCTTATCTCTGCAAATAAAAATTTAATTTAACTAAGAAAAAGTAATTTAAAAACTGATATTTGAAGAGTAAGACAACTACGGTCGGAGGATTTTAAAATTCCATCTAAAAATGAACGATTGTTTTCCACATAATTTAATTTATTATATACATATAAGTTAGTCTTCGTTATTTTACGAGGTAATTAAATAAAAAAATGAATTTTGTTTAACTATTAGTCCTTGAATATTAAAATATAACAACTGAGGTCAATGGCCTAAAGGAACAGTTTAAGAAGAAAAGGAATAAAGACAATTGTGAAAAATAACGTACCTTTTTAAATACGAAGGTTTCTAACCAAACACAACAAACTAGCCACTACTAATCACAAACCGTATCCGTTTATCTTATATTAAACTTGAATAGCATTTTGCTAAACATACCCTTATTTCATTCGGACGAAATGAAAGAAGTATTATAAATATTTTCGTCGAGCCTAACGCTCGTCTAAAAAAAAAAGTAGAAAAGAACTAAAATGAAAATTTAAGCAGAGCTCTTAGAAATCCGTAAACTTGTTTATATGTGTAAATGCATGTATACACCCGCGCGCGCGAGATCATACAAAACTACAATAATTACGTAATTCGTAAACAGATGAAAAGGACCCGACACTAGGCTCTAGATATGTAAATATCGAGTTTTGAGTGTGACTAGTGAGTACAAGCCAGTGCTGGCAACATAGTACATACCACTCAAGCGGCAAGCGCAAGATTCTTGTACGAACATTTGGAAAAACGTTGGCCACGGTCAAGGCCAGACACGAAAATTGATAACAAAATGTTATAAACATACAATTAATTTTTATTAAATACAATTTTTCATTTCAAACTAATTAATCAAATAAAAATTGGAAAGGACAATTTCCTTTAATTAAATTGAAAAAAAAAATAGAAAAAATATGATATCAAAGTTCTAACGCCCTACTGTTACACATGTTCACAATGAATATAATCGATTTCTATCAATAATAATCAATAACCTCCATAAAATGTTTATTTTTGATTATAGATTATCCAGAAGATAAAACGATAAAATATAACAAGTAAATAATGGCTAATGATTCAAAATTAACGAGAAAGGAAAGAAATTTAAGAGCTCAACTAAATAATGAAGAAAACAATCCCTGTTACAAGGTATGATGGTAGATAATCATTATATTACTTTCTTTATTATTTTGTAATCATTTTTAAAATTATTTTAATGTAAATAAAAAATGTAAAAGTGTATTTTGTTGTAAGCATGGACAAACAACTGGGAAGAAGGTCTGGATTTTTTAAATGAATTGTTTTAAACATTTTTTGATGTTATTTTGTGTTTTATTCACATTGTTATCAATTAAAGATAACTAACGGACAAAAGCCAATAAAATAGCCCACACCGTCATGTCAGTTGATTCAATTTGAAGAAAAAATGAATTGTGTTGGATGCGAGAAACTAGCAACTCTTTCACATCATTTGATAAATCGAGTATCCATCTATTGACAGTAATGTTTGATAATGGCAATATAAGTTTTACTGCTTTTTCTTCAAGCATAACAGATACAATATCATTACATTACAAATACATACATTCATTCTCAACACAAACTAGGTATACACAACTATTATTACTATAAACAAAAATCAACCCCATTTCCACCAAGAATCAAAACAGGGGACCCAAATACTCACTGCCATGCTCAAGCACAGTTCTCAAATCGGTAGGCATTCCTGCGACCTTTCTGCTTGAAGTCAAGGAATTGCACTGTTCCATTAGGTGGGACACAACGAGCAACCTTTCTCTGCATCTCAGATATATACACGGGTTTGGCTCAAAAGTAAATATCCTAGTGTCAACCTTGTATGGCCCAATCTTAATCGGGTGAGAATGACTGTTCTTCTTGAGTCATATCCTCCGAGAGCCATCCATCAACCGTGCTCTTGCTATGTGGGAGCTTGTCTGTCGACCTCCCATTGATGCTGCCACCCAATTTAGAAATTGTATTACTTGCATATTATTGCCTTTTTTTATTTATTTTATTGATATACATTAATTGATGGTTTTCTTTCTAGGAACATGTTTTCTCTCTTAATTGTTTGGCACAAAACAACTACAATGGAGAAGTTTGCCAAAATCATTTTGCAAACTACCGAACCTGTAGAACATTTTGGGTATGTATTTAAACATAACTCTTTTACAATAATTCAGGTGCACCTAATTTATTAAATGTCAATCAAGAGTAAATGTTGGATTGTGAAGATAAATACATGCAAATCCAACTTATAGAATTTATTTAGAAGGATCCAAGTATGAATGAGGCCATGTTACCTTCAAATAGTCATCTACTATGTATGATATGAGGTATTTGCTTGGACTGGACAACTGACATGGAGTCCCACATCTTTGACATCCTCAACATATCTAGACACAGACGCCACAAGCTTATTGCTTTATTTTTTAATAGATACTTTAGTGACTGGGAGTTTTAATGGAGCCCATGGTTGAGGCCAGGACTGAGTAAGCCGTTGGTCAAGGTCCGTGACTATGTAAGCCATTCGTTGAGGTCCGGAGCTGTGGATAGAGTGATTCAGTTGACTTGTGCAGTGGGAAAAGGGACTCAGGCAGCATTTGACCGGTAGCCAAGTCAGGTGTGTTGAGATGGTAAGGTTGCAGATGCTGCGGGTGCCCTTGCTGTTGTGCTGATGTTTTCGGTATTGCATTAGCGTTTTTTTTTTTTTTTGTTCTTCTTTTCTTTTTTTAAGGTTTATTTATTCATGCTTCACAAACAGCATTATATGGAATTATATGCACATTTTACATTTGAATGTGTAGTGTATGAGAGACAATTAGTTTTAGTTTAATTTAAAGTTGTAGAAAAAGTGTATTGACTGGGAGGGAAGAAATGTGAGACAGACGGATCCCATTTCGTGCGACGGACGTTGATTCAGTCTTGTTCTAATGCTGGGAAGAAGATGATCGCGGCCGTCTGGCTGATACTGGGTGAGTGTCTTGTGTTTTGTCCCTCTCAGGATGAGTAGTTTAGGCAATCCTGTCTTCGTAGAATAGTTTGGGGAATTGAAATATCTGTACATAGGAACCCAAACCTTTGCTGTAAGTTCATGTGTAATTCTGGAACCTGCACTTGTCTGGAAGTCCCGTATACCATTATCGTATAATAGACAAGAAATAGAATTCATTTATGTAATTTCGCTAAGGATAATAAAATGTTAGTATAGTAAGTAGTAGTTAATTGTTTTCCAAGGGCCAACCTAACAGAATGTTACAATACATTGTCAATTTTGAAAACTACTTACCAATGATTTCACGATTTTATACATCACATGTCGGGTTATTGTTTCTATAGAAAGTTGAATATTTATTTATGAGTTTGCTAAAATATGGTCAATATTCCTTCTTCAGGAGCCAGGTTTTTGCCGGAAGGCACTGTAGAACCTGCGTCGCCATCCGCTTTATCAATGGTAGCCTGGCTTGTTGGGCGTCTCGCATTCCATCAGTAGTTGGTCCACTGTCTGCACTGAGTTTGTCCACAAGGACAAATGAGGCTGTTGATGATGTTTAGTCATTGCAGATACTCTGCCATTCTTCGATCTCCTGTCAGCTTATCTTTCATTTTTAAGTTGCTGACTCTAAGCTGTGAAGAGATACTTGGAAAGACCTCTTTTGTGACTTTCCCTTATTAAGTTCTTCCACAAGTCTTCCCAGACTTCCAGACTGTATTCTCTTATCTTCCTTCTTTGTATAAAAGAGAGGTCGACCTTCATTTCAGGATGCATCCATTGCCATCTGTTCACCAAGTTTATTTCCCTCAATCCAATGTGTGCTGTGACACACGTGAACGTAACAGTATGGCTTAACTCCTCTTCTCAGTGTTATTTTTTCCATCAGAGGCATATATGTATCTGAGGAGTAAGGATTCCAAAGTGACTTCGCTATTAGTGACTCTCTCGTTAGTAAGACAGTCGGGGAGACGAGTATCAAGGCATTAGGTGAGAGTTCATAGAGTAAATAAGTCTGAGGTCAGCAGGGCAGTTCTTCTGCTTATATATGGGAGGCTCCACACTGATAGGCTGGAATGGAACAGGGCCATTCCAGAACTGCATGTGATCACCACAGATACAAATCAGGCTTTCTATGACGCGTTTTGAGCGCTTGTGTAAAACAGGCCTTAGGTGTCAAAAGATTGATTTACACCACCATCATCGGTCCAGTAATAATAATATTTAACAACAACTAAAAGAAATGTATACAAAACAAAGTACACATGATAAATACCGTCTGACGGAAGTTGATGTTGCATCACTACACCAACAAAAATATAAGAATGAAATATGTAATTGAAAATTAAAAGGTAGAAAACTTTTAAGAATACATGAAGAAGAACAAAATTAAAAACAGGCAAAAAAAACTATTAATTATAATTACGATAAGACCAAGGTTGCCGCGCGTATCTGATCAGTGCTAAGTAATTCTACATCTTGCAGAAACCACCCATTGCCAGGGGCTCTAGGTATTCAATAAAAAAAAAAGGCCAATTTCCATTTGTTCGGGTGCGTCTCCGTCACCGAAGCACCTGATTTGCGACGTACATTGTACCCCTGTATCTACAACCCCTATCTTCTGGAAATCCACCAGTCATAATACACTTCCCTCCTTTTTCCTCAAAAACCCATCCCTTCCAGCCCTCTCGGACGAACACATGTCCTTTCGCCCTATCTCCTCCCCAAAGTGTTGCGCCATAGTAATTCACCTCCGTGTAAAATCGCCGTTACTTAGTTTCCGGAATCTTCACGGATTCCCCTTCTAATCGCCATATGATCTCCACCTCCGCGTCCATTTCATCTCCCGACCGCATCACCCCAAACCTATGTATGAACCTATACGCCGTAACCTTTTTCCCTTAATATCTCATTTTCCATTTTCCATCTATCATCATTATAATCCCACGAACGAATCATCCATCAATATCCACCGAAGACTCCATCATCTCACTGGCTACTACCTAGATTGCATTGTCTCATTCTCTTTGCCATTGGATTTCATCATCTTGTAAGCCATAGAAATTTCATTAAACAGTGAGTCTTCAATTACTCCTTTCGTTCATTATTTATTCCTTCATCTAACCATTCCTAAACTAACATCCCCTATTCAATCGGGAATCTTCCATTCCCGTTGGTGCCAAAACAATCTTCTTATTAACTTCAACCCCTCCCTCCAGCGGTGTTCGTCGGCGCATTTTGAATTTGGCTGCTGGCGATCACCATTTAAAGACTGCAAGGTTATTATTAAAGTTATATTTATTATATTATGCTACATTGTGTTATTCATTTTGTTCTTTGTAATCCTTTATAGCAGGTTAAATTGTGTAAACTATTAATTAATCTTTATGTAAGGTAGAAATAAAAAAGCCAGTGTCACGAGTGGGATTTGAACCCATGACCTTCGGCTAAATACGTTGCTCTACTACTTGAGCTATCATGATTTCGATCCACTCGGACACAAACTTCCTATCTCAACCTGTTTGTAAACTATGTTAACTTGGGTCTGTTAATGGGCAGTGGCCCACAATATGTTTGAAAATAAAAATTGTTTATTTAGGATAACCATAATGTATTAATATATACAATAAAATAATAACTTTGCCAGTGGTAATTTTGTAATCAACAACTACTGAGAAGCAATTATTGTTGCTACTAGCAACAAGTTGTTTATTTTTTTATTTTACGTTGCAGTAGATCATGCTTCATGATCCTAGATAAAAGTGATTTGTCAAATAGTTATCTAAACTGCAATAATAATAATAATTGCTTTATTAAAACAAAAAAAATTTCTTTAAATTAAAGAACAAAAGCTTTATGGACATGGATCATCTGATGCGCCTGCCAGTGGTCATTGGTTTACAAATATGTTTAGAGAAGAGAGAAAGAAGAAAAGTAAAAATATAAAAAAAAAAATGCAAAGTATAATAACAATGAAAGAATAAAACTTAAAAATTAATTCTTGCATCAATTCGTATCTGTAGCTTCAATGATGTTTAGCATACCGAATCAAACACTGAGAATTTGAGCCATTCAAGAACTGCAATAGCTCACTTCTTGGGAGAGTAAAACAACCAAGGACCTCACCCAAAATCGAGCACTCTTCCAAAAAGTGAAACACAGTCTCGACGATTATGAGAATTGCAAAGGGAGCATATACCACAGTTGCCCCTATTCCATACAGTGGAATTTACAGTAAAACCTAACATCCCAGCTTAAACGCCCATCATAGTTCATGCGTGGAAAGACAGTCAAAATTTGGCTTCTGGAAATCAAACATGGGTGAGCCATCAACTCATCCTGAATAAATGGTTCTGTGTCCAGAGTCGTCACTACATTATTAAATTATCATCTGAAGTAGTTACAGAGAAACAATGGGGGAAGATGGTCTGAAAATGGTTCGGATAGCACCTCGAAGTCTTCAATCAAATGTACACATTGTTACAGAACACAGCAGAGACCATTCACAGATGAGCCCATACTCCCAACAAAAGCAGATTCACCTTTGAAGTCAGGGAAATCTAGATCATTTACAATAATCAAATCAAGATCATCACACTGTCTAAAAACATTCTACCTGATTCATTGATAACTTTGATTACCTATACCATCTATGTGTGTAGAGATTAATGACCGTTAATCGATAGTTATTCAAATATCGTGAGATGCGGTCGGGCACCCCTCAGGCATCTCACGATATCTGAATAACTATACCATCTACATTTATAATTAACAAAAAGTTCCTTTGGAATTATTTGGGAAAATCCTAGGCTCACATCACAGCCAACAACCAACATTATCATGTTATTATTTTCATTCAGAAAAATGTTTAATTTACAAAAATCCTTGGCCTAGGTATTACAGTTTAGTAATAAGTTGGCAACATAATTAACCTCAGATATCCTAAAAATTTGAAAAATATATAGTTTGTCTTTTGTCAAGTAAAAGCTGAATAAATCCCTTTACGTGTGGTGTTTAGTGACAGTTACTTAATGGTTATATTAGCCAATTGCTGTAAAATTGGCTTCATGCTGTTGATGTAATAAATAAATTATTTTTCTATTGATGTTTTTGAAACATTTTCTGTCTCCCTTACTGGAAATAAGTTCTATTAGAATTAATAATTAATAACACTGATGAAAACATTTTAAGAACACTTGTTTAACAAACAACAGCAATTCTCACTGTTATTAACTGCGGTCTTAAAAATATTGGAATTAAGTGTGCCACCGAAAATACTGTGTAATTAAACTAAATACTTTAATTTTATTTACAGCATGCTGTCATAAGGAAAAGGCGTAATGAGGGAATTGAGCCACATTTGCCACCCTTAGAAGAACGACAGACGATAAAAGACAATTTTTTAAAGAAGGGGGCTTTATGATGCTTTTTAAAAATATATATCGGCCTTTTTATTCTATAATTTTATTATTTTATTTTAAATATTACTGTTGATTTGTACAAAAAATAAGTAACATGAATAAAACACTATTTTATTACTATTTTAGCTTTGTTTGTAAATAAATATATTAATGAACTGGTTTTATTCCAGTTGTTCAATTTCCTTGTGAGGCTGAAATGGGTTTTAACATCACAAGTTTTACACCAGATAGATAACTCTTTAGTCACCTCCAATACTAGTTCATGTTATCTTCCTTCGTGTTACTAAAGTAGTTTCAACTATGTTAAGGTGTACTGGGGCCAAATATAATGACCCATGCTGTAGGATGACCTTGTGTCATAAGTAAATGATGGGGGGGCCTTCGTACCCGCTCTGAACTATACCACTGATGATGGACAATTTTATTACATTGTAGTCTTACACTAAAATATAGCATGTGTCAGTGAATGTATCTATTAGCAGGAATATGAAGTATTCCGTTGTGGGATTGCGGAGCCAAGTGGTTAGTGTGACTCAGCATGGTCGTGGGCTGGATTTTAAGACTCCCCTGTTATCAGTGCCCCCAGATTAGTTGCTTAGTTTTTTCAACAGTACATTACAGTTATGAGGACAATGCCCAATGGGTGATAACCAAGGTACAATCAAAAGTAGCAACAACACCAGGGTAAGTGTAATTTTCATATTAACAATTTATAATTATGTATAAATTATAATTAAAATAATATATACTATTATAATATTAATAATTTGTGTTATAGTTTATATAATATATAAATAACTTATGAAATTGACATTTGACCACTTTCCAAAAGTACGAACCTTACAATTTTACTTTTTATAAAAAGTTTATTATTTATTTACAAAAATAAAATATATTGATATATTATTTACATAGATTCTTACATCCAAATGAAAACAATATGAATTAATTGCAGAATAGCTAAATCTGTGGCTGTGGTTCTGGTGGATCATCGCTGCTTTTAGAGGAGCCTTCACCAATCTCCTTTTTCTGGCGTTTTTTTTCTTTCCTCTTATGGTTCAAAAATTTTTCCCAGTGCTTGTGATTAAGAGATGAAAAGTCATTGATTGGTGCAATTGCCTCTAAATACCTGTGAATAGATTGATGAATAAATAATAGACATATGTACATCTGAAAAATACGTATATAAGGGACTGAATGACTATGGTGTTCAACTCATATTTGCTAGTGATTCTTGGTTTGTATCCTGGCAGAGCCCATACATTTTTAATTTAAAATAAATTGAATAATTGAAATACAATGATAAATATTAAAAATATATTTAAATTATATGCACAGCAAAACAACATACTCCAGTGTAGGAGTTCAGACCTTAGCCATTAAAGGTTAATCACCCTAGTTGCTTGCCCCAATTGGTGTTCCAAATTCTAAATTGCCTGATATAAGATAACAGGCCAATCAAGTAATCAAAAATAAGCAAGTTATAATAATGAAGTTTTGATCAAGGCAGAGCTATTACAAAGCACTTAGCAGTAGATTTGGTAATTGTAAAGAACAAATGACAAAATCATAGAAAATTGAACTTTATGTATTGAGATCCTTTGAAAAATTGTAAAGCTAGGAATTTTAAAGTTGTTGGCGTTTGTCAAGGTTGCTTCTCATCACTGATTTATAAGACAAAATTTTGAATCGAAAGTAACAGTTGTTGGAAACAACTCAAAATAAATTTGTCTACTGCTGTAAGAGGGTTGGTGAGGTGAAAGATGTTTTTGTAATTATTTGACATCTTGAAATATCTTCAGGAAGTATTGTTTTCACTTTAGAGGCATGCTGGTATTACAGTTTACTACCACAAGTGTTAAGTTGGCATAATATATGATAAGTATCTAGTTGTGCCCTCCAATGGGGAATATTTCGAGCAATATGTTCAGAACAAATTTTAAAAAAAGATTCCTCTAATAAGTCTGTGAGGTGATGAAAGGATAATTTGGTTGTTACCCACCATCCTGGTCTGCCTATCCTCAGTTGTGTGTCAGACATATTTCAGCATTTCACCATCTTAACACAGATCTAACACTGAAGATAGCGCAATGCCGAAACATATTAGTTCGGAGAAGATAGGCAGATCAGGAAGATCAGTAACAACCAAATAATAGATTAAAAAATTATTAATAAAACAGTTATTCAGATATCGTGAGATGCAGTCGGGTGTGATGTAGGTTTCAGAAAAACATTGTCTTTATCGTGCCAACGTTTCGATCTTTTATTGAGCCCTGAAGATGATCTCAATAAAAGATCGAAACGTTGGCACGATAAAGAAAATGTTTTTCTGAAACCTACATCACACCCGACCGCATCTCACGATATCTGAATAACTATCGATTAACAGTCACTAATCTCTACACATTAATAAAACATTTATGGAGGAAGTTTTATCTAGTATGAATTACTACTAAAGGGGACTGCGGTAGAAGACTAGTAAGCCTAATTGACTTTCAGTTTGGAGACCATCGCAGTCGTGGATTCGATTCCCATTGTCACCCCTGTCCTTTTTTTTTAACATTACTCTTCCTCCAATAAATAAATATGATATATTTACGAACGACAATACTCTGGCTGGACAAGAACATAAGAAGTTAATTTATTATTATTATTATTTAAAAAAATTTTAAGTACTGCGGCAAATTTCAAATATAAGCTGACAAGGGAAACTTTGAGGTCTGATTGGCCATATCTTAACAAAGCAATAGGTTATATAGATGCCGACCTCTTTATAAACTGTGCACCACAACCAGTATTGGTACGACCAGTATACTTTATTGTGCATTGCAATGCAATATATGCCAGTGAAAGAGCCCTCAAGAGGGCGCCCATACAGACGAGGAAAGGGTTTGAGCCTCGAAACACCTTTTAACTTTGTTCACATCAAGCAGTTTTACTTTTGTTATTAAATTGTTGATTTGTAAATAACAGAATACAAATTTAATCACACACGTGATACAAATAATAATATATGTGCGTAAACGTATTTATTGATCTTTCAACTGACAATTTAACATATAGAACTTGTGAATAACTGACATAGAAGAACTGGTGCAATATGAATTTCTTGAGGGAGAACATACCAATAAAGCATGACATTGATTATGATATTTAACAGTTTTGTACCCATCCATAATATAAGTGTTCGACAAATATTTCAAACCTCATGGAGTTGTTTGTAGATGAGAATATTTATATCAAAAAATTGGTATAATTTGGTAGAAATTTTTATTTAACAGCATTCAATACAAATTGAATGGCTAATTCGTTGTATATTAGAATATAATAAAGAATGTAATAAAGAAGATGGACAACAAGATACAAGCAAAGATTGTATATGTTTGATATAAAAAGTTTGGCAAAACCCAAGAAATACTTTTCTAAAAACTTTACCTAGCCAATCTAATTAATTCCCTGTCTGTTGCTCGGTGTGTATGAGCTTGCTTAAAGGCCTTTATCCTTAGGCCGTTTTGAGGGTTCATAAGAAAATTCCTCCTGATATCGTCAAACATAATTGTATTTTCAGGTTTATACTCTGGAAACTTCCCCCATATTACCCCAAGTGGTTTAACCTAAAAGAAAATTAGCTTAATTAAATTACCTAGCAAATAGACAAAAAGGATCAGAAATATTTTAATGTATATTGTAATATGATCGCATATTGTAGAATAATTTTATATATTTAATAAGTGTTACTCAACTTGTACTTTTAGAAAAGTGGGTGTTAGAAATTAAACATTTATTATTTCTTTTGAGCATGGGCCATTTTCCTATTCAAATTAAAAGAAAGAAATTACTTAATTTACATACCTGAATAACACCATATTTAGGAGTGTGCACTGATATCATAGCAAGGCAGTCCAAATAAAAAGCAATCTTATATTCTTGATGAGTTGAAACACCAAGTAGTTTCATTTTTTCCTCTATCCACCTCATACTTGTTGCTGACCATATAACAATATCATAGTCCTTAAAATAATATTTAATAATTGCTACCTAAATTTCTGAAATAAACTTCTTTTTTTTTTTTTTTAATGCACAGTTTTGTGTAATGGAGGTTTTACTTTTTCTCTACATGTAAAATCATGTGCTGTACACTTGTGTGTTTGTGGTGTAAGTGATGTGTATAAGCAATCTTGTAAAAGCTTTAATAGCGTAAAGTCGTTGGGAGATGACTATTCAACTGAAGGAATATCAGTGAAGTTTTGAATTTTGCATTTTTAGTACAATAAAGTTTTTTCAGAATTTGATTCAAACAAAAACATAACTGGTACAGTCCAAATAACATGTTCTGAGCTAAAATAAGCCTTGAAAAGGAGTACCTGCTGGCACTGGACCCAAAATACATATAGGCAATAAAAAGAAAAACAAATAAGAGGATTTAAATTTCAATAAATAACCCTATCACACAATGAATTAACATACAACAAAAACCAAAATAAAAGGAGTTTCATATTATATTATTGTGGCAATAATCAAATTTGGTATAATTTTCCTCACTATTTGAATTACTATTTACTTAACATATTAGGAAATGGAAGCAAATATATTCCTAGCCTAACGCAACTACTATAACCATAACTATGCAATAACTCTTCCAACACTAAATATGCATTATACCACTTCCATAATGAGACTTTCTTCTTTACTTGTGAAACAAACGCAATCCTTGAGGCTCTTGAATACGTCTAAAGACTACATTATGGTATTGATTTGTTCTGATTGTAGGAGTTTAAGGAATTGAGTTGTAGGAGTGAATTAACCAAAATCACAACTCCAAATCTTACCATACAGAATAGACAATTAAAATTATAAACAAATTAAACAACATCAAGGATAAAGGTAAGCAAATTCTGCTCCTAGGACACTGTTCATTGATAGGAAATGAGAAAGATGAGCTGGCCAAGTCAGCTGCAAAAAGCCAGTAGTAGAAAAAAAGATTAAAATATCCCATTACAATGCCATTGATGTTATTAAAAATGATGAATTGAAGCGTGGCAGAATAGATGTAGATCTTCAAGTACTGGACAGTAGTATTAATCCATCTTCCTCAGGTCAGTTTCCAGCCTTGGTTCACCAGAGAATGAACGGTATAGCACTGTCACAATTGGCAGGTTACCTTCAAACCATAGTATCAGTAAAGCATACCTACACATGATTGAACAGGAAGAAATTGACTTGTGTACCATATGCAACCAAGAAAACGCGAAACATATCATATGGTATTGCAGAAATTCGAAAAAGAAAGAAAACTTGCAAAATAAAAATGCAAAATTGCTAAGCCATATAATTACAAAGTTTTAATGAGCACAGAAAATTTCTATGTTTATCAGGCTTTGGTTGATTTTGTTAAATGAACTGGTTGTAATTTATAACTGCTACAAATAACAAATAAAATAATTATTAACAAGCTGTAGACAATAGATTAATGAGAAAAAAGTAACTATTAGGAAAACATGCTAACCCAAAAGATAAGACATGAATCAATTAGTAAGCATGTAATATTAACCTCACACAAACCTTCGACAACTCTGCACAACTGGACAAATGTACTTCTATGAAACCCCTCCTATGATTATTTATAGTGTACTACTACTTTTAACTTTTTCAAGCAATCCTGTAAGATTTTTCATAGTTTATATACTTTGAGATTCCATAGCAACTTAACAACCAGAAGAAATACCAGTGAATTTTTGGGTCTTTTATTTTTAAAAGAACAAAGACTTTTTTTTTACAAAGTCTTATTCCACCTAAAAGCATAACTTATATACTTTAATAGTACAAGTAAAATTGTTTGATATAGTACTGGTATGATTCTCAGGTATAATTAATAATACTCCTCCTGAAAAATCTAAAATAATATTAGTAGTGTACAAGTTCTTTCAAAAAATAAGGTACATACTGTGAAGTTTGTTTGTAAGAAAATATATTAATAACATTGTAATTTGTTTGGATTTACATAATTACTGTCGCATGCAGGACACGGATAAGACTGAGGCCTAGGTCTGCCTTCAAAAACTACTAAGTAAATAATCCTGACACATCAACAATCTAACAATTACTATCTAACAATTGCGGATTGTTGCAAAACAACTTAATATGAGTAGGAACCATTAAAAAAAAGTCCAATAATAGAGGAAATGTATTATCATTGAAATATTTTTGAAAGGAAAGATCACATGTACATCAACAATTAACTTGCTCTCAATCATTAAAATAATAGTTGAAAAAGGATGGTTTTAATAAAAACATTATGCTATTTGACAACACTTACTTTATATGCAGATATTAAAAACTCATGTAAATATGGCCGCATCAATTCATAACCAGATTCTGCCACAGATTTGTGATCAAACAGGGTGTAATCTATGTCTAAAACTAATAATTTCTTTCCTGGGCGAATAGGATTCAGAAGTTTTATCTGTAAAATAATTAAAATAATAGATATTTAGTCAATTAAAAATCATTTCAAAAAAATACGTGTGGTATGCAATCACATTATATTCACGAACTCTTCTTTCAATTTTGGCCAAATAGACCTCTTTATTTTCTATAGGAACTTCTTCGCCATCTTCAATATCAAAATCATCTATGATTTCTGGAAGATCGTCAGGTATCATATTTGCACCTGCGATTGCCTCTTCTAGTGAGCCCATCATCATTATTTTAAAACCAGATTTAAGCTTTAGAGCTGAAAGTGGGCAGTCATTATCAGGCATTTTCCCTGTAAATTAAATATTAAAAAACAAGTTTTTTTAACTACTTACTTTTTTTAACAACTGCAGAACACAAATTTTACTTTTAATTAAATACAATGGTATAAAGAAAGTAGTGTAGCTAGAGCTCAATTATTCAGTCACTGAATACAAAATTGTTCAAATTAAATGAAAAAATTAAAACAAACCATTTAATAACTTAAATTATAATTGTAATAAGTAATATAAATTTGTACAATGTGGTTCTAATTAATAAATTATTAATTTAATTTAATTTTCCACAAGATAAAATTTCCGTTGAAAAATCTGCACTTCTGAATACATCGTAGCCGCTCAAAAAATAACAAAAAAAAATACAACTCAATAGATATTCTGTCACTGACCTTGTATTTAAATAATTTGAATATAGATGAACATTAGAACAGCAGAATGTAGAATAGATTTTATAGATTTTTTTTTTTTTTTTTTTTTTTTAAATGGGAAATGGTAGATCAACGGCTATTCAAGGACCATATTAGCCAAGAAGTGGTTAGCAAACTCCCTACAGTTGTAAGGTCGATTTCTACTGTAACGCCTGGAATTTTCTGAAGATCAAAAAAATTCTGTTTCAACATCATTTGTTTTCCAGCTAATATGCAGAAACGTTTGAGAAAAGAAAAAACAAATGTTTGTTCAATTTGGGCTGGCATACATCATGGTTTAGTTATTATGTGTACAAATGGCTCTAATCATTTAATAGCAAGAAATAAGCATAACAGTGAAATTGTAAGAAAGAACTGAAAAATGATTTTGTAAATTAAATTTAATAAAATAGGTTTTACAAGATATGCTGAAAGCAAAAATGAACGAAATGTATAGAGAAAAATAAAACCATACATAAAACTAAATTTGACGATTAAGGCTATGATTACTTACAACAGGAAGACGATGTACCATTTAGCACAAAAGAATTGATGCCTAATAAAACACGACCTCGAACGTATAATGCAACCAATTCTGTAAAAAAAAATACACTAGAACGTGTATTTTGTGAAGCTATGTCACGTCAGCAGAAAGAGGAAGCCTGGCTGTTAGGAAAGTGCTTAAATTATATACGAAGAGCAAATGCCAATGGTAAGGTAGACAAAATAACTAAATAAATTAAACTGTTCCAAAATGAATAGGGATATTGCCAATTTTGTAGTACATATTTACTTTCCCTAGCATTTTTATTTTATTTTTATTATAAATTGCATTAAAATTTTTTATAAATTGTTTTTTATTGAACAATAATTTAATTAAGGGATTTTAAAAAATAACAAAATTTCTTTGCACCTATTAGGCATACTGTTAATAAGGTTTTCACTAATTTCAAAAGGAATTTCACTATATAGATGTTGCAATGCAGCACAGTTGTTGCAGGTAAACTGGATGCTGATGATTGAAAAGCCTTCCCTGCAAGGATCCCACATGTGCTTAATGGAATTGAAGTCTGGAGACAATGGGAGAAGGGGCAGATGGGAAATTTCCAGGTTTTCTAAACATTGATGAACAACTGTCTCCATGAGGTCTGGCATTGTCATCCAAAAATTGCAAATCCCTGATTTGAGGGATATATTCCTCAATAATTTCTTGGGCATGACGGCCTGCAGTGATGTTGCCTTCAACAATATGGAGTCCAGTTCATCCTCCAGTGTAAATCCGAGCCCAGACCATTACACCACCTCCTCCAAACTGCACTGAAGGGAGCACAAACTGGGGCATTATAAGCATCGCCTGTTCTCGGAAGACACTTCAGCGCCTGCTATTACTATAGACAAAAACATAACTCATCAGTAGAGAGAGATCCACTACCAGGCCTCGTTTTGGCACTTCCAGTCTCTCAGAATTGGGCTAAAGCCCAGAAGACCACGCTCTGAGAAACACCTCTGTGATATTTACCTGCCGGTGACCTCGAGACTCATTCTCACAATAACATTCTAAACTTCTGATTTGAGATGATGTCTTTCCATAGTTAAAGAGAATACAACTGAATTAAAATGGACGAAAGACGAAAAAAGGTGTTTGTTTTCAAAATGAGTAATCTTCGTGTTTACCGTTCTTAAGTCAATCCGTTATTAAAAATGAGGATCGACAATAACTAACAAGAATATATCAGTTAATTTAATTAAAATTAATAGAATATGAATTTTGCAGGATAAGGTTTTGGCCCGGGCTCAACCTCTGAGCTGGTAGGAATGAGCAACCCCTTAAAATTTGTCAACATTTACAATTTTGAATATTATAGAGGTCTGAATGCTTTAAGCAGTTAGGCTTGTATTTGAATTTTAAAAAATTTCATTTATATTCTTATAATGTGTAAAAATCCCTGTATAATATGCTCATCATCAGTGTGTGTATTTGCACAGGTCTAGAAATTCTCTCTCTCAATATCTCACTAGGTTTCATTTTTTATTATTAGGATAAGCCATTATACATACATACATCCCTAAAATGTATAGCTTCCAGCTTAACATCTAATTACTTGGTATTTAATTCATTACGACGGTCTACAAATGTACAAAAAGAGATAACCATGACCACATCCAATGGCAAAAATAAATACTTGTACATCAAAATTATACGATAAAAATTACCTTTAAACTTCAAATTGAGCAGTTTCTGTCTTTCCGGCCTGACTCCAGTTTTCTTGAATATGACATCCTTGAGCGTGCCAACGTTGTCGACATCAGTGACGACGTCCACCTCGTATTCTTTGGCGTTCCACTTTACAACGAGTTTGATTTCACTTTCCATTTGTTGGGATTGAGCCGACCAGAACTGTTCACTTTCAATCCGTTTCAAATACCGACAAGCAAGACGGTTTATCTCCTCTCCATAAATTTGATGTTTGAGTTTGTTGGTTGACCGCGCTCGAGTTTTGACGTAAATCAAAACATAACCTGGATTTCGCCAAAACTCAGAAGATACCTTTAAAAGATAGAAGAGCTACGGCTCTCAGACATTGGGTGGGGGATCAACCGTCCAAGTTATGAATTCAAATAAAACTAAAAAAAAATGCATTTCACTTCGCTAATTATACGATTGATGCTTGATCGTTGCATTTACATAGACATGCTTATCAAAAGTCTAGTTACGCACAACTTCAACTAAATAGAGGCAAACAATTTTGGAACTTGACAAATGGCCCTAACTAATAATTTTTGGTTTTGTTTTAAACCTTCTAATTTGTCATTTTTCTCTTCCATCATTTTTAAATAACACATGACGTTTTCAGGCGGCGATTGAAAATCTGATTGTTAAAAATCTTAAATATCACCTCTTTTATTTTTTTCAATTCCTAATAACTGATAGATCGAAGGAGAGCAATTCGGCAATATTACTGCACGGAATATAAAACTTACAAAATTTCCTTAAATCTATGTATGTTTTATTAACAATTATCGTAGATATATAAATTAGTGCGTATTGGATAAATGTGCATAGTGGCACTTTGCCCCCTTCTCAGACAATGGTTGTCCTCAACCCAGCCTTGGTTCTGTTGTATGGTTGTTCACTGAAGTCTGGTGCATATCAACGATAGTTGTAATTGATCTAAAATAAACGTTTAAAAACTCCAATGATGGTAGTTCACAACTATGTGCATATGTATATAAGTTATGCAATTGCTTGAAATAAAAAAAAATGCTATTTATTACACAATAGGAAAATACAAAATTGAAAATTAACCAATTAGGTAATGAATTTTTGATCTTTACGCGATAAAAACCAGTATAGATTAATTGAAAAATATGAAAAGGATTAAGATTACGGATTTAACGAAGGAATGGATTGCCTGATAAAGAATCGCATAGTGTGCAAATTAATGCATTTGATAGGACAAGAGAGGAGTTTACAGTGCAACCTTTCATAACATCTCCCCCTAGTTAAAAAAGTTAATGGAGTATAAAACTTAATGAAAGGAAAAGTACCAATGTATCACCCTTTGAAACAAAATCCCTCATATAATATTCCTCAATCTCCCATCCAGAAAAACATACTGCGTCCGCTACCTTGGATTCCATCTAGGCTCAAGACTAACCTGGAACTTTACTATCCAAAGTCCTCAGAGACATGCTCAATGCTCTAAGTACGTAGTAAGCTACGTCTCCAACATCAACCCTTCACCAATGACCTCAAAAGCTCTCTCGTGCAAAAAGTAAACCCCAAAACATTTTCCAAGCTAACTAATCGAGTTGAACAATCCTTATCCAATAGAAACGACTCCTATAATCAATTAAAACTAGGATCAGTCCCGCGTATAGTTGGAAGAACAACAATGGTCGTTAACTCCCATCACGACGATGTCATTTGTGAATTTTGTAAATCCCGCTCATTATATAAGTAAGGTACAGATTGGAGACCCCGTTGGTTGGGAATTGAAGATCTGAGCATCTGGCTTAAGGGATAGCCGCGGTACGGGGTAGGTGAATTTCCCTGAAGTATAAAACTGTAGACCCTAGGGTCAGCACTTCGAAGAGTGACAACCATTCGAGGTGAAAGCCCGAATAACTTCTCTTAACATACTACATATGATTGTTACATTATGTAGAAGAATAAATTTGAATGTTGCGCCAAGGTGACGTCAGACCGTGACGTTTTTGAATCCGTTGGTCACTTTTAAAGAGGTTATAAAAAACTTAAATGAAAGACCATACCATAATCTCATGGTATAGCTGACATCAATGAGAAAAAAAGAAAAAGCTTTATGGTTTTTATCCGATCCATCCTGAAAAAGGGCCTACAATACTAAACCTAATTTTCGGTCTATTCTTTAAATGTCAACCTGAGCGGACTTTAACGTTTAAAGCCAAAGACAACAAACTGAAGGGAATTATCTCCGAACATAGAGTTCATCCGTGAGAGGAAACCGGCGTGAGGAAGTAGTTTTGAGACTAAGAATAGGGCACACAAATCACACACTCGGGTACCTAATGGCACAGTGGGCCACACAGTGACGAAACATGTCATTGAAGCGCATTCTGGTGTACTGGCCGATTTAAGACCATATAGAAATTTTAGGTTTATTCAAAGTATTTGTACTCTCTCAAAGTGTGTGTTTTCTGTAGATGTGTCACAGTTGTGTGTCGTATTGCGAGTGTTAGTAAGATATGTTTTTTTTTTCTTTATATATGTTTGATTTTCTATCCCTACTTCCTTCCCAATCCTTCAAACATATAAACAAAAAACATTTATATCTTACTAACACTCGCATTACGACACATAACTGTGACACATCTTCAGAAAACACACACTTTGAGAGAGTACAAATACTTTGAATAAACCTAAAATTTCTATATAGCGTACGTCATTGTATACATTCATTTTTACATCTTAAATGAATTTGTATAATCTAAACAATGTTTGTAAATCCCAGGTCCTGAAGATGATGTAAATAAAGATTGAAAGAACCAAAGCGTTGGCACAATACAGAAAATGTTTTTCTAAACCTACATCACCCTAGACCGCATCTCACGATCTTCACGTAATCATTAATTAACTACAATAAAATACTACACATAATTTATAAATTTGACTAGTAAGAATTTTAGTAAAGATAAATTGTTAGCGAGATAATTAAACTATTTCTTGCTAGGGAAAACGAAATTGGGAAAATATTGCAACTGGGCAAATGTAGTTGTTATCTCGGACGAAAGGGGCGTTGAGAACCGTAAGGAGTGAGGATTATAGTTTCTGTTTAAGATAGGTATTAGCCATTAGGTATCTGTCTACATTCTACTTCTTATTGAACATCGATCTGTCTGTTTGATAATTTCTTGTTTAATTGTTTTCACTATGACCCTGTGATTCCGTTTCGTCTTTGGCTTTAATTAAAGTTGGACATTGTTTCGGCAAAGATTACTTTTCTCTTTGGATTGTATATATGCTTATATACATATATTAATTTATATATATGCTTCAACATGTATTTCGAAATCTCGGGCATGAATCCAAGCTTTTATTTGAAGTCGATTTACTTCGAATTTTCATCTTTTGAGCTCTTAAACGGAGAGTTGGGTTTACTTTTTTCTGGATATCGTCAACAACTATTACCAAAAGAAGGATGCCACTGTTGATATGCCAGTTTGCGATTCCTAATTAATCAGGTAAACATTTTGTTATACATTTTTCCATTATCTATGGTATAAAAACAGATGTGACAAATACACATATGTTGTTGATGTTAATGAAAGTCCATATATTATCCCGTTTTCTTTCTCAAAAGTGAGGACAAAATCAATTGTCTATGAAGATTTTAATTTGAAATGCATTTAATTTGAAAATATTGAATGATTTAATTGTAGAAATGGTGCTTCAGAGGCAGTTCATATATCCATAAGTCAGTTTTTAAAACCTAATAATTTTTTTTTTATTTTAATCATTTTGATTTACGTATGTGTTTTACCTACATAGTTGAAATACAACTAGGTAAGGTCATAGATTAACAAGAGGAGGATTCACCATTTTACAACTCAAATTGTCCTGCATCCCATGCATACTACTCACAGAGAAAGATTCACGAATGTTTTAAATCTTCTAAGGAATAATTTCTTAAACATAGTTTTCTTGTTTCCAAACATCCCAGATCTGATAAGCTTGTTGCTTTGATCTGACAGCTAACAGACAACAGCTGGAATAGAATAATTAGAAATTATCAAACTACATAAATAATTTTTACTCAAATATATCCATTCATTGTCAACTTTTTCTCCTCCTATAACATAATTAAATTGAAGCTGTTAAAATATAGACAGATACAATTTTTCTCTGATATCAGGGACAGGGATAAAAGAGGGGCCACAAGGCCTTCTGCACCTCGACCTAAGTACATCTATTGTGCTTCTCTATATTTTTTATATTTTTTTTTTATAACTCACTGACGAGTGTCAGGTTGTTAATCGACCTCCATAGCCTTGCTAGCAGTTCCTTAGAGTAAATCTTGCTTACAGCTTTTCCTCTCCTAGTTCTGAAGGGATGTGCACCTACAAAGACACATAAACATAAAATGTTCTGTGGTCTCCTACTCTTCATGGCAATATCTGCACAGTGTTCTTCAGTCTGTACATCTATCCAGTGCATGTTTCTTTTTAGGTGGTAGTGCCCTGTTGGGAGTACAACCGGAATCCTGGTTCGGTTCTGGTTGCCTTCCCGTAATTAGTTTGTAAGTTTTGTGGATAGTCCTCCTATGAATCTCTTTGTGTGCCTCATGCCTGGGGTATTGTTCCACCAGGTTTTGGACTCATTAAGGATCCCTGTAGGAGGTATCCTCTTTTGTGGCAAGACCTAGGCCACAGTATAATTACTGATCAACTTTTAACATTTAATTTGTTAAGCATACATGTTTAACGGTCATAATTGACCATATTAATTATTTCAATTAATTATCCTTTTTTATCGAAGGCCTTGGTTGAGAGCAAAAAGTTAGTGTCATGAGTGGGATTCGAACCACCGATTTAATTTATTGATTTCAACTAGTCATGTTTGACCTGGTTCTGTACTATTTCCAATTTTTAATTTCATTGTACTTGATTCTGTATATTTCAAAATTCTGAGTAGATGTGTATATTGGTAAATGTTTGAAATTAGAAATTATAGTTTTCTAGTTATAATGAAAATTATATTTTCCTCAAAGGCTCAACGAAGGAACAGGGCATTTTCTATGTAATTGGTTTTATCCTTGATTGCATGTCAATACCTACACAGGTTATTAATTTATTTATAAAAGTCCACAATCCAAAATTGTAGTATTGAAATATACTTGAAAGCGTGCATAAATAAATTAATATATTATCAATATTTATCATCTTCGTCTTCTTATATATTATCTTCTTGGTATATTATTACTTAATAAATATTTCTTTATCCTATACAACACTCATAGAATGTTTTATTTTTGTCTAAAATAGTGTTAAAACCATTGTGGTTAGACCTTTGTAGTCTGAAGTTTTCCACTCATAAGACTTCAATTTAGTGGGCCCGGGGTGGCCAAGTGGTTAGGGCAAAGCTCCTCGGTTTGTCACAAACCATTTGGTTGTGGGTTTGATAATTAATGTTAGCTGTCCTTGGGATATCCAGATCCATGACACTTGTAGGCCGTCAGGGCCCTCTTTATAGATGAAACTTTTTTCTTTCCTCTCAGTAAGTGGCTCATAAAACGTAGACAGAAGTCTTATAGTATATACACACTTTAATCTAGACAATGTTGTATTAATTTTTTTCTTATTTGGCAATTTGTTGGTTTTCTGTACTAGGCAGTAACAAGGGTGGGACCATTTTGTAATGCAATCTCAGATGTCTTCACTCGTAGCACATTACAGGATGATTAGTGGAAGTTGCTCAGAGACAAACTGCTCTGGGCATGGAGAGTGCCTAAATGGTACCTGCTTCTGTGAGGTATATAATACTAATATACAATTCATATATGTAATTGGCATCACTTTGATTCATAATCATTTTTAATTTTTAACTGACCTTATTTCTGTAAAAGTAAACTATTTTAAATTATTTATTTTTCCTTCCTGGTTTTCTTTTGGATATGCATAGGTTTTTTACCTGTACATTTGTGGTTCATTCGTTAGATAATTATTAGACTCACGATGACTTAATATGTATAAGGTTACCAAATAAAATAGCACGTGCTGAAATGTCATATTATAGTAAGTTGTAATATGTAATATACCTTTTAATTACAGAAGAAGAAAATAACAATATTTGCATAAATTTTTCTTCAAGGTAGAAAGAAGTGTACTGTTAGTTTTGGGTTTTTAATTTTGTATCAACTTACAAGACAATTTCAGTTGCAAATAAAATAAATACCACCTTGTGTAGTCATATAGAGCATGCTGTATTACTAAATCTTTATATAAATAAAATTAAATAATTTTAACTTTAAAGTTTATTTCTTACAGATACAGTTTGTGGGTGAGGAATGCCGCCTCACTAATACATCATACTTTGTAATTTTTGCAACAGTATTCTTCATAGTTGCATTGGTCTGCCTTGTTCAGTTAATAATGAGCATTATAGCTGAATGGAACCGACTCAAAACTCCATCTGTATTGCGAGCTTGTAGAATAACAACTCAGAAATTACTTTACTTTGTTGTCTTTCTTGCTGCAGTTATACGGGGAGCCTATTTTACATCACCTGTAAGTGAATATATAAATAGCAATACAATAACATGGATGTACAATTATGGTCGTGTTCATTATTTATTTCTTGCTATCACAGAAAGCTTTTGAAGAAGGATGGTATAGAGGTTTGATGAGCGCTTACTATCCATTATTACTCTCAGGATCATCCCTTATTGTCTGCTTCTGGGCAGAGGTGAATTTGTTAATGTTTGTGTTTAAAATGTTTATTAATTATTGTATTCAAAATTTTTATGCAAAGTTATTCTGTTTAGATTTTTCATCTACGAGATCTAAAATGGGAGCATCGGCAGTTCCTAAGCAAGTCATTCCTTGCTTTTGTGACTTTCAATGTTATATCTTATTCACTACTCTTAGCTGAATTTGTTGTTGCTCACTTTCTTCAGAACAGCGAAGAATTGAAGGGATTTTATTCTCTTGTGTTTAATGGGTGCTATGCAGCCCTTTTATTCATTGTAGTAATTTTTTTCCTAATATACGGTGTTGAGGTATTCTTCAAAGTTCGAGGTGGGTATCTCATTGATGAAGCTGAGCATACGACAACTTCTGAAGAATTGACTACTCTGTTTAAAAATAATACAGGCACTTCTTTAATAAATGTTTGTATATTTGCATTTATTTATTTATTGTTTGTTTATTTCATTAAACTGTTTGTACAATGAAAATGACAAAATTAATTTTAAAATCTTGTTCTCTTTTGTATGGTGTAGAAAAAAGATGAAGTCAATTTGTCTCAACTTAATCAATCAAGGTTGGGTCTACTCTCTCAAGCGCTAATGCTCACTGCAGTAATGATGTTCTTATTTTCTGAGACATTGGGCCATTTTTGGAAAAACAAGTAACATCATTTTTGTCCTTCAATATACTTTAGTGTATATTCATTTAAACCTCTAATGATAATGTATACATTATTTCTATTCTCATATAGGGTACCCATATCTTCAAGAAATATCCTAGATCTGATTTTTCGAACTGCAGAGATAGGTGTTGCTCTGTGGTTCCCTTGTGTTCTGTGGAATTCTATGAAGTAAGTAAAATATTTTAAATTAATATGGCGATTTCTGTAATAAGAATTTGGCAAATGTTACTTGTTAGACATATTAATTTTTACACAAGTTTAACCAAATTTATTCATTTTGATATGAAGCATTATCATAATAATTATCTTAATCATCATTCACCATAACTTAACATTTCAAAAGTCCTTAAAAGGACCTTTCTTACACCCAACATGGGAATGGTAATATTAATGTAATAATGTATAATTTATAATTTCAGAAAAATTTTTCTTTATCATGCCAACGTTTCGATGTTTACTGAGATCATCTTCAGGGCCTGGGATTTTACAAACATGTTTAAATTTAGCAAATACATGTAGGATGTGGAAAAAAGTGAATTTATACAATGAAAAAAAAAAAAAATATATTNAAAAGTGTTTGAATTGTTTTATAATTTTTGAAAGCTATTTTGAAGTTATCAGACGAGAGAAATGTGTTTAATTTATGTGATAGGCCGTGAATAAATGGCATGGAAATGTATGCTAGTTTGTTTGTATTTGATAGATTTGATGTAGTATTATTAGTAATAGTGGATGGTGGCCAAACCATTACCGACGTTTTTTTCCTTCATCGGCTCTTTTCACCTCAAAGAAGCTGACACCTTATACAAAAATGTCTTTCTATACCAACTTCCTTCCCCACCCCGTCAAAATCCAACGTATATAAACATAAAACAATTACTCAGAAAACAAACACTTTGAGTGAGTAGAAATACTTTGATTGAATATAAAAAATATTTTTTGCATTGTATAAATTCAATTTTTTCCATTTCCTACACGTATTTGTTAAATTTAAACGATGTTTGTAAATCTCAGGCCCTGAAGATGATCTCAATAAATATTGAAATTCACTAATTTCGTGATCCGCTTGACCAATTAATGTATTATTAAGGTATACCTTAATGTATTAATTATGGTTTTTTTATCTCAACTAAAAATCTTAATTAAAGATTAAAATGTTGGCACGATAAAGAAAATGTTTTTCTAAAACCTACATCACACCAGACCGCATCTCACGATTTCTGAATAATTAATGGAGAAAGTTGTGCAAGTTTTTATTAAAATTTACCACTGATTTTGCTATCATAAACAGAGTGGTAGTAGACCTAGTTTTATTAATTGATTGCTGTTAGGCCATTTATTTTTGAAAGCAGATAACATTAATTAACTTTACTTAATATTCACAGAATGCCGAAGCATCATAGAACAATCGTACCTTCACAAATAAACGGCCTTGCAGTAATGAGTTAATAAACTATCCATAATGTTATAATAAAAAGACAACAAAAATGAACAGTAGTAGAATGTAGAATCACCACTTTTTTTTACAAATAGGAAAAAGGATAATAAACAAGATTTCTAAATAAATAATAATTTCAGTCAATTTCATGAGTCATCATTAATAAAATGTTACAATATTCCAAAAAAGAGATATTACATTTATTTTGAAAATTATATCTATTTTGAGAATTTTGTTTAACTGTTGCTAAATGTTTCAAGGAATCGTCCATTAAAATGTACCCAAAAATTAGTTTATAAAACCAATAAACAAGAATTGCACAATGTTATAGCTAGCTTTCAATTAATTAAGGTTTTTTAGTTGGGATAAAAAAGTCAGTGTCGCGAGTGGGATTCGAACCCACGACCTTCGGCTAGATACACGCTGCTCTACCACTTGAGCTATCGTGACTTCGATCTATTCAGACACTAACTTCCCATCTCAACCCCACCTTTTGCATTTTCCCTCCTTTTTATCATCTTTCTAATGTCATGTAATCTATTTGATTCTCAGTGACAAATGAAATGGCCACAGAGCGCTTTATTGAAGATATACTTCATTTAACTTATTAAATTCACTAATTTTTGTGGTCCACTTGACCAATTAATATCTTTCAATTAAGTAAGGTTTTTAGTTGAGATAAAAAAGTCAGTGTCACGAGCAGGATTCGAACCCATGACCGTCGGCTTGATACGCCGCTACTCTACCACCTGAGCTATCGTGACTTTGATCCACTCAGGCACTAACAGCAAAAATGCAAAAAGGAGGGAAAATTCAAAAGGTGGGGTTGAGATGGGAAGTTAGTGCCTGAGCGGATCGAAGTCACGATAACTCAGGTGGTAGAGTAGCGGCGTATCAAGCCGAAGGTCGTGGGTTCGAATCCCGTTCGTGACACTGACTTTTTTATCTCAACTAAAAACGTTAATTAATTGAATGTTATGATTATTGCACATCGTAGGAAAATAAAATTATTAATTATAATTTCAAAAGGCCGAGACGCAGTTGATGAATTTTATAAAAAGATATTTACCTAGATGATCCTGGCTTTCATCCATTATGTGAAAAAAACTGATGTCTCAGGGAGAGGGGCTTGACTCCACTGTGGACTCACTCGCTTTGATTGTGTTAATAGTAGAAAATAATTTAAAAAATGTTACTAGAGGAAATAAAGTAAAATTTGGCAACCTTGCTTACAATGCAATTCATTCTACAGTAAAAACAAAACCAATAGACATCATTACTGGGTACATAGGTACTACATAGAACTCATATTTTGAATGACTATTGAAAATCATAGGCAAAATGAAATTATTATATTAAATTCTTGCTCGATAGAAAGGATGAGACAGAGAAGGAAAAAACAATGTGTTTAATCAATCGAAGTACAATTCATTTAAAAAATGTGCAATGCTCAATACAATATCAATATGGTGTTGCAGGAGCTTCTGATAGAAGGGATGATCAAAACAGACATCATGTCAAATGGAGGCATGCTTACCAATAAATTAATATTCTGCCAAATAACAAGGCAAATTACAGTGATTCTGTACTCCTTGTGGATTTTTATTCATAAATCTCCTTATTGGATAAACTGGAAACAAAAATACAAACCACATTAAAACATAATAATTCTATATTTGAAGAAATAAAGTTTTTATGAGAAATTAAACCTCACAAGGAATATAGGAGAAAATTAATCACATTAAAGCTCATTTGGAAATGTAAAACAATTCTGTAGCAAGCATTCATGTAAACAAATTGAGAAGTGTAATCAAAAGTGTTGGGCAGTAATTGATTACATCAGTAATCAATTACAATTTTCCATTTCTGTATACCTTAATTAAATGCAGGAAACAACTATTACATTTACAAAAATTAAGTATTCTCTTTGAATGTATGATGGTATTGTGTTGGATAAATACTTTTATTTGTATTGATTTATTTTTTAACTTTTCCACTAGTTTTTATTTTGTCTTGATAGCTTTCAGAAGTTTTTTTCTGTTCTTTGGAAAAGTTCTACAAAAAGTAAAGAAAAAAAGATTCAATAATTATTCTAAGGACAAATTACTATTACAAAGTTTGGAACATTCTAATGCAAAGATCACCTAGTGTATCAATTGAAATCCAACAGACCCACCAAAAAATTTACCAAAAATCAACCTAATAATGTTCTAAATGTATATTCTACTATTTCTAAAGTATAATTGTAATTGTTTCATTATTCTTTATTAATTTACATTATTTGGATTTATTATTGAATTTATTTATTAAGTGTAATTGATTAATATTTATTCTATACAGACCAGAACAACTTTGGATTTTAAATCCAAAAAGGATTCTCAAGTCACAGGTGGCACATGTTCAGCCTAAAGCTGATACTCAGTTTGTGGAAAAGTCCATGCCAGAGGAAACTGGTATTAAAAAAAAAAGTATATATAATTAACTGTGAATTATATATTATTGTGGGTTTTTTAAGTTGAAGGTAAAGAATGCTGGATTTGCTATGACAACACTAAGACTGATTCAGGGCCATTGATTCAGCCGTGTTTCTGTAAAGGAGATGTTCAAGCAGTACATTATGAATGTCTAAAGAAATGGTTAATTGAGGTAACTATTTATGTTGGTTTATTGAATATCAATATCTAAACTAGTATTTGTCCCCTCATACCCAATTTGTATGTAAACCTCTCAAGAGATTTATAATTTTATTAATTTCTTTAAAAAAAAGGTAATTTATTAGAATAATTGAATAGTTTGTAACTTATAGATATTAACTCGTTCACTGTGTTAGATGCCACGGAGGCTTCATCAGTAAGTTGTTTCACTGTTTCATCAGGTGGGTATGCTAGCGTGATGTCAAGCTCTCAAATTATGATATCCCCTTCAGAATGGACATAAACAGTAAAAATATATCGGGTTGTCCGGAAAATAATGCAGGATTTTAAGTTTTCATTAAAAAAAATCTATATAAAATATTCTGTTTATGTTTACAGGATTACTCATTTGTATGAATGTCAACACTTATTAATCCTCTTCCAAATGATATTGTTTGTTTACCTCTGTAGCATTCCGCTACTTGGAAATAATTCAGTCATCCTTATAATGTCAAAGCGAGAATTTCGTACGATTTTCTTTTACGAGTTTAAACTCGGCCGAAGCGGAGCCCAAACGGCTAGAAACATTAACCAAGTCTGGGGCGAGGGTTGTGTTAATGAGTGCACTGTGCAAAGGTGGTTTAAAAAATTTCGGGAGGGAGATTTCAGCCTTGAAGATGAAGAAGGTCGTGGAAGGCCTTCCTCTCTTAATGATGATGTTCTGCGATCAGTGGTGGAAGAAAACCCCAAAACAACTGTTCGAGAACTTGCAGAGCAACTCAAAGTCAGTAAAACGACCGTCGCTGACCACCTCAAGGCGATTGGAAAAGTGAAAAAACTCGAAAATTGGGTTCCACACTCATTAAACGATCGCCAAAAAAATCAGCGCTTTGATGTTTGTGCATCACTTCTTTGTCGAAACAAAAATGACCCATTTCTGGCCAGAATTGTTACATGTGACGAAAAGTGGATTCTCTACGATAACACTAGTCGTTCTGGACAGTGGCTCGACAAAGGAGAAGCTCCAATACATTTTCCAAAGCCCCCAACTCATCAAAAAAAGGTAATGGTTACGGTATGGTGGGCTTCATTTGGTTTAATACACTACAGCTTCTTAAATCCTGGCGAAACCATCAATGCTGAATCATACTGTAACCAAATTAATACCATGCATCAGAAATTGGCAGTAATGAAGCCCTCTTTGGTCAATCGGAAAGGGCCCATTTTGTTGCATGACAACGCTCGACCACATGTGTCACGTGTAACGTCACAAAAATTATTGGAGCTTGGCTATGAAACTTTGCCTCACCCACCCTACTCTCCGGACCTCTCGCCTACTGACTACCATTTTTTTAGACACCTGGACCACTACTTACAACACATAATATTCAAAAATCAAGCGGAACTGGAAAATGCATTTATTGACTTTATCAATTCTAAAAATTCTGAATTCTACTCAGACGGAATTAATAAGTTACCAACACGTTGGGAGAAATGTATTGAGAGTATGGGAAATTATTTTGATTAAAGAACATTGCTTTAAAGTAACTAGTTTCTTTTTTTTTGTTTAATACCAAAATCCTGCATTATTTTCCGGACAACCCAATAGTAAATGTTGATATGAAAAAAAAATTTGCTATAATTTTAAACTTTTATAAGCTAAAACGGTTTAGGAAGGTTGGCTAAGTATGACTTGAATCTTTATTAAAAGACAATAAAAACAGTTTGGTTTACATTTTGTGTTTTGGCACAGCTGTTAGGAAATTATGCATATTTTTCTTCACTCTTTGAGGGTGCATGTGCATGGGTGATTTTAAATTGCCTGGAAATGAAGAAAAAAGCAATGAGTCGCCCGAGGCGCATGGGTGATTTTGGAGTCCAACTGTCTGTGCCTTAGTTTCATTTTTGCCGTGCCTAAGCCATGCTCGCTGCAGCTTGTTGTCTAGCATTGTTATTTATGCTTTTTTAATTATAGGCGGAAGCATTCTTATTTATATCTGACGGTCACATCTCCACTCCACCTGGCGAGCTCTTAGTCTCAGTTTTATTTAACTGAGTCCAGGATGGGCCTCGCGGAGGCGGCTCACTCAGGATGTTGAGATGGAGGAGGTATCAGCTTCTCTGACTTTTCAATAATGTTCTTTATTTAATTTGTCTGCCATCCTTTTCGTCTCATTATGCAACTCCACATTTTATGTGTTGTAGTGAAACCTACCCGGCTGGCAATTGCCTTTCTGAGGGCCTCCATTGTCGCTGTTTGCTCATTGATTTCAAAGAGCCAGCGAACATGGGGAACAATGTGGTCTTCACAACTTATTACGATGTTCCACCGTTTCTTCCAAACTGCACTCACACATCGGGCTGGGTTTAAGTCTGAATGCATGGAGTTTGGCTGCAAAATCTCAATGACCTGTCAGAAGTTGAGACATAAAATGATCAATGACTAGATGTTTAATTTTCATTCGATCTTTAATGTTGGGGAGTAGCTCATAAGTGTGACATCCATTGGATGAATGGTCCCATCTTAGCTTGAGTTTTATAATGATATTTATTGTGAAAATACTTAAAAGAAAAACAAATTGCCATGATGAACTAATTAATAATGCATGATTTACAGACTAAGGTTTTTTTGTCTATTTTTTTATTTATTGATAAACTTCACTGAAATGTGTAAAATATTTTGCATTATGTGCAATGTAACATTTATCTTGATTTAAAAAACATTAATTTTAAACCCCTCTTGAATGGGCTCTCCTCAATAATGGGCTAAAACATTTTTTACTAGTATATTTGTTTTAGAGCAGTTCCACTGTATATTCATAAATAAAAGGACAACTACAGATATAATATTAGAAATAAATAAACCGGTATAACAAGTTAACACTCCAAAGGTATAAACATTATATTTCATTCAAGTATAAGGTAATGATGGGTAGTTTTCTACTCTTAATCTATACTCCATAAACGTACAGTTTTTAATTTATCTATTAAGTTCACTACTTGTTTTGTATGTTGAAGTATATGTATAACACTCAAGCCATACTTACCACAAACATCCTTTATATAACTACACCAAAACAGTTTTTTATTAATTATTCCCATTAGAACTATTTCGGGATATCTATGGGTATTTGCAATTTGAATGTGAACAAGAGTAAAGGGAGAAGTCGGTTTCCAGATATTTGATATAGTCAAATATGTAGGCAGGGGGAAAAACATTTCTTTATAAAATATTTGAATATTATTTCTGTACTTTCATAGTTAAGATACCCCAGACTTGTGCACCGTAACACAGTAAAGCTCGTACCAAACTATTAAAAATTGTAAGTTTGTGTGAAAATGGTAAAATATTATTGAATAGTATATATTTTTTTAAAAGATATGCAGAGCTAACTTTGCACTATCTTTGATTTTTTTTAATGTGAAATAAAAGTAAATAGTTTCTGCAGTGAACGTGTTTAAATACTAGCATATCAATGCAATAAATTTTTAAAAATTCATCTGTTCAAATCAATACATGAAGAATTTTATGGTTTGATTTAACATTGTCTGTTCAAAACACATTTGATAGTTAAACAATTATTTAGTTATTAAATAAATATATACATTTTAAATATACAAATCAGGGATATGATGAATTTGAAAGGAAAACAAAAATGCTAAATTACTTTATCAAGCTTTTGAGGAATATATACAACTTCAACGAGACTTCGAAGCTAGTTCTATTCATTTGCGTGGTTAACGAATATAAACATCTACTTACAATATTAAAAATTATGGCTTCAGCAAAAATTAATTTATGAATAGCCTAGTGGAGTAGATGTTTGTTATACAAACTAAAGCCATATAACAAATTGTAACTAGTTTGTGAATTGTATAAATCTTTAAAAATAATTCCTGCTGAGGGGACATATTCTTTGAAAGCATGCCAAAGGAACTGTTTTCCCCCCTGCAAATTATTTGCCTTATCACTGATTTTTTATTTATAATTATAATATTAATATTTACACCAAGATAATACAATATACACTTTATTATTAAGTATAATTACAATGGAAATGATTGATTTAATTAGGTTTTTATTTTATAGAGCAAACAGTCATTCTGCCTTGTTTGCCGTTGTCAGTATGGACTTAGTAACGAATCCAAAGTCAAACTGGGATCATTTCTTGCTTATCAAGCCTGGAAGCAGACACTTCTCACATTGGCACTTGTCGTGGCTTCTGTCTGTGTTGCTACTGTGGTAGTTCGCCTTGTTACAAATACTGTAGGAAAGGTTGCTGCTGTTGGTTCTGCACTTCTTATCCTCTACATATGTATTAAGTTAGCATTAAAATCAGTTTTGTTTGTTTGATATGTTATAATTATTTTAATACAATTTTTTGTTTTTATCTAAAGGTTTCTCTGTGAAAAGCAGTTGGATACCTACTACAAAGCAAGGGTTTCTGCACTCCAAATACATTCACATAACCTTGTAACAATATCTGAAACATTAGATGATGATCGAACCATTTAATTGCATGAGTAACAAGCTTTTTCTATCATTTTCATATTTATCATTAGAAATAGAAAGAAAGGTATATTGTATATCTTTCTTTATAGGTATATCTTTCTTTCTTTTTTCTTTTCTCAAATACAAACAAATAAGAAAAGATTGCAATTTGGAATATTTGTTTTAAACAAAAAAATAAGCATCTACTTCTTTGGCCAATTCATAATACTTAGATTTGTAGTATTGTTGAATGTTTTTTGTTGCTTGTTTTGTTTTAAAAAAATGAATTATCATTGTTCCTTTTTATTATTAAGAAAAATGTTACAAAAGTATAACAAAAGCGTACATGCAGGTTATCCACTAGTGTACCTGAGGGATTTGCAAAAACATTCAAATTGTCATTGGTTAGTGAATTTCTATATATTTTTCATTTGGTTATGTAGGTGACAGTTGCACATAACGTATATAACATTGATAACATCAATATTAAATAAACCAACTCATGCTCAAAATTATAATAAGTTGTTAAATGATTAGTTCAAACAGTAAAACAAAGCAATAAAGCAATATATATTTATATATATATTTTTTTTTTGTGAAATTTTTATACATCTTAACAAATCATTATTAAAAATATCAAAAGACATTTTTACTTTCTGAGATATATTTGTTTTTAACTAGTATCTTGTTTCATATGTTGTACACTTAATTTTTGTAAAAAGTATAATGTTACCTGAATGTCTTCATTTTGAAAATCGATCTTATTTGGATTATTGATCATACATATTTTTTTAAATAATTTAATTAATAAATAAGAACTATTTGTATTACCATTCATCTTGATTCCATATTAGCTTCTCTCCTCTAAAGTTGAGCACTGAAATCCTGTGATAATTACTGTCTGGACATGGTTTAATTATTTTCACTTTGATTTTACAAATTATAGTTCAGTTTGCTTTGTTATCCACATAAATTTGAATAACCAAATCATTTAAGCATGTATGCTTTTTGTAGAGTGATTAAACATTTATTTGTATTTACCAGTCTATAATAACTAATGAAGATTGTAAATATAAAATAATCATCAATGATTCATTAGTAGTTTTTCTTTAAATCAAAGCTAGTCAGTCTTTTTATTCTACTTTTACAAAAGAATGTGCAAAATGTTCATTGCAAGAATTTATTAAAATATTTTGTTTAGTTATAAGGTGTTGTTTTACTGTAATTTTAGAAATTTAATCTAATTTTTCATTAACTTAGTTAAACATAGTTCCCATCCTTAACAATGATACTGATTACTGAGTTACATAAGCTCAGCTCTGCACATCCATGAATATGTACATACACTGTACAGAGTAAACTTTTGTTTAATTCTAATATTTTAGTCAAAGTTTAATTGTCTTCCTCCACTATTCAAAACCTGTAAATTGCAATGCATAATTTATTTATATTCAAGTACTCAGTGTATAATCATAATAAATAATGGCATAATAAAAAGACAACTTGTGATAGTTATTATAAAAATATAATTATGTAATACATTTTTTTTTTAACATGCTGGGTTTAAAATTATTCCTTAACTCATGGTTTGCCTTTTCCACTCTTGGCCTCAGTCGTTATCCATTAACTCAGGCACACCAACACCCCACATCATCTTGAGGGAAAAAGTTTAAACAACATTGAGCATTATATTTTTAATGAATAGACAATACAATAAAAATAGGGTACAGGTAATTCAAAAAACGCAATGTTAGGTTTAAGTAGGTACCTTACCATTTTATACAATTCAAATAATCAGAAAACATGAGAACAACTTAATATTCAAGTTGATCATGGAGGTAGGTATAGCATGTGAAAAATGAGAATAGCAAAAGCACGAATGAACCAATTTTTTGTATCAAATACCTAGCTATAGCTCAGCAAGAATCATGTAATTGTTTTTACTTGCCTACTGCTCAATGTTGGGAAGGTAAAATTTTTCAAATGAGAGTTGGTTAATGACACTGTTGTCATCTTTAGTAAAGTTCATCTTAGATTTCACATTGGAGTATTGCTCACATCAATATGTTCAACTAAAATGACATCATATCAGGGAGGCTAAATCACAGGGTACTTTTAGTTTTTGTTTGTTTGATTAATTTTTAGTTATAATCTCAGCATAATTTGATGCAAAAAATATTGCTTTGAAGGTTAATTTATTTTCAATTCCAGTTGAATACTGCTGGTGTGGTATATTTCATTGCATTGAGTTGATAAAACTATTACAAACATATTTTTCTCTCCCAAATTCAGCAAATCTGTTTTTTAAGCCTTGAAGTAGAGTTGAAACATTGATTTCACAACAATTAATTGTTCTTTTTATATAAGGTCTTGGTTGAGATGAAAAAGCTAGTGTCATGAACGGGATTCAAACACTCAACGGATTCAATATGCTGCTAACCACTCGACCTATCGTGACTTTGATCCATCCGGACGCCAACTCTTCATCTCAACCTACAACTGTTCAAATTTTCCCTCTTTTTGCCATTTTCCAAATATGTAATAAGGATTTGATTCTCAGCGACTTATGAAGTGGCCATGGGGACCTATTAGCATTTCTTCTGTAATTATTAATATTAAAATACAATAATATTAATAAATATATGTTTAGTGGACAAATTGACCAAAATATTATTTCAATTAATTATTCTTATTCTTTTTGTCTAAGGTGTAACTGTTAAGCCCAACAGTGTTATTTGCTTAGTTCTTCAAATAAACATAACTAAATAAACATAAAACCGTTTAATTCGCTATTTTCGTGGTCCGCTTGACCAATTAATACAAGACAATTAATTAAGGTTTTTAGTTGAGATGAAAAAAGTTAATGGCACGAGAGGGATTCGAACCCACGACCTTCGGCTAGATACGCCGCTGCTCTACCACCTGAGCTATAGTGACCTTGATCCACTCGGACATCAACTCCCCATCTCAACCCCACTGTATGAGTTTTCCCTCCTTTTGCCATTTTTCAAATGTGTAATCGGTTTGGATTCTCGACGACAATTGAAATGGCGACGGAGAGCTTTAGTGAAGTGTTCTTCATTTTTAAATCATTAATTCACTATTTTCGTGGTCCGCTTGACCAATTAATACAAGAAAATTAATTAAGGTTTTTCATCTCAACTAAAACCCTTAATTAATTGTCTTATAAAACCATTTGTTTTCTTCTATATAAGAACCCTGTGATCCTGACAGTACTAAGCAAACGTTACACAATAACATTATTCTTGACTGACTTTTTATAAATTATTAAAATTACAAAAATCTCTTTAGGTTAATTAACATGTAAAACAGTGGAGTTCTGAACTTGAATATCATCAATCTGAAGATGGTTGCAATACCAAATTTGATTATGCAAAAATCATTTAAGCTCAAGTATATGCAGCAGTTGAAGGAAATAATGAAGAGAGTATAAGAAAAGAAGTCTGTCACAATCTATTGTGTCTAGGCTAGAAGGTACTACCAAAACCCCTGTTACCATTTATTATGCTGGCAATTTCTCTAAAAGTATATTCAGGATGTTTGGAAAGAAAGCAGTTGGACTATACACTGTTTCCAGCAACACAACAATGAATACACCTATGTCCATCCATACTTATGTCATGGAAGGGATCATAATTCCTAAGTTCTTGTTAAGGTGTGTTTATGAATTTGTGATTAATAAAAATGATGTAGAATCCAGGTCTATTATTTTTTTTACATCATTCCAGCCCTAACAAAGGTCCAGAATTAATCTTTCTGATTTTATCATTTTATATCTGTTTAGCCATTTTCAATCATGCAGGTACAAGGTGAAGTACTACAAACAAAATGTATTATCAAAATAATTTTTAAAAAAATTATATATTAAATTTTAAAATGAAATAGTAAATTTTAATTTTTAGCTAAATTGTAAGAATGTTTTTGGATATCTATTTGAACTTATTATATATAATTAATATTTACTTTTAATAAATTTAATAAAAATGTCTTTATTACATTATTATTAAAAATATTTGTACCACCTTTTTTTTAAACATTTTATAATGATGAAACACCCCAAGCAATTTAAAATTTGTCTCACACATATTGCCATCTGTACAATCCCATTTTTTGTTTAATTATCTCCTTCATATATACTTATAGTACTATATTATTACTTACACTATATACTTGATAAATCTTTCATATCGATATTTTTTGTGTGAAAAGGCCAAAAGCAGTTAGGAGATAGCTATAGATATTTTATCTACCATATTATTTCTATTAACAAAAGTGTTTTGTGAAAATTATGGCCAAAACGGGATGTAAAGCAACACTTTTTAATGAAACGGTATATTTTTGCTAACATAAATTATATTGTAGAAGAGAACTTCTTATAAAGACGTAAATAACATACATATATGACATCAGTTATTTTTCTTCTTTTGTGTATCTCTTTGTACAAACCCATTAATCCTGCAGTGGCTGAAATAATAACAGTCAAAAGTTACATTTATTAAACACTAACCTTTGTTTAAATTATGTTATAACAATAGTTTGTTTTATGCACTCTGCTATATTAATGTATATTTCATCTATAATATCCCTATTGCTGTACAATTCATACATGTTTGAACATTTTTGTAGTAGAGTCTATCTCTTGTAGGTTGTGGTGAAAAAATAATATTAACCAAATTAATAATATTCACATCTCCTCACACTACTCTCTCATATCTCTAGATATTTCATCATTGTTCACTAACATTCCAACAGACACAACACTGAATGTTATTAAAGATAAATGGCCCAACATAAAGCCACAAACAAGTCTACCAAAAAACACATTCATAAAAATTGTTCAACACTGCTGTATTAAAGGATATTTAACATATAACAATCAATTTTACAAATAACTATTTGGCTGAGCCATGGTAAGCAACTTAGGCCCGATACTTGCAGATATAATTATGACACACCTATTAAGCACAGTTATACCACAACTTCCTTTTACATTTTTCCTTACTAAATAAATATATGATATATTAACAGCAGTTCCCACAGATCAAATTCAAACTGCATTAGATACATTTAACAGCTGTCACCCATGCCTACAATTTACACATGAAATTGTAAACAACAAACCAATTCCATTTTAGGTACACTTGTAATAAAGCAACCTAATCACAGATTGGTATCAAAAACCGAGAAACACAGATCGCTATCTCAACTTTACAACACCATCTTCATACAATAATAAACACAGCCAAAGGACTACTTCACAGAATGATTACCTTAAGCCATGAATTATTTATGAATCATTTTACCACAAGAACATAAAGATATACAAACAGATCCTCCATAGCAATCACTACCCTAAACACATAATCAACAACTACAACTCAACACTAACACCATCTGCTATTACTAATAATACTACATCAAATCTATCAAATACAGACAAACCAATACAATGCCATGCTATTCATTCACGGCCTATCAAATAAATTAAATATATTTCTCTCTTCTGATAACTTTAAAATAGCTTTTAAATCTATAAAACAATTCACACACTTTTTTCCAAAATTAAAGATCCCACACCAGTAACAAATAAGCCTGATGTAATTTACAAAATCAATTGTTTAAACTCCAGCAACTTACATCAGAATTAGATAAGAGAGTAAAGCAACATATCTACGACTGCAAAAAACCCAAACAAAATCCTACAGCACTGGCTACCCACCATTTTGTACACCAACACAATTTCGACTTCAATATACAAAAATATAACACAAAGAACAAAACAAACATAATTTTTTAGAAATGGTTTACATCAACAGAGATAAACCAACATCAATTACAGAATGGACACTTGAAAACTCAGTCAAAGCTACGCTAATAATCATTAATCAAATTCAATATCAATAACATACATATAAAGAACATATAAAACAATCATTACATTCCTCACATCAAACATTTCTACATAGTCTAATTCTTCAACAATTTGCCTTCCCTTTCCCTAATTATCCCCGTCTATATAATCCTAAAAGGATAATCAGGCCGAACCATTATCCATTCTTTCCGACTGTTGGCTCCTTTCACCTCAAAGAAGCCGACGCCTTACACAAAATTGTCTTTTATATACCGACTTCCTTCCCCACCCCTTCAACACCAAACATATATAAACATAAAACATCAATACCTCACTGGCACTCTCAACACGACACACAATAATGACACATCTACACAGAAAACAAACACTTCGAGTGAATAGAAATACTTTGATTGAATATAAAAAAATATATTCACTAATTTTGTGGCCCGCTTGACCAATTAAATCATTACAATTAATTAAGGTTTTTAGTTGAGATGAAAAAAATGAAAAATGGTGAAAAAACTCATAAGGTGGGGTTGAGATGGGGAGTTGATGTCCGAGCGGATTGAGGTCACTATAGCTCAGTTGGTAGAGCAGCGGCGTATCTAGCCAAAGGTCGTGGGTTCGAATCCCGCTCGTGCCATTGACTTTTTATCTCAACTAAAAACCTTAATTAATTGTAATAAAAAAATATATTTTGCATTGTATAAATTCACTTTTTTTCACATCCTACATGTATTTGTTAAATTTAAACAATGTTTGTAAATCCCAGGCCCTGAAGATGATCTCAATAAAGATCAAAACGTTGGCACAATAAAGAAAATGTTTTTCTGAAACCTACATCACACCAGACTGCATCTCACGATTCCTGAATAATCATCGACTAACGGTCACTAATCATCACACAAATGTAAACAATGTTTATAAATCCCAGGCCCTGAATATGATCTCAATAAAGATCAAAACATGGGCACGATAATGAAAATGTTTTTCTAAACCTACGTCACACCAGACCGCATCTCACGATCTCCAAATAATCATTAACTAAAGGTCACTAAACACCACACATGTTGTGGTGAAAGTTAAATGAGAGAAAAATGAAGATAGGATAGATCATGGTCCTTTTTATTAATAAGTAATTCTTTCTACACTATTATTTATCTTAAAATGCTTATAGGGGCTTTTTTTTTGTAAAATCCATTGATTTTTAAATTAATTGTTGCTTTTGAGGCACTTGTCTAGTGATGATATGTGGTGGCATGGCTCAGGCCTAAGGCCTATTTCTAGAGGAAAATCACATGTAGGCGCCGTTAAATAAGGCGCGTGCTGGTGTGGTCGCGAAACCAATAACAAAATAAAATAAAATACAATTAAAATAAAACCCCGATACCTGAGGTGACGGGTGTGTAGTCCTAGCCAATCTTTTGTTCGGTACCCAGCAATGCAGCACCTAAACCCTCAACATAACCAAGGCCCTGGATAATATGATGGCTTAGATTACTACAATACCTGCTAGGTTCTTTCTGAACCTTTTCTATTGGCGCCTGGCGGATATCACTCCCGTGATTTGAAATTAAAAGAAAACTAAACTGAAAATAACTTTCTATCCTTGAAGTAAGGAATGCTAAAACTAAATAAAATGTTTGCACGGAAGCAATAAAACGGAAGCACAGAAGCAAGACGTTCGTTCCTCTCAGACGCATGAGAGCAAGTAACGACGGGAGCCAGTTGCAGACGCAGTGCTCTATCGGCCCGTTTTAGGGATTAGGGCACAAGGGAATGGGTCAGCGTTTAAACAGAAACAAAGTATTTACGCTAATTACGTATTTACGCCCACCAAAATTAAATTAAATTTATCTTCTGAAATAAAGTAAACTTTTATGTACAATATTTACAAGTAATTTAACTAAAACCAATAAAGCCAATGAGAAAATGGCCTGGGCTTAGATATGAGACTGATTCAGCAGGATCATCACTTAAGGGACATAAGGGTCTACTATTTAATGCGGCTTCAATTCTTGAAAACAAAGTACAATATTCTTCGAAGGTGTAGCTGTAGTCGTTCCAATTAGTCGTACTAGAAGCTTCTTGGCTGATTTAATAGCGGCTGCCCACAACCCCCCAAAATGGGGTGTATAGGGAGGAGAAAAACGCCATTTTATTTCACGTTCGGCTAAATGGTCACAGATATCCTCGCTATGTTGTTGAAAGAAATTAAATACTTCCTTCAGATGACGGGATGCACCAACAAAATTCCGTCCTCGATCTGACAACATTTCTGAAGGGAGACCGCTACGTGCGATGAAACGATCAAGTGCAGAGATAAATGCGATTGTACTAAGTTCCGAAATTCAAGATGAACAGCTTTAGTTGCTGTACAGACAAACAAACACAAATAACCTTTGGTTAATAAAGGCTTTCAAGAAATATTTGATCGGACTGTGAAAGGGCCTGCAAAATCAACGCCGACATGTGAGAAAGGGCGAGAGACAGTGACGCGACATGAGGGAAGATCTGCCATTTGAAGTTGGTAAGAAGAGCTACAAAACTTACAGCCCATTAAGCATTGTCTTATGCATTTTCTAATAAGACTGCGAAGAGACAATATCCAGAATTTGGTACTTATTAGGGCCTGTACTGTGGTTGGCCCAGAATGCAGCTAATAAACGTGATAATGAGAGCATATCAATCTCGACAAATGGGCAACTTTCGGCAAAAGTACACGAGAGTCTTCCGCCCATCCTGAGAAGACCACATTCATCGATAAAGGGTGTCAAGGCTTACAGTTTGGAGGCAATTTTGCCTTTGCCTTTCAACATCTCAAGTTCGGCACTAAATTTCTGAGTGATCTTAACTATCACGAATAGTGACTCATCGAGCTCATCAGGAGTGAGAGGGCCAGTTTTAGGTTCAAGTTGGTTACGTCATACTAATTGTGAAGGAAACGTTTAACCCAAGCAAAGACTTGAGATAAACGAATAAGGGAAGAGAACTGTTCAATCTCATCGATGAGAGGGTTAGTCAATTTAGATTCGGCAAGTAAGCATGCATTTTCCTGTTTTAATTCAGGAAGCGAGGAAGCAAGTTTTCTATTTAGCTGAAATGGAGGCGGCCAGGCAGAAGCAGCTTGGACTAAAAAGTCGGGGCCTTGAAGCTAGAATTTTAGCATATCAGGAACAATGAATAATTGGGGACCTAATCCGCGTGAAGGCAAATCAGCAGGATTTAAAGCTGAAGGAATGTGCGCCCAAGTTGCAAGAGGAACAGCTTCAGAAATTGACACCACCCTATTGCCATGAATATTTTCAGAAGATGGGACGGAATCAATATCCAAGACAGAACTATCTGGGAATCAGAGAATAAAGTAGGAGCGGTTACCAAAATTGGTAAGCTTGCCATTTGTACTGATTTAACTAGTTGAGCCAACAGTAGAGCAGCACGAAGTTCTAGGCGAGGGATTGACTAGGCGAGGGATTGACATGACCTTGAGAGGAGCAACTTTAGTTTTTGCTTTCAATAAATGTGAATAACAATGACCCGAGTCCGAGCGAATGCAAAGATAGACGGCTGCAGCATATCCTTGCTCGGAGGAATCGCAAAATCCCACGAGCCTCATGCCAACAAAAGATGTACAAACAATACATCTAGGGATATGAAGGGAGGATACTTGGTTAATGTTCTGCATCAGCCAAATCCAATCAGTTTCTAAATAAGGAGGAATCAAATCATCCCACTCGACTTTGGTTAACCATAATTTTTGCAAAATCACTTTCATAGCAAAAACCAAAGGAGCAAGAAAACCAATCGGGTCAAAGATTCGCGCAATATACAACATGACACAACATGGCAGTATGCTTTGTAGTTTCACCCTGGAACAAGGATACTCGAAACATGAATGCGTCTGTTTTCGGCTCCCAGCTTAGGCCCAATATTTTAACTGTTTGGCCACCATCGTCAGAAAAATTCAGTTGCGATTCGATGTAGTTAGAGGGCAAATCCCTCAATACCTTTGGAGACCTACTTGTCCATTTGCTGAGCTCGAAACCCCCTTTCCAAATAAAGCACGTAATTGTTCACATATCAATAGCAGAGGGGGATATCCTCGGCTCCGGTGATCGCGTCGTTGACGTACATGTTTTTCAATATGGCGTGTGAAGCTGCAGGATAAGGTGCACCTTCATCAGCCACAAGCTGATTAATTGATCGGATAGCCAAATAAGCGTTAGGTCCGAGACCGTTAGATTAGGGCACAAAGGAATGTGTCAGCGTTTAAACAGAAACAAAATATTTACGCTAATTACTTTGGCATAAACACTACATATTGCATAGTCAGTAGAATATAGCTGTAATAGTTTGTAGTCCGAATACCCACTTCTGCTTTTTATTGAATTTATTTTAATTAATCAAGTATTGTGTCACAGCACTGAAATGACAGCGATCTACAGCCCATAACAGAGAAAATCTTGCTTGTAGTTGATGATGATATATTTGCCCTTAGTTAATTTAGTTTATTTCCATTCTATTTTTGCATAATTATTTATTTATTGTGTGTGCAGGAACTTATTTACTTTTGAAATGGTGGTTTGCAACAGCACATCAACCCCCGAGTAAGTCCTCTCAAATTCAGGGCCACTGAGATTCTAACCCTGGCCTGATCTAGTGATGAGTCGTCGTGTTAACACTCTAGTGCAGATACTTAAGATTTCATTCAATCTGAACTTTGTTGTCCTGATTTATGTTCTAAGTCACAGTTTGATACTAGACATGCTCTATAATGCACAAGAGAAGCACATATCTACAATATCAATTTGTCAGATCTGTCATTTTCATCGATTATATAAATGTACCACCAAGTCCACAAAAGTGTTTTTCAATCCTTGACAAGGAAAGTAATAACTGCCGTCTTAACACATTTGATTGAAATAACATGTATACCCAATGACACTAAGCATGCTCATAGTGTCATACAGAATGGTCAGCAGGTTTTATTAGACACGGTTCAAGCATGCTTCAAGGAAAACTGATAAGTTTCATAATGGAGGACTGTGAATTCCAAAGATTCAAAAATATTCTTGCCAGAGAACTTGCTGAGTCTACAACTACCATTATGTCCTAATTCCCACTTATGTGGGTTTTAGCAACACACCCATCTCCGGAAGTTCAAATGAAATGTCATTTGGTCCCAATGATGACGATGGCTTTAAGTTTAATTCGCAATTATGATTCTGCAACATAGTATTGGGATATAAATCAAGCTCCAAAAGTAACACAATATAACAGGAAATTAAAAGATATGTTTCAAATAGTACAAAAGCTGCAAATTAACAACTACAAATTGACTGTAAGTATAAATGCAATGTGCTTCAAAATCAAATCAATATTTTGTTGGGATTTCAGAGTATTGTTTGCTATGGCACTGGTATTTTCCAAATACTGTTAGTCCAGAGGATATCAACACTTTTTACACCACTTTGAAAATGGATGTAGTGAAAAAGTTCCAGACATTTTTTGATCTGTCTGAGTCAGTATAATTCTAATCTTTAATGTTGCAGATTGGTTGCAATATCCAGTTGATGGTGATGTATTCACTGTAAGTGTCATACTTTAAATTGACTTGGAAAACACTGGTCCATGACATCTTTAAAATTTAGCAAGATAGTATTAGACTCTAAGACTTACTCAAATCGTAAGAGAGTTGATCCAAAACCCGATTCAACATTATTTACAGCATTATCAAGTTCTTCTGGGTAGAATATAGAGTCTACAAATGGTTGGAGCAGCTGACGTTCAACAAGTTTTGACACCTTCTCAAGTATATGACCATTCCTTGATTCTTGCCAGGATACAATTCCAAAAACACCCTATAAAAATTAATTAATTATGTAGACTTTGAATACACAACATTTTAGTATAAAAACAATTTAATAGTTTACATCGAATCTTAAAAAATAACTGGAATAACTGGAATCGTTTTCTTGCTTTTCTATATAATATTAAAACAATGTCGGTCTCAGCCAAACCATATCCTATCTTGCAGGTACAATTGACTCTTGATAATTCAAAACCCAAGGGACAACAAAATTATTTTGAATTATCAAGAAGTTCAAATTTACATGAGAAAAGAAAAAAATCAAATTATTAAGAGTGGACATGCGTTGTTATAAGTTCTTACTTAAATGATACATAATTATATTAAACATAGTAAAAATAATGAAAAGTGGAAATAGATCAATTGTAAAATTGGACATTATTATGCATTATTAAAAAATCATGAAGAGGTTTTTGTGTAAATGTGGCCGATGTCCTTGTCTAAATGAATTTCCAAAGTGACTGCTGAGAATACATTGAATATTAGAAGAGAAATATTACAATGAAGAATGGAATGTCCTCTCTTCCCCTTTATTAAAATTTTTCATATTACCAATGTATCAAAATATAAAGAATTTTTCCAATGTACCAAAGTGACCTGCTGAGGAGTTCATATTATCAGGAAATTTGAATTATCAAGTTTCGAATTAACAAGAGTCAACTGTAATTCATTCAAGAAATGAAAACTGCTTAATTTGGATGAAGAATAATAAGTTATGAATATTAATGTAAGTTCCTGATCAAAATTCAGCGACGTTTTACAAAATGAAAAGCTATACCAGACATGTTATTCAATTGCATTGAAGCAAGACTCAGATGTATAATGCTACTTAACTTATAATTTTTAGAAACATAAGATACAAACATAGGTAATTTTAATCCAGACTGAGTAAATGTATGAAAGGAGGCAGCCAAAGTTGTCAGAAGTCAATCTTTTTGGGTACACTTCAATAACTTTCCCTTTTGCTAGGCATAGCTCATGGCAGAACTCTGAAGCTATTGATCCTACTGTATTGAAAACTATGTCATACCTAAAAAAATTATGAAATTCAATAAAATGTTTAAATCTGCAAAGATAATTGTGTCAACAGTTAATGAGAGAATAATGATTATTTATTAAAACCGAAAAAAGTACTTGTTATTATGATTGAGCAGTTCTCCTGACTCTACTGTATGGACAGAAGCAGCACCAAGAATCTTAACTTGTTCTTTTGCGTTATTTGTACAAGAAGCCACAACCTTTGCACCTAGGGCAGCACACATTTGCACAACCATCCAACCAATTCCAGTTGTGGCACAATGAACAAAAATCCTGTAAAAAGATGTACTTGAATAATTCGTAATAAAATAATTTGATTTTGATTTATTGCTAAAATTAATTTGTGCCCATTTGAATAATAACTTGGTAATAAACTTTTTTTAAATTAAATACTAATACAATTTAAAAATTTAAGATTTTAATAGGTTTATTGTAGCATTTTATTCAATTCATTGTAATATTGATTATTTATTGACATACAAATACCAAGTAACCAGAAAGTTCGTGCAGTTTTTCATTAGTTATTGTTTTAATACTGTTAATCAACATTTCTAATTATATAGGAGGATTGCACGTTTACATTAAGTGTTTATCAATGAAGAAAAGACAATCAACCAAAATAGGAAGAGGAGTATTAATTTATAAGAGTAAAATATGTCAGCTCAGCAACGAGTAAACTCTGTTGTGTGTTAAAAAGCTGCAAACCACCCCAGACCAGACCACTTTACGCCAATTGTCTGATGTAATGTTATGAACTGAAACAGGTGGTTACCATTTGCTATTTTCTAGGTCGTACATATTAACCGCTTGAAGCACATCCCCTTGTTTTAAGCCAAGGCCATGATGATTTCAAAAGGGACAAGCCTGAGCCAGACCGCAATAGCCTACCCAGGGGCCTTGCCAGCTGATAACCCTTACCACCGATGTATTTGTACGTTCTGGAACTCACTCTCCACCAAGGAAGAGGGCAAGACAATCAAACACAACACAGCGACCCATTGATTTTTAGTAGAGAGGCTCAGTTTGCAAAACAAAAAAGATCATCCCAGAGACAGTTTGTGCTCACTATCATTGGTGGATCAATCACCTTCATCTCTCATGGAAACTGACACCATTTGTCTCCCCATCCTTAATCTCCCTCAGCAGACCCCAGTCCACATCCCTCCACTCTATCTGCCCTTTCCTCTCTATTTGATGATATATGGTTATGGACCCCAGGCCAGAGCTTGTTGAGGAGATCCTTGGTATTTCATTAGTAGATATGTTCACATCTGCTATGGATATGAGGATCTTTCTTATACTTCTACTCACAGCCATACCAGTGAGGCAGTGAGGCTTAACAGCATAAAGAGAATGGTGATGATAATTGCTTCCACAGAGCTCTGTGGATCCAATTTATAGATGGTCTTTGAAGTAGTTTGAGGTTGCACCTGGTCAACTAAGGACCAAACAGTACTATATATTAATGATGAATGGTGGAGTGAGTGCAGTTCAATCCTTTTTAAAAAGGATTAAACAGTAACTAGGCTAAATTATATAAAGGAAGGAATCAAATTAGAGATGATGTTAGCCTCCACTTTTATGTTGACTCACCAAGACCACCATCAGTATGCAATGTAATATACCTTTTATTACAAGAAAATAATCAGAAGAACGCACATTAAAAAGCCAATGTTAGGGAATATGATAATTATCCTCTACACATTTTATTAAATACCATTGTTTAAAACTTATTTTGTAATTATGATAAGGTAACATACTTCTTACAATGAGCATTTCTGTTGCTTAGGCCAGCCTTAGTTACCACAGCTCTCCAGGCATCAACAGATGGTTGTGCTATCGATGCTGCTGCCTCAAAACCAATGCCTTTTGGAATTTTTGCAACATCTTTCGAATTTAATACAACATACTCAGCCAAGCAACCATTATATATATGGTTGTTACAGAAGTAAACTGCATTCCCCAGCTCAAAATCATCTACTCTTGAACCTATTTCAATAACCACTCCAGATCCTTGCCTTCCTAATACGAGAGGAAGACCACAATATATATTCTAAAACAAACCAACATTGCTTCAATTGATTATTTTAAACACAACATTTATTTTATTATTATTAGGCCAATTTTAGCAGGTATGTAATTTTATTAGATTAAAGATTACTTTAGGGGTGTCGGTGACTGCAACGGTTTAGGCGTTGATACGGCGCTCATCACTGTAAGGTAAAGGTCCCGGGTTCGAATCCAGCGGCCCTGCATTCAAACCCAACACACTTACAAATGTTTTTTTTTTTTTTTTCAAAAACATCGGCACCCCGAGGATTCGTATAACCTCGTAGTTGAAATTCCCTTGTGTAAAAAGAAAGAAAAAAAAACTTTATGTACATTTATGTACAATGTTCCAGCACCTGGACCATCATCATATACTTTTACTTCTAAAAAAATTTATTTTAAATTATACATTATTTATGGTCTTTACATTACAGCTTATATTTATCAATATTTTTCATTATTACTTGTAATGTTTGTATAAACTAAAAGATAAATAAAAATATTTTAAAAAACATACAATTGGAAATGTGTTACATGGTTGCCTACTTTCTGGATCCTAAAGTTTTGAAATTGTTGCAATTTTTTTTTTTAAACGAGGGTTCTCAACAGTAGAGGTCATATAAAATGAAGTATGTCAGGTGCAGGGCCGCTGGACTGAACCCAGGACCTTTACCTTACAGAGATGAGCGCCGTGTCAATGCCCAAACCGTTGCTGCCACTAACGCCCCGAACAGCATTTTAAATTGACTAGGTGATTAATTTGTGCTACATAATTATAATGTTATAGTATTTAAATTTTTTTCTCCAACTACTATTTTCATTTTCAAAATTGTGGTCATATTTTCTATGAAAACATAGTTTTCTTTTTATATTTTATATCATACACATGCCGTTTTATACTATTAGCTAAATATTTTGTTTCACCAATACATTATACCTTTTTAATCAACACTCACAACACAGAGATTTTTTTTTTTTTTTTTTTTACCAGGATTCGCAACAGCAGAGGTTATATCAACACTCAGGGTGCCAGTGTTTTTGAAAAAAGCCCATTTGTAAGTATGTCGGGTTCGAATGCAGGGCTGCGGGATTCGAACCCGGGATCTTTACCTTAGTGATGAGTACCGTGCCAACGCCTAAACCATTGAGGCCACCCTTTTCTTATTATTATTTATCTTTTATCTTATTATAAGAGGAGCAATGTTTTACATTTTTCCCCCTACAGTCCATATTTAACATTGCCAGGTGTTGAACATGAAAAAGTTAGAAATCTGGCAACAATCCTAAATCAAGATATTATAGTGTCGATGTCAAAGGATAAGAGACTATACTTATTAAAAGTTATATGCACTGAAATCTCTATAATAACTATAAATTACCTGATCATATGATGATAAAATGTTTCTTAGTTGCTTTCCATATCCACTTGCTATCCGCAAATCAAAAGCATCAAGAGAGGCAAATTTTACTTCAACCAAAATTTGGTCTGGACTATGTAGCTTTGGAACGAAAACATCCTCTAACAATGCAATTGACTATACAATAAAGAAAAAATAAAATGTTTATAAAAATAACCAATAGCACTTATATGGTAAATTTACATATCTCAATATACTACAATAGAACATTGTACTACTTTCATAGTTTGTAAAATTTAGATTTGTTCAATATAGCCTCAATAATTCACAATAATGTATGAAGTGAGAACAGGGTAATTTTAGCATTTTAATTCAATAAGATAAATTGATAATCAAAAATCGTATTAATTTTACTTTTATCCTTTAAATTTTGTAGAAAATTATTTCTATGAATTGACTTGGTTCCTGCCAAAACTATCTCTTCACAAAAACAGGAAAAAGTATAGACTTTTTAGGTTTGATTTATTGGTTTTATTAAATACTAAAAAATATTACATTCTACATATCAAATTAAATAATTTTTTAAATTAAAGTTTACCACAAAATTACTATTATATTATTATGTATGATTAATGTTTATAATCTTTTTTTTTTTAAAGTACATATTATTATTATCATGTGAGGAGTTACTAAACAATTTCCAATGAAGTTATGTCATTTTTAACTACTAAAGTTGTCTACTCCAAATAAATCAAATTCTGTATTCAAAAGCAAAAAATTCAAATTAATATCGTCTTATTCAATTAATTCATCTAATTGAATCAATGTATTACAATTATTTTACTCTACTGTAACAGTAGTTTCATTTTAAGTATGAAAAGCCCATATCACTGAGATTTAAGAAAATTTCTATTAAAAAAAGTTTTATTAATTATTTTTCAATAACTTAATGTGAAAGGAAAATTAAAACTTCTTATTTCATCAGTACTATGTTTGGTGGTACTATATAGTGTAAAAATTTCTTCACATTGAACAAACTAAACTATTTAAGATAAACACAGCATCAATTATAGAACATATACATATAAACTCAGTCGCAGCTACGCCAATATCATTAATCAAATTCAATATAGATAACATACATATATCATCACATCACACAAAACCCATATTATAACATATAAAACATTCATCACATTCCACACATCAAACATTTTTACATAGTTTAATTTTTCAACAATTTAACTTTCCTTTTACTATTTATCCCTGTCTATATAATCCTGAAAGGATTATCTGGCCGAACCATTACCAACATTTTTTCCCTTCGTCAGCTCTTTTCACCTCAAAGAAGCCAACTCCTTATACAAAAATGTCTTTCTACACCAACTTCCTTCCCCACCCCTTTAAAATCCAACATATATAAACATAAAACAGCAATATCTCACTGGCACTCTCAACACGACACGCAAGAATGGCACAATTACACAGAAAACACACTCTTTGAGTGAGTAGAAATACTTTGATTGAATATAAAAAATATTTTTTTGCATTGTATAAATTCACTTTTTTCCACATCATACATGTATTTGTTAAATTTAAACAATGTTTGTAAATACCAGACCCTGAAGATGATCTCAATAAAGATCAAAATGTTAGCACGATAAAGAAAATGTTTTTCTGAAACCTACATCACACCAGACCGCATCTCACGATTTCTGAATAATCTAAACTATTTATTTAAAATCAAAATAAATTTATTAATATGTACATATATCGATTTCAAACAAAGCCTTGCTACGGCTCAATACTTGTCAAATAATTAAAATATTGAATGCAAATAAAAATATTTAGTTTAAAATTTCCTGTTCACAGGCCTTATTACTTAAAAAGTAAAAAAAAGGCCTAAAAAAAGTTTTTTTTTTAAAGATAATCCCTTCACAGATTTTTTTGTGAGTAATATGTAATAACTGACTGGTTTATACATTTATATGAATAATTTATACTATATATTTACAGATTTATACATATGTTGTTGTTTCAATTCTGATCTATGATGCTAATTCCAAAATGATCGGTTTGTATATTGCAATTGTTTTCCTCTTAGTAGGCTTCCCATACATAAGGGGCTATTCCCTTCCCAAATTTGTTCTTTTAGGGGGCATGACATTTCCAATCACAAACATTATCTTTAATTTTTTTATAAAAATGAGAGAGAGAGAGAGAGAGAGAGAGAGAGAGAGAGAGAGAGAGAGAGAGAGAGAGAGAGAGAGAGAATATAATAGTAAAAAAAAGTAAGTTATTGTAAATTAATTTATGTTTGGTGAGGAAGAAGGTCTAATAAGGACAAAAAAGCCTAATAAATTCCTGGCTTCCATTATGTAAATAACTAAGATAATCTAATTGGGTTTAATTTACTTATAAAGAAAAATGTTCTGCTTTATTTATTCATTAAAAAAATAAAAACATTTGTATATAATATTATATATGTATTTAAGGAGTTAGATTAACCAGATATCACAAAAAACTTTTAATGTAAGTGTAGAAAAATGAAATTAATAATCACCTCAGCATCATAAGAAGTAGCTGTTATGGCTCTCATCAAAACTGAAGAGGAGCGTGGAGATTGAAGGCTGAATCCTATTGCAAATCCAATGCTTGAGCCTATTGTAAACCCTATACAGCAGGCAAAAATAGTTGAACGATTTACTGAAACAATTGATTTACTTGAACTGCAGAACAATTAATTTGTAATTGTTATGTTTCATTCCTTTTTACAATACATAGTCATATTAGTTATTTTGCTATTCTTCCTACGTACAACATCATCCATTCATTCATTCATCAGACGTAAGCTACACAAATTAATGATTACAATCTAAAATTATATAGCACAATACATACTGTCATGACCAAAATTTTTGAAAAATATGGAGCTCAGTTTGTTTGTTGAAAATTGGTGTAAAGCCCCTGTGAAAAATCTCCAAGTATTTTTATAGATATTCTCAGCTACATCCTTCACAATTAAAATTCTCGGAGAGGAGAGTACGACCACGAATGAATCTTCCAATCCAGAAGATATCTGGGATAACTTTTGCCCCAATTCGTTTAACCATATCTACAAACATCAAATATCTCAAATAAAAAACAATTTTCAATACATGATTGAACAATGAAATTGATATTAAAAATCAGATATATGTAATATGTGTGTCATTATTTCACAATAAATGCAGATATAAATTCATTACTTACTTATATTTAGTTTTTACTATGTTGTTATCAATTATAATGTAAATTTTCAATTTGACTGATAATTAATTATAGAAAATAAATTATTTAGTTTATTTCCATTTCATACTTTTCATAACTTAAGACCACCTTTGGACAAGGGCTCTTCTGGTTATAGCTAGTCTGTTCTATTCTGTGCTCTTCGCTTCCAAAAAAACAGTAGTAATTCTACTTTAATTTACTCAATCGTAAAAGTAGGGAACTGTGGATAACAAAGTTAGACATAGGTGGGCCAAAGTTTTTATTTATTTTAAATATTATTATTAATAAACGCAAGCAACCACTAAGGGTCATAAACTGCCTTGAATAGAAACTGTCGGTCAGCATGTGGGCATGATGAAGGAAGATCTGTCAGGTATTCCAGCTCACTTTTTTTTTGTTAAACGAGAATGTGCACATATGCAACCCTCCACATCCTGCTGGCTTCCTCACAGCCCAGGTACACCTTCCGGTGCCCCCCTCCCCCATTCAAACCTCGTCTTGTAAAGTGTTAGAGAACAGACCAACCATCCTCAAGAAATCAACAAGATTTTCTGCTGTGTCCATCATCTAACAAAATCTGTCCCAAACTACCTGAAACACCACATGTGCTCCTTTCTGGCTCAAATTGAGTACAGGCAGTAAGAATAGGTTTGACTGTTAGCAGTTCCTGACAATCTTGGCAGATCAGTAGAAGTTCTCTTACCATGATAAAACCATGCGTGAGTTTGTAATGACCTATTCTGAGACAAGCTAGGACCGTTTCTTCCTTACAGGAGGTTCGAGGGGAGGTGAACCATTCTTTTACATCTTCCTTAATTTCTCTTAGCTTGTTAAGTCATTTCATGCCATTTGTTATGCCACTTTTCCCAAACTGATCTCTTGATATGAATGAGAAAGTCTTCCATAGAGACACAATTTATCCAGATCCCTTCTGTGATCGCAAAATTGGCTTACGCATCAGCAAGAATGTCGCCATGAATGTCACAAAAACCCGGTATCCACAAGAATAGGACTGTGTCATTCTCGACAGATATTCCCTCAGGACTAGGAATATTTAAGGAATTACGGGATTTAGAGAATCCAGCCAATAGTACATCTAGAGAATCCGTGCACATGACCAGTCTTTGCGTTTCGGAGAATACAATATTCAAACTTTTATTGAGCGAATAAGCTTCGCAGAGAAGTTGCTTCCTATTGCAGGAAGAGAAAACTTATAACTTTTAGAGTTTGTTACATAGGCAGCTCCCACACCGATTGAATTCTTGGAGCCATTGGTATAAACGAAGGTCCCTTTACAATAGAGAAACACAGTTTAAGAAATTCCAGTTTGCATATTTCAGGCAAGGTGCTTTCTTTTTGTAAGTTAGTCAAGTTTAGAGAGATTCTAGGTTCAAGTAGTTGCCAGGGGTGGAATAGGGGAAACATTTGTCTTCTGAAGAAGAAGTGTCGAGATGTCAAGATCATAAAGCAGCACATAAAACAAAGTGCTTTCTGAAGTGTGACATCATATTTGATAAAGCGTAATAAGTCAAAAATTCTTTTCTTGCATCGCACCAGAATATAACTATTAAGACTAATACAGTTTAAATATACAATAACACGCTTTAAACGTTCGCATAAACGTGAAAGAGCATAGAGAATATTCAATAGAGGCATAATTAGATATTAGGCGGCTTATCTTTTCAAAGGCTAAGAATTCAATAATGAGAGAATAAAGATCACCACTAAGGACTACTTCTTAGATCAGCCTCAGAATAAGATACATAAACCAATCATTTTGTTGTTGTAAGTAAAAACTCGATAAAGATTACCTGTATAAATTCTGTCGTCCTTCCCAAATGGAAAATGAATTCATCCATTTATGCTTCATGAAAAATACTCGGCATTTCGAATTAACTAAATAAACTATCAAACTCGGATAAGCCGGTTTCCCGAATTTTTCCCAAATGAGACAATAATACAGCAATCAGTTCAAACTTGACAATGTTAAAGTGTTAAACAAAACCTGTTTTGTTGTTTTTTTTTAAATCTAAGGGTGGTAGATTTCTATATGAGAGGTTATGAAAAATGATAAGGTCAGATAACCTTAATGACATGATAAGAGAAAAAAGTCTTATTCTCAGTTCTTTATTTTTATTTATTGACACATACAGGCTGATAGTCTAATTTCCTAAAATACATAACATATAGGTAAACTATATAATCATAATAAAATATATATTGTAAAAATACTGATGTACAAATTTAACGCACACTCAATTTTTTAGCTTAAAATTAAACCGTTATCTTTCTACATTAGTTACAAGTAATTAGAAGCTATCCTAGTCAAAATAAACGATGAATACTTTCTTTGGTTACTTCCTTTTTTTTATTTTTGAACTAATTAATCCCATTTGCACAAAAAGGAGCATTTGCCCTTTCATGGCGCTATGTATAAAAAATCGCTTTCAGTTAACGTTTTCCTTTGTTGATTTCATTTGATATTATTCTTATTCTTAAATCTTTACCAATGTCTCCAGTCAGGAATTTGATTGAGTATGAAATATAATAGTATATTAGAGGAACAGTACAGCCAGTATGAAGTGTCCAAGAGACTGAATGTGTATCACTCTTCACAATAGGAGGCGAGGACAGGGTTGACCTAGGTCTATGGAAGACAAAAAATATATTCACCTGTCATCAGCTCTATGAAACTGCAACATTACAATAAATGAGATAAGACAAGTCTGAAATGTTTTGATTTCTTCCAGGACTGTAAGAAGAAGGCTCAGTGACAATAACCTGAGGGCGGCCTTTCACCTGGCTCATGGAACTCTACTCATCCCAGCTCAGAAAATGGCCAGGCTTCAATTTGGACAGGAACATCTGAATTGGACATTTGGAAGATTGGGGACAAGTTACTTTACAGATAAAATGAAAGTTGGCCTCAAATATTCAGATGGGCCTAATTTTATATGGAGACGCTCAGGAGAAAAGTACACCCCATGCTATATGTTCTGCGGTGGGTCATTGATATTTTAGGTTGGCATTTCCTTGGACGCCTGCACTGAATTGATTTTGTGCGAAGAAAATCTCTTAACTTTATAGAGGTACAAGACATAATATAGTGCCATTTGCTTCCCCCACATTTTTTTCTTTTCTTTTTTTTTGTAGAGATTTTCTTGCTAACGCAGGATAATGAAAGGCCCTATAGAGCCCATATTATAGGTGACTATCTGAACGGGGTTGGAATTGAGTGCTTGGTGCGGCTAACCAAGTCCAGATTTGAACACAATCAAACACATTTGGAGGACCAACTGAAGCAACGAGTATGACGGCTAAATCCAGGTCCTAACACCCTAGGAGAGTTGGAAACAACTCTTCTTGATGAATGGGAAGAAATTCCACAGGACTTTATTTTAATTTTGGCTAGGTATCAGTATATTATTTAATTGTGGGGTAGTATCAGATTTAAAATAACTTTCTGACCTAGCTGAGAAATGACACTAACTTTGTTATTTTAAATGAGAATCCCAGATTTTTATTGTACAATTCAACTCTAGAGCTTATTTTAGACCACTTTTACAGAAAAAAATGTTGATAGGATCAATAATTTTTGTTTTGCCTGATTTTTTTTCCTTTTTGCTTTTGCAAGCAAAAAATGTTCTCACTTGTTTTGACCGAGTTATGGTATTATCTCCATTTTGGTTTAGCATTCTTACCTAACTATAAATATGCACTTAAAAATATCAATGTTTCGATATTCTATTATGTCTAGTTAAATTTCAAATGCCAATGACCTCTCTTATTGTAATTTTTGTTTTTTTCTCAAAGTTAATCCTCTTGAAATCATTTGGCTTCTATAGCTCAATAATGTATAAATGAGTATTCATTTCATGTTCTGCTTTCCAACAAAAATGTATAGAAGTCTGAGGAGAGATATGTTTGTTGCTTTTGTTGATGCAGGACAGAGAGAAAAGTCTGCGTCTATTCTCTACAGATGGCTTATAATTTCTTAATGGTTACCACAGTTCGTTTAAGTTCATTTAATTATTTTTTCAGAGAGTTTTCTGGATAGGAGACACCCTTTTATTTTCCTTCATTTATACCAGAATTGGGGTGAGCATGGGTGATTTATCTATGCTAACTCCACGTCCAGTAGTAACACCCAAAAACAAAATAGCGGTGTTGCTTTCAGTTGAGAAAATCCTCCCCTCCGAAGTAGAGATCATCAATAAATGAGTGGACTATAGAAGTTGATACCCCCTATTTATACATAAGTAATATGCCAAAATATATAAAGGAACAAATTAATTTACAGTATTATACTTATTATATTATTTTTTACACATTTTATCAAAGGTCTTGGTTGAGATTTTTTTTTGTCACAAGCGAGCTTCGAACCCACGACCTTCATCTGTTACTTTTGTTGATCGTTTTTATTTATTTATTTTTCATTCTTTATTTATTTGAATATATTGATATTAAAAGCTACGACTGAAATAAATACTGAGACCAGCCCCCTTGATAAGCCAGTATTCTCTGGTTCATCCAGTAAAATTTAAACACATATTAAAAAAGTAACAGTTGTTCAAAAAAACTTTGAAAAACACTTATGTATGTGATCTTCTGCTACGTTTAAAATTAGTGCTTTATTTGATTAAGTGAGAAAGAAACCAAGAAATGTATGCTTGTGAAATTCTACTGTTTCAATAATGGGAATTGCTCTCCTTTTTTGAGGAAAAAAATCAAAAAATTCTTAAAACAATATGACAAAAGGGACAATATAACTTTGATTTATCATTTTATTTTTTTAATATCAACATAAAAGATACAAACAACGGCCAAATCTCGTTAAAAAGAATTTTATATACAATAGACATGTTTCATGAGTTCAATAGAGAAATGGCCTGTTTCAGTTGCCTTGTGTTGCATTTGACGTCTGTATGAAAACAGGTGCAGAATTTGGAGGCTGAGTTTGGCTGCTCACTTGCAAGACTTGCTGTGTCCCTGCTGGAGCTTGCACTAGGACAGGCTGACCATTTGGATTAGCTTGAAGCTGCATCCTAATCATTTGCATTTGTGCTGGCGATAGCTGAATCTAAAGAGACATTTTTAAAATTACAGAACAGAACAGAAAAACATTTAAAATATTTCTATATTCCTTACTGGAACATGTTGAATTTCTCCATTTGATCCGAGTACCTGTTGCACAAGTTGTATATTTTGGAGTGGTTTGTCTTCTACTGGTATCTGAGTAACTACACTTTGTTGTTGTTGTTGTTGTTGCTGCTGCTGCTGCTGCTGCTGTTGAGACAGTTGAAAGTAATAATGAACCTGGTCCAGACTCATGCCTGAGCGAGAGGTAGTAGAATTCTGTGGTGGCTTAGCCTCATCACGGGGTACAATGTCAATTAAAAAATCAAATTGGTCATATTTTGAAATTGCCATTGCAATATCATTTCGCTGTAAAGTTCGACGTTTGTTATCCTCAGTATGTACCCAGCTGCGAAGTGTGAGCTCTTTTATAAAAAGTTCGGCTGCTTTAGCAAAAAGTACTGGTGCTTCTGCAGAGATCATTTTTACCTCTTCATCAAGTTTCATTATTTTCTTTATACGAGCTAGAGGTAAGGCCTGAGTTCTCACATCCAACTATAAAAAAATAATATATATATATATAAATTCACAACTTCATAATATGTATACATATATATGTGGTTGAAGAGAAAAATGAGATAGTCCAAAATTATGTAAGTGAATAAAAAATATAATAAAATATTAGAATAGTAGTATTATATAGTATTTAGTAGTATTATATAGTATTTAGTAGTATTATATAGTATTTATATATATAGTATTATATATCACAACTGAGTGATAAATTTCAATGGTCTGAAATGCAAGAGAAAGAAATTGTGTTCACCAGCTTAAGGAAGGCTATTGGCATGTCATCACCTTCTTTCGGGGCAAATCCGCTTGTTGAGAAAATTTCAGACTTGGTCAAGGAGTGTCAGACGTGAGGGAACGAGCAGGCATAGCACCTGATATGAAGACAGTCTTTGGGTATGAGAGTATATTATAGGGTCCCATGTTCTGATTCTGAAAGGAAATGGGGATGTTTCCACATTTTTAGTCTGTTTTGTTTATATTTTTGCAAAACCATGGGGATGGAGTAAAACACGACACAAGGGTTCAGCAGGAATTAGTAAGTTAGTATGGATGAACTTGAGCAGTTTTAATTTGGACATGGTAATGTAATCGTTGAGATACACTGCTCGAATAAGAAATTGTCCCTTTTTTCCTCCCCCCGCCTGCTCTTCATTGTTGAATCCCAATGCCTGATTTCTGAATTGAGTTGTCCTGAAGGAGTTTGCATCCACTCATCGTTGCGAATTCCTGGTAATTGCTCTATGTTTCATCTCACCAGTTGACCTGGTAAATTCACAGGTCAGGCCTTTCCCTTCAGCCTGCTCACACCATTCGATAAGACATTGCTTTAAATTTTTTCTCTTTATTTGGTTAACTCTAGTGAAGACATGTGATTTAAAACTAAAGTCCTTTTTTTTTCTTTTTAAACTTATTAATGGTTAATACCCTGTAACAATTCTGTCATTATTTCCTACAGTTTATCGACCCTAGCCAAGTCACTTTATTGAAGTTAATTTTGCTAGTTTAATTTAATTTGTTATATTTCTCCTGTATAGCTTCATACTTCTTTCAGGGAGTCAATGGGTATCGCCTCTTCTTCCAACACATTTTGGAATTAATATACTGTATGACATGTATGTGTGTATGAATATAGCTGTGTGTAACAAGTGAGAGAGCTGATGGTGAAATACTGAGAACCCCGGTGGATGATAAATTCCACTTTCGGTAAACCCCATAAAAAAATAATTGATTATTTCCTGTTTTTCTTTTTGTTGGATATGGATGAGAACCTGGATTATAAAAACTTTGTAAACTTTTCCAAATAAAAATAAAAAAGTTGGGAAAGCTTACAATGTCTTTATAATTTAGTAATATTTTTTTATTTGATTGACAGTAGAGATGAATTGTAAGAATATAGGTACTCACATTTTCAATTTGTTTAATCTCTTCAGTGACTGTTGGCCAGAAATGAACAAGAGCTTGTGAGGCTTCTGAAGCTGAAGGCTGTTGTGGTATAGTTTGATCGCCTTCCAATTCATTATCACTGTAACAAAAACGTTTACATCCACATTGATCATGTTTGGTATGTGAAAGTAAATGTTTCGTAACTTAAATACATAATAAAAGTAATTTTTAAAATTAATCTACAAAAGATTTCTTAGTGTTCTCTTAATCATACTAATAAAACTAACCAAGCGCTGTAATTCTTTATGTTGGTTTTGTTGTGCATTGTTTTATTGTCGATGAGAAATCAACCACGACGATTGTTTGGGATCTGGTTTCTGGTTATGTGGTAGTCATATCATGACCAGAAACCAGAACCCAAACACATTGTTGTTATTAATTCATATATGTTTGGTGGTCATACACTAACTTTTTCGTCCCAACCATGATTAGATAAAAAGAATAATCAATTGTAGTTATTTTTGGACAACTGTTATCACAAAAAGACATTTAGTTAGTTGTATGATATAGAGGAAGAAGTTTTGTTTAAATATTCATATATTGATTTGACATTACTGGCAAAAGAGATAACCAAAAAATAATTTTAAAAAGTGAATTAGAAACATCATTTTTTCTATTAAAAATTTAGAACATAAGAGCAGATAAGCCAAAGAGTGAATGATTATTAAAACAAAAAAAATCTCTGAAGTAAATACAAGAAAATAAACTATAGCTTTTATTATTATGTAACATGTATTTTTTTAAACATTGTTTTTTTATATACTTATGCATAAATTTAACGCACCACGCAATTCATTTAATTTAAAATTAAATTCATTATCTTTGTACAATATGCCTAAAGATTGCTTTCAGTTAATTTTTTCCTTCATTGATTTTATTTGATATTATTCTTTCAAAGATCCAGTCAGGCATTTGAGTATGACAATGGCAGGCTCATAATTAGAGAACGGTTACAGCCAGGGAGTTCTTTACTTAAGAGCTTCACGCTAGAAGGCCAGGATAGGGTCGACCTAGGTCTATGGACTATAGCATTACAGAAATTGAGATAAGAATTCCTTATCCGGCTTAGAAAATGACCAGGCATGTGAATTGGATATTGGAAAATTGGGGGCGAGTTCTCTTTATAGATGAGGTGAGATATTCAGATGGACATAATTTTATATGGAGACACCCATGAAAAGGTACACCCAATTCTGTATGGTTTCTCAGGTAGCATTCTGCGGTGGGTCATTGATATTTTACAAACAATGTATTCACCTGTCATCAGCTCTATGAACTGCAACATTGAGTTGTTACATCATACATTGTAAATGAGATAAGACAAGTCCGAAATGTTTCGATTTCTTCCAGGGCTGTAAGAAAAAGGCTCAATGACAATAATCTGAAGGCCTGGCACTTGGCTCATGGAACTCTACTCATCCCAGTTCAGCAAATGTCCAGGCTTCAATTTGGACGGGAACATCTGAATTGGACATTTGGAAGATTGGGAACAAGTTACAAGTAACAAGTGGATCATTTACAGATGAAATGAAAGTTGGCCTCAAATATTCAGATGGGCATAATTTTATATGGGCATAGACGCTGTGGAGAAAAGTACACCCCATGCTGTATGTTCTGCGGTGGGTCATTGATATTTTAGGGTGGCATTTCCTTGGACGCCTGCACCGAATTGGTTTTGTACGAAGAAAATCTTTAACTTTACAGAGGTACAAGACATAATCAAAGAACATGTAGTGCCATTTGCTCCCTACACCGGTGAGAAACTTGTACTAATGTCAAGCCCCATAGAGCCCATATTATAGATGACTATCTGAATGAGGTTGGAATTGAGTGCTTGGTGTGACCAGCTTGAAGTCCAGGTTTTGACCCAGTCAAAGATATTTGGAACCAACTTAAGGGCTAACACATGTAGCAGTTTTGACTAAACCATTCAACATGGCAGGTTTTTTCATACGGTTTCACTAGCAGTATTGTGTAGTTACTTCAAAGGAGCCAGTCTCGTTCATGTCGTTTTCCTATATTGTCAATTATTATAGTGCATTATATTCTTTTATTGTTTATTAGTGCAATGGATGAAAATTACTTCTGCTGTTCCTGCTATATTACCAATGGAAAAAAAGTTGAATAGGGGTTCACCTGATTGTAGGGGGAAAAGAAAAAAGAAGAAGAACACTTCAATAATTTGTTTGGAATTGTCAAGATAAAAAGATAGAAAATTTCAAAAGGTATAAGACAGGATCAGATTGACCCTTGATGTAATGGCAAGGCTGACGGAGAGAATCACGGACATGGGCCCAACATGTAATATCTGCAAAGAACTGGAGTGACAACATCACTGGAGTATGTTTGTGACGATCAGGTTCAGGATGTGGATAATCTATTGCTCCAATCCCCAAAGCTTGCTGCAAAGAGGTAATTTGATACGACTCCTCCTGCTGAATGGATCGGACTGGCTGTATACTCAAATAACCCTCCTCTATAAAAAATAATATAACAGTGTTTAAACAATTCGCTAAAAATTGTAACTGGCGGGAAATGAACAATATAATATAATTAATTTTAAATTTAATTTTATAAATAAGATATATGATAAGAAAAATTAATCTAGTAAAAGTTAATAATGTATCTATATTAAATATAATACAATAGTGCTTCATGTAGAAAATAAATTAATAAATAAATGCAAGATAAAAATAAAATCGAAAACGGAAGATTTACGTGTAGTTGGACACAAAACTGATACATGGAGCAAGAAAGATTGGAATAATGGAAAAACATTTCAGGAAATATGTTATCAAAACCGGCTCAGGGGGAGTTATCTCATCGACCCACCAACTCTTGTTTCAAAACCCCCAGACGATACGCACCGTTCCGTCTGCCATGTCCCACTCACAAGAAATAAGTGACCTATCGACTCGGTTTTCCTATTAGTAAACACCATAGTCAAAACCATTACGCATATCATAGCACTAAGCAACATGTACGATGGCGATACCCAAGTCCGAACACCCTAGAAGAGTTGGAAACGGCTGTTCTTGATGAATGGGAAATCCTCACGATAATAACAGAAATATTTTCCAAGGAATGCAAAGGCGTTTAACAGACATGATTCGTGTCCTTAAAATATATTTTCTGAGGCACTACGTAGAAAATTGGTTCATTGGATATTTTTCATTTATCTGCCCGTTTTTAGAGATGCCAAGAAAATAAAACTGACACAATTTTACCAATTCTTGCAGGAGGACGAGTCTGTTGTTCCCGACGGGCAACCTCAAGAAAACACCTTGCATACAGACCAATTGTTTGTCGAATATAAAATAAATAAACTTATAAGTAGATTAAAATGAACGATAATCACCACTATTACTCACGAATTAATTAAGAAAACGCTCATTTTTCAAAATACCGTTTAGATATGAACAAACTAAACGGCAATCCATGAACAAGGTCAAATCCAAACTTGCTTGTGTTTTTATATGTATAGTTTAAGTTCAAACTTACTTTCTTATAACCCGAAAATACAATCCAAATAATAGACATATGAAAGAAATTGGATGTCGTCTCATAGATGTCATAAAAAAAAGCTTTACAATCCAAGAATTACGTCATATTACGTGAGTCTCGTTTGTATTTAATTATTACTTATACAAAATAAATCCCAATTACTTTGTAATACTTTTTTTTGCACCATGTATATTTTTTTATACTATAATTTGAGTTATTAATTTAGTTATATCCACTTTGGGTGATGATTCATGAGCCTACAATATTTTTTTTGTAAATAAATACAGTCAGATTCAGAATAGTTTCTGTGGAATATTTGCAAGTCATCTGCGTGTCATTAAGAGCAGTTACAATATTGTAAAATTGTTAAAAAGAAAGGGGCCTAAGTGTGATCCCTGAGGGATTCCAGAGAATGCAAAGAAAGGAAAAGAATAATAGAATTTTAATTTACCATATTGTTGTCTATTGGTGAAGTAGCAAGAAAACATACTAAAAAGAGTGAAATCTTATAATAGATGTTGAAAGTAAATAATTGCATAGACAAAATGGTACTGGGAACAAATTATTAGTAAAAATTATCAGTAAATATAGCAAATAATTATGACTATTGTTGTATAGTATAAATTGTTTCTTACACCAAACATTATTGTGTTTATTTAAAATATTGAAATTCATTATTTAAAAAAAAAGTTAATGTAAATCATTCAACAAAGAATTTAAAAAAATATATATTGTTTTATCTTGCTTAGTGCAACAAATTGCTGCCCTTTTTAAAAGTAATATGTTAAATATACGAATGTTGAAATAATTTTACAGACAATAAAAACAGATATGAACATAGAACTAAAAAGGTTTCAGTAAAAAGTAGGTAGTATGGTTTATTTTGTCCGCTTTTATGTCAATGGAAAGAACAAGAATAACAACAATACATTAAATTAAGCTATGGTATATTTTTATGTCTGCTGAGTATTGTTAGAATTTCTATTCTTAAAATGGTTAAGGTTTTACTTTTAGTAATACATAATTATTAATAGTTTATTTTTTGCTTTAATAGATCTCAAGATATTAATTTAATTCCTTATCCAATTACTATAAAAGTGATTTTTCAGGTTGATACCTATAGAACTAAATTTTGAAGGATTGCCGTTGAACAAAAAGCCTTCTCACATGTGTTATGCACAACAACTGCTGTGTGTGGTGCAATTGTTTACTTATTTTAGCAAAACAAAGAACGTTGCGCAGTGCCAAAGTTTTTACCAAAATAATTTAGGTAGAAATTTAGGTAAATAAGAGCTTAATTTACGTTGAAGCGGGTAGCGAATCGATATATTCGATGAAATTCACAGTAAAGATATCAAATAACTGCTCGATGTTGAAAGTTGGCAGGGTAGGCGAAAACATTATCAGTAGTTCTTTGTATGTAAGGTAATTAATTGAGTTCAATATAGTTTAATGCAAAATAACTAAATTCTCAGGTTTTCACAAACTTTCCGATATTTCTGTTTTTGTTCTATCGTCCGTTTTTTTAAAAATTTTTTTGCGATCGTTATTCTATTACGATCTGTAAAGGACGTTAAAAACTCTTTTTCAGTTTATGAAGGGCCCGAGTCGGTGTCCTGACATCTCTTCTTTTTTCACAGCTATACATAAAAAAACATGATCTATTCAGATTTAATTTTGTAAGTAATTTTTGTCTAATTTGATTATAAATATAAAATTTCCAAGTTTTAAAATCTGTTTAACTATCTTGTATAATTGATATTAGCGTTCAGTATTATAATTTTGTATTTAACATTTAAATGTATTGTTTAAGGTATTCAACAAGTGACAAGTTTTACTTTTGCCCAGTTTCTGAAAAAATTAAAGTTCTTGTTATTGACAGAATCACAGAGGAAATAAAAATTGAAAGTGAGTTTGTTAATGAATTTGTTATACTGTTACTAAAAATATTGGAAAATCTTTTGATTAATTTTTAATTTACACATTCCTTGATATTAAAGTGAAATGACTGCAAAAAAATATAAATTCTTTCATTACAGTTGCTTCACTTTAGTTACAAATAGCATTATGTATTTGAATGTATGTATAAACGTTTTAATGACTTGAGACGTTCAGTAGTGAATAATATGGTTATTTATTCTAAACACACACATCGTGTTGAGTGTTGTTTATTAAAAGGTATTAATTTTCAATTTCAGGCAATCCTTGTATACCAAACTCATCTGCCAAATGCCGGATATTCGGTTTACTTGGCATAATTCGCCTTCTAGCATCGCCGTATCTTATAATTGTTACCGAGCGAGAGTCAGTCGGTCAACTTCACAAACAAGAAATATACAAAGCTGTTAATACAGCACTAATACCATATGCTCCGAGTATGGTACATCTGAATGAGGCACAGGTAATGTTATTAATGAATTGTTAACTGTTTTTTAACATGATGAATTAATCAACCCAAAATTGTTGTTTTAAAAACTTTTTTTTGTGTAATGTTTTCAAGTTTCCAAGACCCACCTCCTCCTGTATTGTCTTCAGTAATTCAACTGTGTGCAAAACACCAGTGCTTTTGTTTTGTTCCCATTATTTATTGAAAACCCCTTTTTTTAGTATTATTTATTTTAATTTTATATGTGTGTGTGTGTGTGTGTGTGTGTGTGTGTNGAACAACCGATCCAACAACATAGACAAAATACAAATCATAAACAAAATTTCAAACCACACGAATTTACACAAAGACCCATTCAATTCAACAAACCATCACAAATTAAACAAAATTTCACTCCATTTTCACAAACCAACCAAGAAACACCCATGAGCATCTCAACAAGAAACTTTTCAAAAATCACGAGTTTTCCAGATGGATGCTAGGGAACAACCACCCAAAAATTCCGTAGATGAATCCTTTAACCTAAGTAAATTGAACCAAAACGCAGATGCTTTATCTAGAGTGCAAATAAATATGGCTAGAGTAAAAGGTAAATATCCCAATAATTCCAAGGTTGATGATGAAGAAATAGATACCCTGCTAGATGAATTCTATGAAGAATTTCCAGAGCTAAGGGAGGAAAACCTTGCAAATTCAATTTTAGATTCTCCAGAAAGAGAAATCTTAAATTGGCCTGAGACCATAGATAATGATTCCACATTCGTGAACGTAGACGAAGATAATTTAAATGAAAACAGAATCATTATCGACGAAGATTCACAACAAACGAGACACTCAAATTCAGAAGGAAATACAGGATTATCAATCCCAATTACCGAAGGTCCGGTCAATCATTGTGTGAATCAAATTCAAATATCTCTTGTCAAATGTAACCCAAGGAAGACAAGAATTATAAATCTATTCAACAGTAAAACACGGATAATTGTAGAATTCTCAGAAGAAAATTTTGAAAACGAAGTAATATCTTTTATTAAGGAATACATAGAAGTATACACGGAATATTCTTAATAAATACTACATCAAGTAATGTAACATTTCAAAATAAACAGCTTCTTCATTCTTCACATACTTCTGGACATCCAAAGTTCCTCAACGAAGTGAAACTTAGTTTGAAAGAGGAACAACAGCCACGATTTACGATCAATGTAAAGCATGTCAAATTGAACCGACTAGAAAGTCAACATTTGTCTCCAGCTATTGCAAATCCGATCATCACTACATCGATAAGTATATGGACGATCCTCCTGTATGGACTCATTCTACTACTATCTGGGTATGGAATCATCCGGTATATCTTCGCACGACAGCAACTTGCAGCAGCTGCCGCCTCCGAAAACCAACATTCTCCAAATGTTTCATCTAGGGGTGGAGGAGTTACGTCTCCGTTTTAATAACGAGACTTCTTTTAAACAATACTTATCTCAGTGCTTAGGAATGTGTGGACTCAACAATTGCCCCTTCTTTCAATTGTTCCCATTAGATAAGCTTCTTATTCGTGGTTAGTTACAGGACAGTTAATGGACAGTAAAGATCCGAATAATTGTTATAGAATAATCTGTACCGTGAATAGGAAAGTTATTCTCTGTAACCATTGTGTGTTATTTGGCAATAAAGATTCTTTTTTAAAAAGTCTTTCGTCTAAATCTCGCACATAACTTATATATATAAGTTATGTGCGAGATTTAGACAAAAGATATATATATATACACACACACACACACACACACACACACACACACACACACACACACACACACACACACACACACACACACACACACACACATGCATACAAGGGGGAAGATCGTCTCTTCTTCTAAAAAAATAATTTGATGTTTGAGATTCAATTTTGAGTTTAATTGTTTTAAATTACAAGAGAAACATTTTTAGACTTTTAGACCATCTTAATCATTTTTTTAAAATATCTACCTAATTAAGCAATTAATTTTTCAAAAATAAATTAAGAATATTTTATCAATAATCATTAAATTTATAATTGGTTTTTTATTCTGTTAAATGTTATATCCCCTTTATAACAGAATGACAATGTTGTGTAAAATGCTTATATGTATTTTTTGTTTTTTCATATTTGCAGATTAAATATGAGAGGCAATATATTCAAATGTTAGAAAGCATTTTGGCAACACCGTGTTTCTACTTTTCGTACTCTTATGATCTGAGCCACTCAATCCAACGTCTTTACCATATTTCACCAGATTTTCTTAAGGTATGATAAATTAATAAATAAATTATATTTAGTAAATGATTGATTATAATATTTATATTTCTTTAGATGCCACTTCACCTTAGAGCTGAACAGAAATTCATCTGGAATGAGACATTATTAAAAGAAGTAGTAAAAGTAGATGAGTATGGACTTTTTTGTCTTCCAGTCATTCATGGATGTATCCTTCTATCATTAAAACTTTCTCATGAATCATAACGTGTTGAAATTATTTAGGAAATACAGTAAAGTTTTTCTTAATAGTATTCCATTAGTTGTTTCTATAAACACATGTATTGTTAATGGGCGTACTTTTACACTTGCATTAATCTCAAGAAGAAGCAAGTTAAGAGCAGGCTCAAGATTGTTTATACGAGGTATTGATCCTGATGGAAATTGTGCTAATTTTGTTGAGACTGAACAAATTGTAGAGACCTCAACTGATAGAGCTAGCTTTGTGCAGGTAAAATAATATTTCTAAAGATATATTGTGTGAGAGACATATTACACTTAATTGATGTTTTTTCTTCTCCAACTGTACAAAATTTCACATTTGCAATCAAAATCTATTTTTGCCTATTGATGTTAATCAAGTTACATGCTATTATGCATTATAATAAAAAGCCAAGAACTTGTATCGGCCATAATTAATTTATGTACTTTGTTTATTAATCATTGCTTACTCTTAGATTAGGGGTTCCATTCCACTGTATTGGCAACAATGGCCCAATCTGCATCCAAAGCCAAAACCCCAAATAATCCAAGATGAACATCACCTTGAGGCCTTCAACAAGCACTTTCAATACCTCATTCATGAGTATGGGCGACAAGTCCTTGTTAATCTGGTAAATAAATCACAAGCACATTTGGAAGTAAACTCAGTTCTTATTTTTGCTTGCCTAGGTCGACCAAAAAGGCTCAGAAGGGAAACTTGAAACATTTTACCGAGAAACAGTCAACATTGCAGGAAATCCAAACATAAAGTAAACAGTTTTATTTATTTACTTTAACGGCCTTTTATTCTTAATTGTTTCTATTAAAATTAAATTAATAATATTTAAATTTTTATCTCAACTAAAAACTTTAATTAATTGAAAGATATTAATTGGTCAAGCATTGTCATTGACAGATCTCAACCTCTTTATCTATGGTGTTTTTCTTGGGATCTCAAAGGATTTTCCTTATTCTTCTTCCCTTGTCAATCTCCTTTTTAGGAGCCACATGAATTTCTTCTTTCAAGAGCCAATTTTTTGCAAGACTGGCCATGTACTTTTTGAGGTGTTTTTAGCTATTGGTCCATTATTTTTTATTTATTTATTTTTATTTTATTTAAGTTGGAGATGTGTGGCATGTGTTGCTCTGTTCCTTTTGAAACCTCTGTAGACACCACTCGGGGTGAAACTGGAGGGATTTTAATTAATAGCACCTCTTCTGCCTCCATTAAGTAATCACAAAAATGTATGAAATTAAAGAGATTCCTTTTGAACAATAATAACAAATAGTCAAATCAAAAAGAATAAAATGGTTTTCTTATTACAATATTTTGACAATATGTATACCAAATAATTATATGTACTATTTTAAAACATTCCCATGTCTAACATCAATAATAACTCCTGCTAAAACAAGGAACCAGATTAGACAATAAAATATCTAAATTGAAATAGACACAAGAAAAATTTGTGTCCCAGAATGATTTAAAGAATAATACTCAATTATATAGGTCCTAACCCCTTTTCCCCCCTGTTTTCAGTCTCATATACCTCTATCCATGCAGAAGGAGCACGTGACATTATTATCGTTAAAAGTTGTTTATTTATAAAGTTTCCACAATAAAAAAGTTTATTTGTAGGCTGAAATAATGAGTATTAAGGAAAAATGGGCTATTATTGATTTATTAAATTGGCTAAATTATGACACAAATGATAAAAGTTCCTGGGTATTCATTTAATAACGATTGTATGTACTATTTGATTACAGATATGAGGCCTTTGATTTCCACAAGGAATGCTCTAAAATGAGGTGGGACAGATTGCAGATTTTGATCGATCGCTTGGCACAGGACCAAGAAGATATGGGTGTCATGATGATGGTTGGAGATGGTAAAATAGTTTCCCAACAAGATGGAGTGTTTCGGACAAATTGTATTGATTGCCTAGATCGGACCAATGTGGTACAAAGCATGCTTGCTAGGCGTTCTCTGACATTTATCCTCCTAAAGCTAGGTGTCATTCCTTCCGGGCATTCTGTGGAGTCGTACGAAGGTTTGGAGTATCTCTTCAAGAACGTGTGGGCTGACAATGCTGACTACATATCAATACAATATGCTGGATCAGGTGCTCTTAAAACTGATTATACCAGAACCGGTAAAAGGACAAGACCGGGTATAATTCAGGATATTAAAAATGCAGTGAAACGCTACTACAAAAATAACTTTAAACATGGAAAATATCAGGTGTGTAAACTAATCATATTATCAGTTGAACAGTGAGTATCAGCACATAAGAATTATGTTAAAATATGTTAGCATATTACATAGTATAAAACTTACCTTACTAAACCTTTAGAAAGTACAAAAATCCAATTACAGATTTATGTTATTAAGTGTAAGAGAATAGGTAGGTATAAAATAAAAAATATCTGACACTGACTTGTCATGCTAGTTAGATTTTTTCTTGGATGTGTAAGGTGATGAACCTACATTTCTGTTACAACTACAAACTACAATGGGTGATTGTAAAATTGATGATCATTGCTTTTTAAAACTATGTATTTAATTTTTTTTTAATAAACTTTCCCAATGTAGTGTGAACATTTCTAAAGTTCTTCAAACGTATTATTTTATTGCAAAGATTTAAATTAGTTTGTAGGCACTAAAAAAAAATTCTCCAAAACACAATCAGTAAAATGTATTATTATATTGGCTGTTACATCTACAAATTGGTATATTACAATTTTACAGTTTGCACAATGGAAGTAATGTTTTACAGTCAGGAAGACGCTTCCCTTTTCCTAGGTTGTTTTTCTAAAATTTCTAATTGCGTTTGGTCTGGCCTTGTAATGATTGCAAGGTTTATGTTGATTGAATATTTTTTTAGAAATATGGATGTCAATTGATTTTATGCTTCTATAAACTTCCTATTAACTAAATTTGTGACAGGAGTTTCATAAATGTTAAGATCATTTCTCTTAAAAGATTTGACTTATTCCTAGATATTTAATGAAAAAGGTAAACTGTAAGAATACCACACATTTAAGGTAGTGAAGTTCCTGGGTTAGTACTTCTTTATTCTCGAGCTTCATAAATTCTACTTTAGAATTATCACATTGCTTGTCCTGTTCAAAAAGTATTTGTTGTATCATTTTCATATATTGTTGCATACGAGGGATGTTTCATTTATATTAACTTTTCAATTTTCAGGACAGTATAGATTTATTCCTTGGCAATTATAAGATCCAATCTGGTGAAGGTATTCTCGCTGTAAGCCCACTCGAAGTAGAGCATGACTGGAAATACACAACGGTAATACTTTTAAATACTTTATATTGCTGATTTGTATTACATGTTAAGAAGTAGATACATTTTAAATTAATATTTATGTTAGTATTCAAAGCTGTTTTATGTTGTGTTGATGTACATTTCTGAGATTCAGTTACATCAAAATTTATCTTAGAATTTATAATATATGATATTATAATCATAAATATTGTTGTAGAGGTAATCATTGTTAGCCAAACAAGAGTACATCAACATGATGTTAATAGAAAATTTTGCTTTTCAGTTTCCATTGGTACTTCTTGTTGCTGTCGCTATGTTTCTTGCAAATCTCATCACACCAACAGAATACACTACTGGAACTCTTCTTTGCCTTCTTTTTTGGGGTGCAATGATTTCTTCCACTATCTCGACCATTTTCTACTATGGACATGAGTTCATCGATTCACCAAGACTTGTACAAAGACAGATCTCACCTCATGTTGACACCAGGCCATAGTCCTTTTTACTTTTTTCATTGATAGAATATATTCGTTTGTTATGAAGGGGGGGCTGGCAAAAATTTAAAAACAGTATGGTTAAGTTTTTGTGTGTATGCTCAGAACATACTAATAATTATTATCCCACACACATAATCAGTACAGTTGTCATTGTAATATAGCTTTTTACTTTATTATCCTAACCTAGTTTCCACAAATAATAAAAAATAATGCTCTACCCATACCAATGTTAAACTATAATTTAATATAGTAGTGCTGTAAACAAATGTTTAGCAATTGTCGTAAATAGCGACATGTATACAATGTTTATCGTGCAATTTTCTAACAATACATTGTCTCTCAAAATAAGTAAATTTTTTCTTATTTACATTACAAGACATTTTTCAAAATATATATATTTTTTTAATTTTATTGTAAAAACAGAATTTTTAGTGAGTTTCTATTATTTTTGATCAGACGTTTCAGTTTGTACAAAAATCCATGCCATAATTAAGAGCGTTCAGTTTTATTCTTAAGTGATAAATGTTAAAACATTTATGCAAATGTAACTGTGCAATGTACAAAATTCTATCTCTATAATAAGTCTTCATATCTGCAAATATATTAAACGGATGATAGCATTTCTATTGAAGAAAGAAAAAGAGAGAGAGAGAGAGTGAGAGAGAGAGAGAGAGAGAGAGAGAGAGAGAGAGAGAGAGAGAGAAAGTGAGAAGGAATTTATTATTTGTAAAGAGAAATTCTATGTTCCAGGAATCAGCTTCAAAGCCAAAATTGATTTACAAAAATATTTGTTAATAAAATTTGTTCTTAAAAAGGTAATTTTGTTTGTAAATATACTTATTAAATTAAGAACGTAGCGATGTAGTTATATAAGTTTTGAGGATTAAAGCTTGTGAAATTTGGAGGTATGCGAAGTGTCGAAGTAGATGACCGAGGGAGGAAGTTGAATTAAGACTTTCTCTCATCATGGTGTACTTATTACATTAATAAAACATATTTTATTTCAAAATTTAGAAGGGTATTATCAAAAGTGTCATCCAACTATTATCAAGCAGTTCACTATTTATTTGTACGAATCTATCATTGAAGAATAGACAACAACAAAAAAAGGAAGAAGAGCAGTAAATTTAAGATCAACTATGCACTTACTTAAACAAAATCTAGGTGCACATACAGAATTGTACTTTTTTATATATATATTTTTTAACTTACTATTTTTTGTGTGTTGGCAGACCAGGGTAAGACGTCTTAACAGTACCGCCATCAAATTTTTTACATAGTAACTCCAACTTTTACTTAGTAACTCCAAGGGTTACTTTTTAAACCTAGACACTGTCACAAGTTTTTTTAAAATAATTATTTTATTCGTACATATTACAAATGTTATTTAAAAAAAAAAAAAAAAAGGAAATTTCACATGGTCACAATATAACACTAATGCTAACGCTGCGCCTGAAGGACACATGCCATGATAAACCAGCCGATGCTGGCACTCACTATGAGGTTTAAGGGGCAAGGAGGTTCAGAGGCCGTTAATTGAGGCAACATAGCGGGTTCTCGGGATGGGAATGTGTAAGAGGGCTTGAGCAGTAGTGTTAGCATGGATCAAGAGTTTGGTGTGAAACTTGGAATCGGGAACATATCAGTTCATTGACAAACTGTCTAAGGACTTTTGATAGAAAAGGCTGGATGTTGGATGGTTTGATAGAACCCCACAGTTTTCCACCTGTAAGTCTAAAGTTGTCGTAGTGAAGACTAGTATAAGGTTAGTTTAGTTTTGACAAGTCAGATTTTGGTCCTAGAAGTCTTCATAGCCTTCTGTGAGCTGTGGTAGCCAGTATCTCATTTGAAACACCTTTTCTTATTTATTTAAATAACATTCACTTTCAATATCCCTCTCCATTACCTTAAGATTCTATAAGATCATGAAATATTGAATTCATTAACAATCTCCAATAAAAATATTAAAAAAAGAGTATTGTTATAGAAAGATTTTAATTAACTTTAAACAGCAATGATAACTTATTTACAAATTTCATTAGGAATTGTTGCAATTATCAAATTGTTCCTTGTCGTGCAAGTTACAGGTATAAGCTTTGAAAGGTTAACATTATAGCCTTTATTACAAGCTCGAAAGCACCTGTCAGTGTCAACAGCCTTCATACCCTGTTCACCTTGTTCACATCCAGCTTGATCTGCACAGTGTGCTAAAACAATAAATCCTCTTTCGTCTAATCCAGCATATTCATATTCTTTACTCAGTGGGTATTTCACTATGTGATTTTCCTATTAACAAAACAATTTGCTGTATTATTTAAAAAAAAATCATATATTACATTATTGACAAGGTTCTATAAGATGAAAATACATAAATATAAAAAATAAAAATCTGAGCCTGCAGGACTCCAATTTATTTACCTTAATTCCACCATAACAGCAAGGGCAAATTATAAAATTGGCTCTTTGTTGAATGCATTTTTGAATTACAAGATCTGTTGCTACACCACATGCATGGAGGGATACACCAGTCTAAAATGATTAAATTTAAACAAACCAAGCAAGTAAAAATTAATTTTGAATTAGTAATTTGTTAATTACTTGGAATTGCCCAATGTAATAATCGAGATTAGCTTGTATAATATACACATTTGTGATTTTGAGAGCATTAATTCTTTCTTTTGCTCTTTTTAATGAATTTTCTTTATTGTCTAGAAGTATTATGGTTGAATTTGGAAGGAAATGCGCAATCATTATACCTAAGTGTCCACTGCCACTACAAAAATCAACAATAACATCACCATTCTTTGATACCTAAAATAATAATGTACATGATAATAGTAATTGTTCAAATATTCATTTGCCAAATTGCAACTTACACAAATTGTCGGCTTGACAAGATTCAATAGTTGTTGCATTTTACGTTCGCATCTGCTTAATGGCACATCTGGACAAGGAACATCTGAACCTAGACTCAAATTACTCTCTAGCGGTTCTTTGTACTCGAACAAATTAATTTTGGATATTAATGCCATGCTCTTATCAATATCAACTTGCTGGGTGAAAATCTTATGCCTTGGTTTATATCTTGCTGGATCTCGTTTATACAAACTTTCATTAGCTAATTTAACAATATTCCATAATTTGACCCTATTTTCCCTTTCAAAAATCAATAGATTTAGCTGCTTCTTAAAATTGTGCTTTTCCATAACTGTATGTAACCTAAAATATATTTTTCAGGTTATGAAACAATTTAGAAGAAATCATATAAGGGAATTTTGGGCTTTGTACTTGAGACCTTTACCTTACAGTGATGAGTGCCGGTCAATGCCTAAATCGTTGTGGCCACCGACACCCCCAATATTTGTTATTTCTCATAATATGAGAATGATTATATTAACATGATTATTATATATTTGATTAACAAAGCATTTTACTAATTGAAAAGGTATAACAAACAGTTGTATTTTTGTATAATTATAGGTTTACACCCACACACAAAACAGGTAGTTCATAATTATTGAAATTATTATTACCATTTTATTGTTAGTGGCAGAATATTTTCATCCCAACAATTCAATTTCTCCAAAATTACATAAATGGGTACTGCTACCAGTAAATCAGTTAACAAAAAAATTGGTCCCTCCACATATTTATGCTCCTGGTTTTTGAATTTTTTCACATTATGCACTCGCACTGGAAGGGAGAGATGGCTCTCAAGCCTAGCTAAATCATTGGGCAACTGATATTCAGGAGGATTCTCAAGACAGTGCTCAGCTGCTGAAATGAGATCAATTTCGCAGAACTTTGTCCATACCGACACCTCTGCACAAGCGTCAAGGCATGCTTGGCGAAAACCAAGCAAACTAGACCAACTTTTATCACTACATTTCACAATCTGCAAAACAGTATAAAAAAAAATTAAGTAGAATGATAATATATCTTATTTAACAATACTACTTTAACAACCTGTCTTAGAATTGCACAGAACCCAGCTACACAAGAAATCCCATCATCATAATTAAACACTGGGCATTCACAAAATGATCCTGGTGGTGGCACTTTATCTATTATTTTGTAAACAATATTATGAAGCAGAAACGATAATTTGCCACTATCATTATTGGTTTTCAAAACAAAATTAATCTCTATATTTTCTGTTCTTAAGAAATTAATTGTTGTAAGGCATATAACAGTGGTAATAGGGGCCTCAATGACATCTTCTTCAATTGAGTAAATTTCCAAAAATAACTTTCCCATGATAGGACTATCAATTTCTTAAAATTATACCAAGTTGTTAAACAGATCTAGCTAATCTACGCTGAAGGTTTTTTAAATGGCGCAGATCCAATGTCTTCTGTCTCAAAAACACACAGGGAGCTGAAATAAACGCAACGATGAAAACAAACAATTGAAATTGCCAGAATTTTTTCTCCTCCAGCCATTCTACTATGTCACAGCTAAAATTTAAAGACCACATTAGTTTTACTTGCTTCATAGGTCAATATAATTAATTAGAATACCTTTGATAAAATTTGTTTCCACTTTTTTGACATTTGATTAGCTCTTTAAAATTTGTTGGTAAACAAGCTTGGTTACTTTTACTTGCAATCTCAAAATCTAAAAGAAAAAATGAACAAATTATTGGAAGATAAAAGCAATGAAAAACAACACCATTGTATTCTTAGCTCAACCCTCAGTCATAATTATAATTGGAAATTTCTTCATGAGGTCTGCAAGGTAATGGGCCTGCTGTTACTTATTACCGATTGTTTCCTTCTGTTGTTTTCTATTCCGATTGTTTGATTCTGCTTATCCTCAGAGGTTTGGTTTGTCAGATGCATCTGACCAGATTACATCTTTAAAAAAACTTGTCTATATAGATGGTTTACAACCCTCAAGAGGACATTAGATAATAAATTGAAACGTAGAGAAATAAATAACTTAAAAACAATGCTAGAAAGCCATTAAAAACAAAACAACATTTAAAGTGATATACACAGTGGAAACCCATTTATCTGGACCCCGAATATCCAGACTACCCGGACCTGTTTATTAAAATATTTTTTCATAATTCTCAGTGTATGTATATAATTTTTTTTTTACATTCATAATTTAACTATGGGACCTTTAATTTGTCGTTCGAAATTTGTAAAGGCCGCCAAATCGCCCTTCCATTAGTCACACGATCGAAGAGGCTGACAGTCATGTTTTTGTTTAAAAAAAATTAATTTAATAAATAATAATTTAAAATTGCTGTGTCGTGTTGTTCGTATGTTGGCTTTCATGGGAAGGTTTTTTTTCTTCTTATGTATATTTTTATTAAGTATTTTTTTAAATATAAATTTTTCGTGAAACGTGTGTCTGGACTTAAACAAAAGTCAATAAAAGACTATTACTTTAAATTCTGTTTATATGTGATGACCTTAATAAAATCACAAATTTTCGGATTATATGAAATTTCGATTATCCGGCCAAGTCCCAGTCCCTTTAAGTCCTGATAAACGTATTTCTACAGTACATGATTATGTGTATGAGAAAAACAAATTGCCAGCAAAAATGCTTGATTAGTAAATTTGTACATTCGGTACATACTTGGCTCTACTCAATTTATGTCAGCCTATACAATAATGTCTAAAAACTCTGAGGCTGGAAGGTGAATATTCAAAATAATATTTGGAATGGAATAATATGTGTTTCAACCATTTATGAATTAATAATTGGCCGCAGCAATTTTTATTTAAATAATGCTAATTACAAAAATAAATAGATCAATAATGATCAACCAATGCTACTAATTTATAAGGCTGATGGATAAGATTTGTTATCTCAGAAACCGATAATCTTACTAATTACTTCAAAATTGTAATTATACTTTTTATGTAAGGTCTTGGTTGAGATGAAAAAGTTAGTGTCACGAATGGAATTCAAACGCAAGACCTTTGGCTCAATATGCCACTGCTGTAGCCACTTGACTATCATGACTTCGATCCAATCTTTCAGATTTTCCCCTCTTTTTGCCATGTAGGTTGAGTTCGTGTCCAGGTGGATTGAATTCACTGAAGCTCATGTGGTTACAGCAGCGGCGTAATGATTCGTCGTGTTCGAATCCAAAAAGGGACACTAGCTTTTTCATCTCAACCAACACCTTTAATAAAAAGTATAATAAATTAAAATAATTAATTTGGCCAATTATGACTACTAAATACATATATGGATGAGTATAGAATGTATTATAACATCGCAGGCCTGAATTTGATGTAGTTAAGCATAAGTACTAACGAATCAACAAATAAATGAGCTAATACACAATAAACATATTTAAAATAATAAAGTACATTGTATAAAGTTATGATCATATTGCTACTTGCTATAATGCAACACGAATTAATTTAAACCTTTCGGATTGGTTAACCAACCGCCAACCTGTAACACTGACCTGAACAAGGATGGCAAGAATTGACAATTATCAATTCTTCATCTGGTTTGCATACATTAAACGCCGATGCATTCTTCTGAACACTGTAGTTCCCGAAATGATTGTTATTGCTGCTTTCGTACGCCCAATTACTCTCGTAAACCAAAACGATTAACGTCAACCTTTCAAAAATTAAAAAGAATTTATTTACACGAGTACAAATCTTTGAAACGAATTCAAGAGAGAAAAGAAAAAGGTTCTTACACCCCAAGGGATAAAATCGCAGATAGCATACGTTTAGGAGAACAACACTCGATCATACTGTTCCTCAGTGCATTTTATACTATTTTAAAATTTTTAATAATCTACTACTACTCCACGACATGGAGAATAAAAACATCACAGAGCACGGAATTAATTACGCATGAGGTCTTTTGCATCCATCGCGACATCTATACGTCTGCAGTGTGCACACATTTGTACAGTTCAAATCAATTATACATTTAGCTCATTAATATTTTCATGATTACATAAAATTTCCTTTATTTAAATTTCAATTTTATATTGGTACTTTGGTTCTCTTATTAATTTATTTTCTGTATATTTTTTGAATGCTTAGGTAAAATTAAAGTTATATTATTTAAAGATTGACTGCTACGTTGTATATATTTATAATTTTTACAATTTTAAATAGGTTAAAGTAAAAAATAATAATCTCTCAATTGAATTGTAAAATGTGAGGGACACGCCTTTTGGGTCACATCGGATATGTACACCCTACCCCATCGTACTCCTTTAGTCTATGCTCTATGAAATGAACAGCTGTTAGGGCGCAGATGTCAACAAAGTAACTGTAAATGTGTATTTATTGACCTCATATATGTTTCTATTTGTTACTATCAAATACTGGTGTCATTCGCTTCAAAAAATATTTCTGAAGGTTGATGTCAAGTTTTTAATTTGATCATCGTTTTTGGAATATCACAAATAGACGGGCGAAATCCCGCTAGAAATGGCCGAGTGAGTATATTCAGCTTCCTTTTCCTCTCTGCATTATTAATTGCTTTTCTTAACAGAAGTGACACAACATAAAAGTTTTTTTGAAATCGTTTTCAATATTTTTCAACGTATCCTTCGCATACATTGCAATATAAATAAACGCATAAAAGTTGTTATCTGTTATTGGTCAATTACGCCACACAAAGCCATCAAGAAATTTCTACTGGATATATTACAGTTTTTCTACATGTTAACATTTTTTCCATAAGTAATCTACGATATAAAAGGCTTTAAAATTAATAGTTAAAATTACAAATCGCTTGTAAGACTGTTTGTTTATTGGCCAATTTTTGATTAGAAGACAAATTGATGATTTTTACGCCAAATTGAGTAATTCAGTATTGTTTAACAATGGGACTAATCCCAGTCGCTTTATATACAATGAATGAGTGGTATGTCAGGAGAAAGTGATTTTAATTATACCTAGAAAGCCCACCTTTATCGGGAGGAGTATAGCTATTTTGGGGTGAAAATTACAAAAACCTAATTAAAAACATCAAAAACAATAAACTCATTGATCATTGCTTGATATCACCAATGATCGAAACCAATTAGCGAAAAGACTATTCATGTAAATAATAAAAATAATAATGTTTCGAATCTCCTATTGTGCTGACGGTCGCAATAAAAATAAAATAAAGTAACTTGTCAACAGTTTTCTTGATTTTCTCAACAACCAAGGTGGAGAGCAGTTTAATAGCTAAAGTCCATAATAACTCTGGCAAAAAGTAAATCAGAATTTCAAGCTATTAATTACCTTCAGGGCTCTGTCCGAACCCTGGATCATGTGACATATGGATGCGGGAGGCGGCACTCACGTTATTTTGGATGCGATAATTTTCGCGTGGTAAATTAAATTCCTTTTGGAAAAAAAAAAAAACTGAAGCAAAATACTAGTTGGAGGCTAATTAATTAGTAGACTGTATGGAAGCAAACAGGATTAGATACTGGGATAGGAACAGAGTTAGGACGGGATTTTAGATTAGGGGCATTTGGGGGGAAAAAATAAACAATTATAATTCATTATATATGGCACGAACAGCTATCAGTTTAATTAAAGAAGAAAACTGTTGAAAGAGATGTTTCGTTGCCCTTTCAATTGTTTGTTGGTGTTTTAAAGAAAATGATGGACTATTGCTATAAAAAAAGACTTTTTTTTAACGAGGGTATTTCAACTTTGAAGTTATATGTACCCTCAGGGTGCCAGTATTTTTGAAAAAAGCCCATTTGTAAGTATGTTGGATTCAAATGCAGAGCTACTACCTTAAAGTAATGTGTCAACACCTAAACTTTTGTAACCACCAACTTAAAGCAGTTTTTTTGACTGGTAGGACGAAGAACTTAAATCATGGATTAAAGGCTCCCAAATTAAAAGAAAAAATATGTTATATAAACAAACAAAAGTATTTTCCAATAACCCTAGACTTAAAAAAATATGTATATATAAATTATAAAAATGAAGTTAAAAAAAGTTATATATTGCTCAAAATACAATTAAAAATTTGACAGCTGCTCTGGGAATACTAAAAAACAATGTTGTATATTGAATAAAATCTCAGGTGGTAATCCTATGAAATGTAAACTAATTGAAATAGGCAATAGCAATAATATTATAAATGATCCTTTAAGAATTTCTAATTTATTACTTTGATGATTACTTTGTCAAAACTGTCAGATGTATATGTAGTAACCTTGATCTTGATAATGTTTGTAATCCCTGTAAAAAAATAATTAGACCTCCTCCTTTTTTTGCACCCTGTTATCAGTGTGAAATGTACAGGATTATTCCCTTAAAGCCAATAAGTTGCTGGGTATCATGGAATAAATGCGCGATGCACCATACTCATAGTTTATGTCAGATCTGAAATAGACAAGTGTTCTGTACATAAGGAAATTCTTTTATTTCATATTATTATATGAATTATTACATTTCTTTACTGATTGTCCATTACTCCTTAACCAAATTAACTTTCATATTCTACCTTGTCATTCTAGAAGTCAATAACATTCTTCATTGATTGCCTTAGAGCTAATTATGCCAATTTCAGTTTTATACAAGAACAACAAATATGTTAAACTCGTTCAAAATTATGGATATATTTAATGTCAGCTTAAGTAAATTTAAGCAAATTGTATCATTAGAAAATTAAATATTAAGTATATAACTTTAATACATATTTCAAATTTGAGTGAGGGTCAAGGAGCCTGAGTTTTTTTTCTTCTTCTTTCCCATCCAATGCACCTTTTACCTGATCCTCACTCAAATATATATATATAATAAATATTTCTAAATTTATGTACAGTTATAACCCTTACACTATATTGAATATATTTGTAATTAGGAAACCTTAAATTAAATAAAAGGACCAAGAACAAGATATAATTTTAAGGCGATTTTGTCTTTAGGCTTTTTTTTCACAAAATGCTAAGAAAAAAATTTTAACCAGGTTATATGAACCCTTGGGTTATCGGTGTTTAAAAAAAATATTTGTAAGCTCCGGACCTTTACAGTGATGAGTTGTTGTGGCAATACCAATTTAATACATTTAGTATGTAACAATTTTTATTAAATTTTGTTAAAACTGAATATGTTATTAGAGGGAGCTGGTGGTCCAGTTGGATAAATACTGCTAAGTCCAAGGTAAGTGTCGATTTAACAATTGTTGCATAGATGGGAATTAAGTTAGTAATAACTGAAATATATTGTAATATTTATATTAAAAAATTAAGCATTTAAATTATTACAATATTTCAAATTAAATTATTCAGAAATCGTGAGATGCAGTCTGGTCTCACGATTTCTGAATAATTATCGATTAACGGTCACTAATCACCACACATTTCAAATTAAAGTTATTTAATAGGTCTTGGTTTAGATAAAAATTTTATTATCTCAATATATCAACTTAATTGAAGAAAGTTAATTGTTCAGACGGATCACTAACTCTAATGGAGTTATTTAATAGGGTGAGTCATAAAAAATTACTGATTTAATTTTCTTGGAAAATATAATATCCTATAGGCTTTATTTGTTTTTCAAATCCAATTAGAATTCATACCACTTCACTCACACGTTAGACTGTACTAAATGAATGTGCAAAACAGTGATCTCATGTTGCCTTCAGTTTTGTCTTAGAGTTTAGTTAAACAACATGACAGTAAAATTTGAAATTTTGGTAATATTACACCAATAATGGAAACAAGTTTTCCATTGCCGAAACTACTCGTTTGGTACGGAAATTTTAAGAAGAGGATGCTCCCTCTGAATTGACAAATGATTCCAGAAATTTAAAGCCTGTGACATCTGCCTCGAGAGGAAAAAGGGTTCTGGACAAAAATTATCATTCGACGAGAAAGCTCTGCTGGGCTGTTGAAATAGATCCAATGAAAAGTACTTGGGATTTGGCAAGAGAGCTTGGAGTTTCCCAAACCACCATAAATTGTGGCCTGCATAACTTGGGGAAGTGAATCGTTCATTGAGAATGGTTCCTCATGAGTTGACAAGTGAGCAAGCACGACACTGAAATTTGTCATCTTTTGAAAAACCCAATGACCTTGAAGTTCATAAAAAGAATAGTTACTTTCGATGAAAAGTGGATATATTGGAGAAACCCCAAGACCAAGAAACAACAGCTACACTGCAAACAGCCTTCTCTATCAGTTGCTAAACAAGGCGATTCGACAAAAAGCCCTCTTTATTTGGAATTATGAATGCATAATTCATTATCAGATCATTCTAGAAAGTCGAACCGTTGATTCATAAGTTTATTGTGAACAATTACAAAAAATCTATGATGTTTTGACCCAGTGTTACCCAGGATTAGTAAATAAAAAGCGGGTTTTATTTCAACAAGATAATGCTAGACTATACATTTTTCTTTAGATGATATAAAAAATTGGATAGAATTGAGTTTCTCCCTCATCCTGCTTACAGTCTAGATTTAGCACCTTCCGTCTACCATCTGTTCCAGTCCACAGCTCTTTATCTTCAGGGGAAAACTTGTAATTCTCTTAATTAGGTTCAAAATGGAGTTGCAGAATCTTCTGATCAAAACCCAAAAAGTGGTATTGTGAAGGAATCCGACACCTAGCCACGAGGTAGCAACAAACCATGCAACACAATGGCATATATTTGGAATATTAAAAAAAAAGTCAAAATAAAATTATTTTTAAATTAGCAAGAATAACATTCTTTTTGTATGACTCACCCCATTGAATTGTATATTTACATATTTATGATGCAATTTATAATATGAGGTCTGTTTTTTTAGGGAGCAGAAGTTTTAGAATTTGTTAAGAAAGATTTCAATGAGATATCAACAGTTGTCAAGAATGAGGCTTGTGTTATTGCAAATCATGCAGCAGTAGCTGTAAAAGATTCTTTGCAGGTAGGTAGTGATGATATAACATTGTTTGTTTTTAACATACATTTAAAACTAATTGTATCCTATTGAGACTTCCAGGGTATAATATTAACGTGCTATTAACTACTACTACTACATGTGGATACAAAATGTAATATTTAACACAAGTTTTTGTAAATAATTACATTTTTTAAAGATGTGAATATATATATATATNTTTTTTTTTCAATTGTTGCAGGCAATTTTTGTCTTACTCTCACGTTTTCACTTGATGTTCTAGGCCTTCCTGAACGCTTAGTAAGTGTTTATTTAATTGATGACCTAACTTTTACAGCTGGACAAGGAAGATTCAACAGCTACATCTGTAAAAAAATCATTGTCTTCATTCCTTGATCAGATCTCTGATGTGTTTGTGCCTCCATCAGAGGATGACCAGGTCTATGTACCTCTGGTTGTGAAAGATGGAGAACCTGTACAGTTGTCACCTATCCAAGTAAATGTGATATTGAGTTTGTATCATTTCATTTGTTTTAAATATATACTAGCCTTCATCAATAGACTTTACTTTAAATCATCACTAAATTTATTATATTATTCTGCTCGTTCACATTTTGTAAGAAGAGTGAAAGTAGTTTACATTTTCGTTCTTGCATTTAGTTTTTAAATATAGAATCTCACAAAGAAATGAAAGTACCAAGAACATTTTCTGAGCTTGTTCAATAATAAAGTTAAAAATTTCAATAAAAATTAATATTAATAATTTAATTATTAATTAATAATTCGTTAATACATCTGGTTTAAGTGTACAAAGTTTTTGAGAAAAACCTTGAAAACAAGCATACTTTTATTTTTTATCTAGTTTCTCATGAACCAAAAAGTTTTGGTCTAACTTCAGATGCCGTGAACTCGTCAATGTATTTTATCTTATTTATTTATTGACACTGAATTCAATGATCCGAAGATTGTTTTGCGGAAAAATAAAATCTTCTTCAGTCAAGAACCAATGTTTGTATTTATCATTTTAATTGATAATGTATTAATTGAGCATAGCACCAGAAAAAAAAAACTTGGGAACAATTTCCTCAATGCTTTCATGAGCTATATGGAATATCATCTAGAGTGGACATCTAGAGCATCCCTTTAGTCGATGTTATTTGAAGAAGTGTTTCAAAGTTTTTCTTTTAGTGCCGTGAGCAATTTTATGTTGCTGATTTGGTTAAAGGAGTTGGAAAAAATTAGTTTTTACAAAAAACAACGGTTGGAAATAGTTTTTCGCAACTAAGTTAAGAATGGTTGCTTCAAAGTAACATCAGTTTGCACTGTTGAATTCAACATTAAAAAAAAAATGTTCAGGATCATGCCATTTAAAATAGTTATGTTTATATCCCGCTATTCTATAGAATTAGGTAAAAACATTTTAGTTAATGAAAAACAATAAAAAGTAAAAGCTTAAGTATCACAGATTCCCTTGCCCACAAAAATAATCCCTAATTTAAAAAAAATCAATGAATAAAAATACCGTGGAATAAAAGTTAAACTCACCCAGTTTACATTGTATATATTGTATTGTTTAAATTGTAACTTTTTGTCTAGATGAAGTTATACACACTTATATCATCAGAGGGGACATATACAACGCCTATTGAATTGGAATTCAAAGATAGATTTGAAGCATGGCTTAAAGTATCTGAAGAAATTTTCACTAATGTTAAATACTTATCAATTTCACTTGCTTCAAACTCTAAACTACAGGATAAATATACACAGCTTGTTCCTGATAAGGTAATGTATGAGATTAATTTCCTTTATTCTTAAAAAATAAATAAAATAACTGTCACAATATTGTATGACCAAATAATTATTTCACATCAGTAACACATTAGTACATTTTAGAAAAACAAATGAAAAGTATTCATATGTGAGGTGTTTAGTGACTGTACTCAATGACTATTTGTCAATGATTATATGGAGATTCTGAGATGACAGACCGCCTCTCACTATCTCCCAATAAGTATTCATATGGTTGATTACCTGATCGTTGTGAAGCCAGTTAGTTAGGGATCAAGTGGAATGAATTGAAAGTTATGCTTTAGTTAAACAGTTTGCTGTGTATTTAATGACATTAATATCAATATTAGAGAGTTAAGAATTTTTTATAAGGTGAAGAAATTTAAAAGTATATTTTACTCTTTTTGATAATTGATTTAATTCTCTCAGTGATAGTACTTATAAAAAAAAAAAAATTATATATATTATATATAAATCTGGTATTTTCGCCTTTTATTTTATCTTTATATATTTCCAGCTTTGTGCAAACAACCACCTTTTAAATTTCAGGTGTCTCACTCTGATTTCTGGAAGAGATATTTGTTCAGAAAAGCTCTGCTTGAGGATACAGAAGCTGAACGAGAGCGTAAAGAAGCTAGGCGAGGGGAGGAAGAGATAGAAAAAGAGAAAGAAATATGTAATGAAGATGACATTCTTAACGACATTGATTTCAGAGCAAATGTTGAGCTGACCGAGGAGGAGCAAACACAACTTCTTGCCCAATACGAAGCAGAGATAAAGAATGAATTTGATGTTTCCACAATTCGTACTCGAGAAAAAAAAGACCTTGTAATTGTAGGGTCAAACCTTACTTCACAGGCTTCCACATCAAGTAAAGAGAGCAGTACAGATGGTGAATGGGAAAAAGAATTTGAACTGGAAGATGAGAAAAACTGAACAGCTCAATTACCCATCTTAAAATCTTTGGTTATTTAAGCATATAGCAGGAATTTACGACAAGGTGGTCAGCTAACAGTTCATTTGAGTGACCAAAATGCTGAAAATAGACCTTTTGTAATAAAAAGTTGAAATTTCAAATTTGTATAAGTATGGTTTAATAAAATTTCATTAATATAGTTAATTAAATATCAATAATATATAATTTTTTGTAAGTTAAATATTACTCTGGTTTAGTTACTTTATTTTTTGCACATTTAAAAACTATAATTTATGTAATTATTGATAGTTTTGTTTTTAGAATTATTGACAAATATGTTTTCTGTCAACACAAAAAAAATTGTTAAGACAAGTTTTATATTTAATTGAACAAACACATTTATGTTACAATTTTATCGGAAATTTTACATATGAATAGTATGCATTGAAATATTTGAAACAAATTCACATGTTAGAAAATATGTGATTAAGCTAATGATTTTTCAAAAGAATATTTTTATCATTCTTATAGGCATTAATAATTGTTGTCTGCCATATGACTTTATACCATGGCTACTACTGGCTATGTCTAGTTGATAATCAAAAACAGAAGGACAAAGCCTACATTGCTTTGAGTAATAAATTTTGAATTAATTTCAGATTGGATTTTATGCTCCCTTCTCATTTAGGAAAGTCAACACTTTTTTAAAAATAATAATTATCAATTATTAATTTGTTATATCATTTCCTCTACCCTTAATTCAAAGTTTCAAAATAATCAAATGAATCTACTTACACAATTTATTAAACATTAAAAATCATCATTAAACAACATTAATCATTAACATCAACATTAAAAAACATCAAGAACCAAAAATTAATTATATAAATTTGTTTCTAAAATCATTCATAAGAATAATGCTTTGTCAAAGGTCAAGATCGTACAGAATCACACTTGGCTAGGATTCTCTGTTCAAACAGATCTTCAACATAGTAACAGTTAATTATGGAGGCTTAAGGTGTTTTCAATCAAATAAATGTTATCCTTCATTAAACATCTTGTCTCAGAGTTTTTCTTGGGAAGAGAACTGAAGGAAATAAATCTGTTAAAAGCCAGGAGCTTTTCTCCTTTGATGTGTCAATACAGTTCAATAAGCCAAATTGACAATTACGTGTTAATCATGTTTTAAGATAATAAATAAGTAATGAAAAAAATCTGAAAACAAGTGTGTAATAAGGATATGCTACTACATTTAAAATAATCATCAATTTTGACAGAGTTTGATGGGAGTTATTTTTTTAACTGCCTCCAAATTTTGTTTCATACAATGCTTGTATAGTTCATTATTAACAACTTTCAATCGATTTACCTCATTTCTTAGATTTTGTATGATAGAAGATGAAGTGTTTTTGTCACTATCAGATGAATTTCTAAAATTTAAGACTGGTAAATCTGTTCTATGAGACAAATTTAGTTCAACACTGTCATCATCAGTGTGTTTGAAATTACTAATATTTAAAGCACGATAATGGGCTGTAAATACAGATTTAAGAGTTTCAAAGCAAACTACGTTAATAACAGGTGATTTTGTCTTAATAGTTCGTACTAAATTTCGACACTGTATGTGCCATAGTTTAATAGTTTGATCAGTAGAAGCAGATATTAAAATTTGCTGATCTGGTGAATGTGTTAAGCTGGTCACAACATCTTCATGAAGGCACATTGTCTGAATTTCGTCATTACTGATACGACTCATGGAGTGGCCAATTAATGAAGAAAATTCAAGTTCTGATATAGTACCATTGTGCCCTCCGATAAACATTTTCTCTTGAGCTGCAGTAAAGGATGTTGGAACTTTATCCAAACTGACAGAGAGGAATTGTGTTCCTGAGTTGATATCAAATATACCAACTGTTTTGTCAGCTGAGCAAGATAACAACTTAAAACCATAAAAATTAAGTCCAATCACACTAAGAGAATGTGCAGATAATGTTTGTCTCGGTTTGGTAGGGGAATCAACGGCATTCATGTCTATTAAGTTCCATAATGTTACCAGTCCATCTTCTCCTCCACTAGCTACCAACATGGAGTCACTGCTGAATGTGATAAGACTAACATTTTGAAAATGTGCTGATCCAAACCCCATCAGAGCTCCTGTGCTAGCATGATAAATATAAAGTGTTTCTCTGACAGCCACTGCAATATATTCTCCTCGAACTGGAGACATAGCGATCGCGTTTACACCTCCAGGTGCTACAATCCGTTTGTTCATGGCATGTTGTTCACTCAATGCCCAGACAGGCATTTGAGCTTTACCTTTGTTGCAAATCATCATACATCCTCCACTGACAGCAAGACCATGTTGAGCAGGAACTGCATCTCCTTTATATGACATCAAGCAGGTTCCAGTATAAGCATCCCAAGCATTTGCAATTTCAAGTTTTGAATCAGAACTTGAAATAATGACGACTGTTTCAGTATGCATGATGATTCCAATATAAAACAAAAAGAAAATTCAACACCTAAAAAATGAAAATGTAGCTTTAAAACACATGTATAACAGAAAAGTTGGATATTTTTTTTTTATTTACAAAGAACATAAACAAAATTACCTAAGTATGTAAAAAAAAAAAAATTAAAAAGCCTGCTGAAATGGAAAAATGATAACAATAGGTTACAAAATATGTATCAGCTAAGCAATCCATACTAATATGAAGAGAATTACATTTAGAAAAATTAAACAAATAACTAGAGAATCGGTTAGATGCCCTTCATACAAGAAGAAACATGTCTGATATAATATTTATACCCGGCCTTATAATAATAATGTTGACTTCCCAGAACTGCTATCATACCTCAATTTTCATGTCCCATCTGTATACACCTGCAGGAAAACAGTGTTCTACCGTGTACAGTATTCTCCTATACCAACTACACATCTCGCTTTCCCATAATACAGGATGATGGATCAGGTCAATAACCTAACAGTATAGATATTAATAATTCATCTAAATCTAGTTTGAGGAATTTGACAGGAACTTCAAGGTCAATTAGTACATCTGGTGTATATGTATAATTAATTAATCTTATTTACAATTCTTTTTATTTACTAATCAAATCTCAAATATTACTTTTGTAATAAAATATTGGTATATAAATTATACTGTATGTTATTATTTTTATTAGTGTAATGTTTAATATTTCAATGTTTTTCATATTTTAAATGTTCTTTACCTTTCCTGTGGTATTATGGTAATGGGCTATTGCCTGTAAATAAATAAATAAAACAGAAATTCTTTCCAGAATTTTGAGATAAGACTTGATTGATAAAGGGAAAATCTTACTTAAAAAAGTGTTTGTTGTATTCAACACCCACGCATGACAATATGAACATTTATAAACTTTGGTAATGTCATTTAGAATGATATCTGAATAAAATTAATATTTTTGATGAAAAATTGCTAGATTTGGAATTATAATGTTCAGCTATAAAAAGTAGTATCCTATTCAAATGTTTACCGTATTCAGCAAAACAAAATTAAGGCATCAAAACTAATGTTTTCATCTAGTCTAACACAAGTCTATCTTAATTTTGTCCAAAATATGGAATAATCATCATCTACCTACTACAAACTACAAGATACTATAAAATCCTTGCTATTAACATTATTTAAGATTTGACAATTAATGATAAATGAAGTGAACCTGGCAAGAAAGAAGAAACCAAATTTTAAAGATAAACAAAAACCAGGTAATTTCAGTTAAACAACATAAACCAAATAAATCAACTCGATTGATCCCAAGAAAAAAATTGTAGTGAATTTTTGTATATTAACTAATATGTTACAATGTCTCCGGAATATTTTCTTGTCAATATACGGTACTGATCAGACTAATATAAAAAATTTCAAATACCAAACTATCTTTTAATGTGTAATGAAATTTACATTTTTTTCTTATAATGCAGTTTTAATAAATAAACTAGTAAATGACCACCACAATTAGGTCTAATCGAAGCACTGTTTTTATTTTGCCAAGTTTTCGTTTATTTTATAAACAAAACAGGGCATTTAAAAACTAAAAAATGTCGATATAAAAGCTGTTCTTTAATTGAACCTAACAGATCTATAATATAGTATATATACCAGAAAGGACAATAACTACAATAATAATGAAGAACACAGTTTCAATAGATTTAACAGCAAATTTTAAAACCAAACTAATTAAGTTTGTACTATTTCAACTACACTTTGATACTTCCAATAACATAAACAAAATTCATCGTGAAAAAGCTTTGAATAGGGCAAAACATACAGAGGTTTTACTTGTAGAAGGCAATTTTCGATAAGCACTTATTGTTCTATAAACCCAGCCTTTCCCAGGACTTTAACCATAAAGATTCTCGTTGTGTTTTCAAAGTAAGAGAAGAATTGGTATATTCGAAATTCAAACCCTGGGTTAATAAATGGCTCATACAACAAAATCTATTCACTCTGTAACAGTAATGCCAAGGAAGATCTGTATCACTTTCTGGGAGTTTGCTCACTACTTTCAGAATTACGGGTACCTTACTTAGGAAAGCTTGTCATTTTGCAAGATGAAATACTGGAATGTCTTTCCAATAAAAAAAATCTCCTTTATCGCTAATATCCTTTGCTCAGCATGCCTGAAGAATGAGATACGAGCGGCTTTCAGATATGCAATAAAAGTCGTTTTACTTTTAATGTTTGGTTTTTTCTTGAACTATTAGTTCTCAAAAAGTAATGTTTTCTTTAAATTCCTATTCTTTTTTCATTTTATTTTATTTTTATTTTTTATTTGGGGGGGGGGTTCCTGACAGCTACTAGCTATGCTTATTATACTTTGTAACATTTGTTGTATTTTTCAGTTTTAATAAATTATTATTATATTAGCTCAAAACCAACAAATTTTCAGTGTTATTTTCAAAAGTTCTTTTTTCATGTTCGTACCTAGTATGAAAAACTAATAATTTTCTACGCATTGTAGTTATTTTATAAGACGTAAAATGATAATGGTAACTTGTACTATTAAAGACATCACAACCAGAAAATCTTTTATGTTTTAAGGTTCAAAATTAACTGTAAAGTTTGTTCACATGATGTTATTGGTTTAACTAAAAACTGAACATGTACACATGTACTTACTTTTGGGCTAAGCCAACACTAACTTTTACATAGCCAAATGCTATATTTTATATAGCATAAATACTACGTAACTTTTTATTGTAAAAATATACAACTATTTCAGACTTTCGAAGTATTTTAACCTTCTCTAAACTAAAGTCAAACAATGAGATTGAATGTTTACAATACTATTGAAAATTATCGACCGACTGATCGATTTTTTTTAAATAGTTTCGTTTTTTCCAACAATGCTCTAGTGCCACTAATACGTAACCAAAAGTTAGGCAAATAAGTACTTGTTTGAAAGGGTTTTAAAAATTAGAGCGGTGAAGGATTATGTAGTGACTGTCTGAAATTTGATCGTTACCATATGATTTTGAACTGCATGTCTTCAGAAAACAGAAGCCAACATAATTTTAAATATATAACACATCTTTGTAATTTCTCCTTAACTTCATAAACTTTTCCCTCTGCGTGGATGAAAGCTGTTGTTTTACCCTTTCCTAAAGTTTCATCATCGTCATCCCCAGAGATTTTCGCCCTATAAGTATCTCCTACCCTGGTTATCTAAAGCTCTACAAATCATTATGTTTAAACATTAACAACTTTCTTGATACTCAATCATGACTACTTATTTGGAAACTTGAACATTTATTTGGTTTTTCATCCCCTATTTTTAAATTAATATTCTCTTACTTTTCATGTTGTAAGCAAGCTGTCAAAGTACCTAATAACAAACATCTTATCTTCCTGTTACGTCTGGCGTTCCTCAAGGAGCGATTTTAGGACCCTTGTTGTTTTCAGTTTTTATTAACGACGTCCCTTCTTTTTTAAATTACACCGAATTTCACTTATTTGTTGATTATATCCAAATCTACACACAATGCCCCCTCAGTTAATCCCTGATTCCATTCATCTCATTAACGAAGACCTTTCTAGCTTGGTTAATTGAGCTTCAAAACATGGTCTCAAACTTCACCCATTCAAATCCGAATTGATAATTATGTGTAACACACATCTGCCAACTGAGGATTTTCCTTGCATTACTCTTGATAGCTCTCCAGCCTCTCTCTCCTACACTAAAACTTAGTCTAGTCAAAACTCTTATGTTACTCTTTTTTAACTATTACAGTACTTTATACTCTTGTTCAATTAATTACACTTCTACTAAAAAAATTATACTTTTTTAATAATTGCACAAGATTTGTATTAAGGTGTGATGTTTAGTGGCCATTAGCCAATGACTATTTGGAGATCGTGAGATGCGTCACACACCAGTCTGCATCTCACGATCTCCAAATAGTCATTTGTATTAAGTTCATGAAGAAGATAGTACATCTCAACAGATGGCAAGTTCATTCTGAGTATTAATTTATTTGATTATCTTAAACTCAGATCTCTTATTTAATTATTTAAAATTAAAAATAAACTCTGCCCATCATACTTATTTATTATATTCTATGGTAATTCTTCCCATAGTTACAATATTAAAAAAACCTGTATCATAGATTCCAATCTATAAATGATTCATTTAGAGTTGCTGGGGCGCGACTGTGGAATTTACTTTTGCAGCATGTTAGGTTTGGCCACCCTCTTCGGGCATTCAGGCATGAAGCTTTCAATCTTTTGATTTGATCAAACAAATTTAACATGAACTTGTTGCTATTCTCGTTTATCTTAATTACAAATTAATTAACTAATTTTTTGCCTCAGGGATTGACCCCAGTGATATAATTTAGAATGTATAACATATAAAGAACATAATATAATATAGAACGCATAACATCTTCACATAAACATAGAACACATCTTCCAGCAAACTTAAACTAATAACATAATAATAATAATAATAATAATAGTAAAAAGCTTTATAGCACTCAGAAGAGATATAGCTAACCTAAGATAGAAAGTTTGGATGTTAGGGTGTGAAATGACCTTAGCTGTTAAAACGCCCTTAAAAATTAATAATAATAATAATAAATATAAAATTGACAAAATAAGATTTGCCCTTTGTATACTTTCATGCAGAATCCCAAAATTTATGCAAAAATCCATTCAAGTCCCGACATTAACTGGAACTCAGTGGACCCACTACTACCTCATATCAGTTTTGGTAGTCAGTTGAAATTTTGAAGTAGGTCCTTTGCTAATAGATAGCTTTGATAATGTTGAATTTAAATAAAATCCAGAGAAGTTATGAATTTTTAAGTGGAAAACTGAACATCTGTAAAAGTAAATAAATCTATATTATATTACTATTTTATCTTTCATATTTTATATCAACAATTTATACATTCACACAGATATCATGCATATATATTGCTTATAAATAAACAATCAAACATGTGATATATTTACATATATGTACATATAAATTATTCCATGTGTTTAGCACAAATATTGACTTTTTTTCTTTAGATTAATGAATTCGGGCTATTTTTTATTTGTTAATTGTATTTAAATTGACTACAAGTAAGTGTAATGGAGCAAGAAGGAGTGACTGCAAGTTCAGCCCCAGATGTACTTGAATCGGCTAGTAAAAATAAGACTGCGGATTTCGCTGATAGAACATCAGATAAAAATTTCTCTCCTAGTGGAATGGCAAATGATGAAAAGGAATACTCTACTTCAGGAACAAAAAGAGAAAGTTTAACTGCAAGCCCTAAAGACAAGTTCAGTCTTAAAAGTGACTCTAGTAGTAACTTTCAAAAGAGTAATCCGTCATATCATTCTATAAAAGCAGAATTACCTCTAAAAACTACAGCAAATTTACCAGACTATATGGGCCGGGCTAGTATCATCCCAGTGAGAAGCTTCACTTCAAACGATTCAAAAATATCTGTATATTCTAAAGATGATTATAATAGTCTTGATAAAACTATGAGTATGCTTCGACAAGAGCAAGAAGCTGAAATGTATAATTGGGAGAGTATAATAAACGAAAAGCTGGACAGGGACAGTTGGACTGGAGGATTTGGTATTTCACCCAAGAAAAAGCTTATACAACCTTTTCAACATTTAACTGAACTCAATGGAAAAAGCTCTGATATAAACATAGCTGCAAACCACTCCAGTTTAGAACCTTACAATGCTTTTTTTGATGAACCAACAACAAAGTTAACTAGATCATCTCTTTATTCAGAATTTTCTGATACCATCAGCCTTCCAGAAACATACATCTCTGAGTATGTATTAATATATATTTTTTTAAATTTTATTATAGATCAGTGATCCAATCACAAAAAGAAAACACACATTATATACATTTTTCATATACATATTAGTTAATGTTATAAAATTAATAAAACATTCAAATAACAGTACCATAGTTCACTAACCAAAATATTACTCATTTTATTTGGATATTTATTATTATTATTTTTTTAATCTAGCAGAAATTTTTTAATTGTTGTATGATTATATTTGTGTACAGTAGGCATTACACAGATGTAGAAATCTATTGATAGGTTGATGCTTTAATTAATTGGTTCTGCAGAATGAATTGTTAAATGGAAGAGGATTTCGGATCTGGTGCTTAGGAACACAGACAAATTAGATGGCAGTCAATTAAAATATCTGAGGACAGTCAATTAGAGATTGGTGTGGTATTCCTGCTTTAAAAGCTAAAAATCATTAAAAATTTACACTAAATTTTCTTAACAAGGATGAGTGAGAAGAACAAAAAGTACTCCAAATAATACTGGTACATTCCAGGGAAGATCAAAAAAGAGTTTTATATAAGAAAGCAAGTTGGTTTAGACTGAAAAATTTCTTGTATTACAATGTAGTAAACCAAGGGTTTCCAAAGATTTACTCTTTACATGGTAATATGGCTTATAAAAGTAAATTTGGAATCAAACAAAACCCTTAGTTCTTTGATTAAGGCAACTCTATTCAGACAAATTTGAAAATTATGATACATTACATTTAGAGAAGTTAAAATGAGATTATTATTTTCATGACTCCACTTTAATACTGTATCAATCCTACTTTGAACAAGATCCGAGAGAAGATAATGATAAGAAAATTTTTAAATCATCTACAATAATAGAAAAATTATATCAGAGAATACACACTTGATATCATTTATAAAAATGAAAAACAATATCAGGTCCAAAAGAGATCCTTGTCAAACTACAGATAATACTGGTATTAGGTTAGAGGATTTTTTTTTTTTTTTTTACTACAAATATACGTTATAAGCTTGCAGTACAATAGTTAATTCAACCATAAATGTGTTTGGTAAACATTTGATAACAATTGAGCATTCTTGCTATCTGCATCCAAATATCTGTTGAAGGATCCTCAATTTATTAACCCCAGTACAAACTCTGAACCACTCATTATACCATTCAACATCATCCACTACCTGAACTTTTTCTATTCCAACAATTCCACAATAGTGCGGCCATTAAGAATTAGAGACTACTCACAGAAAGTATGAGAATCACCTATTCCCTTGTTGTTAGATCTTGTCCATCCTGACCATTGAAGATAGGCTCTAGGGACTATCAACAAATTTTTTCAGCCCCCAACTTATGCATTTTGTAACCAAAACACACTCTCACTCATTCTTAAATATATTCTTACTTATTTACATACCATTCACTCAAGTATGGATAACTCAATATTCCTCCATTACCCTTTACATATACTACATATCGAATGTAATTTATGCTTACTCTAATATTAATCTTATTTATGAATACTCAACATTCAGCCATCAGTCCTCTTGCATTGCACATCCACACCAATATAAAAATTCTCATGAAACAACACAAGTCCATCTATTACAAAACTTTAAAAAAAATAAATAAATAAAATTAACTTAAAAAAAGCACTCCGGGTTCCTACAAAAATTGGGATAGGAGAGAATACTTGCTGCCGTGAATGAGCAAAATACTCATATCAGGTGGTATTCTTACTTTCTTTCTATACAGAGCCAATGACACCCTTCAATTATATGGGACATATTGAGTAACCCTTCTCTACATGTTGGACACGTACACACATTTTGGCGCAAAATAAACTAAAAGTCAACCGTGTATGGGCAGAGTTGGGTTAGAATCATCCATTTTGGGACATTTAAATTCTCTAGAGCTTCCTATTAATGGTGCTCTTGATGTGTAAGATCTCAAGCAACTCTTGCAGCTATTACAGAAAATCAACATTTATACTTCAATATTTTATTTAAAACATTTTAAAGTTTTTAATCTCACAGATAAAACTATGCTTTAACACTGGTGATCAAATAGTCACCCTGAAGGAATGAAGTATAAAAAATTTATTAACATGCTGTAGGCACACATTAAGAAACTCAAATGAATCATTTCAGTCTTCAAATAAATATGGTATACTACATAAAGACAGTTAGAATTTATATTAGAATAATGCCACACAATTGAAATGATTACATGTCATTAAGCAAAGAACCAATTATTTAAGATTATGGTGAAATATTTCATATTATGGCATGTAATGTTAATTGGTAGTAATATATAAAAGGGATTGTTAATGGTTACCCATTTTCTGGGACACCCAATGAGTGATTAAGTAAGCCATCCTGTGTGAAAGGAATTAGTTATTTTCTTACTTCAAGAAACGACAGTCACTTTGCATCAAGTACCAATATTTAAAATATGCAAGTTTATAATTATTAACCAATACTACATTTAAATTTAACATACACAGTAAATTGACTTTACTGTTGATATTCTTAGCATGAAATTTAACTTTTTGACACATTTGTTTAGATCTGAATTAGCTGAAAAACCAGAATTGTGTAAGACATTTCAAGAAAGGCAAAATGAACGTACAAAACGATTAGCAGTGAAAATGCTAAATGTTATCGATTCTCTTGCTCCTACAAAATAGTAAGAATTCTAATGCGTTTTAAACAATTTTTTTTGTTTTTTTGTTTTTTTTACTAAGAAAATTTGTATAGTGTCTTGCCAACATATCAAACAACTAAATACACTATACCTGTGTCAATGCACACTTTCAAATTAAATCGAGTTCGACTACATGAAAGGATGAAAAGTGAAGATCCTAGAGGATTTATACTATTGAAAGGAGGAGAAATAGTGAATCAATATAACACCAATTCCACTTATACATTCAGACAGGTAAACGATAAATTTTTTATGAAAATGTTTTGAAAAGAAAATTTGCAAATGACAGGAACCATTCTTCCACTGGACCTTTGGTGTGAGGCATCCATCGTTTTGGGGTGGTATTTGTTTAAGAACAGGTTCATCATTTTTGTTTATCCCAAGGAGTTCGGAAAGAGATGAGACATGGAAGCGTAAAACACCGTCTCCTAATGATTATAAACAAATGTATGGAGTTTCAAAGGTCATGTATGAAAATGAGGTAAATTATTTATTTTATATTAATTGAACTATTTATTTGAAGTACTTATATAATGCTTTGAAGTAAAAATATAGTGATTGAAATAATAACCCTAAACTTAAAAATATCTAAAAATATAAATAAAATTAATGAACACAATGAACAATATATGTAAATTATCTGTCCCATTGAATAAAATGAAACACTTCATTTCTCCTTTTCCCATATTTTGAGTGATACTGCAGCCATCTTCTTCATATTTACTAAATCTTGTTTCAAACCTTTCCTTTGAAATTGTAAGACTCATGTGTCCAAGTCTGCCTATTATAAACACACCACCTCTTTTGTTAATGTGATCATAGAGATTGGCTGGTGCATACGTTATTCAGCATCCTATCCTCCTAGTTTAACACATTGCTGTTTTTAGTTCATTACAGCAACACCTTTTTTACTTACCCACTCTTATTTTAGAACTAAACTCATTAAAGATTTTTTAGAAGTCTCTTTACTTTTTATTACTATAATATTAGACTATTTTTACTTCGTTTTCATTGAATTTGTTTTCAAAAATCTTGATTTATTATATTAACTCTAAATATTCTGAGTGATGTATGGACAGATTTATTAATGACCTTTTCTTCTAATTGTGTAAATTAAACAGAAAAGAAAAGTACATAAAATGTTCTTGTGATTATGTATTTAACAAATACAACAAACAGTAAAACTAATAGTTATTTTTTTTATTTGTTATTTTAGTTACAGCTCCCAGATATTCCTTTCCAATTATAAATGTAACTATTATTTTTCTTCATTTAGATGGATTCTGTTTTGACAAAATATAATCCAAGAAAATTATTTCTACTGGTAAGCTTAATTCAATTACTTATTACAAAATAATTAAAGTTGTATTGATTAATTATTAATATGCTTTAACAATTAATTTCAAATTTTATTTTATTGTTACCTTTATTTTTGTATCGTTTTTAAAAAATTATCATTTGGTTTTTCCAATTTAACTTAGGTGTACCTCCTCTCATAGGAAGAGGTTAGTAACACTTAGCTTTTTAAAGTTGGTGGTGAGGTGGGTCAATGGCCACAATGTTAGGCATTGACATGGAGCTGATTATTGTAAAGTGAAGGTCCCGTATTTACAAATGGACTTTTTTTCTAAAATAAAGGTACCACGATTGTTCGGATAACCTTGTAGTTGAAATGCAACAAACCAAAAGGGCGAAAACTAAATGAACTGAAAAACTTTTGAATAATTGAAAAAAAAATCAGAGAAAAAGACCCTCAAATATGGGGGTCTTTTTCATATTCAAATTCATATTCATTTTCATATTCAAAAACGCATATTCTCACCATCGAAAACACAAAACTTAAATGTTCTGAGGAAGGCAACATTTAAATAAAAATATTAATAAAATATTAACAGTCACTAAATACCACACATTTGATGGAAATCTAACCCTGACAGAATAGACAAACCCAGTTGAATGATAAAGTGGTCTCAACCTTTGCTATAATATTCTGTCATAAATTCACTTTTATCGTTTAAAGAGATTTTTTAAAAAGAAATTATCACAAATGTCTATCTTGGTTAATATTTTGTAACAGTACTAAGTAGAAACCTGAATTATTCAGAAGTTCTATTAAGATGATTACTTTAATTAGCCATAAAAGAGGTAACAAACAGCCTTGTGTTATTATTTTGTGGACAGCCTCGTTTGACATTAATTCTAAGAGTGCTACCACCTAACACATATTGACCATCCTTCCTTCCAAATAGGTCTTCACCCGGTGATGGTCAACATTGTAATTATCTAATGCTGATCTAATGCAAGAAGTATCAGCATTATCAAATGCCCCTTGGATATCGAAGAAGCAACCTAGTTTATATTCATTATTAAATAATGATTTCTCAATCCTGCCTATCAGTGAATGCAAAGCAGTTTCCACTGATTTTCCTGGTAAATAGGCATGCTGATTGGGATGTATCATTGTATTAATTCCACAATCATGTCTAATATATCTATCTAAAATTTTCTCTATTATTTTTTATGAAAATAGAAGATATACTTATGTAGGTCTATAAGATTTAGGTAATTGATATGAGGCCTTACCTGGTTTGGATAAGAAAATTACCCTTATTTCCTTCCAGCATTTTGGTATATGTCCCAATGCCAGACTACTCCTTAGGAGATCCTACACTGTACTAGATAGACTAGGTGTATCCTGTTGAAGGAGGGCAGGGAATATTCCATCCACCCTGGCTGCCTTGTATTTCTTGGAAGAATGTACTGCCCATTTGTAGGCCTCCCAAGAAATTACCTCAGTCAATTATTTTCAGATGATGGTACCATAATGCTAACAGGTAGGGATCCCCTGACTCTCATTTCTGATGGAAAATGCCAAGGGATTGCTTTATGAGTGGTGTTGTGATAAAGGATTTCAACTAATCCAGCTAAACTGGAATTGATAATGTTTAGTAGGAGAAGAACGTTAGGTAATTTTAAAAACCCTAAATTTCAGGACATAGAATTAAAGTTAGTGGATTCAATCAAATTCCTTGGTGTGAAGCATGACAGGAAACTTGATTGGAAAGGTCATATTAATAACATATACAGGAAAGGCACAATATATATCAATGGTAGCCAAATTGCTATATACTGCCATTCTACCTAGATTATTTTTTGCAGCTTTAGTATGGTGGAAAGGTCTAGAAAATAAAGGGAACAGTAACAAATTAAGGTCATTTCAAAGACTAGTTGTTTGATGATGACAGGAGCATTTACAACTACACCCACCCTCACACTTGAAATCACAACCAATACCACACCTTTTCACATTGAGGTTAAGGTCAGAGCACTAATCAGCTGCTGCATATTAATTAGCAAAGGCAGCTGGAATCATAAGTGCAATAACAGATGTCACTCGAAAATCTCACAACTATTGAGTAAGATTAACGGTCAATTATTAACCGTTAGTGTTAAAAAGATTAAAACCCCTTCGGGGAAAAAGTACTTTCAAATAGTCACCCCTTGTGAATATAATTATAGTTTGGATGATGACCATCGCAACATAGTCTGCTATACAGATGGTTCACTTATCAAAGGTAGAGGGAGTGGTGCAGGAATCTACATGCTTAAATTAGGAATCAGCATCTCCTCCCCCCTCTTGACAATAACACCTCCGTTTTTCAGGTGGAAATTTGGACCATTAATGTATGTTGTAGAACACTTATGGAAAATAAAATTAAGGGAAAAGATATTAGAATTTTTTCTGACAGTCAGGCTAGTCTTAGGTCATTATAAAAAGATTTGTCAACCTCTAGACTGGTGGAGGAAACTGTAGATATTACCAATAGGATCTCTTCCAAGTTTGAGAACAAGGTAACCCTTATTTGGATACCAGCATATAAAGGACACCATGGCAATGAAAAGGCAGATGGCCTAGCCAAGAAGGTTCTAATACTGCGTTTGTTGGACCACAACCGGTATTACCTCACTCTATGAGAACAGCGAAAGAGAGTATTAATAACTGGGGCATGAAACAATTCCTTAAGGAGTGGAATTTATCCCTCGGACACAGGCAATCGAAAGAGTTTGTTAAGGTGATCAAACCAGCAGAATCGAAATGGCTATTCTCTATCTCAAGGAAGGGAATTAGGAGGCTGATAGGTATCCTGACGGGCCACTGCCCACTGAGAAGACACCTCTTTGTAATGGGTATTCTACCAGATCCCTTTTGCCGTTTTTGCGAAATAAAATAAGAAACGGCAAGGCACTACCTCACAGAGTGTGATAGGTATGCTAGGTCCACAGATTTGCAATCTTTGAAGGAGCAGACATCACCAAATCACTCCCTGAGATAAAATGGTCCAAAATCTTGGGGTTTGTGAACAAGTCCAAGAGATTTATGCAGGACACTTGAGCTGACCAAGTCCCGGACTTTTTACGGATGGGGTACGTGTCTACCCAGGCATTTAACACCCCTCGGGTTTTGGTCGCCCACCCCGTGTAGTAGCATAGTATATATANTATATATATATATAAACAGTACTAAGTACATTTCATTTAAAAATATATTAAACATTTTATTAGAAAATTGTATTTTATTGAACTTCCCAACAAAATGAAAAAAAAAAAAAGTAAATTAAATGAAAACAATGTAAACAATGAAAAATTACCCAAATATAAATGAACTTATACATATTTATTTATTTTTATTTCTAAATAATTAAATCTATTATATTATATAGTGTGGAATGAATTCAGACAGTGGGCTTGTGCTCAACCAACCAATTCTTCCTGTCGATACAACGTGAGTTATTTACACAACATAACAAAGTGCAAGATTAGTTGCAATATACCTTTATTAATATATCTTTAGAGACGAACCAATAGAAGACTTAGTTAATAATACTTTTGTTTTCCTTATTTCAGGATTGAAATTGACACGAAGACATTATATCCAATTATGTGTGAATTGTAAGTTTAATTACAAATTAACCAACTTCTGCAATTATGTTTAATATTGTACTATTTTATACAGAAGAGTGATTAAGAATGATTATGAAATTGAACTTATAAGACAAGCATGTATTGTATCATCAGATGCTCACAAATACATCATGCACAGTATGGTTGGAATGGTTGGCTATTATGAATATCAAGCACAATCTCTTTTTATTCATTATTGTTCATATATGGGAGGGTGCAGGACAACTGCGTACAATTGCATTTGTGGCACAGACCCTAATGCTGCAATACTACACTACGGCCAGACTAGTATGGACAACAATAAAATTTTAAAAAGTGGTGATTTATGGTAACCCAATACTTAACAAGTCAATTTTAATTAATTAAATATTAAGAAATTTTAATGTTAAAGTATTTTCGATATGGGAGTTTCATACTATGGGTATGCTTCTGATATTACATGCACTTATCCTATAAATGGAAAATTTACTGATGATCAAAAAGTAATATATAATGCTGTGCTTAAAGGAAGGGAGAGAGCACTCGAGGTAATCAGACCAGGTAAACTAAATGCATTACAGTGTTGCTACTTACATGTTCAAAGAAAACTTAATTTTATGAAAGGGATTGGATGGGATCAAGTTCACCTGGAAGTCCTAGCAGCAATATTTACAGAAATGAGACAAGAAGCTTTACTATTTGGAGATGTGGATGAGATGATAGAGGCATGTATAAAAAATATATATTTGATTAAAATATTTTGTTTTATTATTTGAATTGCAGGCAGAACTAGGAGCTGTGTTCATGCCTCATGGAATTGGACATTTGTTAGGGATTGATGTACACGATGTAGGTGGATACAATTTGAACACCCCACCAAAACCAACTCGACGGAGTCTAATAAATTTAAGAACATGCAGGCGCCTTACAAAAAACATGGTCTTAACTATTGAACCTGGTTGCTATTTCATTGAAAAAGTATATTACAAATAAAATTAATCAATATCTACAATTCTAACATCTAACTTAAATTTTCAGTTGCTAGAAGAAGCTGATGAAAATAAAAAATTGGCAAAGTTCATAAACTTCCAGAGAATAAGCCAATACGGAAATTTTAGAGGTATACGGATAGAAGATGTTGTATTAGTAACAGAGTTTGGATGTGAAGTACTGTCAGATGTTCCTCGAAGGTTAACAAATGACTTTTTAACAAATATTTTCTTCTTTTTCGCTTATTTTATTTTTTAAAAGTTTTTATTTTTTGGCTTAATAATAAAACAAACAGTTTCCTTATTATTTTATTTCTACAGAAAATTAATTTTTAAGGGCACTTCGTAAGAATCACTTGTTCAAAAAGAAAGGGAAAAAGTTTGAAATAATGATAAAAACAACAAGATTGAAGAGAAGTGCCTCCAAAAATGGACTTTTTTCATAAATAAAAGAATAGAGAAACTGGTTGTATTTTGTAATGGTAATGTTGAATTTGATATTTCAAATATTTTGACTAGTCTACTACCTTCTCAAAAATGTAGTTCTAAAACATTCATCACCATTTCAGAAGTAGTCCTAACTCCTTTTTGAATAAGGATTCCAAAGCTTTTTTACACAGCAACCTATTGTGGAACCGCTGTGATTATACCTTTGAAAGTGCACTTTTTAGTACAAATCTAAGCACTTTACTTGTGCCTCTTTGCACACCTCTTTTACCGTAATAAGCTAATGCTTCACAATCACAAAGGTGCCGATGTTTCATGTTTCTCCTGATAGAGCCAACATGTTTTTGTCTACTTTTACATCTTATTTAGGATATAGTTAGGAGGGCAGTATAAAGGTCTATATAATTTCCCAAATCCTCCCTGCTGAAAGAGTTCCTTCGCCTTCATTTTTGAGAAAGGTATAAATATCTTTGCCTGCCTCATGCCTGGCACTGTTATTCTATGATTGAGTTTTTATTTCTACCAATACACATTATTGTCTTCCAACATTTATAAATCTTCATAATTTACTTATGTATTTATCTATTTTTTAGTGTTGATGAAATAGAAGCTTGGATGAATTCCCAGCCACTGGAAGGTGGATTTGATCAGTACATCGGGGATGATCACTTGCCTTGCCTCTGTGCAAAAGAGCCCCCACCTATTTCTCAGTTGAGAATACCTACAGGAGATATTATAAAACGTATTTGTGGTTGCAAGGATGAAATTCGAAGCACTTCTTCAGCTGAAACACTGCATTATGACAAAAATATATGTTCTTCAAGGGACTCTGTGTCTGAAGTAATTGAAGCTGAAAAATTCTCAAGTAAAGATCATGTAATAGAAAAGGAGTGTGACGAGGTAAAGCCTGAATCAGAACAAAGTGAAATAGATTTAGAAGAATATTATGGTGGTGAAGAAATTGATCAGGCATACTGGAAATCAAAAATACCATTTGTTGTATCAGATACAAGTTCTTCTGCTTCATCAAAACATAAATATAGCACAACAAACAGGCAAAATAAAGGTTTTGGGAACAGAGACAAAGCAGAAGAAGGCAATTCTTTCCAGCATCCTAAAGCCCCACCACCTACTAAACCTATTCCATCAACATTAAGCCAACCACAGGATCCAAATCAAAAAGGCATAAACCCTTTCCCTGTGCCCCATGCAATTTCATCAAATCCTCATGCCAGGGATGAAGATCTACTCATTGTTACAGAAAAAGAATCAAAAAATTCCAAACTTAAATAAAGTTTACTATTTAACAGATTTAAATACTTAGTATAGTATTTTATTTATCAATGGACAACCACACCCTTTTTTATAATATCAAGTGTAGAATACAAATAATAATAATAATAAAATATAAACAATACTTGATATAATGCATTAGGGGCTCTGCCTTGCTTCACATACCAACCCTTGGGCCGCTACATAGCAGCTCGCAGCTTTGTTGTTCCCTTCCCCCCCCATTACCTTTCTATCTGTCTGACAGAACTCAGAGAGTTAGAGCTTCATATTCTATCTCCTCTTCTCTCTCAATTTCAGCTGGTGTACTCAAGGCTCTATTCTTGGACCTTTACTCTTTTCCATGTTTCTAAATGAGCTTCCTATAGTTCTTAATCATATCCTTTTCTTACTCCTCCTTTTCTTTTTCCCGTTTCCTTTTTACGTTTTTGTCTTTTTATTTCCTAATGTGGTTTCATGATTCAAGTTTAATAATTATTTTAAAGAATATACTATTGTCATCATTATTTTATTATCATTATTACTGATATTACACTATTATTTTAGGATGTTCATAAAATTAAACTTATTTCTACAATATGTACGTGCTTTGACACAAAGTAGACACCTTGGTAGGTGCTGATGTCAAAGTGGAGTCACCATCAAATTATGAGATTTCATTTGGTTTAAAACATTCTGGCATACAAATTAAGATATTATTTGGAATGATGAAAAACAATTTTTTCAATAATTTTTTCATTTGCCTCGGAATTCATTTTCTTAAACATTTTTTATACTCTCCCACCCAAGGGTAATTTTTTGTCATAATTAGTATAATACGAAATGGTATTCCAATTAAAAGTATAAAAAATACTTTTCATTATAATAATCTTAATTGATTTTTCTTTTCTTTTTTGGTGGTCTGTGTAGTGAAGAATGTACATTATATAGCAATACACAATTTGGTTGTTACATTTTAGACTATAAGATGCTTGGTAAAAGCCATATTACAAATTGCTGCCAAAAACACTCCGTTGGTATCTTGTACAGTAAAATTGAAAATATAACCAAATGTTAGTAATTACTGAGGAAGTTCACTAACCTGATTTTCTCTCAAGTTACAAAGTTTTATTTTGTATACTGTTCATTTATTATTATTCTGGCTAATTAATGTCATTTACTTAGTTAAATTAATGGATGTAAATAATAATTGAAAATTAATTGCTAAATTGTATCTCTTCCCTCCACACGCCAGCTTTGTCAGTTGTTCTAGGTAACTTTGCTGACATGACACGTAGAATGGGTGGGTGAAAGATCTTGCCCATGCTTCAAAACAAAACTTTTATTTATTTTGGATAAAGCCATAAATTTGAGAATTGTAAGTACATGTTTAAATTATTATTAATAGTTGTGAAAGTAGTAATGCATGTCAAAAGTAAGATTGAACAATGGCCCTCTGAGAGTCTTTAACAAAGGAAGGGATCGAGCTCACCTGTTTGAGGATAGGCCATACTTGAATGATACACATACATCTTTTTATACCATCCCTAATCATCTTTTTATAGGGAGTTAGTAAGTGCATCCGACATAAAAACAGCCCTTGGATGTGAGAGTAGGTTGTTGAGTACCCTGTTCCAATTTTTAGGGAAACATGTTTCCCAAATTTAATCTGCAAATATTGTTTGTATTAATTATTTATTGAATATATTTTTTGTAATTGTACAGTTCGTATGAATGAGTAAGTGAATGGGCCTATGGAATAATGAGTACCCCATCAGCACTTTGGCATCTGAAATGATACCATTGATGGTAGCCTGCATTAAAAAATGAAGGGGACATATTCATCAATAGTTTTACAAAGGAACTGAGTTTTTTAAATATTTTAATGCATTTTTAAATGCATCTTATCACTTATATTTTCTATACAGTTGTAACTTTAATAGTTAGAAATAAAGAAAAAAAATGTTTTAAAATAAAACAGTGTGTATATATATATATATATATATATATATATATATCCTATGGAGGACAGAAAGCAACACGGTGTTGACCGTCCCATAGACCAAATTCACCAAGTAACGGACATAATAGGAAAATCTCTTGAAAAAATTTGTTCTGCTATCTTCCTTGATGACTCACATTTCACAAGCTTTTGACAAGGTTTGACATGGACTCATTAATAAACTAAAAGGGATATCAAAGCAATAAGCCGATATTATCAGTTCCTAACTGACAGACTGTTTAGTCAAACAAGAAGATCAATATTCAAAATACAAAACAATAAATGCAGGAATGCCACAAGGTAGCATATTAGGTCCACTTCTTTACTTGTTATACACCAGTGATTTTCCGAAAATACATAGAGTAAAAATTGCAACACTTGCAGATGACACAGTGGTGGACCGACTATCACCCATTCAACCGAACTCCTCCAAAATACTTGTAATAAGATAAACGAATGGACAAAAGAATAGAAAATCAACTAAATCAGCATAAATCAGTTCATCTCATCTTTACAAACAAAAAGTGGACCATGTTCTGTCACTCACAATCAATTGAACTACTATACCATACAGCGATACAGCTAAATATCTGGGAATGACCTTAGATGCCAAGATGAGATGAAAAGAACATGTGAAGAAAAAAAGGACAAAGTATAGACAACTATACTGGTTGATAGGTCGTGGCTCCAACCTTGCTATACAAAATAAAATATTATTATATACACAAGTCATAAAGCCTATGTGGACATATGGTATTCAACTATGGGGTTGTACCAAACACAGCAATATCAAAATCAAACACTCCAAAATAAAATCATACGTAACATGGTCAATGCACCTTGGTGCATAAGGAATAAGGATCTCAAGATCCCTGATGTCACGGCGGAAATACAAAGATTTGCCGCCAAACACCAGGCTCGCCTCAGCTAGCACGATTATGTGGAAGCGTCCAAACTGTTACAGAACCTAAACACGATCAGAAGATTAAAAAGAACAAAGCCATATGAACTTGTGTAGTTTAACGTGAGTAGTGAAATGTAAATCTTATTGTACCAGTGGGTTTATAAGAATGCAAACATTTATTTATTCTATAATATTATTGTAAAATTAATGGTAGGTTGGTCTAATAAGACCAGGTTTAATTAATAAATTTAATTTTAAAAAAAGTTTCGGACACAACTGATTTACATACATTTATTTTATTTTCACAAATGCAGTTTAAATTCAGTGTAAAGCAATTGTTTCAAGGTGCAAAGTAAAACAACTCTTATAAAACCAAAATAAATATTTTAATAATTAATTTTACAATCAGATTTTGTGTAGTCATTTTTTCCACTAAGAAATAACTTGTAGGCTGTAATATTAAACAGCAACATGAGCTATAAATGTGCTTTTTTCTACAATTGTAATTTATCAATTCTATTTTTATATTTTACATAAAATAAAAAATCAATATATAATTTTGGCACTAGTTCTATCATAAATTATTCTTTTACGAGTAAATAAAAAGTTAATATAAACAGTTGTTCAAAATACCTTAAGAAAAAGAAGAAGAAAATAATTACATTGAGCCCACACTTTATAAAAGTGCTTGTACAATTATCATAAAGTATTTTTATTTACAGATCCAAAATTGGTTTTGATTTTGACATTATATAAAAATCAAATAGTCAATTATCACCCATATATGGGGGTCAGCTAGTCTTTGTTTCTAATACAGATCTAAGGTCCTCAGGTAAAGTACAAACTATTTCTTGCAAACGGCTCTGTAATTGTTTAAAAGTGCTTTCACTCAAATTTACATTTCTTGTTTTGCACTCATCCAATTTGCATCTGATTTTAATAATCATATCTACAATTTCCACCTCCTGCTTATCAGCAACCCAATGCCTTAAATCCGCCATTGATAGAGCTTCTAATTGAAGTATTTGTAATTTTTCACTCATTGCTTTGTAACGAGTGTTGTACCAACCGATAAAATTGGGAGACCTAAAAAATCTTTTGTAAAGACCTTCCCAATTTCCTTTTGTTCCGGTTGTAAGTTGTGGGCCTGACTTCTCCAAGGAAGCGATAAATGCTTCGGGGTTAAATGGCCAAGGAGTAGGGGCAGCTTTGTATGGAGAGATATTTTTATGAAGGGGCATCAATGTTGCCATGTACCTTTCCAGTGGTATCATAAAACTCTGTGTCAGTTCCAAAAGATGCCTTCTGAGTAGTGCACTTTGAACTTCTTCAGGCCTATTAGTCTGGATACCTAAAAACAATAACAAAATAAATAAATACCCATTTCTCAATTCATCCTGTTAATTATCTGATCAGGAAGATACAGCATATAGATTATAATAACACATATTATAAAACATTTAACAGCTTTTTCTCTAGCATTAAGAAAAATTCCATTAGTATTTTTTTTTTTTTTAATTGACATATTTAAAAAATTTTATGTAGTACTTAAGTATACAAGCTGTCATTCACTAATAATTTTGACTGGTCTTTAAAAGTATACTTTTATTTTTTTATTTAATTAAATTTTTTGTACATTGTACATTTTTGTTTTCTACATTTTGACAATAAGATTATAATACTAATTGGCAACAGACACTTGCTGGCCCCACAAATTTAAATTATATTACTTCCCAATTTTTTGTAATTTCTTAAATTGGATAAATATACAATATATTTTGATTTATGACAATATATTACATGACTGACAATTGAAACTGAAAAATTTCATGCACTATACTGTATTATTTTAGTTGTTGACGGAGTAAATATTAGCATAGTACCTTTAAGTAGTTTTTTGACGATCGCCTTATCTTTTTGCAAAAATGGTTCGTACTGGGTGTAAACACCAGATTTGCTGTCAAAAGCCTTAATGACGCCCTTTTTAATTTTTGATTTCTGCAAAGTTGATGCTTTAGCCGGCTCAGGAAGTTTAATTATATGAGGCCAATGCTGGAGAGTTTTAGAAAAAAATGGATTTGTCACGCCAAGAATGATGGGTGGCGGTGGCTGAGTGGTCTTTGTGTACTCCTTAAATTCACTATCATGTATTGTAAAATATGGCCTATGCTCACCACAGTACACTAAAGGCATTATCATAGTGACCAATGCATGAACCATCTGGGAACAAGTTTCAGGAGAAGATGCCATAACTACTATCGGTTCCCCAGTTAACACTAATTCCCACAGAAGATGGATATGATAAATACAATTGGAAAAACAGCTGAACAAATTGTTAAGATGGACACATGGTATCACTGTTGTTGAGCAGATCGATTGAAGTATTGCTGCATTTCCTAATGAAATATCACCAGGTATCTGTGCCTGAAGAACTGTGCCTGAAGAAGAAAAAAAAAGTACAATAAAAAATAGTACACATATTATAATATATATATTATTATATTGTAAATGTGGGGTAGCGGAACATTGTATATATATTATTTATTATTACTATTATTATTTTTTTTTTTTTTTTTTTTTACGGGGGTTTAATAAAGATTCGTATATGAGGATAGTTCACAATTGGGATTTTTTTCTATTATTGTGACATAATAAATATGAACACATATCAACATCAAGTTACATAAATATGTAACACTAATAAATAACAATATGTAAAAATGAGTAACCTAAATTAATTGAGAAACATTTTAGATTTCATAATATATGTACATTCAACCTCATCAATACATTTGAAGCATATCAAATCTAATAAAAGGTAATGCGTTACTTTAATGAAATCTGTCGGTAGTCCTAGATCTGATTTAATATGTAGTTATATATTTCAAATCAAGCATAAAGAAATTAAAAATTACTTTCAGTTAATTTTTTTATTTGTATTTATTTATTTGTTTAATGGGGTTTGCAACAGCATAATTTCAAACACTGGGGTTACAGTGTTTTTAAAAAAGCCATTTACAAGTTTATTGGATACAAGTATGTGCACGTTTTTAAAATTAAATTCCACAATTGTGTCTGATCAATAATCACAGCAGTAGAATACACCATTAATAAAATTTGCTAACAATTACAGTAATGATAATGTATTTTTTATTATTTGGTGCACATTACAATTGACAGTAACCTAGTGATCAGAGTAAAAGAGAAAATAAAAGATACATTTGTTTAAGAAAAATGTTTAGATTTTAACATTCAAAAAACAAGAAAATAATAATGAGAAATCTACTATGAGAACAAACATTTGCTTTCCTCTTTTTCCTTCCTAGTCATTTGCTTATTTAAAGATATTTTTAAGGTGTTTTTCAGGAACATATGACCACTCGACATATCATTTTATTGAAGAAATATTGATGGCTGGTGCCCCTAAAATCAATATTGCATCAATAAAATGATAGTCGAATGGTTGTACGTCTCTGAACAATTTTTCAATCATTTGCGTACTCTACTTACTCTATAATTTACCAGATGAGTTAAAAACATTAAGAATGCAACTTGTAATTAAATATAAGACATAAATAAGATAATATAGTTTGTTTTTCTAATAAATACCTAGAAGTGGAAGACTGACAATTTCACCAGTAACAGGTTCTGGCCAATGGTCTATTTCATGACAAGCAGCTTCAATGCTGAGGGTTCCATTGTCAAAATATTCAGGTGCGATCATCCGACATATCGTTAAGAAAAGATTGACAAAGGGATATTTAGATAAGACAATCACACTTTTCTGGAAATAGCCCCTAGGGAGACTTGGGTCTTTGACTTGCCTGAAGTAGACATAGCCATAAAGATAATTTTTGTTTGCCAGGGATGCTACAGTTGATGATGAATTGTATCTGCAAAAAATGTTTAAAATTGTCTTTTTCTACCACAATATAGAAAAAAATGAGTATGTGTATATATACATAATAATTACTTTTAAGTCTACACAGGGTGTCAATTATTACAGTAAAGATAAAGAAAAGTAATTCCCATCATAAAGGAGACCTTAATGTCTAACTACATGTTGAGTGTCATTGATGAGGACTGAAACCAATTTCACAACATTTTTCAATTAACAATTTGATTTAAGGGGGATATGGTCCGGCCGGATTTACTTAGCTGTATCTATTTCACCAAACTTTCGGTTTTGTATTAAGCCTTCCTCAGGGCTTTACAGAAGGATAAAAATAGTTTTAATAACATGGGCTTACAATAAATACAACTTTCAATCAATTAATTATTCTTTCTAAGGCCTTGGTTGAGATAAAAAGTCAGTGTCACGAGCACGATTCAAACCCACTATCTTCGGCTTGATACGCCGCTGCTCTACCACTTGAGCTAACGTGACTTCGAACCACTCGGACACCAACTCTCCATCTCAACCTACAACCGTTTGAATTTTCCCTCTTTTTGCCATTTTCAAATGTCGTTTAATTGGATTGGATTCTCAGCAACTTATGAAGTCGCCACAGGGTGTTTCGTGAAGTGATACTTCTTACTTTTTAAATATTAATCCATTTTACATTTTTTTAGTCAATTAACTAAGTTTCAATCAATTAATTATTCTTTCTAAGGTCTTGGTTGAGATAAAGTCACCGACTCAGTTCTAAGTCACAATAGCTCAAGTAGTAGAGTAGCGGCATATTTAGCCGAAGGTCCTGGGTTCGAATTCCGCTCGTGACACTGACTTTTTTATCTCAACCAAAAACTTAGATAAAAGGAACAATTAATTTTTCATAAATTGAATGAATGCGACAAATCTGCAAATCAAATTGTTTACTACCAAAAGATACATTTTTAATTGAGACAAAAAAAATGTTTAATTGTTTTTTTTATATTTTTGAGAAACCCAGAGGGGTATGCTTGTAAATTGACATTCTGTATATAAATGTGTGGTGATTAGTGACCGTTAATCGATAATTATTCAGAAATCGTGAGATGCGGTCTGGTGTGATGTAGGTTTCATGTATTTGTTAAATGTAAACAATGTTTGTAAATCCCAGGCCCTGAAGATGATCTCAATAAAGATCGAAACGTTGACACGATAAAGAAAATGTTTTTCTGAAACCTACATCACACCAGACCGCATCTCACGATTTCTGAATAATTATTCTGTATATACTTTCATCGAACTCAATTAGAATAGTTGTAAATTTGTGAAAAGAGTGATGGAAAAAGATTGATTACAACACCACTCTACTAGAGAGTGAATGATAGGTAAATAAAAAAAATGTAAACTGCTCAAAAATGAATAGGGATATTGGTAAAGTACTCTTATTCTGTTAATTTTAATTAAATTAAGCGATATATTCATTTTGAACAAAAGGATCTTCGGTGAGGTCACAACAGAACAACAATTCTTTAAGTTTTTGCTGAGCTTTCGATTAAGCTTGGCAAAAACTTAAAGAATTGTTGTTTCTGTTGTGACCTCACCAAAAATCCTTCAGTTCAAGTTGTTCAACAAGCAGGTCGATACATCATCTCATCTTCGATATATTCATGTTAGTTGGATAAAACAAAATTCAAAATACAAACAAAAGTTAATCCTAATTTTTAATAATGGATTTACTTAAGAATAATAAACATGAAGATTACTCATTTTGTAAACAAACACCTTTTCTCGTCTTTTCTCCATTTTAATCCAGTTGAATTTTCTTTAACATGGAAAGACATCATCTTAAATTAGAAGTTCGGAATATTATTGTGAGAATGAGTCATCAAGGCCCACCAACAAGTGAATATCGCAGAGGCAGTTGGCAGTTTAGAGCGTAGTCTCTCATGCTGTAGCCCGATTCTTAGAGACTGTTAGTGCCAAAAGGAGGCCTGGTAGTAGATGTCGGAGCATTACAACGCTAAGGGCAGGCAAAAATCAGAAATACTGTCATTGCTGCAAGATGGCAAGATGGAACACATTTCACAGTGCCTGCCAGATCCTAAATAAGGTAAAAGGTTTTGGCAAGGCTGTTATCAACACAAATGATTACAAATCATTTGTGGGAAGTTGGCCTCACATCGTATGCCTGTTGAGACGACCTGCAGCACCAGCAACTCAGCAAAATATGGTGCAAGCGAGCACCTAGAAGGGAACACTGATTGGAACGATGTTGAGTCCTTACTGATGGGTCGCATTTTTTTTCTATCTGTATATATAGCAGGACTTACTGAAGAGTCTACCGAGAACAGGGAATGCGTGCAATGCCACAGTTCGTGCTCGCCTCAGTGCAGTTTGGAGGAGGCGGGGTAATAGAATGGAAGGGGATTTACACTGGAGGATGAACTGGACATAGTATTGTTGAAGGCAACCTCATCGCAGTCCATTATGTCCAATAAATTATTGAGGAATATAACCCTCAAACCAGGGATCTCACTGGCAGGGATTTTCAATTTCTGGATGACAATACACACCTCATAGAGACAGAGTTATTCATCAATGTTTAGAGAACCTGGGGATTTTCCATCAGCCCCTTTCCCCTTTGTCTCAATCCCATTGAGCACATGTTGGATGCGTTGCAGAGAAGGCTTTTTAATCGCCATCCGCAACCAGTTGACCTGCAACAACTGAGTGCTGCGTGGCAACATCTATATAGTGAAATTCCTTATGAAATTAGTGACAACCTTATTAACTGTGTGTTGTCTTGTGTCCCAACAAGATGGAGTGTTTCAGACAAATTGTATTGATTGCCTATATCGGACCAATGTGGTACAAAGCAATAAGCATGCTTGCTAGGCATTCTCTTGACATTTATCCTCCTAAAGCTAGGTGTCATTCCTTCCAGGCATTCTATGGAGTCTTACGAAAGTTTGGAGTATCTCTTCAAGAACATGCTGACAACGCTGACTACATGTCAATACAATACACACTGATTATATCAGAACCGGTAAAAGGACAAGACCGGGTATAATTCAGGATATTAAAAATGAAATGAAATGATACTAAAAAAATAACTTTAAACATGGAAAATATCAGATGTGTAAATTAATCTACTATCAGTTAAGCTGTGAGTAAATCAGTACATAATAATTATATTAAAATATGTAGAATATTACATAGTATAAAACTTACCTTACAAAACCTATTATAAAGTACAAACATCCTATTATAGATTTAAGTTATTAAGTGTAATAGAAATATATAGGCATAAAATAAAAAATATCTATAACACTGGCCATGCTAGTGAGATTTTTTCTTAGATGTGTAAGGTGATGAACCTACATTTCTGTTACAACAACAAACTACAACGGGTCATTGTAAAATTCACTATCATCCCTTTTTAAAACTTTGTTTTTTACTTTTATTTAAGCTTTCCCGATGTAGTGTAAACATTTCTAAAGTTCTCCAAAATTATTATTTTATTGTAAGGATTTAAATTTAGTTTCTAGGCACTAAAAATAGTGTGTGTGTGTGTGTGTGTGTGTGTGTGTGTGTGTGTGTGTGTGTGTGTATGTGTGTGGTGTTTAGTGACCATTTAATTAATGATTATTTGGAGATCGTGAGATGCGGTCTGGTGTGACGTCGGTATATATATATTTATAATAATATATAAATATATAAAAATATTTTCTTTATCGTGCCAACGTTTCGATATTCACTGAGATCCACTTCAGGGCCTGTGATTTATAAACATTATTTAAATTATACAAATACATGTAAGATGTGAAAAAATGAATTTATACAATGTTAGAAATTGTAGGCAAAGTATTTGTACTCATTAACAAGTCATCACTTATTAACAGTATGCCTAACAGGTGCAAAGAGCTAACAGAGGACAGTGTACAGGGTATTGTGCAAAAAAATTACTGTGTCCAATAAAAAAAAAATTGAATTAAAGCTTTTTTATTTTTCAAAATTCCTTAATTAAATTTTCCTTCAGTAACAACATAATAATTTAATAATTTCAAAAAAATTTTAATGCAACTTTTAATAAAAATAAAATAAAAATGTTTGGGGAAAGTAATACTACAGAATTGGCAATATATCTCTGTTCATTTTTGAGCAGTTTATTTAAGAATGAGTGAATCTAGGATTAATTTTAAGTAACAGGTGTCCGTTTAGTAAAGTATTTAAATTATTCGATTGATGATGTGTACTCCGATTCTTGGTCGGAATTTAAAAAAAGTCGTACTACCTCGAGTGGGACTTGGAGTCGTCTTTGTCGCTGGGTATATGCCTGAATCTGAAGTGGAACTGGGTGTCGCCTAAGCAACCGGAGTTTGAATCGGGAAACGCTAAGTAGCAGACGTTCGTCTTGTCCTCCTCGCTAAGCTCGTTCGCTGGTGGATAAACAACTTCCAACGCCTGTCCCAATTCCAAATCGAATGTCACCACGCATATCGTGTGGATCCAGGCGTTGAACCTATCCCATTTCTTAAAGAGTTTGCTTTCCACCGGCCTCCCGGACGCCATGCCCTTCTTTCGACCTGTCAAAACTCACTTCTGAAGACGGACAGGGCCCAGCTAAAGAGACTCGTCCATCGTACGGTTTGCCCTGTTAACAACCGAATCCTCCCACTTCCCGATATTTTAAACATACACGGATCAAATACGACATTCTGTAACAAGTCATAATTCAAAGATAATGATATACATATAAAACATCAAAAACTAAACAACACTTGACACAAATAAAAGAAAACACTAAAACAGTACAATACTATCGATATATAGAGCAGGTTTCTCACTTTCTCCGATACGACTGCACTATAGACATCGATAGATTAATTGATATCAGACAATTAAAACTGTTCACTTTGTTAAACAATTAAGAACAAATTTAATGTAAAGTATATATGTACACAAACTCAAACATTAAAAAAAGAGTTTAATTTTTTAAAAGTGAGTCCACAACTGCAGCGCTCATATCAACCTCCATGTTTTCGGTGTTTTGCCACTAACGTAACATTTCTGTCGCTGAGATTCGAATCCGAGACCTTCCAGTCATTAGGTTGCTTTTGATTTCAATAAAAAAGAACTTTATTTTAAAAAAGTAGTTATTAATTTTTAATAAAAGTTATTACGATTTTCTACACTCTTTTGCTGCAAAAATTCGTTCTGGGTCAGTGTATCGATTTACACACGTATAATATATTTGTCAAATAGAAAACAGGCCATTTACCTTCTATTTTGTTTGTGACAGTAGGAAAATAGTAGAAAGTAAAGATTTCTGGTGATTTAAATATTACATTTAGATTGAGATCAAACTGGTTATAAACACATTTTCGGGATCAAAGCGCGGTGGAAAAATGGCACCTGGGAAAGGTCAACGCGGGAGGAAGAAGGTCAAGGAGGGACTTGAGAGTAGTGACGACGAAGAGTATAGGAAGAAACGGGACAGGAACAACTTGGTAAACCATATAATTTGGCTTAGTCGATGACATTTTCGACAAGCATTTTCATTCCGTATAACATTTTTCATTGGCCAGAAACGAACAACGGAATGTGCATACATGGATGGGCATTGCCCCCAGATGTTGCTACTTTGCTAGACATTGTCACGCGTCCACACCTATTGAGTACTGGGCAAGTTTCGATAAATAAATCACGAGAAGATGCTCTAAAACTGCCGCGAAAGTTTGTATAGCGTATGTCCAAATCATGTTATTCAATTACAACATATTAGGAAAAGGAAATATAACATTTATTTTCAGGAGGCGCTCTTAATTTTCTCTAAAAAAATTGTATTGTAATTGTCAGGTTTTGTAAATTGTTTCAAATAGAAGACCTACCAGTTTGAAAGTATTTCACAAGGTCAGAGTAAAGATTTCGAATAATGTATTGAGAAACCATTCCAGCCTCGGTACAAACTTGCCATTGCCCTCCAGTTTCTTGCCATTGGCAATTGTTTTCCAGTTGAAAAATCTAAATTTTTATCATTCTTTCCCTTCTGACTTGTAGTTGTAAACATCAAAATTTTCCAAATTATCATATTTCAAAAATTCCATTATCTAGTTCGCATTTCATAAACGTGAGAAGCCCAGATGATCTATGATTTCATATATCACTCATGCCAGAGGGCATACATATGCAGTATGAAATGTTGCGCAACATTGTATCATCATTCTATGATCTCTCATCTAAATTCATAGGGAATGAGCAATGAAACTTAAGAAAAAATCTCATTTTTGCCTATCCTATAACCAAGAAATATGTCTCAAGTAACAGAAAGCCTTGAAGACAATTATTTTGTCTAATTATGTAACCTTTTGAATTTATGTGTGGTGTTTAGTGACCGTTAGTTAATGATTATTTGGAGATCGTGAGATGCAGTCTGGTGTAATGTAGGTTTTAGAAAAACGTTTTCTTTATCGTGCCAACGTTTCTATCTTTATTGAGATCATCTTCAAGGCCTGGGATTTACAAACATTGTTTAAATTTAACAAATACGTGTAGGATGTGGAAAAAAGTGAATTTATACAATGCAAAAAAAATATATTTTTTATATTCAATCAGTATTTCTACTGGTACAATTACGCAGAAAATAAAACACTTTGAGTGAGTATGTTATTTGAAGGTTTAGGCTGTCTAGTGGAGCAAAAAGTGTTTACCTTGTAAATGTGTACTTTCAGAGTCATAACATACTTACAATTAATATAACTTTTTGTGTTTAGGCTGTCAAAAGGAGCAGAGTAAAATCTCGCCAAAGGACTCAGGAAACTCTTGAAAGAGTCGAACATCTTAAAAGAGAAAATGATCAGCTTCAGGAAAAAATCAAACTCTTGAGTCAAGAGCTTGCTTTCCTTAAGGAAATGTTTATTGCCCAAGCAGGTGGTTCCGATATTTTTTAAGAACTTTTTGTGTTGTGTGTATATATTTTTAACTTTTTCTTCAGAAGTCTGTTAATATTTATGATATTAATTAATTAAATTATTAATGCAGTAATTTTTTCAATGCTTTATAAAGATTGAACACTTTAACCTATGGTTGGGTGTGGGTGGAGGTTGGTGGCCGCAATTGACCGTAAAGGTCCTGGGTTCAAATCTAGTGCCCTGCATTCGAACTGGACATACTTATAAATGGGATTTTTTCAAAACCAGCATTCTGAGGGTTCATATAACCTCATAGTTGAAATAATCTAGTTGAAATAATCTAGTTGAAATAATAAGTATAAATTGAAAAAAAAAAAATAATAATAATCAGTATATAACAAATGGAATAGAGTGGATCAAGATAAAAAATAAATTTTAATAACAACAACAATATTATCAATATATGATAATATAGTTTTTTTTATAAATAACAATGATTTTACAAACTTTTAATGAACTGCTATAACAGAAATGCAATAATAATTAATGTATGTAAAGAATAGTTTATTCTAGTAAATAAGTTGTATGCAAAGAATGTAACTTGTAATATTACATTCATAATTAATTTACAGGTTCATCCAGTGTCCCACATAATGTCAAACTTGAAACACTTTTTGCTGACAATGAACCTATAACAGATACAGATCCTGGCTTCTTCAACACTTAAAATGGAGGAATCCCACTTTATTAAACTCTGTGATATTTTTATGGTAATTAACCTCAAAAAATTATTTGTAGTAATATTTTTATTTTGACAAAAAAAATACAATGCATACATCATTTGCTTAAAAAAAAGTATACATATGTATATGTAATAAGATTATTTGTGCATGTGAGCGAGCGAGTGTGTGTGATGTTTTATGTGTTGTCGTATTATTGTTTATCACATTTTTTAAAAAAGTTTTGTTTGTGTAAATTTTAGGTTTACTCATTTAATTCAGCATTTTTACTGATGTTAAGAAAAATTTAGTCTCTATAGACAATTAAATATTTTTGTAAGTTAAGATGCTTAACTGTTTTAATGTACAAAATTTAAACCATAGTGCATAAGATAAGAACGATATTCGTGGTTAAATACATATGTGTCACCTTCCATTTTGTAAATTTTTAATAGATATAAAGTTTCTGTTGTAAGTGTTAGATGTATCGACCACTTTTCTGGATCACAAATACTCTGGATCATGGTATGGTCTTGATAAAAAAGCAAATTCATTTCTTACCGCCGAGTTTTTGACCTATTTTTAGGCCATGATCAGGGCAAAAGAATCTTAAATATGTTGATTACATTAGATATGTCTACAGATTGACATAAGTTTTTCACAGATGATTTCAAATTTTGTTGAAGACCGAGTCAACATTGCCACCACATTGCACCAACATTGCCAAGAACTGTGACAATAACGTGATCCAGAGTATTCGTGAATTGACATAAAATAGTTGAAGTCTTCCAGCACATATCAATTCAACTAAAATATTAACTATTTACTATTAAAAACTTAAACACATTAAATTTTTTTTAAAATGGTGTTTCTGTATAGCCATATTAATAAGTATATAAATCGCTATTAACTTTTGATCATTCTTAAAACCCTGCAATAGGAAATGTAATTTAGAAAATATAATTCAAACTTAGCAGTTATTAAATTAATTATAAAAGTTTTATCACCACAAAATTAGCGTTATTTTTTTATCACTTTCCTTTACATAATTGTTACCTTGGCCCTCTTCAGTTGTCTTAGGTTCATTTTGTTTAATTTTATAAGATTTTATCACATTTATTTGTGTGTGTGTAGACACACACACACACAGACTGAGAGAGACAAAAAAAGTGGCTACCCTTAATATTTTTAAACATCTCTTAGACAATCCTCCATTGATTACCTTACATCAATATTTAGTCCGTTTTAAAGAATTAGAGGTAAATAAAACAGATAAAACCTCCCACTTGTGCTTATAATTGGATTTTGTAAATAAATCTTGGATTAGTCAATTTCCTTTGTTGGTTTTTCTGTAAAGCTTTTTTCCAACATTAAGCTGGCTTGGTTTTTTAAGTTTCAAATTTGTTTGAGTGTTAGTTTTAAGTGAAAGATTTGGCTATTGTTGGAAGATGGAAGAAGCCAAGTGTATCCCCAGAACAACGGTCTGAAGAGTCTTCCATAATTACCAAGAAACTGGAGAAGTTATTCAAGAAGGCATGGATAAGGTCGCAATCGTGTCACTTCCCAAAGAGATGATCAGTGTATTGTTTAGAATGTACTTCATAATCAATATTATACTGCTGTTGAGATCAAGTTAGAAATGTTATTTTCAGTTTACGCACTGTAAGGCAAAAACTTTCAAAAGCTGGATTACGTGCGAGAAAGCCTGCCACTGTTCCAAAACTTGCACAACAGGTCAGTTGTTTTGCAAGAAATTACATCAATTAGTCTGAGCAAGATTAGAATAAAATCTTGTTTTTGGATGAGGCAAGATTTTATTTGAGGTCTTCTGATGGCTGAATTAGTATTTGGGGAAGAACACAGGAACAATATATCCTCGCAACATTTCCACTACAGAGAAGCTATGGAGGTGGTGATGTTATGGTTTTAGCAGGCATTTCTATTGAAGATTGCACAAACTTGACCTTCATCCAGGGTTCCCTAACAGCTGCGCGATACATTAAAGATGTGTTATCATAAGTTGTTCCTTGTATGCCAATAATTAGTGATAGTTTTACTTTTATGCATGACAATGCCAACCTAAGATTGTTGGCGATTATTTGGAACGGTCTTAAATTCTATCTTTGGAGTGGCCAGCATGTAGTCCTGACTTTGAACCAATCAAACAACTTTGGGGTATCAATGGGGGTAAAACACTCAGTGATGCCAGTGAATTTACAGGAATTAAGAATGACGCTGTTGGAGGAGTATGGAAATATTCCACAGCACTTCATTCAAAACTTCATAAAATAGATGTCACATTGAATGCAAGTGGTGTTCAACACACGAGGAGGAAATACATCGTACTGAATTGAATATTTTCTTCATTCTTCTGATAGTAGCATTTTTGCTAAATTATTACTTTAGTAAATTATTAAATTATTATTACATTGAAAAATGGCAAAAAGGAGGGAAAATTCAAAAGGTGCGGTTGAGATGGGAAGTTAGTGTCCGAGTGGATCGAGGTCACGATAGCTCAAGTGGTAGAGCAGCGGCGTATCTAGCCGAAGATCATGGGTTCGAATCCCGCTCGTGCCATTGACTTTTTTATCTCAACTAAAAACCTTAATTAATTGTAATATTTTTGGTAAAATTGTTCTATTCAGTTTTTATTTATTTATTTAGCTATATCTTATATTTTATATATTAGATGAAGCTTTATTTGTATTTACACTCTTTCCAACAGATTCTATTTAAAGGATTTTTGGAGATGTTGACTCCTTAGGAGAGGGCAGTGGAGAAATTTTCGGTTGTGGGAGCTATGACCGCCTCCATTCTTTATCCTGTGATTTCTCTTCTTGTTAAGATTTCAACTTCAAAATGGCTTGTCCAAATATGAAGTTGATTTTATTGTAGTTTTCTAGGGACTTGTTGATTTTTTATCGACTGAAATTGAGAGAATAACTATCATCCCTTCATTTCTCTTTTGTGACCTACTACCCTTGTCTGTCCCAATATCCCTGGGATTTGTGGTAGTTCATAGTTGGCTGTAAAAAAGATAACAAGGATTGGTGCCAGGGATTCGTTTTAGTTTCTCAGCTCATAGAGTTGTGATCATGAGTTCAATTACTGTCACCCCTAGAATCATGTATATTCCTCCCTTCCTCTATATAACTCAACCAGCACAGGTACCATTCTCTATCTAATATTAAAAACTTAAGATCATTAAAAAAACTAAATAAAATAAAAAATATGTTGTAGCACATCATAGGGAAAGTGCTATTACCCCCCCCATGATTTGTAGGTTTTTTTTATTTATTTTTTTTATATTTTTTTTTTATTTATTTATTTATTTTTTTTTTTAATATAAAAAGGTGATCAACCGCTTTGGGTCATTTTCTGCCTTAAAAGCTTGCAAGCTGGGAGGTGAGTGGGTCATAGTGGTCATAGAACCACGTCCCTGGCAGTGTCGCGCACCCCAAGACACCCTTTCATAACCACCACCCGACAGACACCCAAACCGCATCCCAAGACACCTCCCAACATTGAGGAAAACACAGATTATTGCATAAAATGAATATTCTTTTGTATTAAACTATTTTATCATTTTATCTTCATGTTTCAGAAATTAGTTTATTTTTGTAAAGAAAGTTAGTAGTTTTTGTTGGGTTTCAGTAACAGTCTTATTGTACAACATTTCCATGAGTTAGGTATGGCAAATTCTCCCAACCAAATATTGTTGAAAATATTCAAAAGGATGATTTTACAAGAGCTTGGCAATTTTGCCAGCATTGAATAGTGAATGTTATCAGGACCGGGGGCTGAATTATTCGTATTTTTGAGGGAGATATTTAATTCTTCAATAGTAAACGGATCTGTCAGAAATGGACATAGATTCTGATTTGTTTGTTCAGGCTGTTGTATAGGGCCTTGGGGGAAGAGTTTATGGACAAACGATTTCGTCCATTCCCCTTGAATAATCGGCCTAGTTCTAGAATGCATATTTTTTAAGCTTTTAAGCTTTCTCCAAATATCCTTGATTGGGTTTGATTGCTAAGACCATCACAATATGTTTTCCATGAATTATGCTTAGCAGATTTTATCGCTTTATGGAACTCATCCTCTTTCTTTTTGTATGCGTAATACTAATCTATTGAAGGTGATGCTTTGTATACTGCAAAGCCTGTTTCTTTTTTCTCAAAGCTTCATTACATTCTGGATTCCACCAGTGCTTTGTTAGCGTTTTTGGCTGAAAAAGAGGACATTTAAAAATAGGGAGACTTCTCGCAGGCCTTCCTAAGGCAATCTTCAAAGATATCGTATTTTACCTTTTTGGGGTCCATATTGCTCATTAAAGTTATCATTTCTGAGTTAAATAGTGACAATTTTATGATAATGTCCGACTCAAAGAGTGCACTACAAGCTATAGAGGGGCATAATCTCAATTCCCAAAATTATATGATCAATGATATTGTGGACTGTTTATATATCTTGGAACAACATAGGAAAATAAAGGCCTGCCTGTGCTGGGTTAAGGGCCACGCTGGTATTGAACAAAACGAAATTGTTGACAAGTTGGCTAAGAATGCTATAAAACAAGGTGAATGGAACAATATTCCAGTCCCATGGCAGGACGTTAAAAGTTTTTTTCATGCCAAACTTTCCCGGAAATGGAATCGTACGATCCAAAGAAGTAACATGGGCTCTTTCTATTTTAAAATTAATCCAAACGTAAATAAAAAACCTTGGTTCTACCTGAGCACGACCAATAAAGGAAATTGTACGATAATAACCAGAATGAGACTTAATGATGGAATATGTGGCGTTTATTTACAGAAGATTGGTCAGAGGAACAGTAAAGAGTGTCAGAGCTGTAGGATAACAGAAGACCTAGAGTACATATTTATGGTTTGTTCACAGTATGAAAAAGAAAGGAAAGAAATGTTTGATGAACTGTATAAACTAAAAACGTTGGACAAACCATTTGATTATAGATGTCTACTGTTTCCTAAAGATCTTTGTATTTATACAAATATCATTAAATTTGTCCATGAGTGCCACATAACTATTTGAGACGATAATTGTCTCTGGCCTGCTGCCTGGGGCGGGGGGGTCCCTTGTCTGGTTGCTGGGGGTGTGTGGCGCTGGGGTGGCTCTGGTACATGGACATCGATAGCCGTCCCCGATCGGTTTGGAATGTGGATGGCCAGGCACACACGCACATCCCACCAGGAGATCGGACGTACTTGAGTCAAATTGGAATTTGAGGTGTAGTCCCCTGGTGCCGCATTTTTCCCCGGTGGGCGGGTTGGGGCTCTCTTCTTTCCGGGAGGAAAAAAAAATTGTAGTTTGTCTATTTGGTCAGAGTCACCAACTAACGAGTCTTTGATGTTGGTTGGAATTTCCAGCCGATGTCTTTCTCCTTAATATTTTTTGCAATTTGTCAAAATGTGTTTAACTGTTATTCTTTCTGTACAAACATCACAAAGCGGAGAACCTTTTTTGCCATGACATAAGAATGAGTAAGCCTACAATGACCAATTCTGAGCCTAGCAAGGACAACTTCTTTGGGCCTCGAACCCCTATGAGATGAGGCCCAAGGTTTTACACAGTCTTTTATCTCCCTAAGTTTGACATTAGAAGTCGTTTCCCATTCTTTTTGCCATAGCTGTCAAGACTTTCTTTCAGGCCAAGCTGTCACATCAGATTTTGGTGTTTTTGTAACTTTAACTCCATTAAGGACAGCCTGCTTTGCCAAATGGTCCACCTTCTCATTGCCAAATATTCCACTATACTATTTCCCTAATTTTGTCGAGATTCAATGGAAAATAGGATGTCTTGTATTAATGGATGTACAGAAAAGTTGTTTTTTGAGTGCCAGTAGCGTTCGACAACGAGTCAGTACAGATGACAATCGAGAGTTAAGCTCTTTGCTATTGCTGTAAGCTCAGTAATGTAGCTGATACATATAGGTGGTAGGGTAAACATATACTGTGCATTATTATTATAAGTGAAGAAAGCAGCACCTGTCCCTACATCATTTTTTGAGCCATCTGTAAAACATAATGTTTGATTCGAAAAGATATCTATTGTTTTATAAAATTCTTGACTATACATGTAGGGGGGGGGGAGTATTCTGCTTTAAAAATTTAGTAAGGTCTAAGCATAGATTAGGCTTTGGAAGCAGCCAGGGCGATTTAGATGAAACTCCAATTTGATAGAGAGGGGGGATCGCAGCATTTATTAATTGTAAATGAGCAGCCACTCTAGATGGAAAATGTTTTTGTTGACAATAGAGTTTTGACTTGGAAAAGGGAACACTAGAGGATAAGAAGGGCATGGGAGAATTTTCACTGCAAAGTTCAAATCAAGTCTTAATCTCCGATGTTTGAGGGGCAATTCTCTGGCTTCTGCATGGACACTATAGATGGAGTGGATCTAAATGCACCTATGGCTAGATGCAAACCTGAGTTTTGTATCGGTTCAATCATGGACAATGTTCTGTTACTAGCAGAGCCATATGCACAACTCCCATAGCCCAGTTTAGAGCGAATGAGACATTGGTAGATATTTAGCATGCTAACTCTATCAGCACCCCATGTCATTCCACTAATTATTCGGAGAAAATTGATAGAATTCAAGCATTGTACTTTCAGTGTTTTCAAATGTTTAGACCAATTAAGTGTACGATCGAAGATAACCCCTAAATATCGGACATAATCAGCAAAGTCTAGTGTGCCATGAATTTTAACTGACATATTCGTATGAGGCCTTCTCTTTGCAAAAAGGACCGCTTTAGTTTTTGACAATGAAATCTTGAAACCATTTTTGGTTAGCCAATTGGAAGCAGCATTCAGAGTTTCCTGTATACTTTTTTTCTATTACACTTAATTTTTTTCCTTTTAGATAAATAACAATGTAATCAGCATAAAGCATTATCTGAATTGGTAACTTTATTTTGTTATGTGTGGTGATTAGTGACCATTAATCGATAATTATTCAGAAATCGTGAGATGCGGTCTGGTCTACTGACACCACTCTACTCTCACAATTTCTGAATATTTATTTTGTTAGTAATATTATTAGGTCCTATGCAGAACAACATGGCACTAAGAATGCAACTCTGTGGCACTCCATTTTCTTGGATAAATTCTTTAGATTCAGCTGTCCCGCATCTCACAATAAAATGTCTATCAGATAGAAAATTTACAATAAATTTTAGGACATTACCATTAATACCCATTTTAATAAGTTAGTTTATTATTAATCATCTCCATGTTTGATCGAATGCATTTTCTAGATCTAGGAAAACAGCTAGGGCTCTGTCGCCATTATTACATGCATTCAGAATGTCAAACTCTAAACCAACTATATTATCGTTTTTTTTTTTTTTTTTTTTTTTTTTAATAGGCAAAAAACCAGCAAGGGCTATCATTGCCTTTATGTAGCTATGTGTGCGTATGTGTTCAGTGGTATGTGTGTGTGTGTGTATGTGGATTCGTATGTGTGTCAGTTCTGGGGAGCGCTTACAGCCAGCCGAATTTTGTTGCTTATGTTATTTGTATGTTAATGTAGTGTTCTTGTTATATATAGTTGTATAGTTTTATTTTTTTAAGATACCCGATGACTTTATCAACCATTTGCTGCTTATCCTGTAGGAGTTGTTTAAGTGGGAGGTGTAAGGAAGATGTGTAAAACCATTGGCAGTTCCTTGGGGGGCACAAGATGTGTTCGATGGTTAGGCGTTCACCACATAGGCAGACAGGAGATGAACCCGTGTGTTATTCTTGTGTGTCTAATTCTGAGTCGGCAGATGATAACCTCTTCCCTCCTATTCGTTTGATAGGACAAGTGTAGATCTTCCCTTTCTGAAACCACTTTGCCAAGAAGGCAATAAATTATTTGAATCAAGAAACCACTGGATTTGATTATCTATTAATTTTTCTAATAGTTTGTACAATGTATAAGTCATTGAAATGAGTCTATAACTAGTTACTAAGAGGGGGATTTATCTTCTGTTTTGGAGGCAATAGAAAATGTCTTTATCCCTTCCAAGAATTTTTCTTTTTTCAACTTTTCCTAAAGCTTTTCGTGTTGTCCCGTTTACCTATCCTGTTTTGCTCTATTAAAAAGTTTTCTAGTTTTAGTTCTCAGACTATTGAGTTCATCATTCCACCATAAGACATCTCTGTTTGTCCCTTTGGTTGTTAATGCTCTTCTGTCAACTTCAGTACTCTTGTGACGAAACGAAACTGTGTTGAGACATCGTCGATATTCTTGTTGTGTTTGTACTTGGGGTATTGTGTACAGTACTACTTACTAGTAGAAGTAGTACAGTCTACACTAATACAGCGAATGTACACTAGTCACTTTAGTTTCAGTTTTGCATACCCGTGATTTTTTCCTTGCATATTTATCATGAAATCTTTTAAGTATTGATTAAGTTGATTGTTTGTTTTTACCAAGGAAACATGGTAGCTAAAAACTCAACCTGCTTTTTCTCTCTTTGTAAGTATTACCGGAAGAATCCCAATATATACTTTTGTTGATGTAAACAACTGATTCAGGAGAAATCTTATTCGCGGTTAACGTTTTTCATTTGATTTATGAATTCGTCTTATGAAATAAATATAATGCAAACAATATACATATATATTTTTTAAATAATAAAAGTTAAAAATGTAGTTTCATTTCGAGATTTTAATCAAGAACGATGGAATCATTTTAATCATATCATTTTCATTAATTTGTAATGTTAAATTTTGGTACATTAACATTACAATGCGATTTTTGTTAGATTCTCTTAGCCGAGACAATTAGATTTTCATTCAATTAATTTTTTTTGAAACAATTGGTTTGGTACAAAATTATACTTTTCACAATCGTGTAATATTTTAATAAAATACCATCCGTTGGTATTATTGTTAATTTGTTTTAAAAATATATTTCCATAAAATATTAAATTTGAGATGATTTCTATGTTAATCGATTTTACATATAAATGACTTTTTGCTAGTACTTTGTTTAAATATAAATCGTAATCACCAATTTCTATCAGTTGTACATTTAAACTCGATTTAATTTTACTCAGTTTTAAATATATAAATAATGTATAAAATAAACAATAAGCGATTTATTGATATAATTCTTACACACACCTGTTTATCACAAAAGTGCTGAGGTCTCTTACATTATTTTAATTCTTCTTGTCTGTGGACTTCTTTACGACTTGGACTGTCTGTGGCTTTTGGCAATTGCTTATTGCGTTTTTTGTAGTCATATTTAATTTACCATAATTAAAATGGGGATTTTCCAATATTAGTTGATTTCAATAAAGCTATGAGATGTTCTACTTTGAGACATTACGGCGAGTTAAAAAAAATGAAATGAAATGTTTTCATATTTTCAAAATAACAATGGACAGCCATAATTGAGAGGAGTCGTATTTTCTCTTTACCTAATGTAAATCATTATAAAAGTAAAGCTGTGTTGAAGTTGTAAATAAATGGTGCATTTAATTTAATAACTACACTTAAGTAAACGAAAAATGCACTAAATAACTTAAATTGATATGTTGACTAATAAATACTACAATATAAATTATAATAAGCTTTTTCCATATTTATAGGCATTTTTACGTAATTCATAAAAAATAAAAAACACCTAATTAGGACCATTCAAGTGCTGAAAAGTTTCTTTGCCAGAGATATTTAGTTTTACAAAATATTTAAATATGATTTCTCGTGAGAAATTTAACTTCTGGATTACACAGCCAACAATATTTTAAATTGTCAGGGTCATATTGAAATGGTACAAACTTACCTACACCCCTGAACACAACTTCACTACCTACTTTATGCAATTAGGAGGTAAATTGCTTTTTAGATAATGATTATTCGGAAATCGTGAGATGTGGTCTGGTTTGACGAAGGTTTTAGAAAAACATTTTCTTTGTCGTGCCAACTTTTCGATCTTTATTGAGATCATCTTCAGGGCCTGGGATTTACAAACATTGTTTAAATTTAACAAATACGTGTAGGTCACTAATCACCACACATTTTTAGATAATGTTGAATCTCTGCTAGATTGAACTTCAGACCTTTATAAGTTCAATAAGAATAGCATTCATTAACGTTTCTCTTGAAATCTTTTTTGTACTCTACTTGATCACAGCCAATAATCTTATTAAGAATATAATTCCACATATTATTTAATTTAATTTACTTGATCTTCATGAACTAATTTACTAATTTCTACATAATTGTAATTTAATGGTCCAGGAGTAGTAATAATGGTACCTACAGTAGCAGTAAGTAGTAATTTAAATAATTATTTGATGAAAAATCGAAATAGTCTTTTTCCAGAGGATCAAAATAGAACGAACCCCAAACTTAGTACTGTAACGACCTATGGCTCTGATAACCGTATTAAATGATCACAGTTTATAACAAAATGTATATTATTTTTCTATGAAGAGCTGCCAAGTAGTATTTAAACCCTGTTTAACTTATTTAGATAGTTTATAATATATGTTTACCAAAAGATAATTTAGAAGTAAGAGTTACACCCAAGTAAACTTATTAACTATTTCTATTTGAGCAGTCCAGAAATGTAATTTCTGTAATGACATTGAATTTGAATAAAATTCAGTGAAGTTATGAATTTTTAAGTGAAACACTGAAAAATGGCTAGCAAAAATTTGCCCAGCTAATCCAACCCAAAAATGACTANATCTATATATATATATATATATATATATACATATATGTACATATATATATATGTAATATTATATATATATATATATATATCATTTTTATTTTCTTATCCATATCCTCCTTAATAGGCAGGTACAAAATATCCTAATATTTTTATAATAATACTTAAATACATACCCAGTGAAGGCAGTATGCCATATTATAATATATATAATATTACATGATATTATTTGCATATCGTGGGATGCGATCTCCAAATAATCATTAATTAACGGTCACTAAATACCACACATTACTCACTACATAAAATGTATGATGTGTATTATATTTTTTTATGACTCCTAGGTCTATTGGCAAGAATGCATGACCGTGTATCTGATATTTTTGACCTAGTATCATCGAAAACAGTTTCATTTAAATCTGTGATTTGGCCAGGGAGGGTGGTGGCACACACACCTACACCCCTTCAAATGCCGAGTAAAACGTTGTCAGTAGAGACATTCAAAAGATCTGTCTCTCCCCAGCTCATCTTGCTGCTGGCGCATTGGACCACCTGAGTTGGAGCTCTTGACACAAATTTCTGGGACGAAAATGACCCCCTTGGTAGTTCCTATCATAAAAAGAAAAACATTTTTAATTTAGATTAATATACATTATTATTAATTTCATTATGAAAGTGGAAAACAAAAGCCTGTTGTCTCTTTTAATGTTTTTTATTTATTTTTTGATAGCCGAGGTCTTTGTTAGGTACTGCAGCTTAATATTGAAATATGCAATTGCGCTTTAAGGGTAACACAAGAAAAGTAAATACTTTAACAAAAAAATTAAATAATTTCTTATCATTGAGATGTTATTCATTGTACCATTAATGTATTATTAGTTTGAAAATATACTTACATTTTCTATACTAAAAAAATGAAGAATCATTCTTAATTTTTCATTTTTTTTCCAGATTTTTTTCCAGCAGAAGAAGATTAATTAATATTTAAATAAATTTTTAAGAAGATATATTGGTATTTAAATAATACAGTTGTACTTCATAACACTAATAGACGAAAATGACATCTGCAGAATCAAATTTGTCTATTGGTTCAAATTGTGAATTCAGTGATGTAGATTCCATAAATTGTAAAAAACAAAATCAATTTGATGTAGAAGAAAAGGTATTTTTGTGTAACGATTGTGATTATAAATGTACATCTTCTCAATCTCTAAAAGTTCATATGATGAGGCATACCGGTGAAAAACCTTATGTCTGTACTGAGTGTGATTATGCTAGTATCACTAGTAGTTCTTTGAAAATTCACATGATGAGACATACCGGGGAAAAACCATATAAGTGTAAATTGTGCAGTTATAAGTGCAGAACATCACAGTCTCTAAAAATCCATAAAATGTTGCATACTGGTGAAAAACCATTTCAATGTACATTGTGTGATTACAGTTGTTCCAGGACTCAACTTTTAAAGAACCACATGTTATCACATTCTGAAGAAAAACCTTTTTCTTGTGAGCATTGTGACTACAAATGTAAAACCAACAAGGCATTAAAAATTCATATGTATACACACAACGGAATAAAACCTTACGTCTGTCATGATTGCAGTTATCGTTGTACATCTTCCCAAAGTTTAAAAACACATAGAATGAAGCATACTGGAGAAAAGCCTTATACATGCTCATATTGTGAATATAGATGTACAACTTCGCATTCACTTAAAACCCATATGATGGTACATACCGGTGAAAAACCTCATGTGTGCATGTATTGTGATTACAGAAGTATATCATCTCAATATATGAAAACACACATTTTGAGACATACAGGAGAAAAGCCGTTTTCATGTTTGCAGTGTAATTATAGATGCATTTCTTCCCAGTCTTTACGCAGTCATATGATGACCCATACAGATGAGAAACGTTTTGCATGCACTTTATGCGATTACAAATGTAAAGTTGCTCAATCTTTAAAAACCCATTTGATGACGCATACAGGTGAAAAGCCTTATTCATGTTCGGAATGTGACTACAAATGCATATCAGCGCAAGGTTTGAAAAGCCATAAAAAATCAAAACATGTTGATAGAAAACCATTGTTATGCAGCAAATGTCCTTATGCATGTACAAGTCAACTAAGAATGAAGTCCCACATGTTGAAGCACACCGGAACAAAGCCATTTGTCTGTTCTCAATGTGATTTCAAAACCATGTTTATAAAATCATGGCAAAAACATACCATGCTTCATAAAAATGGGGAGAAACCATATGCTTGTACTGAGTGTGATTACACTAGTGCAACAAGATATCAACTTCAATCGCACTTATTAGTACATTCTAATCATAAACCTTTTTCGTGCCCTCTCTGTGAATATAAATGCAAAACTAGCCATTCTTTGAAAATTCACATGGTTGTGCATACCGGTGAAAAGCCTTATAACTGTTCATACTGTGATTACCGAGGAACAACTTCTCAGGCTTTAAAAATTCACACAATGACACACACAGGAGAAAAACCTTATGGTTGTAATGTATGCAGCTACAGAACTAGGTCATCCAACTCCCTCAAATCACACATGAGAACTCATACAGGAGAGAAGCCTTATACCTGTACTGAATGTAGTTACCGAACTTCTACAGCACAGGGATTAAAGTCTCACATAATGACTCACACAGGGGAAAAACCCTATGCCTGTGCAGAATGTGGCAACCGTTTTACAACTTCAAATTCTCTTAAAATTCATATTTTCACCCATACTGGAGAAAAACCTTTCACTTGTGATGAATGTGATTACAAGACAACATCTTCACAATCTTTAAAAACTCACATGCTGACCCACACCGGAGAAAAACCTTTTGCTTGCACAGAATGTGACTATAGATGTGCAGCATCTCAAGCTTTAAAGAGACATATGAGGAAACACACAGGAGAAAAACCGTTTGCTTGCTCAGAATGTGAGTACCGGGGAACAAATGCACAATATTTAAAAATTCACAGAATGATTCATACAGGTGAAAAGCCTTATGCTTGCCAGGAATGTAATTATAGATGTTCTACTTCTTATACACTAAAAAAGCATATAATGATACACACAGGAGAAAAGCCTTTCCTTTGTTCTGAATGTGATTACTCATGCACTTCATCTCAATCGCTGAAAATTCATCGAATGACTCATACAGGAGAAAAGCCGTTTTCATGTACAAAATGTACTTATACATGTACAACTTCCCAAAGTTTGAAAAGTCATATGGGTATTCATTCTGACGAAAAACCGTATGTCTGTTTGGAATGTGGCTATAAATGTAGATTACTGAAAAGTCTGAAAGTTCATATAAAAACCCACAAGGGAGAAAAACCATATACTTGTGAAGAGTGTGACTACACATGTGCTGTTTCTTATGTTATGAAAATGCATATGATGACTCATACTGGAGAAAAACCTCATGCTTGCCCTAAATGTGATTATAAAACCTCTGTCAGATACTCGTTGAAATTACATATGATGATACATACAGGTGAAAAGCCGTATGCTTGTACTGAATGTGATTATAAAAGCAGATTTCCACAATCCATAAGAAGACACAAATCAATAAAACACCCTGAGTTAAAGCCTTTTATGTGTGTTGAGTGTGGTTATAAATGTTCTTATGCCCATGCATTGAAAAGGCATTTGTGGTCTCATTCGTCATATAAACCTTACTCATGTACTGAATGCGGTTACACATGTTCCATAGCTAAAAGTTTAATTCGTCATATTCAGACTCATGATATTGATAATTATTTATGTACAGAGTGTGATTTTGAAGGGAAATCTAAGGAACATTTAAAACAACACATAAAAGAACATAACAATTTTCTCTCCTGCGCTGTATGTGATTTTAAAAGTTCACGAAAATTTATTATGAAAAAACATATGTTATCACACAAACTTGACAATCCATTTATGTGTATGGAATGTGATTACCAGTCATTTGAAAAAGAGAGTCTAAAGAACCATTTAAAAAGTGTTCATCCAAGGGAAAAATCAATTTCTTGTGTTTTTGGTGACACACAACCCTCTTCAACGGAGAAAAATTTACCAGAGCATTCAGATCAGATTACATAAAATATCTTTATCAGGTTTTCACACCATAAAGATTTTTTTTGTTATTGTTTTAGTAAAAGTGCCATTTGGAGAGTTTAGAGTAAAAAATATTACACATAAACAAGAAATGGAAAGTAAAAAAAAAATGTATAAATATGTATGTATTGCTTAACTTAGGATCTTGTTTAGAATACCAATTCTATGTGCTAAAACTTGTGTTCATGTTTATGTCTGTTCTCATATTGGGTTATTGCACACATTTTGCTATTCTAATTTTTTGTTTTAAGGCTTAATTCTCTGTTTGTTGTTAGACTGATTAGCTTTGTATACTATATTGTGATAAGTTCACTGAAACTAGGGTTGTTACTTAAATTTTAAGTGTTACAAAATATGATATGTATAATCAACTGTTTTTATCTATAACTAATTTTAAGAAAGATATGGAATATTCTGGTCACGAAAGATATGGAATATTCTGGTCGATAAGACGTCTGGAAATCGACTAAGTAAACAGACTTATATTTATATCAATTTTTATTTTATTGTACTTAATTTTTTTTTGTATATTATATATACTTTTCAATATGAAAATTAGTTTTTATCTTATAGAAAACCTTTTCCTCCTATAAGTGCTACTATACACTTCATTTTATTTTACAAAAGAAGTTTTGTAGTTGAGTGTCAATATATCTAAAGAAAAGCATGCAAGTGATAGCATAAGATGTTTAACTACCTATATAATGTTGAAAAAACCTATATTGTTTACAAGCATTACCACTATTTTGCCAGGTATGTTTGGACTGACTACTGAAGATGGCAGACCAAAATAATCTGAGACAATCAAACCAATGTCAGTGTGAGAGAGGTAATTTGCTAGTGAATAAAAATATTTGAAAAACTAATTAAGGTTTTTATCTTGACTAAAAACCTTAATTAATTGTATGTTATTAATTGGTCAAGCGGACCACGAAACTAATGAATTTGAAAAACTGTTTGAAACCCAGATAAAACTTTTTTTCAATACAGTATATTGTAAGTATAGTTCTTTTAATTGATTTATCAATTTATTAAAACTGTTTGATACACAGTTCCAATTTATGTGCTGTTTGTAAGTTTGAATGTTTGGTTCCTAACTACTGTATCACTAAATAGCCCATGTGAATTACAGTGTAACATAACCCATGAAATTTAAAAAAAAACAGACAATAAATGATCAGAGTTGTTTTTCTAGGTGGTTATAATACAATTTTTAACAATAAAAAAAGCACAATTGTCTTTATTTTCTCTATTGACAATTACAATCATGGTCGGTCTGACTGAGAAATGGGATCAGAACCAAAACCAAACCATTTGGAATAGATATGCAACTAGTTATGTAAGAATAGGGGTAAAAATAGATTATGAGGGAACCCTCAAAGCGAATTGTTTGTTTATTGAACTTTTAATCACACCAAGACTAAATCAGTGTAACATGTTTAAGTATTACTTTGCAATTAAAAAGTGACCCCTTTTAAATCGTAGAATGCCAGAAAAGTTTTAAAAAGCTTTAAACCACTTAGCAATTAAATTTGTTACTTTCAGCAAACCTCCCCATCATTTTATCCACTAACAGTTAAGTCACAGTTTTGTACTTTTTTTAGTACTTACACATCAGTATTCCCAAAAATTGTCTACTTGTGTAGTTCTGCGACAGACTGGAGACTGCAGAAATACGTATTGCAAAATAAGAATACAGAGGTTTTGTCTTTTTTCCCTCTCCAGGGAATAAATCAACGATGATAACCTTTATTAACAAGAGTAAGTACAAGTAGTTACTTTACATTTGATTCATCACTCCTTTAAAACTTTAGCCTTATCCTTCAGAATTGCGAAGTCGAAACTAGAATATGTTTCCCCGGGAAGTACATTCTGTTGCCTCGCTGGCTTGTTTCAGGTCTATAGCATTTGAGCTTGTAAAAACAACATGAATCAAGTATATATTATGTTGTTCAAACAATACAAATACATCAAATAAATACATGTCCATACATCCTCTCTTACAAATTAATCTAAATCTGTGAATCATTGGTTAAAAAAAAAACTTCAGAAAAATAGAATGCTGAGGTTACCAGGGACAATTTTGTTTCACTTTATCAGGCATTATATTATAAAATTGTATGGACCATTAATTACAACCATTTTCACATTTTTTTAGGTTAATCCTCTTATGTAATATTTTATCAGGATTTCTTGTTTCATAACTATGTACATCTTTGTAGTTTAGTTTGTCAAGTGTATCTTCATTTAAAGCTACACATCACACACTCTAATATCTCTAATCTCAAAACAAGGTTGTGTGATTAACTTTATAAAAATATTCTTTGCAGCAATCTCAAAAATTTACATGGATTAAAATTTTCAAGACTTTTCGTTGTTGTTTGAAGACAAGTTTTGAATGGCCCCAGACCATTGGTGCATGCCATATGAATTTGTAAGCAAGAATAATATACATTGAGCAATGCTTCATGCTTTCAACTGCCAACTTGTCTGAAAGTGCCTAAACTGCCTAATAACTCTGGGAAAGCAAAACAAGATTATCTTAAAGTGGGTTCCTGGACATGAAGGCAAAGAAGAAAATAAACAGGCTGATCAATTAGCCAAAAAAGGGTAACCCTCTCACCACCTTGGTAAACCACAACACAGTACTGTAGAAATTAAGATGAAATTGTAAAAATGGATTGAGAAAGAAAAACTCAAATACCCCGTTTGAGGCAAGCCAAGAGATTTATAAACATCTCAAAATTTAAGGCAAAAGGACTCCTCTCTCCCTAAACAGGCAGATTGTGAGGATAATTATATGCCTCTATACCTTAACTATCACCTTAAGGAGTAAGGCTGGGACGGAAACGTGCTAGCTCTGTCAGGAGAAACCAGAGATACCTACACATATCCTTTGTGAATGTAGTGTTAGATGTCTATGGTACAGCCACTTCGGCAGGACATTTTTCATACCGAAGGAGATCCATGAAGAGGCCCCACGGAAAGTGCTCAGTTTTACAAGTAAAAGCACACTTCCCCACATATATGGCTATAAGCTGTAGGGGCTCCATGATAGACCTGTTTAGTTCGTAGTGGAGGAAAGAATTGTCTTCTGCACCAACTCCCCAAAAACCCTTTTAAAAAATCTTCATTAGAGACATTACATTTTAAGCTTATTAATAAATACAAGTGTTTAAGATCGTTTCTTTTACCTTTTTGTTCTGCTTTCTTTCATAATGTGGTTTCATCGTTTGATTGTAAATAATTCATATTTTAAAGAATATATTATTGTCTATTATATATATATATTTATTTATTTTATTATTATTATTTTTTTTAATGAGGGCATTTCAACTACAAGGTTATATGTATCCTCGGGGTGCCGGTATTTTTGAAATACACCACATTTATATGCCTGGACCTTTACCTGACAGTGATAAGCGCGGTGTTGAAGCCACCGTTGTGGCCACCGACGCCCCCTTGAATATTTTATTATTATTGCTATTATTATTATTTTACTATGTTTATAAAACTAAATTTATTTCTAAAATAGGTATTTAAAATAAATAAAATAATAAAAACTGTAAACTCACCGCTGACTGATTACAATGGTATGAATTTTCGATATATCTCTTAATTCTGTTGCGTTGGAACAAGAAAATCAGATCATTTAATTTAGATCAAAAAGTTGCTTTCTATATTCTTGTCATTTCCATTATTATTTTTTATTCATATATATATTTTTTTTAGTTGAAATTAAAAAAAAAAAAAAGTACGGGCACATGTGAGTTGTACGTAACCTTCGCGTTATTTTCCCGTGAGGTTGTAACCCGCCACTTGTTGATGGTGAGGCGTTATTATTGTTAAAACAAAAATAATTGTTTAAATACTGACCTCGAGATTTTGTGGCTTTTTTTTCAAATTCTGTAAGCTTATTAAATTAAATTTCACAAAATCCAAATAGATTGTCTACAAAAAAATATATATTTTTATACATACACTATACATTTATAATATTATATTGATAAATAATTTTTTAAACTGACAGTCATTGACATTAATAACCATTGGACATAATTAAAAGAATCGTGTTTTGCAAAACAAAATATTTAAAATTCTGTTATTAATATGAAAATTATACTCTAGTTATAACTGTTGATACCTACTGCAGCCTCTTCACAATTGACATTTGTATTGTATGATAATGCATTGAAGGAATTGCATTTTTACATATACACTAACAATTATATAATTACTTGTTTTACATATAATTACAATTATAATACATTTAATTTGAAAGTTATAAATTCACATTACTGTACCTGATTTCCAGAGATACATAAACATATTTCATGACTCAAATTCCCATTTACAAATTAAATGTAAAAAAAGTAAATAAATAAGAATTTTAAAAAGTAATGTCACAAGAGAGATTTATAAAATAAGAACTTTAACTGCTAGAACAAAACTTGTTTTCAGAACATTCATAGTTTTAAATTGTTTATGTAAAGAGGCAGTAGGCGTAGGCCCTCCATACACGGGTCAACTTACGCTCGATGCGATGCAACTTTTGTCTCAACTCTCTTTCCTGTGCAAGTATGTAGGCAACTCGACACAGTGCACTGAAAAAAATCAAGCTAGTTGCATGTTATGGTTAGTATTGCATGAGTCTTCGAACATATCATTTGTACATGAGGCGGAAAAGCATCCTGACTTGTTTAATTATACGCTCCCTGCTTATTCCGCAAAGGACACAATGGCGAAGGCTTGGAATGAGGTTTTTTTATGAGTTTTACAAATTATTTCAACCTCTTGTATGTTTAATGATTTATAGATATAAAAAATATTAGAACTTTCGCAATGAACAAAAAAGTAAATAAATATATTATGTGATATACATATATTTATATTAGATTAGATTATATAGGAACCGGCCTTTTTATGACCTAGGCATCCACCAGTATTCGTCTATTGTACACCTCGATTTTTTTTTTTTTTTTAATCTAGAGCCTAACCATCCCTTAAGGCTTTGAATGTGACTCCAAAGCTTTTTCAAGGACTCCCTGGGCATCCTTAAGGCCCTGGGTTTTCTTCTCCCAGGATTAGGAATCTCAGCTGAAGAACGGAGCCTTCGAATCATTAGAGGAGGTCTTTGCTGTTTCTTCTTCTTGGCAATATCTACTCAGACTTGTTTCTGCCATTCCAAAGTCTGCATTATCCAGTTAGCCGTCCAACTATTATTCTAGTTCTACACATCCTAGATTTAGTAGTGCTGCCATTACTTTCTCAGATGGTCCTTTGATAAACTTTTTTGCATGCCTCTGAGTGGGGCTACATTCCCATAATATATTTATATACATAATGTGCATTCAATTATTTTTCTTCTGCGGCTAAATCAGTTATTGATTGTGCAGATATACCCATTCTTTTCTTCACCTCCTTTTCATTTGAAGAATATGCCAATGTCCTCTTCATCGCTTGAACCACTCATTATATCCCTCTTTACAAAACCCACTTATGTGGTGAGAACCCTCCTGGCAAAATACGAGTAGACTGAACAAAAATTTATCTGTGTATAAAAACCCTCACGTTTAGATTGAGCCGAGGTTGCATTGCAGCTGCATCGAGTTCAAGTTGAGTCGACCCATGTGTGGAGGGCCTTAGGCTCAATAAATGAACCACCACATTTTGATAAAATACATTAACAAAATGGACCACAATGAGCCAATTTAAAGTTATTATATGACATAAGTGCAGATCTTATACATAATGTAGTTGTTATCATGGTGGGAGTCTCTTAAAATCAATTACTTTTTCATTTATTTCAGGCATACATTTGATTTGGGCATTTTTCTCACATTATGTTACTAAAATGGATAACAAATATGTAAACTCTAAGGTAATTTTTTACTTATCAATATTTTATCATTACATAATTATTAAATTATAATTACAGGATGCCTCATTAAAGGATTTAAATTGATTGTTATGTTTCCGGGCATTTAGGCGGCAGACAAGAAAATTCCAATGGTCATATTATATAGCGACATGCAAACTGAAGTAGAGGATGATTTAATTTCAGTTATTTATTTTTGCCGAAAATGTCCATACAGAGCAAATTATGTAGCTGAACTGAAAGCGCATATTAATAAGAAGCACAGGACTCCAGAAATAAACGAATCCTTTATAGTTTATCCCTGCAACGATTGCTCTTTTTCAGCAACAAATCCAAATGAGTTAAGGGCACATCTGTTGATTCACAGTGAAGACAACGTCTGCATAGACTGTGGATTCAGGACGTCTGATAAAAATGAACTGTGCAATCATGTATTCAATGAACATTGTTACAATTGCATGGAATGCTTATTCACATGTGACAGCGATGTGAGTTTAAGATCTCATATATCAAAATTTCATTTTGCAAAAGTGTATTCTTGCAGTGAATGTTCGTTTACAGTTTTGGAAGAAAAAGAATTTATGAAACATGTAAGTATACATTTTGCTTGGTTGAATAACCTTTCTAAGAATGACATTTTGAAACATTCTGAAAATAATTATACATCAGTGAAATTAGTTGAATTGGAGAAATACAGAAAATCTCATCTGAAAAAACCTTACTCATGTGTAGAATGTGACTTTACCTGTCTTAAAGAGCCAGAATTACGATATCACATAAAAAAGCACATAACAACGTTTTACTGTAAAAAATGCCCTTATTTCTCGACTAATGAATTCACTTACCAAGAACACAGGAGAACTCATATTAGACATAAATGCCCAGAGTGTGTCGAAGTCTTTAAAGAATTTTATGATTTACAAGTTCACATCTCTTTACATAACATTGTTGAAAAAGACTATTGTTGTGTGGAATGTGGCCATGAGTTTAGAAATAATTCAGCTCTCAAAAATCACTTACTGTCACATTCTGATGTAAAATACAATTGTTCGAAATGTGGGTTCTCAACAAAATATAAGAATAATTATGATTTACATGTTAGAAATAATTGCAAATCTAAGACCAAATCAGACAAGTCCTACTCGAAATGTTATGTTAAAAAAAAAAGACAAGTCAGTATCGGCAAATTGGATTCAAACTTTAAAAGTACAGTAGTAGAGGGATTTAAATGTAACAAATGTGATTTGTTATTTGACAATATGGATGCTCTAAAAATGCATACAAAGAATAAACATTTGACGGATGCTATTTGTAAAATTTGTGGCTTGCAATGTACTAATAAAGGGGCCATGGCTGCCCATGTAAAATATAAGCATTCAAATATTAAAAAAATCAACCAAGACCTAATGCAAAGAAAAACAACATAATAGTAATAAATAAGGTATCATTGATAACAAATAAATTGTAGTTAAACATCAAACAAGTTTGAATGTGTATTGTTCCCTGGCTTGAAACAGGAATGTTAATGAAGCACATGAAAATGTGCCAAGCATGTTTCTAATGAGAAACAGGAAATGTTGAGTATTAGATTATGTCTCACACTTAGATTCACATGCAAAAATTATTTAAAAAATGCAAATATAATCAATGTGGTGTTAAATTGATTATATGTATCTATGCGTGCATAGATTAAAAGTATATCAGAGCCACAAAAATGGTTACTCTTGTTGCTCTCAACCTTTTATGAACTAAGTGAAACTAAGAGTTGGTGATATTTTCATGTAGTTTCAATATACATAGATGTCCTAGCACATTGTAATGCAAAGATTTGATTTTATAAGTCTTATAAGCATTACTTTAAAAGGAGTTAAGATTTACAATTAGAAGTTATTTTACAAATTACTTTGGACATGTTTATTTTATTTTTATTACTTAATTTAATTTGTTCTGTGTATGTTTCACATTTTACATTAATAAATGTTCAAAAATTGTTTATTCATTTATATAGAATTTGTAGTCTCTTTGAATTTGAGAACATTTATATAGAAGTTGTGGTCTCTTTTAAATTGGCTTACATTTTAATTTTTCTCTTTTTTAAATTAAAGGATTTATGTTATCTTTGATTTGTATAAAAGTTGGTAACAAGTTTATCACCAATAAATTGTTCATTTTGTGTTTATTCTGTACAATATCATCTATTTTTAAAGTAATTGAGTAAAACAAAACTGAACATTTATAATAAATAAACGATCTAAAACGCTACTGCAGAAATTTTTTATTTTTTTCAGTTGTTTGCAAAACAACCAAAAAAATTAATGTTTTTTTTGTGTAACCACTCTTCATTAAACATTTTTATATGTACTTACCTTTTCAATAACATAACACCTCATTTTGGTATAATTCAGTTATTTAGTATAGAATTTTGTTACTAATTAAATTAAAAATACTTCTCTCTCACTCAAAAAAAAAAAAAAAAAAAAAAAATATTACAAAATAAACTTTAAAATCTTTAATAGGTTGTGTTACCTCCTCTTTCTCTTATTATACACTCCAATCTTCTTGGTATGCTTTTAATTAAGCCTTTAACCATGTCTTGAGCAATTCCGTGCCAAATTTCAACTAATGCAACTTTCAGCTCAGCTAAGGTTGCAGGAGGTTCGTTAACTTGTTTTACCCAACATTTAAGCTACCAAAAGTGCTCAATGGAGTTCAAATCAGGGTTTCTGGCAGTGTGAATATTGACCCTTGGCGGCGACATGTCATCTTATATAAACTGGAATCGCTCGCCAATAACAGGTGCAAACAGCACCACATATTCCTTAAGAATTGTCTGTCACATATAATTGTGCATTAAGTGACAACTTTAAAAATGTATAACTCTGTTTTTGCCTCCAAAGAAATTCCACCCTACACCATAACTGAATCACCTCCTAACAGAGCTCTTCTAAACGTTGCATTGGATGTAGTGCTCTCCAGCTGCAGTTCCTTGACAATTTTTCAAAAATTATTTTGCCCATTGTAGTTGTATAGCACCGACAAGAAACCTGACAAAAGTTCTTAAGTCCTGCTTTCTTTTATGTTATATTATGCTTTATGAAATTACTTTTTTTATTCGTATTTTGAAAGGATTTTCTTTAATTACCTATGTCAATTAGTGGAGAAGGGTTTCAAGAACAGAATTCCTGGTTTATAAAATGATAAACCTGGGTTTTTGCCTTCCATTCATCTGCAAACCATTAAGGGATTTTTGGTATCCTTTTTTCTTTTTCATTTCACATGTTTCACTTTTGCGACTTTTGACATTATTTTTTTAGGTGTGTATAACCTTAAAATACAAATGCACTATAATAAAAATAAATTGCATAAATTGTGGATAAGTATGGAAGTCAGGGTTGAGTAAATTTAGAATAGTAATTCAAGTTGACATCAGAGGTTCACCACCAATTTGAAGATGTGAAATTAGACACGTCCCTCCCAGTTGTTCTTATGAGTTAAGCCAATATGGACCAAGCTCATGACACCGAGAGTGCTGATCTCAGCGTATTTATTCAATTCGACTTGCACACTTATTCTCAATTCGTACAGTAATTATACTCCACAGGAAGTTTAATAGTAATCCACCTTCCAGTCATCAGTTAGATAGTATAGTTTTTCATCATCTCACTTTTCCTAGATCTAGGTTCAGGTGTGGTTGACCTATAATCATGTCAAAATATAGGTACAACATATCACCCACATTATCTCAGGGCTGGAAATTAGATTCTTTGAGATTCGATGATGGAACCTTAATTGTGGATTTGAAGTACACTTGTATTCTGTTTGGTACCACCTTTTTGCAATCATATTTATTAGTTATTTAAAAAATAAATAAAACATGATGTAACCTTTATTCAAAATATACTATTTTTATCTATTGTCATATTACTTTATTATTAAGAACTTACTAAGCATTCTCTGAGTTATATAAGGTCAAATTTCCTTAAATTATTCTATCATAGGGATCAGAGAAGTACTTCGGGGGCATCGGTGGTCACAACGGTTTAGGCATTCTTACAACCTTGTAGTTGAAATGCCCTTCAAAAATTCCAGCATAGAAGTTAATTTCTGCCGTACAGGAGGGCTTAACGGCCAACTACTTGTAGGGTGTGGCAGACAAGGAATCAAACTACTTTATAACAACCACTTCTTTCATACTATTTTCAATTAAAAAGGCACGGGCTATGCCGGAGTTTGAACCAAGGACTGGTAATTTGGCAAATACAAGTTGGACGCTCTAGTCCCTACCACTCTCCTGCATAGCATAAGGTGAGCTTATATTAAGTGGTATAAATTTTACTTAATTATCTTCCTCCCCATGATGTAAACAATCAATCATCACAATCAAACATGAGATTAGTTAATTTATTGGAAATCAGTAGTGTTAAATAGATTACTTATTTTCTAAGTTTCTTGGGCGTCGGTGGACGCAACGGTTTAGGCGTTGACACAGCGATCAAGTGTTTCTCCATTGTACATTACATATTGCTTGTAAGTTATCAACCATACTTCGCAATGCTTAGTTAAGTTGAATTAAATAATTGATCATTATTACTACAACATTAACTAACACAAGTTATATTTCCAACAATAAAATAATATCAATTGATTTTATAATGAATTTATTGGACAAGACATTGGGATTATAAAAGAGCATTAAAAGAATTACTGTTTTACAAAAAAAATTCGTTATTTTTTAAACAAAGCCTCACTTAAGTCTGAGACTAATTCTACACAAATAGATTCATCGATTTTTCTTAAAATTAATTTTAAAATGAAGAAATCACCGAAGTCCATCAATTGTATTAGTTTTCTTATCTTTGCCTGTGGTGCATTTCTAAATTTTGGCATGAGGGCATAAACTCTTATGGCAGAAAATGATATAGCCATGAGTCTACTAGTCAACAAAATTAGAGATACTAAAAGTAATATGTTCAACCAAAGCCAAAGAGCGGTGAACACTTTTTCTGCTACAATATTAACTGGGAGAAGGCAAAGGCTGTTGAACACCTGTAGTTCGCCTGTCGGACCATGCATTCTGAAAGTACATTTCGTTAATTTCGGGAATAATTCTGACAACATGTTGCTTCGTGTTGTTTTGCTTCCGATTATCAAGTCAAGCACAATTTTGTAATAGAACATAAATAATTCTTCTTCAAAGAAAGAGTTCATAAAACTCCTTTGAGCGCCAATCAAAAAAAGTACACCTACTTCACAACAGAAAAAAACAAGGGCGTACATTTTATGGGTGTGAAGATTTTTGATTAAATAGTGAAGAAGGTTTTTTTTCCTAGCGTTTTTAACACTTTCTGTAATAGCATCAGAGTCAAGGCCTAATATCAAGAGTTCTAACTTTCCTCTTTCCAATCTGTTCCAGAGATAAACAGGCAAATAACAGAGTGAACTTAGTAAAAGAAGAACGAGTGAAAACCACTGATAATATTTGTGATATTTTTGTTTGACACTCCCTGTGGTGTAGAACTCGGTTCCGACGGTCGTTAGGCGATTATCGGTATGTCCGTCTTTTGGCAGACTAACAGTGAATGTGGAATTCATCCAACAATAGGCGTTTATCAGGTCTTCCGGCAGTTCTTTGGTTTCTGTGCACACCATCGGGTGACCGGAATACAACCTCGCAGAAACAAGGATAGATAAAAACACGAAAGCGATTCCGGTGAGTTTATACAATTTAAATAACCAACTGTCTATATGTACATTAGTCGGAGTGAGATCCAATTCGTGAATGTCTTTTATATTACCGAGGAAATACATGACGCATAAAATAAATCAACATGTGCAAAAAGAGCCAAGACCTTTCAACAGATTATGCAGTTTGCCAATTCGAATTATGCCTCAACAGTCCGTTGCGAGGTGCAACGACCTTTGCCGTTCCTCACTTTTCTTGGCCGTACAATTTATGGAAAAACCGCGAAAACTGGAGAGACCGATTGGGCAGAGTTCAAACGACGGATAGAGCAGTGAGCACTACGCAATACAGATTACAGAAGACATTAGACAACACCGAGCACCGACTCACACGCTACAAAATACATTCCTAGTACGGTGTGGTATCGATCATAACTGTCACAACTAGACATGTTTACAGGAAACTCGATGTTTTTCTATCGATATTGAAATAGAAATAGAAAATATATTTATTTAAAAAAAAAAATAATCACAATAATGCTAATAACAAGCAACAGGTGGACATACAAAATGAACAAAATCTTAATGCAGACTACATTGAGAATCTGAGTGTACAAATTAACAAACTCAATAATGCCATAGAATTTCTTATAAGGAAAATAAATGCTCTTGAAAACAAAGACAATACTTACGATAACAAACAACTAATAATAAATAAGTAATCCCTTTCGGGATAGACGGTAATTTGCTACAATTTATTTGCGATTTTCTTAATGACCGAGTTTTCAGAGTGAGATGTGGATCGGCACTGTCGGGTATGTTCAGGAGAACGAGGTGCCTCAGGGCAGCCCTATATTATTTTGTGTTGCAATCAACAATGTTTTGAAATGCAAAGAACCTTCCTGTGAAGGAATGCTATATAAATATAAATTCTCTACAAACACAAATGCAAAACACCCTGAATAAGGTAAACAGATGGCTCTGTGAACATGGTTTCACCGTTTTCCCACAAAAAACAACTGCTATACATTTTGCAAAACGGCGTCCACTCAGCTACCCTTCCTTGTACATATCCAACTGTCTTCTCTCGTATTCAGATACTATCCGATACCTGTGGGTCATCTTTGACAGGACATTGGAATGCACATATAAAACGATTAAAAACAAAAAGCTTTCTTTCAATGAACCTACTAACGTCGATTAGTTCATACTCTTGGGGTGCTGATCGCCGTGGGCTCATGATATTGTACAAAAATTTAATAAGAACACAACTGGACTATGGATGTAATGCATACAATTCCGCTACTAAAAATACAATCGGCCTGCTCGACACAATACAGAATACGGGACTTAGGCTGATCACAGGTGCTTTCCGGAGTAGTCCCTCGTACAACCTTGATGCAGATGCTGGAGAAATGCCTTTAAGTTTCAGACATGACTTTCTTGACGAAGTTTTTTGCTAAAATCGCTTCCTCTAAGTCACACCCACTAAATCGTCTATTTACAGGGACTAGTCTGATATCTGATAGCTCATCACGTGATTCTGTACGAAAAACCTTCCCGCTCCGTATATACACACTCTTGCATTGTCAAATACCCACACCTCCAACAAAAAGAATCAGTGGCCCATCCCTCCCTGGACATTTCCCAAACCGAAAATTTTATATTCACTTGGAAAATATCGTAAAGCCATTACCTTTTCATGTATACCAGCAGGAGTTTTTGAAAATAAAAAACGCACTCCCACAAGCGGCATTTACAGACTGATACAGACGGATCAAGGAGCTTCAGGGGCGTCTATATGTGGCCCTAGCAAATTTATTTTCTCTCTGTATCATTTCTGTATCAACTATAGCGCTAGCTGCAAGCAATACGCAAGTCTCTAAATTTCACGTGTTCCGATAACAATAGTATGTGATGCAGAATCGGCCTTACATGCCTTCGAACACCCCTATTCAGATGATCCCAATATGCAGGAGGTACTGGCGTCACTGGGGAGCAGGGAAGGAGCGTTTGTTTCGTGGTTGTTCCTGGACATGTAAATATTAAAGGAAACCATTTGGCAGATGAAGCTGCAAAAGAAGCAGCATAACAGGCCTTCAAATCAAGGACGTCCCAAAGGCCGATATGTCTGTAGTTTACAAGTCAAAAGTTAAGGGTCAATAGAAACAGGTCTGGACTAATATATCTGAAAAGAAACTACGGGAAATAAAGGACTCTATAGATACATGGCCTACTTCATTCAGAAATAGTAGAATGGAAGAAGTGGTTCTTGCACGGTTGGGGATTGGACACTGTAGAGCCACTAAGGGTCATTTGATGGGGCGAGAGGCACCTCCAATTTGCGGAATGTGCAATCAGATTAATTACGATAGTATACGTAATTTGTTTAATTTTCTCAAATCAGCAGATCTACTCGACAAAATATGAGCTTCTCACACTGTCCTCTTTTTCACTTTTTTGCGCCAATAAAATATATTGAAAGGAAGAAGGAGGGAAGAAAAAGGGGAAAATAAATAAATAAATGGATGACTGAATAAAAGAAGTAAATATACTAGATCAGATAGATAAAGATAAATACAAAAAAAATTGTATACATGTAAATATGTATAAAATAAATAAATATATATATACATGGGTGGCTCTAACCCGTATGACTCTTTGAACCTTTGAGATAATGAGATTAAACCAAACTTTGTCCTAGGGCTCCAACCCAGTGGGGCCGACGCACCAGAACGACCGCCGGCAGCATGATGGGCCGAGAAGAGGCCTAGATAGATTTTTGAATGCCTTTACTGACAGCGTATTACTCAGCATTTGGAGGTGTGTGTATGTAAGGATGACCTCATTGCAGACTTTAGGGAAAAAATATATTTGAGTGAGTTAAGCTTGAGACCACTGTTAATTAACCAAGCTAGAAAGGTTAATGGGTTGAATGGAATCAGGGAAGGCCCGCCGCAGCAAATTGAACCCAGCAATTGTGGGCCCTAAAATTGCCCCTTGAGGAACGCCAGATTTAACAGGACGGTCAGATGAGAGTTTGTTATTAGGTAGTTTAACAATTTGATTACGACCTGACAAATTAGAGGATATTAATTTAGAACTAGAGGACGAAAAAATAAACAAATTTTCTATTTTCCGTACAAATTTGACATCCCGAAAACTACATAGTGAATTAGTGAATCTTTGCCTTCTCATATATCTTCACTAATTTTAATAAGGCCGATTCACAGCTATGTTGATGTGGAAAACCAATTAAAATGGTGAAAGCAGTGAATGAGTGTCAAGAAAGTTATTAACGTATTTAAACATAATGATTTGTAGAGCTTTAACCAGGGTAGGATACTTACAGGTCGAAAATCATTTGGGGATGACGGTGATGAAACTTTAGGAAAGGGTAAAACAAAGGTTCTTCCACCACTATAGCTCCTAATTACTTGTAACTAAAGTGGAAAGATAATGGATTTAATTTTAAACTAAATAAATTGAGTGGTGCGTTAAATTTGTCCATCGGTGTATCATTTTAATAAGTTAAGTTCATGTTTATTCTTTATATTTTTTTTTAGAATACTGACATTATTCTTATAATGATTATTGAAATATATATTTTTTAACGTTAATTATTTATATTTATAGTTATGCTGAACCAGCAATGGGACAAGGAAATGTCGCACTGAAGATGGCGATATTTTTTTCCCATATGCAACGACTTTTGTTAGCAAATGACCAGTTGGCTATTTACAATAATAATTGATGGCTTAAACCTTTTACAGAAATGAAAAAACCGTCAGGTTTCTAATACAAACTCATAGAAAAAACTACACATAAGTTAAATACGAATAATAATTGACAATAGTATAATGAACAAAAGTGCAAAAAAAATGGATAAATGAGATGAACAACATTATAAACAATAATCTAAAGAAATATTAAAATATAGCATTAAACAACCCGTATTAAAATATTTTCCTGATAAATACATAGTTGGGTATAAAGCTCGACACAAAACTAAGATATGCCACATTTCTTGAATGAAGACAGTGCGTTCCCGCCAATTCAAAAGTCATGCTGGCGCTGCCTAGCAGCTAAGTCCACCTTGTTGTGTCATTTTCCCTGTAGCCTCATACCCGAACATTTGAAAAAAAAAAAAAATCCGGTTTTTAGAATTTTTCGATTTGTGTCACTTCTCTTGTAGATGTGCGACATATTAAATCGTGAATTTTGAAACAGTCACCATGCTGCGACCGTGCCAAGTTTTCGAACGGATATCGTGCATCGATGTTTTCCACTACCGATTTTTCACGTGTTATTGAAATTGTCGATTTTCACTAGGATTTTCGATTTATTGCTTTATATATTTGTTTGATCTTTTTAAAGTTGAGGGGGTTAAAAAGCCTCATTGACTATTAAGTCTGTTTAGTGTTTAGTCTTGGCGAATATGCGGAACTTCAAACCCGTATGAAGTATATCCAAATGGAGTATGGACTGTTCACTCTTGGTTTAAGGACTTCTGGAGTAAAAATCATTACCGTCTTGGGACCCCTTCCAATCAACATTCTCATTCTCGAGATAGGGCGTGCCAGTTTTGTTTATAGATTACCTCTCAATTCTTTGGGCGTTCACTTTCTCAGTTTCTCCTACCCGTGGGGTAATAATTGATTTTATTCAAGTAGAAAGCAATTGTAATTTTTTTTGTATTTGAGTATTATCTTCTTATAAAGAAAAAATTTTTATTTAATTTTGTCCGGTTTAAAAACATTGTTCTATTTACATTTACTAATTTAGAGGCAAATGTTATATTATAGTTTACTTATTTATTTTTTAAAATAATAGAACAACAATGCGATACTTGAATTTCTACTTCAGCCCGTCGTTAATTAAATAATACCACTGGTTAAATAAATTGTTAGCTTCCAAAAAAGTGAATTTAAATAATTGCGCCAAATTATAATAAATTAAATTTAGAATAATCTATTTCATATTGGTTTTTCATAAATAACGACAATATTGGTTTCTGGGATGTACTGTATTATCTGATGTCTGAAATCTTGTCATTTGTCGGTGGTCTTAAGGCTGTAAAAGTACAAGTTTTAAGAAATGATATGTCAATGTTTAAATGCGCTCACTTTTATTCCTCGTTTTTAACTATTTCATCGTGCCTCTTATTACTGCAAAGCGAATTTATTCAGTTTTTTATGCCAGGAGGATATGCACTCAGCAAAACTACAGTATGAACGGTTGTCTGTGACGATTCTCTTGCAAAAGGGCTGACCTGGAAAATGCTTGAAAGCAGGTGTGTTATACATTTAGTGTTCCACTTTAAATCTACACCTTTTTAATTTTAATTGACAATTTCAAAATATAAAATACCAAGTAGATCTTGTACCACTGTCAACGCATAAATTCTTTTTTTGAAACAGTAAGTTTTTGTATAATATAACCTTGTGAATTATTAATAATATACTGATGAACAAATTTAACGCACCACTCAGTTTATTTAGTTCAAAATTAAATCCGTTATTTTTCTATATTAGTTACAAGTAATTAGCAGCTAACATAGTCAAAATAAATTGTAAATACTTCCTTTGTTTACGTTTGTACTGATTAATCCCATTTGCACTAAATTTAGCATTCTGCCCTTCCATTCCACCACGCCTAAAGATCGCATTTAATTAATCTTTTTCCTTTGTTGATTTCATTTGATATTATTCTTATTAAATTCACTAATTTTCGTGGTCCGCTTGACCAATTAATATCATTCAGTTCTTAATATTATTCTTATTCTTAAACCTTCTTCAATGGCTCCAGTCAAGTAATGAGTGAGAATGACAGTGTCAGGGTCATAACATTGAGGATATAGCCAGCATGAAGTCGCCAGGAGACTGAATGTAAATGACTCTCTACAATAGGAAGGGTACTTCGTCACTTCAGAGAAATAGGACTTCAAATTAGAAGGCCAGAACAGGGTTGACCTAAAATCTACAGAGGATGGATAAATTAATTCGTCATCAATGGAAACTGCAGCATTTTTGGAAAGTAAAAAAGAAATCTGACAGGAATAGTTCAAAAATTTTCAAAATCCAAGTTGGACACGGCCGTTCTTGATGAATGGGCAAGAATTCCTCAGGATTTTATCAGAAATTGTTTCCAAGAAATATAAAGGTGTTTAACAAAAGTGCCAGAAGTGGAAATATTCGTTATTAAAGGGGGCAAAAAGTTTTTAAAAAACATTTTTATTAGTTTTTGATTTTTATTAAGAACATTTTCTTTTTAAATGTGTTAGTTTTACAACCAAACCCATTTTAGATAAGCAAAATATGAATAAACATAAATACATTAAAGTTTGAAGGTGATGCGTTTATTTTGTCCATCAGTCAAATTCTTAATGAAAGGGATTATCTTCTGTACCACATGAAAGCTTGATGAAGGAACTGAGTGTTTTTCTTTTCCTTTGATCCTTGAATTGGCCTTATCATTAATTTTTTAATTAAGATAATTAAATTAAATTAAATTTTTTTAATTTAAGGATATAATAATGCAAGACTCACGATTGAATGTCTTTTGTGAAATAGGCCATTGTCTTAAAACTTAATAGTTATAATCAATGACAAATGCATGAAGTAATTTTTTTTGTGCTATAAACTATTTAAAAAAAATTCCATGAAAAAAATATATACTTGAAAACAGTTCATTAAAAGTTGCATAGGCCACTGCCCTAACAATCAATGCATGTTGAATAATGTTCACTAAAGTGATGTATAGTTTAAATTGTTGTTATGTAGGACATCTCAATTATTTTATTTTTTTTGTTTTAGTGGTGTTCAGTGAGAGAGTTAAAGAGATCCTAAAACATGGATTAGTTAATATCTATCTGCAAAAAAAGAAAGAAAAGAAAGGTGATGATAATAGCTTATAGACTTTATTATCTTATTATTATTTGTAATGCTATGTAAAAGTGATAATATAATTTCATAGGTCATAAAAATGAACAAACTTCCTTCAAAAATCAAATACATCTACATACAAGGAGGTAAAAAAGAATATGTGTGTTCTGGCTGCCCTTATAAAAGCACAAATTACAGCAATATGAAAAGACATATGGGTAGACATTTTAAACTTAAACCATTTAAATGTTCAGAATGTGAGGGTGTTTTTATTTCTCCAAGCGAAATGGAATTACATAAAAACGTTCATACTGGTCAGAATATGCTAAAATGTTCAAATTGTGACTTTACGTGTGTTTTCCCTTCGAACCTTCAAAGACATATGGTCAGTCATTCTAAAGCAGATAGATTTGCTTGCTCAGAATGCAAGTATACTGCTTTATCATCGAGTGAATTGAAACGTCACTTTATGATTCACACGGGTGAGAAAAATTATTTATGTGCTGAATGTGGATATCAATGCAACAGTTCTCATACACTCAGGAAGCACATTTCTTTTCATAACAGAGAAACCAGATATCAGTGTGAACACTGTGATTACAAATGTTATCAGGCTAGTGATTTAAAACGTCATATAGCCGTTCACACAGGTGAAAAGCCATATGAATGTCCACAATGCGGATTTAAAACTGCTTTTCAAAATTGTTTGAAAAGACATCTTTACACACATTCAACGAAAAAACAATTTTCATGCACTGAATGTAACTTCAAAACAGCAATCAAAAGTTCTTTGAAACGCCACATTCTCAAACATAATACTAAGAAACAGTTTGCTTGTGCTGAATGCGATTACAAATCAATACAAGCATCACATTTGAAACTTCATCAGATGATACATTCTCAAGATGATAAGTTAAAAACAAAGGAAATTAAAAATATCAATTTTGAATTTGAGAATATACATAGATTGTCTGATCATGAATGGGAAATTGGAAGTTTCACATGCTCAGAATGTGATTATATGTGTTATGAAAAACGAGCTTTAGCAGAACATGTACAAAAGCACTATATACCCAGTCATTCATTAATAGTGACAAATGATATTATTGGCTTTTTAGACAGTTTCATCACTGATAATGTTAAAACCAGGCCAATACTGAATTAAAACAAACGATTTAAAAATAGCTGATAATTTTCTAGTCATAAAAGTACTTTTATAAAATGGTATAAAGTGTTTTTATTGGATTTTTAAAGTTTTGACATTGTTTATAATATATTGATTATAAATGTTTAAAATTTATTGTGCATAATAGACAATTTCCAATGCTTATGTATATTTATATAACGTATACATATATTTTCTTCATTTTATACTTTATAGTTATACCTGTAATTGGCTGTTGAATATATATTGTATTTTTGTAAATCGTTATTTCCTTAATTATTGTTTATTTATTAAATATTATAATATGTGCATAAAACAGTAAATGTTATCACATTTGTGTATTAGGAAATAGTAGCTATGAAGAAATGATAAAACATAACCAATTAAATTTAAAAAATTCCAGAATTCTTTAAAGAGTGTAACAGTAAACTAGCCACTCACCATTGGTTTTATACAAATATAATTTTACATTACCAATATAACCAATAAATGCAGTCACAATAATTACCGATTTGTATGCATCTTAATTTTTTAAAACTTATTTATTGGGTTCAGCCAGACATGAAAACAATGTACATGATTATGTACAATGTGCAGTTTTTTCTTGATTTGTTGAAGTCTTGAGGCCTAACCTGATCCTCATGACTTCATCAAATTATGTACAACAATAGTTTCACATGTTTTATTGTTTTTTTACACATTCATTTTTATAGTCACAAGGAACTCGGAAATTTTGGCTTTTGTTTGTTTCATAGGTGTCACATAGTGGTTTTTACCTATCTTGTAAAAAGTAGGTGTTACAAACCATGTTTTTCTTCTCAAACTATTGTCAAGCCTAGACATATAGTGACAATGTCATCATGAAACAATGGTATGCGGCCTGCAAGTGGAAACAGTTTTGTATTTAAGGCCTTTGTCACCATTCAATTGGCCATTAAATTAAAAATTGTGTCTTTAGGGGGTCTATCAGATATTACTATAGGTATTACCAGAAGAGCACCAGAAATTGTTTTTTAACTAAGAGCTCAACAATTTTATTATATTTATTTAAAACAAATATGTCCTCTAAACCATGCTATTGAAACGTCTGTTGTTGATTCTTCAGCCAAAATTCAAACTTATAGCACAATTTTTTGAAGTAATGAAGAGTGTTAGGAATGAAGTATTTTAGGAAAAACCTTTTTAGCTGACTTTTTGACCTTTATTCGCAACATCAAGAACCAACCACAAGAACATGTTAATTGAAAAAAATAATTCACCACTCCTCACTTCTTGAACAAATTATTGAACACTAAGTCACTAAATAATACACATTTACAGCACTTATAATTTTGTATTAAGAATATATTATTGCAGTAACAGAACATGCAATTTTAAATCAGACAGTCAGTGCATATTACTGCATAGATATTTTATGTTATACACATTTCAGTGTCAACAATTGGTTCTAGACAATGGCAGAAAATAAGAAGTCTCTTTTGCCTGGTTAAGTAGCTTGGTATAGAAAAGCCAATTTGCCTAAGCAGAAAGGACTTTTTTAAGGCAAAAAACTGCTAGATTATCATCACCTAATGAACCTTTGCGATTCCTCCAAGATGAAGTAACCATCCCTAGAAAAGATAGTTAATTATTTTGAAAAGAGTAAGTAAATGAGAGCAAAGTTTAGGTGTCTCTAGGGAAAGTAAATTAAAGTACCATTCAAATTGTCTGTAGTAGTAATAGTTACTCCTATTTTCTAGGAAAGAATTCTGAGAAATTTAAATTGTACAGATTGAAGTTTATAAATACATAGTGTAGGGATAAAAAACAGAGAACAGCATGCGATGAAGCACTGAGCTTACAAATGATATGTAAAGAATGATCAAGGCATTGGGTTGAAATCAGAAGAGAACCCAGCATTTTTAAACTAGAGGATTTAGTAGATCGATGTGTGGAATAGAATTTAATTTGTGGTAAAAATAACACCAAGGTCTTCAGATGTAGTTTTAAACATATCCAAATATTCCACAAAAATTTAAGAAGTTTTGCAATAATCTCCCCCAACAGTCTCACCTAAGCCTTGACCAACAGAACCCGTCCTTATGATTCTCCTCCTATAAGGTGTCTCATGCAGAAATGGCCCCCCAATCTCCTTTCTGAAAAGTAGGCAGTGAAGTTTATTTAATGAAGTGAAATGGGAGAATAATATTATTTGCTCCCTTCAATGTAAATATATAAGTAGCTGTAAATATATCTATGTACATCAAATTATATATAGTAACCAAGAATTGCAAACTGAAATGAAATATTGGAAAAACAAGTACTGTGATAATATAAAATGTAATATTTAGTTCCTGTGAGCTATAAACTTTTATTTTAGCCCTTACATGCTTATATTTAAAAGGTTTTTTTTGTCATCAGAAGAAATTGTATTTCTTTTTTGGCCGGCAAAAACATATTGTACACCCACAAGAAAAGTGATACAAGTCGAAAAATAATAAAAACAGGATTTTTCAGTTTTTAAAAATATTCGGGTGTGATGCTACGGGAAAAAGGACACAATTTGGGAAGCACCATGTGTCACTTTTGAATTGGCGGAAACGCACTGTCTCCATTCAAAAAAAGTGGCATATCTTAGTTCTGTGTCAAGCATCGGTGTGAGTATTGCTATAATAACCGACCAATCTTTTTAATAAACAATTGCCGCATGTCAAGGGATCAATAATTGCAACTTGGAGCATTGATATATTCATGATTTAGCGTTTATTTGCATAAATATTTGTAAAATTGACTATCACATCACATGGACATACTGATTCTAAATGTGTTGACAACCAACAATAAAGAAAATGCCATTAATAATGTTAATGAAGTCTGTCAGTTTTCAAATTCCACCTATTTGTCAACTACTTTGGGCAAACTGTTATGGATAATGTGCATGTGTTTTCTGTGTAGATGTGTAACAGTTGTGTCGTGTTAGTGAGATAAACAACCGTGAGACATATACACAGAAAACACACACTTTGACTGAGTCTAATTTTTCTATCATAAATTCATTTTTTCATACCCTTCATGTATTTGTATAATCTAAACAATGTTTATAGATCCCAGCCCCTGAAGATAATCTCAATAAAGATCGAAACGTTGGCACGATAAAGAAAATGTTTTTCTGAAACCTACATTACACCAGCCCGCATTTCACCATTTCCGAATAATCGTTAAATCCTTCCGTTCCTATTGTAGAAAATGTAGATACATAGTTTAATGCAGACCTTTACACTAGCGAGTCAATCTTCCAGTTTCAGTCGGTCATTCCTTAGCGGTAAGCATCTTTGATTTGACTGATAAAAAGACAGATTGACCCAGACCCAGCAGTGCCAGTAGGTCAATAGTGCTGGAAGGTGGAACCGACTACTGTACTGTGTAGAGAAAAAGGATGTGTGTCGTGTGATTGTGTGGACGTGACGTTCTCCTTCACACACTCCCCACTACGTTCGTGCAATCGGCAAAACCAGATTCCCGTCGGCCGTCCTATTCGAGTCACCTCCACCATCTGCTCTCGGATTTCAATCGGAGTCGAGTACCGGCCGGCCTCCGTTTCTCATCTTCTTGCGTTAAGAATATGTCTCAATTGAAGAGAATGACGTCTGTGAAGATGCTGTTGAGCCCGCTTTCGGCTCGCCTCTTCTCGAGTTCCGCCGTCGCGAGGACGAGGTTCGTCCAGTACACCTGCTCCAACGACGGCCCTCAGCGGCTGGGGGTCCAGCTCGCTCAAGACGGCGACATCATCGAACTGAGCGCCGTCAACGCCGCGATACCCAACAACTTGGTCGATTTCATACGCGATGCGTCGATTTACACGGAAAAGGCAAAAAGGTACGACAAATACTTTTCCGAGCTTTCGCCTGTTTCTTTTTTTTAAACTTGTGTTTATTGTGAAAGGGTTATCGCAGAAGGGAAGTCTGTCGTACGACTGGAAGAAGTGAAACTCCTTCCGCCGATTATGAGGCCGGATAAAGTCATTTGTGTAGGTCTCAACTACAAATCCCACTGTGACGAACAGAAGAAGCCTTATCCGGAAGAGCCGTTTTTTTTCAACAAGTTCCCCAGCACCATAGTTGGCCCGTTCGACGATGTCATTCACCCTCCAAATTCTAGGGTAACTATCATCACATCACTTCTTTTCTACGAGAGACGTTTAGTACTCAGCCGAGCAAATCAGCCTGGGTTAAAAGCCCGTACTCTAATAATAATTTTTAATAATTAATTATAATTGTTTTTGACATTAACCGACAAATAATTGTTATGTAATGACTCGAAGTTTTGCGGGTTTGCCGACTCGTCACTCCTCTGTCTCCACCCTCGAGATTACGAGTTGGCATTTTCTTTTTAATCCTTTGCAGGTCAGGTGTAAAGAAATGGTTTTGCGCCTTGAAGGATTGTGTCCTTCCTGGTAGTAGAAATAAAAATATATTTATTAAAAAAAAATTCACAATAGGTCTTACCCCTTTAGTCAGTAGAAAAATATAAAGTAATTGAATAACAAAAAGGTTACAAAATATAATGCAATATAAAAAATTGTATGTAACATAATTGTTTGGTGAGATGCACAGTCTGGTGTGATTTAGGTCTAGAAAAACTTTTCTTTATCGTGCCAACATTTTGATCTTTAGATGCAGTCTGGTGTGACGTAGGTTTATAAAACCAGACCGCATCTCACGATCTCCAAATAATCATTAATTAATGGCCACTAAACACACGATATTAACATAGTTGGATTTGAATGAAGGAGAGAAGTAGGTATAAAGTAAAAGTATAAAAGAGAGAAGAAAAAGAGAATGGCAATAATATCATGCTGAGTTTGATTAAATCAAGGTTTGTTTGCAAAAAAGTTGAAAGCTTCATGCATGACAGTTTGGAGGGGGTGGGCCAAACTACTATCCTGCGGAAAGGAATTCCACAGACGCACCCCAGCTACTATAAACGAATCATTCATAAATTTGCAACTATGATGCAGGTTATTTAAAATATTTAAAGTATGAGAAGAATTAAAATAGAATATAATAAATAAGTAAGAAGGGCAGAGCTTATTTTTAATTTTAAATAATTAAGTAAGAGATAAGAATTTAAGGTAATCAATAAATTAATACTCAGAATGAACTTGTCAAGCTGCGACCCCCAATGTTTGTGAACCAGTAGCGCTCCATGGTCCTGTAACCACTTCAAGTGGAGATGAGGCCACAAACACGGTCACTCCGCAAGAGATCTGCATTCTGCAGTGTTGACCCGAACGTGGAAGGATTAACAGGTCGTCCGAGATAGTGGCTAGTGCAGCATATATATTCATCCACTATTTGCTGAAGGCTGAAGATTATAGAAGGCCCCATCGTTTTTGGTGAGCAAATTTCTATAAAAATAGAGTTACCCATGACTTCCTGTTGGGCCTAAAATTGCAAGAATTAAGTGGTCACTACAAGAATTTTTTGTGAATGACTTCTTCCAACTTTGAAGATCTAAAGTTGGTAGCATGGTTAGGTTACAAGAGCAATACACGCTATATAACGTTTCTCATTGCTGCCCACAAACTTACAGTGCTCCGCTTTGAGTTCGCCCAAAAATGGACAGCCATTGGAACGCTCTCAAATGTTCGCAAACTGTTACACGCTCTGAGCGCAGAAGCGTACACACTAAAGACAAACCTGATTTGCCACTGATTCGTGAACTTAGGGTGTATGCAGCTTTAGATGTGCTTTTTTCTTCGTAAATGTAATACAAATCTTGTGAAAATATTAAAAAATATTCTAATTATTTAGTATAATTGTGATTAAGTGAAAAAGAATATATAGTATTGGATATAGATGTATATATAAAGTCACACCAAGATTTTTTACCTTGTTAGAGAAGGGTATTAAATAGTCATCAAGAGTAATGCAAGGAAAATCCTGTTGGCAGATGTGTGACACACACACACAGATATATATATATATATATANTATATATATAAATAAATAAATATCGATTCAGATTTGAGTGAGTGAAATCCATTGTTTGAGGCCCAATTAACCAAGCTAGAAAGGTCTTTGTTAATGAGATGAATGGAAGCAGGGATTAAATGAGAGGGCATTGTGTATAGATTTGGGTATCATCAGCAAATAAGTGAAATTCGGTGTAATTTAAACAAGAAGGAACGTTGTTAATAAAAATTGAAAACAACAAGGACCCTAAAATTGTTCCTTGAGGAACGCCAGACTTAACAGGAAAGTCAGATGAGAGTTGGTTATTAGGTAATACATGTTTTTTGCATCCTGTGTGCATACCCACAAAAAAATTTTTTTTATGTTTCTTGCATAACATACCATTTTTATGGTCCTCATAGCTGTCATAAAAAAAATTTAAAAATTCAGAGAAATGATATTAATAGAAACGTTTGTAATGTGCCCAATCCATCTGTGTAACCTACTATCACTGCGCCTATTTTTGGATTGTGTCCTTCCTCATATGACACATTAAATTTTTTGAGTAGCAAATAGGTTTTTGTTAAAATAATAAATCACTTTTAAATCGAATGTTTAGGATTGTATATAATGACACGTTAAGAAGCCACAAAATTCATATATATTTTATTTTCTAAGAAAGAAAAAAATGCAGTCCAATACTAATTTCAGTATTGCATGACAAATTTTATTTTGTAAAATTTTTCTGTTGTCAAATGTATTTTGTCAGTATGTATTATTTTATCTACATCTAAATTAGGTGAGTTATGAAGTAATTGCTTTATAATTGCTTATTAAGCGTACTGATCCGGGGATTGTGGGTTCAAGTCCCGCTTGTGAGGCTAATTTTTCAACTCAACCATACATTCTCTAGATATATGTGTACTACATTGGGGTAAAATAGTGTTTGGCAGAAAAAAGTAAATAAACACTTAATAAATAAATAATAAATTCATATATTACTGTCCAAATTTAACAAAACAATATTTTTTTAAGACTAATTTTTTTAAATTTACAATGAGAGGCAAAAAAGAGGTCATTGAGCCTGTTCCAAGTAATGACCAACAATCCTAGTTGGGTCGGGCCTTATGTTGTCATGCATAAAAATAAAACAGTCGCCAATTAGTGGCATATAAGGAACAACTTCTTCTGGTAACACATCTTTAATGTATCACGGAACGGTTAGGGAACCCTCAATGAAGATCAAGTTTGTGCAACCTTGTATAGAAATGCCTGCCCAAACCATATCACCACCACCTCCAAAGTTTCTCTGGAGTGAAAATGTTGCAGGGATTGTTGATTGGTTACTTGTTCAATTTTCATAAATGCCATTAAACCTATCTAAACAATTTTTTACACTTAACATTTTTTTAAAACAATAGATGGACTACAAATGGATTGTTTTATGTCCACTAGATTTTTTAAAATTTATTATTATTTTTTAATTATATTAAAGGCCGTTAACCATGTAGGGTACATTTGTATCATTATTTTTTATTGCAAAGATTATATGATCGAGGCAAATAGTGACCATCAAGGGAAGAATGCCACTCCTAGCAGGGCCACCTAGACGGCAGCAGTTTCTGATGAAATGAAATGATTTCTTGTTTAAAACTAGCGTACACACAGTATTTAAGAGAGTGAATCATGTGCATGCTCCACTTGTTTAAGTAATACATATATGTTTGATGAATTGAAAAATTTATGATACTCTTCATACATTTTAGAATTTAAATGGTACAACAAATCAACTCGTGGAGTATGGAGTATAATTTTAAATTATATCTGTTATTTAATATAAAATCATAATTTTAAAAATGTAATACAATAAATAACTCTATCAATAAAGTAATTAAACAAACAACAATAAATAAATAGTATTAAAAATACTATTTGGGAGGCATTGGTGGCCACAGCGATGTAGGTGTTGAATCATTGTAAGGTAAAAGTCCCGGATTGAAAAGCTGGGTGTGAGGCAAATAAAATTGTACAAATCTTGCCAAATTTATATTTTTTCTACTATGTTTTAAATACATTATTTCCCAAATTTCAAGTTTCCATTAAGAGGCGATATGGCCCAGCATGTACTCATGTTAATTTTGTGCAATTTATTTGTATATTATTGTTGTACTGGCACTGGGCCCGTCTAATACGCTTGTGACCCGGTGTGAGTTCAGTATGACCAAACTATTACTGCTACTCCAAATCCTTTAGCTTCTGATAATTGTGGCCTTCCTCTTGATTTTGCTTGATTGGATTTGCGCTTGATCCATTTTGGATTTTGCTATCTTTACCAGCAAGTTTGTTTAACTTTTAATATGAAATTATATAATATGTACTAATACATTTTAACAATAAATCAACTGCTAATTTAATTTATTTTTTAGGCTCTTGATTGGGAAGTAGAACTTGCAGTAGTAATTGGAAAGAAATGTCGGGCAGTTAAAATTCATGAGTCTAATGATTATATATTTGGGTATACAATTTGCCAGGACATATCTGCCAGGGATTGGCAGACCCAAAAGAAGAACAACGGCCAGTGGCTTTTTGCTAAAAGCATGGATACATTTTGTCCATTAGGGCCTTCAGTGGTGTCAAAAGAAGTAGTGGCCAATCCGAATAAACTGCAATTGTCTTGTTCAGTTAACGGTTTGAAAATGCAGGATGGGAACACTGAAGACATGGTCCATGATATTAATAGAATAGTTTCCTACCTATCCGAGTAAGTTTTATTGATTAAATGTTTTATTTATTTGTTTTGTAAGTCTTTATTAACAAATTTTTTTTTCAATATTTTAGATGTGTGACATTATTACCAGGGGATGTTATTCTAACTGGCACACCATCAGGAGTTGGGGTTTTTCAAAATCCAAGGATGTTTTTAAAAGTAAGACCTTTCAGTCTGTTAATATCAATTTGTAAAATTTTTAAATTTTTATGACTGTCTAATGTACTTGCTTTTTTTCAGCCTGGTGATATTGTTGAGTCTGAAATCAGTGGGATAGGCAAAATGTGTAATAAAATAATTTCTTTCCCAAGGAAAGAATCTTAAGACTGAACTTTTAAATAAACAAAAGGAAAAAAATGATACTCAAATATGGAGTTTAATGTTTTTAAATGTTGATGAATACATTACATTGTGGTGAGGTTGTGTTGACCATGCTCCATTTTTTCTGGTATGGCTAATTGTCTCAGGAGATTATTTGAGTCTATAAAATTGAATTTATTTCAATTGAAGGACTTATATAACAATATACTTTTCATTTATTAAAATAAATCATATATTGGGAGAATAAAAAAAATCTCCTTTATGTACGCTTGTGTCTGCATACAAAGGAGGTAAAAGAAAGGTGGTTTTATAAACTTATTAACCATAATTTTATCAGTAAATTTGCTATTGTAAGGGTGTATTTTATCAGATCATTTCCAACCAATCTCTAATTTTAAACATTAATAAGGGGTGTAGTATCCCACTGCTGCTCCAAATTGGAATGGGTTTGTTTGCTTTAATAATAAATATGTTATTGTTTGAACTGAAATAGGTTTGTATTGAAGGAGAGGACAAGAATAACACTGGAGCAAGTTATAAAAAGCAGTCTTCCAGTTATAGTATATAAAAATAAAGATATAACGAATGTGAGCATGAATGTACGTGTGCATGTGGTGAGGAATGTGTGTGTAAATATACAACTTATACATAAAAAGATAGTAGCTAAAGTTATGTATATTGTAACATAAGCTACTTTCATCTTTACTTTAGTAATAAATGTGTATTTCATTTACTAAAAATAATAAGTTCAAATTAAATGTATGTATTAGCAAAGTGTTGCATTAATAGGGAAATAATTGTGTTTCTTATTATCTTATACTTAGTTTTCTCATTATTGATTCATTTAAGCTCGAATCTGCACAAGCATGTAGTACAAATACGTGTGTACATAGTTGAGCCACTATGGGTGTTGGCAATTAACCTTGGTTTTATCTGTCTAGCCCCCGAGGTTGGGTTTCCAGAGGCTATCATCAGCTAATTCGTTTCAGTCCTCAACACAATCAGTTCCTAAATCCAAATCCTCTCGTTCATTCTTAAATACATTCTTTGCTGTTTACATACCATTCGCCAGCTATAATAGGGTGGTGGAATACTCGATATTCCACCATCACATATTCACACCAATAATTATGTTCACTCTCAACACAAGCTAGGGACAAAACTATCTGTACTACATACAATAAAACAGCCCTGTTTCCTCCAAGAGTAAGAACAGTGTACTTAATGATGGAAATCTAGGAAGTTGGTTTTTTATTGAATTGATGAAGGTGGGATTGTAAATTGTTTAAAAAAAAATTGACAAAAGTTGGGCTTTTATGTCTCCCAAGCACTGCAGCCTTCTGGTTTCTTTTACTAGTAACTTAGTTATGTTCAATTGACTTGATCCTTTTCTTTAGAAGTATATGACACTGACTGATATTGCTACAGTCCCTTCCCTGTTTTTTATTTTTTTTAAATTTATTATTGTGATGTGCCCAAAATGTCAAGTTTCCATACAATTTGATGTTTTTGGAGCCTAAATGATCTTTTCCTCACTTCTCCTTGCATAAATATTTCCAATGGAGGAAGGTAGAATAGTGTTTCTAGTGCATTTGACAGAGTTGTTGCATTGCTCCCCCCCTGTGGTACATAGGTGACACATCACATGCTTATCAACTTCTATGATCTCCATGTGCCCGAGTTTTATGTTGCCTCAGGCCCAAGCCCAATTCACAGAGTTGCAAGAGTAATATCAATAACTTCTTGTCTTCTGTTAATTAAAAATGTGGTTCAGAACCTTCGATTATAATATTAAGGTTATTTGTTATAAATTTTAAAAGATTCTCTCCCATTTTGTTGGTGTTTGTGCTGTACAATACCTCATTGTGTGAATTTGTATCAGCTCCAATGATTACTGTAGATTTTTTTTGTTTGAAGTGCTGTATCAGGTTTCCTGTGGTGATGAGGCCCTGATGAGTCATAAGACATGTCGGTTGACGCTATCATCTTGTTAACTATGCTTTCCTCCTTCATGTAGTTTAGTCTGATTACTGTTTATTCCCTGGAATAGTGATTAGAAATTGTAGTCCATTTTTGATTGAAGTGCACGTTTTTTTTTTTTTTTTTTTTTTTTTTTTTTTTTTTTTTTTTTTTTTTTTTTTTTTTTTTTTTTTTGGTGCAAGTGGTTATATATTGTTGGTTTTTCCTTATCTCTTGGATATTCTTATTTTTACGTACATCGATGTTCACTTCGGACACACAACCAAGGATGGTAGTTATTTCTCTTATGCCCAGACATAGAGTTAGTTTTCTAATTTCTATTACAAAATATGTAGTGATTATTAACATATAAACATATCAGTTGAATTAATCAAATTTAATATATCAAATTTCTACTATATAAAGGAAGGTATAATATAAATAGTTAAACATATTATATAAAAGCCCAACAGATCGGACAAAATGTTTCCCAAATAATAGCTCAAGATTTAGTTATATAATACCAGGTTGTATTTTGCTTAGAGCAACTATTATGTTCTACAAGTTCTCCATTTATTGAATTTTATACATTTCTTTAATTCTTAAAGTTAGTAAGACTTTTTTAACCCTTGTTGAAGGTAAACAACAGAGGATTTAACTTTGTAGGTTAGTAATATTTAAGATAAGTTATATATAAGTTAGATGATATGAGTATAGACTAACTGTTAGGAGAATTTTATAATAAACACCCCGAACTCAGAGAAGAAAATTTAGAAGAATACTGATAAACTTCACTCAGACGAGTCCGTAATAGTGAATATAGACGAAAACGAACAAACTGACGAAGATGCAACAATGCATTCCAATTTTAACGGTACCACAGTAATCAATATACCCATATTAGAAGGACCAATTAATAAAATAAATAATCAAATCATTATTTCTGAAGTAGAATGTGCCCCTGCCAAACCCAAAATTATCAATTTATTCGACAACTCAAAACAACGAATATTGGTACAACTTTCGAGGAATGAATTTGAAAAGGATGTTATTAATTTTATTAAATCTTACATAGTTCTCAAAACTAAATACGGTCTATATTTTGGAAGTGACATCTATGAAAAATTTAGTTCAACACTGGCATCATATTTTAAAGATGCTGAAATCAATTTTACCAAGTATACGGATAAATTGATGGACATTGAGTCGAAAGAGGAGGAAAAAGAAATAATTGAAAATTACCATGTAGGTAAAACAAATCATTGGGGAATCGATGAAACCGATACTGCAATTAAAAGATTATATTATTGGCCCAACCAAAGAAAATCCGTACAAACTTTTATCAATCAATGCGAAAATTGCTTATTAGTAAGATATGACTGGAGCCCCTCAAACTAAAATTCAATATTATTCCCACACCAACAAAACCATTCGAAATAGTACATATTGACACCATAACACTAGATAACACGAAATTTCTTACGATTATAGACACATTTTCAAGATTTGCACAAGCCTATAACAATTGATATATTGGCTTGAAAAAAAGAAGTACTTTTATTACAATTTATTTTTTTTTTGACTGTCTCCTGGTCGACTGCCTTTTGGCTGACTGTCTCCTTGTTGATTGTCTTTTTGCTGACTGTCTTCTGGCAGATTGCTTTTTTGTTGACTGTTTTTCTGAACTATCCTTTGTTTCCTTTAAATCTAAACCTCTTTCAATAATGTATTTCTTCCATTTATCAGGTAAATTGTGCAAATCGATATATCCAAACAGATTTTTCACAAAACTATAAAACATACTTGTAGAGAATTGAGAAATATATTTGTTTTGAAATCTAGTATCACTTCCAAAGACCTTTTAATTTAAAAAAAGTCAAACTAATGACTAGTCATATTATATATCAAAATATGTTTTAGCATATTACGTACTTAGGTTCAACTGCATCTTTTAGAAATTGTAAGCAAGTTTGTTCTTCTCTTTTTGCCTTTTCAGCCATTGCCCTTGCCAACATTTCCAAGTTAGCCGCACTCGAAACCTTTAATTCTATTTGTAATTCACACCGTTTTTATCTTTGTTAGAGGCTTTGTTGACATACCTTTCTACTGTCTTTCTTCACTGTACTTTCTTTAGTGCTACTTTGCTTTGAACCACTCTTTCCTGGTCCACCTTTACCACCTTTCCCTCCACTAACACTTTTCCTAGAAACACTCTTCCTGGATACACTTTTTCTTGAGTCACTCTTGGTTACACTCTTCCTGGATACACTTTTTCTTGAGTCACTCTTAGTTACACTCTTTCTGGATACACTTTTTCTAGATACACTCTTCCTGGACACACTTTTTCTTGACCCTCCTGAAATACTTTTCTTTTTCGCTGCTTGCTTGCCTGCCTGGCTAGTTTGAGGTGCTCCATCCTGCATTAAATTGAAAACTGAAACAAATTTTAGGTTATTCAGTTTTAATTAGAATGTAAAAATAAAGTTAAACCATCTATCTTTGACTTGAGTGGTTTGGGTATCATTATGCGATCTGATAATTGCACTGTTTCAATTATGGGTTCATTCCAGAAAACTTCACGGATTATTTCATATTCTAATCTTCCAGAGAAACTACAAAATTAAAAATATTATTTTTTCAGCAAGCTATTTTATTTTTACTATACAAAATAATATTTTTAAATTTTACATATTATATATTTTCTCTGCATATATTTTAAGATCTTGGCCCAAATCCAATATCTCAGACCCTGCCATATAGAAAATTTGGGATTGTCTGGGTTGGGGATTATTATCCATATATTCAGAAGGCATTTTTCCTAAATTTGCTTCTCCAACAAATTCATTTGAAGGAGCTTTCTAAAAACATTTATTACAGTCATTTGGTTTGTTTAATTAAGTGGAATTGTTTAATATGAAAATTATACTCTTTTAAACCTTGCTTTTCAATTCAAATTTTAAAACAATAATTGTGTAAGTATCGTCCCCCTTTTTACAGACCTGTTTTTTTTTTAACTTCAGAGGTAAGCTTATATTTTTGCCAGTTATGAGAGGTACAGTGGGTGTTAGGTTTGTATTCATCCATTCTTCCGTCCTCAAGAAAAGCGGCTTTATTATTCTAAAAAATTCTTTCCTAGGTAAACTTGTATCTAGAAAGAATAAATAAATTATACATAATAGCTGTGTTAGAATAACTCTATAACTTATAACTAACTCGTAACTTTTACAAACATTTTAATGTTCTTATAAAATAGAAGAACCAGTTAATGAGAGTAGCTTGATTTTCCATTGCCATATTTTTTTTACGCGCTTCCCAAATAATAGTTCCTAAAGTGTCTAAAATCCAGAAAGAGTACATATTTGTGGTAAAATCATTTATATGTACTAAATTTGCCAATTCGCCCCTAAAATAATAAAAATATCATTATAAATTTACATGATTTTTGTTTTATAAATTTTATTTATTTTTGAACGAACATAGTAAATTGTTTTACGTTTCCTTCATCGATTAGATAACTTTCCGATGAAAGAGTTACAATTGTTTCAAGAGTTAACGGCAAGCTTCTTAGATATATAGGAGCATCTGATCCTGTCTCTATTTTCTGTATTACTTGAGTGGTCGGGACACTGTCCACTGGCAAACGGATAATTTTATCGTCAATGTGAACTTCATTTGATTCTGTATCTATAAAGACATTTGCCAGCGGCACATTGTTTACATCTGGCAGCCACAAACTCTGAAATGCAAGTACAACATCAACGACTTGTGTTCAAGTGGTTGTTTCGTTGTTCTTTGTTTTCTACTGGTCTATTTCATTCAGAAATTATTTGTCTTTTTTTGAAAAATTCCAAGCAATCTACAGTCTTACTTCATTTTCTTCAACCATTTTGTTCCAATCAGGAAGTACATTGTTCAATACAGAATGATCTGAATATTTCAAGGTCAATTCCATTTTCTGGATTTAGAAAAAGACTATGTTAAAAAAATAAAAACAAAAACAAAACTAAACCATTTGTTTTATTTGGACTGTTAAGATTTAACAATAAATTACAACTGAGTTCATATGAACATTTTGTTTACTACATGAGGAATTTGATGTTAAATACATACATAATTATAATGTTGAAATTTTGACTTTTCTGTGTTATTCAGGTGTTATTGTATGCATCCATAGTTAGACAAGTTTGAAATGTCCTGTCCACTGAGTGAGTTTGAGTCTGGGCTATTGGACTGGAAAAAAATTGAAAAATTTTAAGTTCGGTGAGAACATGCCCTCTTTCTGCTGTCATATACCCGTAACATAAAACATTTATATTTAAAAAATCAGGAATAAGGTGAATTTGAAAGAAAGATAAACAGTCAGTTCCTTTGTCATGCTTTCGAGGAATCATTAGGTCTTTGAAACTTTAACTAAAATTAGAAAGGTCTCCAAGAGCCACAAGTCCATTTATTAGCCTTTGTCCATTTATACAGCATTGATTACCAAACCTGGAGTTGGAGGCTGGGGGATATTTACTCGACTAGAAGATATTATATATATTAAATAAATGTACAATAAAAGAATTAAGTAAACAAAATAAAATTAAATTAAAACTTATTAACATCAAACTAAAAAGCTCCACGAGTTCTCTGTGGAACTCCAGTGGATTTTTACAGAACTAACCAGGTCTGAACAATCAGGGGAATTAAATTTTGTGATCAAACACTCAAAATTTTCATACTTCCCAAAAGTGAACTCTGAAAGAATGGGATACAGCCAAAAAATGAGAAGTCCTACACTGTGAACAAAACCATCTCAGAGAAGGGAGTAATTAAGGTAGATAAATTTACACCTAAGTTTTGAAGAACCAACATAAATTATTAGAGGACGACTTTAGATAATTATTGGTTACATGGCAAAATGGCTTTGAATGATAGTTTCTTGTAGGGCAGAAAAAGGGCTTGTTCGGTACAAATTTAAACTGCCTGGAATTAATGGGTGATTCAAAAGGCGAGAATTTAGAGAACCATTCTTCATGGGTTATTAAGGGATGACACAAAGAATATATTAAAATTATAGGCTGCCGAAGAAAGCGCTTTGAACCAGAACAGATTAGAATTGATTGCTTTAACCGCTGTAATTTTGGGAAATCAGAGGAAGTGCAAAGTTGGGAAAGACAGCGACAGTGTCCTGCTTAAATATGAAAGATGGATTAAGATTATTCGGCTTTTCTAGAATTTTTGATATGAAATTGTTTTAAAAAAAATCATTACACATAATTCATGCCAGCAACAACACCCTCTAATGACGGACAAACGTCTCCGACAGGTCTGTTCCAGTGTGAGAGCTCATGTCGAACGAGTAAGTTGTACACAGTTGCAGTCGGATGTAGTTAGTTCCAGTGTGAGACCGTCCGAACACGTCGATTTTTCTGCCCTCAAAGGGCCCCTGTTGGATGCAGATCCGGATGGGGTGTGTATTAAAATGTGCCCTTTAAGAGCTGTTGTATCTCCTGTTCAGTGCATATAGCACACAGGTGAGTCCTAGTGCATAGAGGAACTTGATTAGTAGACCCGGTTTCAGAATGTCAGGTTGAATTTCGTCAACGGTTACAGTGTAGGTCCCATAACACTTTTTCCTGCGGGCGAATGTAGTACATCAGTTTGTTAGTAGGTGGTGTTTCCTCTGTTTATTTGCACATTCTGCACTTGCCGTATTAGGTAATGCCAATCTTCTTCAGATGTCCATTTAGTTTGCAGTGTCCTGGTTAAGTATCCTGTTAGGATTCGCAGATTTTTCCTGCTTCCTTTGGTGCATTCTGTTACCTCTTTCCTAACAACGTTTGTTAGGAAGTTCTTGGATTGTTTATGTCCAATGAGTGACTTCCATTGCTCTCTCATTTTCTTTTTATCCTTCTGTCTGAGGTATTCATTGATAGTGGGGATTCCTATGTCACAAAAGGGTGCGAAAACTTTGATTTTGGATTAATTTTTACATGTTTTCAATGAGAGCAATAATTTTCCAAAGCGTCAGTATTTCTCTGCAAGATGAATAGAGAACTGGCCACAATGACTACATCAACATAGAAAAGGCTTTTAATTGATACATTAGAACAGTGAATTCTGAGATTTAGAGTATCCGAAAGGTTAATGTAAACAAGGGGCTAAGGTTTGCAATCTTCATAAGACGAAGCCATGGGTCGACTGAGTCAAAAGCCGCCATAAGGTCAAAAAATTTTTTTGTTTATCTTTTTTTTTTATATTTCTACGTTAACAATATGCTTGAGCGGGAAGATATGGTCAACTGTCGAGTAGCGTCTAAAACCGGCCTGAAATTCGTTTAGGATATTTTATTTTGCGATCGAAATCTTCTGTGAGACGAAATGATAGACTGGAGAAAATCGCTACTGAGTCAACTAATTCATGAAAATCCTCTGAAGGAGTTGAACTCTGTAGGGACGCCCTGGAAGATGGCGGACTTCCAAAAGAATGAGAGCTCCGTGAGAAAAAAGGTTAAAAACCTTATGTGGTTTTTCGATAAAGCAATTTGAGCCAAATCTGTAAAACCATAAAGTTTCCTTCTGGACCCTGGGATTTTTTATTACTTAAGTTAAACAAAGTTTAAAATCTTCCATAGAAATAGGACCACAAAGGCAGGAACTTACAACTGCGATACAAGAGAAATAGGGTTAATGAGATTGGACGGCTGCCCCAATAGGAGAGTGAATTTTTTGTTTTTTTCCAAAACCAGAATACCTTTGAATCCTTACAGTTTACTATGATATTAATAGATGATGTTAGCATAAGCTCATTTTTCTTTGTTAAATAAAGCTCAGTGTAACATTGCTTCCTTTTCACGTAAGCGGTTTTTAATAAATTAGAACTGTTTGCTCTACAAAGCAGGTTTTCTTCTATGTTGCTTTCGGTTTTTAAACTATTTTTTGTAATAGAGACGGATAAAGGTAAGTAATGTTCGAGTTTCTTTGATTCAAGTGTGTCATTGAGTCCATTGCTATTTGTTATTTTTTACGATCTCCTCTCAATTTTGAAATACGGAATATAATTCAGGAACTGTACTAATTTTTATTTATGTATTCAAATTTATATATTCGTGCGGTATGAAGTAAGATATTGTGGATTTGTCCTGGTCCAGGCTAAACAATGGAATTATGCAGACATCAGTTTCAGTCTTGACAAGAGCCTGGCTGACCAGACACCCCAGACCCGAATACATAAGAATCTTCCTGTTTGGTACCAGGGACTCAAGAAGAAATATAACATGAATAAAATACGCAGAGTGCAAAGACTATTCTTATTGCGAATTAATAAAGAATTCCGAACCATTTCGTATGAGGCCACATGCACTTTTGCCAACGTAATACCTATAGAAATCATGATCGAAAAAATATATAAAAGTATAAGGTAATGGAAGGTTGTGATAATTATTAAATTGAAAACTGGCATGCCTACAACACTATGCAACTGGATACACCCTGGTTTAATAAAAAATTTAGGCTATGTATCTATAAAGATGGTAGTAAGAAGAATAACAAAGTTGGGTGTGTCTTTGTGGCTTGTTGGGATGAAGAGACACTTCTGTAGAGACAGTTTCGTCTTGCAGAACATTGTTCAAACAACCAATCTGAACTTATGGCTATATTGAGATGTTTGGACTGGCTTATTGATGATCCTTCAGATTGGAAAAATCTAAAAAGTGACTGATAGTCAATATCTCTCGACATGATCGCCAACACTAACAACGACATGTCCTTGGTGGATAGAATTCGGCTAGCCTTAGTGAGTCTTAATCATTGGAAATGCAATGTAATATTCATAAGGTCCTGGCTCACACTAGTGAAGAGGGAAACGAAAGGGCTGATTTATTCCGAAACAAGTATCGGAAGATGAAAATTTGCAGGTATCCTTCGAATTTGTTCCGAAAACCTATGTAGAACACATAAAAAAACAGAGAGAACTACAAAAGTGGGAACAAATTTGGCAAACAAAGGGAAAGCCATGCTAACAAAGGAATTTTTTCCATCTATAGGGGCAAGAGACAAGTGTAACATTGCAATAAGCTACAGGTGACTCAAGTGTTGTCAGGTCATGGAAAAACCAGAGCATATCTTCATCTTTTTAATATTCTGCCAGATGCAAGGTGCCCTTGTGATCCAACAACCTCGCCATCATGGGACCATATTTCATAGCAGACTTTTTGAAGCGGAAAGAGCGTCAGAAGTGGTAAGCAGAGGGCTTAAGTGGTCTCCAGAACAAAGTGTTCTTGTGAGTGACAGTGAAATTTGTGGAATATTTGTGGATTTATTAACAGTTTGGACTATGAAAATTTTTAAAATTGTTTAACAATTAAGATTAATTGTATGATCTAATTTAATGTAAATTTTTATTAAGTGCATGTAATATTTGTATGTGGTACATGCATATCATGTAATAGATGGAAATATGAGAAAAAAGAAGAAAACAAAAAGAATTAAATAAGAACAAATTATCTTTTGAGAACTGATAGAGTACTAAAAAACACAGCAGTAAAAGTAAAAGTATATGTACAGGGACGACAATTATTGCATATCTGAAAGCCACTCGTATCTCACTCTCCAGGCGTACCGAGCAAAGGAAATTAACGGTAAAGGGGATACTTGGTTAGAAGATATTCCAGTATTTCAACTCTGGAGATGACTGTCTTTCCCAAGTAAGATACCCGCAATTCTGAGAGAAGAGAGCAGACTCCCAAAAAGTGATATGAATCTTCCCTGGCGTGGCTGTTACAAGTTTCATCTTGAGGATCATTCAAAACCCAGGGTTTGAATTTCAAATATAACAATTCTCCTCTTAGTTTGAATAGCCAACAAGATCTCTAATATTAAGGTCCTGGGAAAGGCTCGGTTTATATGACAGTAGGTGTTCATTGAGAAGTTCCTTATACAAGTAGAACCTCTCTGTGCTTTTCGCCTTATTCACAACTTCTTCTCGATGAACTTCGATTATTTTGTAAGGAAGCACTAAAAGGTCCAAGAGATTCTCCCGAACACCGGAGTTTTGCCAGGGGCATGAGTATTTCTGGGCTAGAGAAGCCCATTGATTATACCAGGAGATA